CAACCCCAACCCCAACCCCAACCCCAACCCCAACCCCAACCCCAACCCCAACCCCAACCCCAACCCCAACCCCAACCCCAACCCCAACCCCAACCCCAACCCCAACCCCAACCCCAACCCCAACCCCAACCCCAACCCCAACCCCAACCCCAACCCCAACCCCAACCCCAACCCCAACCCCAACCCCAACCCCAACCCCTAAATTAATTTAAATATTAAATTATATTTATTAATGTTTATTTTTTTTATTATATTTTTTCGGATAAATATCAAATTTAAAAGGAGCATTTGGAAAATGTAAAAATATATTTTATGAATAAACATTAGATAGTTATATAAATTAATCTCAATATTTTGTGGGAATAGTTAAAGCTAGATTTTTTATTACATTTTTTGAATATGGGTAGTAGAATAGTTTAAAATATTCTTTTTTAATATGTAAATTTAACAATAATTTAAATAAATAAAATTAATTTTTATTTAATACGACAAAATAAAAAATAATATTTAACGAATATTGATATTTAAAATATTTTTTAGAGAAAAGTGTTTATTATTTAAGAAATATTTATTTTCTTTAAAGAGTGAAGTATGAAAATTTGATTTAACATTTTATAAATTTGATAAAACATTTTTTTTATTGAGTTTAAGTAATTTTAAATAATTAGTTAAGTCTTAAAACATTTTTAAAGTAACATAAAAAATGTAAATATTTAAAAATAAATCAAACAATAAAAAAAATTAACTTATATTTTGCTCATACTATTTGGCAAAATAATTATTTATAAAAATCAATTTCAATATGTTTTAACAAAAAAATTTGGTTATAAAAATAATCAAATAGTAAGAATTTTGTATTAATGCCAGGGTAGGGTTTGATAGAGCGAGTTTTTTTCAAAATTTTCCTAATGTTTAAATTTAATTGTGATTTTAAATTCATATAGTTTTTTAAAAAAGTTACCTACCATCATATACTTCATTTCCTTTTTTTATAAAAAATTTTGTGTTTTAATATAATTTTGTTTTAATTAGTTAACGAGGATTCATTATATACAGAAACTAGTTTATTTCTGTGAAAATCATTTACAAAAATTAAAAAATATTGTTTTTTTAAATAAGAAAGTAAAATCTAGCTTTCTGAAATTAAATTAAAGCTAATAAATTAGTCTGAGAAAAAATTAAATTTTAGGCCTAAAAAATACAATGGAATATTTTAAAATTTGATAAATTGTAAAATCTATTAATTTAGTCATTTCAAGTTAATAGTTTTAAAAAGTTGAAAATGGTTTACTAATTTTCTAATTTTAGAAAGTACTTATTTGGTTAAATGATAAAATAGTTTTAATTAACTTTTGGATATGAAGTAATTTTAGAAGAAATCATATCAAATAATATCCTATGAGTGAGATAGAAAATTATAAATAAAATGGTATTTATATGAAAGATTGTAAAGAAAAGTTTGAATTTAGTTTCTAAAATATGGATTTTAGTGTCTTATACTATAACTAAAAACATAAATGCAAATACTCAAATTAAAAATAAGAAGGGATCAAACATTTTAGTAGTCACTAGAAAAAATCTAGTTTGGTAATATTGCATATTAATTTTTAGGTTTTTCTTTTTAAAAACTAAAAGTAGTGCTTATAATGACAAATATCAAAAATTTATTAATTTGCATGTTTATTTATTTACTTATTTATATATTTGTAATCAAGTACAATTGTAATAGTTCTACTGAATTTAAAGAGCTATTAACAATTTGTATATAGTAATTAATTTAATCATACGCTAATAATAGGTATGTATTTTGTGATTGATATTCGACTAAGACAAACTTCATTGTAATTTAATTAGTATAAATTCGTTATTAAGATTGTTCATTTTATTATAAAAAATATTTGTATCACAAATTTTAAATTAAAAAATAACCTCGGTATTAAGCAAACTAAATTTTTTCAAGAAAATATATTTCACTTCAATACTAACTAAAATGGAATTATAGCCAGCAGAATAACAAAACGATATCATAAAGCTAGCAAATTAAAACTCTAATGAAGCGCAAAGTTTTAAAGCAACTATACCATCTGTTATTAAGGATGATGAGTAATAAAACAACTAACAAGTAGTTAAAGGAAGTACTGTTTTAGAGGCTACTGTGAATATGGTAAAAAGTGGACTTGGAACTGGTATATTGTTCTATCCATCAGTCTTTAAGAGCTGCGGAATCATTTTAAGTATAATTATGATGATACTTTTTGGTCTTTCTTGCTATTTCTGCTGGTTGATTCTCAGCAAAGTTATATGCTTTTAAGAAAGTCTCAACAGAAAAGACCCTAACAACTAAAATCTTACATTAGAAAGGGCAGCAGGTATATTGTTCAACAAGAAAGTTAAAATATTTTTAGAAGTTATTACTATGATATACGCATACGGTACAGCTATAGGATATTGCATTTTCGTTAAGGACTCTACTAAAGATTTAGCAGGAGAACCTCTATATGTTAGTAAATTTTTTATACACTTTGATTTGATTTAATTTGTATCTATGGCCTAGAACTAAGCATAAATTACTCCTCCTACTTTTAAATTAAATATTGAGATTTCGTTCTAATAAATTTCGATTTATAATTTAAAAAGTAGAAAAAATTTATTAAAATTAAAATATTAAAGGAAAGAAGCTATAGATAATAAATATTTACTATTTATGAATATGTTATTGAATTTTTTTATTAAAATATAGTTTTAGTCATGTTTGCTATTTACCTTCCACTCTCCTTATACAAACACATACAAAAGCTTGTAATTTTTAATTACTTAGGTTTAACTGCTTTATTCATAGCTATTGGTACTATTATAGTTAAATCCATAATTGCCATGAACGATTTTGGTAGTAATTTTCCTTCATATAAATACTTTGAATTTTCTCAAATTCCTCTTTAATTTGGAGTCTTTTCATTTGCATATGATATTAATGGTGTTATAACTGAAATTCATGCCTCCATGGAAGAAAAATCTAAATTTCCAACAGTGCTCAGAAGGTAAATAATTGTTTAAATAATTTGCAATTAAATTGAAAGTTTGCATAGATTAGATTATTATTAATTTACATAGAAGGAAAATGTAAAATAATAAATTTAATTGATAGATTTGATAGAATGATATAAAAGTCTATTTCACAGAATAAAGCTAATAACAAAAATTTAATTAAAAATGGTAGATTAATTGTTTGTTTGTTGAGTTTAATTGATAACTCTAGAAACAATCTATCTTGGACAAACTTCAATGACTTCAAAATAATTACAAATTTTTTTTATTATTTTATGAAATGCTAATTTTTGAATTTACGTGATTTTATAAATAAAAATAGATATCTCACCATTTCTTGCACTTTGGGAATAGTTGTAGGAGCATTAGGGTATCTGGCTTTTGGAGATGAAACTAATGATATTATTTTTGTAAATTTTGGCTCTATGAATGGGTATGGTGATGTTATTTCTGTTTTATATGGTATTGCACTTACCGCTGGTATTCTTATGTTTTGTTTCCCTATAGGTTATCACCTAGACAACTTTATCAAAGTCTTCATACTTAAAAAACATACAGAAGAAACTAATATAATATAAATGATTTTAACTAGAACAGCAATTTTCTTTTCTTTTGGCATTTTATCAATTTATATATCTGGTATTAGTTCAATCTTCAATCTATTAGGATGTGTTTTTTGCACTGTTTTAACATTCACAACACCTTTCCTACTTCTCAAGAGAGCTTAAATTAAGGAGTTGATATTGATCGCATTGTCAACAAAGGAAACTTAATCTGACAAAGAAGCTCAAAATATTTATTAAAACATACAGGAAGAAAAATGCACTTAAAAAACTCTTCCAAGGGGTAAAACACTAGACATAATTTGCATAATAGTTTTCTTGTTTGGTCTTGTTGGTGGTATTTCAGGAATAGTTTCAACAATAATCTAATTATAATAAGAGTACTCCTGAATAAAATTAAATAATAAATAAATTATTTCAATGGAATGTATATAAATCATATAATATAATAAATAAAAAATTATAAATTAATCTATTTCGATAAGAAAATAAGTATTTATTTCTTCTCAATGTTTGTATTTAATTATTATATTAAAATTTATTCATTCTCATTCATTTTTTTTTGTCAAAGTGTATGTACTAGGCAAATATTAAAAAAATCAATCTTGCTTTTAATTAAAACCAATTTACATTAAAATCCAACTTTCCTTTTTAAAGAAATTCCTTAGTAATATCGAGTTGTAAAAAATTAGATGGATTTGAATATTAATATAATTATATTTTTTCACTATTAGAATAAAAGTTAAAGTTAATTTGAGGAGAATTTTATTAGAATGCAATATAAAAGTTAGATATTAATATCATTATGTTTTTTTTTGATTTAGCTTAAACATAAATTTAAAAAAATTCTAAAAATTAACTGATAAAAATTATACATGGCTTATAAAAATAGTCAATTAAAATAATATTTTTTATTAGATTTATTTCTTATTTATTACTGGTCAAACATTTGTAACAAGCTAACGTATAGAATTTTTCTAATAAAGATATATAATTAAATGAAGAATTATTTTGTATTTAGCTTATTTTAAATTTTAAAATATCAAATTTCATCATCAATAACTTACCCAAACTTGAAAGTAGAGATCAAATTATATATTTTTTTAGATAAATAATGTTTTAAATCAATTTTAAAGTATATTTTTGGATTATTTAAAAATACAAAACTACATATAAAATATATAAAATTATAAAATAAAATAAGTGCATTCATTTATTGAATGATAAATATATAACAATTTGCTTATTCCTTCTTATGAATTTGAAGGTACTTATATACATAAAAATGGTTGATATTTGAATTAACAAAATTCATTATAAAATAATTCAAAATTGAGTCTCAAAGAAAATTTTCAAATATTATTTTAAATATCTACTTTTATTTGAGCTTTTCTAAAATAACTTTGTTCAATTATTTTTTATATCAATATTTTCTTACTGATTCTGCTACTTTTGTATCTCGTCAATGAAACCCATTTCTTTTTTAAAATTATGCAATCTGGAATAAGAAGACTTCATTTAAGCAGCTTATTTATGGAATGTTGGATTGAGAGATTATTATACTCTAGCAGACTAATTTTAATGCTTAACTGCACATTTTCTATTCATATTATTTGTGAAAAAAGTGGGAGAAAATGAGCATTCTTTCATTTCTTCACTTATATAATGCAAATTGAGTAACTATTTATGAGTGTCAGTATGTTTTAACCAGAAATCATTTCTTTCTAAAATTGATTATTTGTTGTAAAATTTCGACTCACCTAGCTTTGTTTTAGGGGAAGTCATAATTCCAAAGTAGTTTGTTTAACCAAATTATGAAATTGTGCTTTAGTTATGCTTATTTAAGAGAGTAGATACCGAATGAGGAGAGGCAATCTTAGACTAGAAGTGTGAGGAACTTTAAGCAAAACTGTTATCTTTACTTCTAATCTCAATTGTTTTATCTGCTTTTTATATGAATTCTAAATTTTATCTTTCTTTAGCAGAATTCATAAGAGATTCCTATGAAATAAACTATGGTAAAGATTTACTTGCTTTCATAGTTTGAGAAGGTTTTCTATTTGATAAGTTATTTTTTTAAGAAACTTAATTCTGGATTTGAATGTGATTCTAGATATTTTGTTAAAGTTATTCTTAATGTTGTCTTTGTTCAAAAAGTTTTTAAGCATTGATTTGATTATCAACAGCTGCTGAATTCTGATTTTAATTTAGCCCATAAATATCATTGACTTATTTCAAGTTATCAATATTTTGATAAATATTTTAAGAATAATTCTGTTTATTTTATTCTAAATATTATTTTATTTGCTATTATTAAACTTATTATTTGGCAGTTTCTTTATTTTTCGAAGAACGGACATCCAAATAACTTTTTTTAGAGTCAAAAATCGAATTTACAACCTTCTTTTTCTCGTTAGAGCTATTTAATATTTTTATTTGTTACTAATTAAGGAATTCTTCTTTAATTTCATCATTATTATAATTATCCTATTATTCGTTCAAGGGAGTAGCTGTAGATGAGACTTTACTAGGAGGAGGAGGATTTAGCGTATTATAATCGCTATTCCTATTACTACTACTTTTTTGACTTCCTTAAATATTCTAACTTAAAGAAGCTTGTTGTTGCTGTGATGATTTTTTATTACTTACTTATTAATTTTTTTTTGTTTACTTCAAAGGTGTCGCTATTTTCTTTTAATTGCTAGCTGATTAACTTATAGAAGAGTTTTTACTACCTTTTTTGCGATTAGAGTTAAGAGAATCTAAATTTAAATAAATATGCTTAGGTGTTTGCTGTTATAAAACAAGTAACTAGTTTTATGCATTTTGCTGATTTTGATTATTTTATCCTTCAAAGTTCTCATTCTATTGTGTTTAATAATCTACTTCACTCTATTTTATTTCTGAATTGTTTTGCTTTTAAGTATGATCTTGACTTTTCTTCTATGATGAACTCTACTGCTAAATTTTAGAGTTTTTGCTGTTTAATTTTTCTTAAAATTTTTTGACCTGTTCGTGTATGGGATTGACAGTAAAGTAATTTTTATTACTTTAAGTAGCTGAAGAAGAGTTTGATTATCTCATAGAGTTATATATTTTACTATTATTTATCTATTACTATTAGTGATACAAATCATTTTAAAGCTATTATTAAGGATCCATAAGCTACTCAAAATTATTCTATTACAATTGTTATTGCTATTAATTTAACAGTTGCTGCTACTGCAAAATCTAAGAGGCAGAGAGTTGTTCTATAAATAATTTAACATCGTCCTCTACTCCTCTATATTCTCCATTTGATGTTAACTAATGCTAATGCAACTACTATTGTAGCATATCTAAATATTATAACTGCTGATTATATTGTTATTTTTCAAGCTCAATTTATTGAATTTAAGGATTGAGTTGTTGAAATTGCTATTTTGATTATATGAAATTATTTTTTTATTCAAGGCTTTAGCTATTGTTTTGAGCTTACACACTATTATGAAACAACCTTTAAGGAATGATAGAATTAGAAGCTTAGTATTCATAACCCTCATTTGGCATCATATTTTGAGATTAGTTTTGCTAATAGTGCTGTTCTAAGTTTTTATCAATTGTGCTTGTGAGCTAGCTTGATGTATCCAGTTTCTCATTGTGAATAATTAACGACTATTATTTCAAATATTGATTCTAAATAAAACAAAATCAAATAAATTTTAACTAATTAATTGCTTTTACTCCGCTATTTGCATGATAGGGCTGATTCTAATAAGCTATTTTTTCCTTCAAATACATCTAAATCGGTGTAAGTTGATTGCCATTAGTGTTGTTATTAAATGTATACTTTAAATTCTACTACTATTACTACTATGGCTTCTATTAGTAACTTTGATTAATCTGTTGTTACCTAAGATGCTATTCATAATTTGAAAAGTTAGCCTATTATTAATCACTATTGTGAAACACAGGCCCATGATTTTAAAATCTGCGAGAAGAATTATTTATTGAATCGATTTCATTTTACTCCTCCTAAATGCTTTCTATCTAAAATACCTCTTTATTATACATAATTTGTTTTTTTGATATTACAAAATGATCATATTAATTAAATTACTGTTTTGGACGGTACTCATTTTTATGAAATAATAATTATTTAATATCAGTAATCAATTCGACTTGCTATAAATATTTGCAATGATAAAGTTCTATTTAGCTAATAATAATTCCTACTCTACTAAAATAAGTTTTATTTTGCGTGACAAAATATAATTAATCTATATATCTTTTATTTGGCTATAATTATATGGTAAAATTCAATTTATTTATTTAATTATCTTTCTATCAAACTAATTATCTATCTATCTAATATTTCCTGTAATTATTTTCTTTCACTAATTAATTAATAAGAATTTTAATTATTTTTCTTTTTTCTTTTTTCAAATAATTAACAGAGCATCAACTATGAATTTTATTATTTATTAATAAAATCTATTGATTTTGAATAGTAGTATCTCCCTTTACAGACAGATTTCAAATTATGATATTTCATGTTATTAATTTTTTATTTTTTATAAAATTTGTTATCGCTAATTTTTCTTTAATTTATTATTAATTTTATGATCAAAAAAAAAAAAATATGTATTAACTTTAATTAAAATTTTTTATGTTTAGTTTATGGTCATCATAAATTTCAATATTCTGCTTTAAATTCCTAATTTCATATGAAAGACAATAAAAAATTTATTTTTCTTAATAATAATAAAAGAGCTAACAATAATAGCAATCGCATTAATAATTATCGCTAAACAAATTGAATAGAGACAAAATTAATTAATTATCAATTCTTCTTAATAAAAAACATACATGCAAATACTTTAATTAATTAAATAAAGCATTCATGAGCACATACAAAATACATACAAATTAAAAGATATTAATTGATCTGTTTTGTATTTGCTTGTGGTTTAGTAGGATAAATTCAAACAATATATTACAAATATATAATTTTTATACAAGATAAAAAGTATCAGTAGAATTAACAAAATCAAAAGGTTATGGGAAAAAGAAAAAATAAATAACTAGACGAAGATCGTATCGTGCCTCGTCGTAGAATAAAAAAAAATTAGGAAGAAGAAAATGGTAACAAAAATCAATTGAATGCTGTTAAAGAAGAGGAAGAAATCATCAGCGAAGATGAATCTATTAATAGTGATTAACTTGAAGAATTGATAGAATTCGAAGAATAAGCATAATCACAAGAAAAGTCTAAAAAATAAAAGTTCCTAGAAAGTAATTCACATTTCAAATATCAACTTATACTTTTTAGAGAATTGTTAAATGAAATTTTAGCTAAATTTCCATTTTGAAATTCACTTTGATGTTATCAAATTTTTTAAAATTAGAATTTAACATTCAGGAAACAAATGAAGTGGATGAGCAAAGTCAAGCCAAACGTTTAGCTAAAATACCAAATAAAATTAACATCATTTAAAACCAAAGCTAGATTGCTTCTGCTTTCAATAGCCATTTTGATAAGGATTTCAAGGAGTTGCTCTCAACTGATATTGAAGAAATTATCAAAGAGAAAGTAGAAAAGAAATCATAAAAAGAAATTGTCAGAGATAAAATGAAGGAGATATTTAATATAGGTAATGACGGCAATAGTGAAGAAATTAACCCATACAAGAAACATGAAGAGCAAAAAAGAAAGGAAAAAGAAATGTTTAAGGATTTTAAAGACCCTGTTAAAGAAGCCTTAAATAATAAAGTAGAAATTAAGGAATATGGAATCAAAAAGCAACTTCGTGAAAAGAAAAATTACTCAGTTGAAAATGTAGACGAATATTATATAGACTCATTAGCATAAAAATATGTCAAAGAAGGGTTAAATTGCAGTACAGAAAATTTAGACCAGTCAATAAATTTGGGTGACCTTACAAATTCCTAACTTATACAATTTGGTATCATAAACAACTACCATGATTTGGTCTTCATTGATTAAGATGAAAAGAGAAATGAATCATTCAGAAAGCTTTACTGCTCTCATATTATGAACCACATGACTAAAGTCCCTTTGTAAAAAGATTTTGTAGAAGAATTAGCTTAAAAGGAAGCATTAGAAAAATTAAAAAATAGCAAAAAAGCAGCTACTACTGCTCTAGTAAACAATGAAGAAGATGATATAGACTGTAAGAAAAATAAAGGTTATACAAACTGCAAGATTTTAATCATCACCCCTTTCAAGGTAATTTCAAATCTTTATAATTTAAATTTTAATTAAACTATTTAAAGTAGAAATTAAATAAAATTAAATCAAATATTATAAATAAGTTTGGTAATCAGAAAATCTATATTTCAAACCTACTATTTTTTATATAAATGCTGTTTGCTGCTTGCTACCTTAATTAAATACTTAGCAAAAATTAATAATATAAAAATAAATAATATCAAATTTAAAAAATTAAAAAATTTTCCAAATTGATATTTTAGCAAATCTCACCAAACAAAACAGTTTTATTTAAAAAATAGTGAAATTTTTATTAGGATTTAAGCTAAGTTTTGATAAACAATAATTGAAATAAAATTATAAATTCTAAATTTAAGATAAATTTTATTAAATTTATTTTAATTTATATTAAAAAGGGAGATGCTGCCACTATTATTAATGAATTATTAAGCATTTATGGAGAAAGTAAGCTCAAGAAAAAATCTAATAAGCAGAGATTTATAGAAGAGTATGAAAACCCTGATAGATTGGATGAAGACGACTTCAGAATTGGTATTAGCATAACAAATAAAGGTTTGAAATTATTTACTCCTTTTGAACACTGTGATATAATTATTACAAGTTTGGTTGGTCTCCGTTTGGCAACTGGAGAGAAAGGTGATAAAGATAGAAACTTTTCTTTCTTGAGCAGTGTTGAAATTCTTGTTATTGATAGAGCCCATGTTCTTTATAATTAAAATTGGTTGCACATGAGTGAATTAATGAGTCTTTTTAATCAAATTCCAAAGCACAAGCACGTCACCAACAATATTCACTAGATTAGAGAATACTATTTCGAAAATCTTGCTAAGTTCTATAGACAAACTATTGTCTACACCGAATTTAATTTCCCTGAGCTTAATTCAATCAAGAATAGATTTATGAATAATTATAAAGGATGTTTCCAAATTAAACCTTATTATTAATAACTTCCTCATCCTAAGATCAATCAAGTAATTAATTATTTAAAAAATTTAATATTATGAGTTTATTATAAATATTTACATTTAAAAAAAAAGGAATTTATTAAGTTTGATATTAATAATATTCAAAACGAAATGGATGAAAGAATAGAGTTTTTCAAGAAGAAAATATGGGATGATTGGAATAAAGAAGAAATGGATGGAAGTGTAATATTCGTCAGCTCATATTTTGAATATGTCAAGTTAAAGTCAATGTTCGTTAAGCAAAATGCTCCAGTCTTTGGTATCTGTGAATATACAAAGAAAAGAGATGTTCAAAAAAGAATAGCTTAATTTAAAAATGGTACTCTTCCTTATTTGATGCAAACTGAAAGAGCCTACTTCTTTGATGTAGGTTCCATCAGAGGAATGAAAAACATCCTCTTCTTCTCATTACCCAAAAATTCTTATATCTACTAAGAAATGCTAAGTTATTTGCACCCTGAATCTCTCAAGCACTCAAAATGCAAAGTAGTCTCATTATTTAATAAGTACGATGCATTTGCTCTTGAAAGAATTGTTGGCACAGAAAATGCCAAAGAATTTCTTGCTGATTATAATAAAGCTACATCATTTGTTTTGTGATTAATTACTTAATTTATTTCATAAAATAAATACTTTATTTATGTAGTTTATCAAACAAAAATGTTAACATATTTCATCTGGCAATAAAGACTAAAATTTTATTAAGCTTTTAAATTAATTTAATCATTTTAATTTTCTCAAATTTAAAGACGGTTTTTATTAAATTAAATTTGAAATAATTCAATTAAAAATGGCTTTTTATAAAGCTTAATAATACTTCATTTTAGTTTGTTTAATCCTTTATGCCTTAAAAAGATTTTTAAGCTTTAATTTAATTAAAAAATAATAAATATTTAAAAAAATTAAATAAATTTTAATAATTCATTTATTAACAATCAATTAATATTTAATAAAGTAAGTAAATTTTATCAAAAACAAACAATATATTTATCTATGAACTAATATAAATTTTTATATTCTTTATTTTATCAAACCTCAAGTAATTTCAAAAGATTTTAGTTCATTTTTGTTTTTTGAAATTTTTTATTTAAAAAATAAAAATAAATAAATGAATGAAAGAATGCAAAACAATTTAAATGAAATAAATTTTAAAATAGTATAAAAAGGGATTTATTAAGAATAAAATTCTTTCTAACTAACTAATAAATATCTAAAATAATTAGTAAAGTTTATCAAAAACAAAAAATGTGTTTAAAGTGCTAATTTAAATATCTATAAAGGAATGCATAATAACTTATTTAAAAGGTTTTTTTATCTTTGATTTTTTTTGAAATTTATTTTATAAAATAAAAATTAATGTAAAAAATCTAAAACAATTAAAAAACCACTTAAAATATTGTAAATAAATATATCAAAATAATTAAAAGAAGTATAATATTTATTCTAACTAGATATCTAAATAATAATTAAAATAAATAATAAATGAAGTTCATAATTAAAATATCAAGGTATCTCCCTGAATATATAGGAATTTTATGTATGTATGTATATAACCACTGACTGCAGTGTTAAATTTAAAATATTTTGATTATTTAAATTTTTTAATTTTATTGAGTAGTCTGTCCAATAAATATCAAAATTTTAGATTAAGAAAAATATTTAAGATGTTTTACAATTAATTGCTTGATTGCTTGCTTATCAGCTTTTATTAATTTTACTTTTTATTATTTTCATTTCTTTTTGTTTGCTTTTAATTATGCCTTTTTTTATTTATCTATTTTTTCTTAGTGTTTTTTTCTGAGTTTTGCATCATTTCTCTAGATATCTTCCAATCTTTCTTTTTCTTCTTAAGCCTTCTTGAGTTGTGCCTAGGCTAAAAACTTTCTGTCTGTCCTTTTTTAGTGATCACTTTACAGAGGGGAGTTAACAACATTCATCTTAATAGGTAAAACGTAGCGATGATCCCAGTATCTTTTTCCATCGAATTCCATAAATCCTAAATAAGAGCCAAAACAAGATGAGACAACCTTACCATTAACCTTAATATCTCCTTATAAATAGTCAGAAGGTTTCTTTTTTACTTTACCAGTGATTATAGTGGCCTCTATTTTATTTACAGGGTCTATAAAATCTATCTGACCAAGTGTTTCATGCTTCATAGTACCCATAAAAGTACCACTATAATACTCATATCTTTTATTAAAATTTAATTAGTTGAGTTAAATAAAAAATTATTTTTAAATTTACCCAAAATTGTAATTTATCTTTTAGCCATCTTTGAAAACTATAGATCTTTTACCTTTATTCTTTAAAGTTAAAGAATTCCAGCCAGCTTTTGCTTCATAAAGATAATATCCAGAGTATAAGTAAGATTTGTTAGGACCTTCAGCTAAAAAGTAAGACACCTTATTAATTATTAGTTTAATAGTTTAAAATTTAATTTAAAATAACTTTAAGTAAGTTAAATCATCTTTAACTATATTTTTGTTAGTACCAACAATTCATTTCAAAATTTAAATAAACAAATTCTTAATTCATAATTAATTATAATTATTCAAATAATTCATTAAGTATAATTATTGAAATAATTCATTAAGTATAATTATTCAAATAATTTATTATTCTAATTTGCTTGAAATAATTTTGTTCGTCAATTTCTTTAAGAAAAGTTAGGAAAAATAGTTAATAGAAAAAATCTTTGATTATATTTAGAACTATAAAATAAATACTCCAATATTAAATTTATTTGATTTAATGCTTTAAAATGAATAATTTTTTTTAATTATGGTCAATTTTAATATTTATTTGATCTTTAAATAAATAATTTTGTTTTTAATATAATTAATGAATAAAATTTTATTTAGCTTTTTCAATTTAAATTGGGATGATTTTTAAAAAAATTACAGGCGGATGGTGAGAAACTTATTCTCCATATAATTTAGTTCCATCTAAGTAGGTGGCTTAAAATGTTTCTCCAAGAATAGGATTTAATGGCTTCAAGAAGGTATTAGCAACTGGGAAATTAGCAAAAGTAGCAGTGATCAAAAGCTTGAATCTTTCAACATAATCGTTTGTTTAACAAGCTTTAGCCATATATATAGGGAAAAGGCAAGTTCCAGTAAGGGCAGTTTATAAAGCACTCTTAGGAATCATAGCCTTGATGGGGAAGCTTACTTGAGTTAGGTTGAAATCACCTGAAATAATTTTTCTTCCTATTTCTTTGATAATCAGCTTTCCAACTGATCTTGTGGTGTTAACAATCTCTTTATTCTAACATTATTTACCTCCATTAGGATGAGATTCAGAATGTCTGTTTTCATCTTTTACAGATAATATTTAGAAATTCTCTACAGCTTTTAAAAGGTCAGCTTTATTTCCTGTAAAATATTTATTTGCATCTTATGCTGTTGCTATACCTTGGTCTTCTTCTTCTTCCTCTTCCTCTTCTTCCTCACTTTCATCTTTTTCAGCTGAAGGTTGATTTTTATTTTCTTATATTTATAACTCTTATTCTGCATGACCAGTTTATTCATGAAGTACTGTTTAAATCTTGGTTGCTTCTTAATTTGTATCAATAGGTTTTACAGGTCCTTCTTCATCTTTTAATTTATTTGCACTCAATTCTTAAGCTTCTTCACGGAATTTGCTAGTACTTACTCGATGACTATTCTCTAATTTGATATTAAGATTTTCTTTATCCTAGTCAAACTATGTTTTTTGAGTCAATTCATTATGATTTCCTTTTTGGTTTGAAACAAAAGCAGGGTTTACTGAATTAAAGGGATCAATGCTGACATTCTCATTTTAGTTAACAAATGAGTGAAACTACATTTCATCATCTGTTTCATTGTATTATTTGGTATCTAAGTGAATCTTGGAAGTGAAAGGAATTTTTAATTACCCAGCTTCAACATATTTTGCTTCTTATGTCATAGCAATATCTTCCAAGTAAACTTTTTTAGGAGTGCTCCCATTTTTAAAAGGACTATCTCTGATTATAAATTCAGGCATGTTTGTGTTAAATGTTTCTTTCAGCTCTTTTTTGTCACTTTAATGATAGTTAATTGTAAAAGGAATCTTCTTGTTAACACAATGACCTATACTTTCATCGCCTATTTCATCTATTAATTCTTCTATATCTCCATCAATTTATTCTAAATTATTAATGAAAAATATTTTTATTTAAAGAAAAATAAAATATGATTCAATTTATTTATTTACCTTCTTGATTTTCAGAAATATTTAGGTTTAATTAATTTAATTGATCCTTATTAAGCTCTTCATCTAAACCTTTAAGTATTCTTTCAGAGCGTATTGACTTATCTATTATAGGTTATAGCACTATAAATTCGCACATATCTTCCTCATATTCCTCACTTTTTTCCTTTCTGTTTTTGATATAATATTCTAGTAGTTTGTTCATTTTAACTTTCTGCTGATCATATTAAATATCTTGCTTAATTGTATGATCAACATCTTCTAGGTTTAAACCTTTAGCTAGAGAAGAAAGTTAAACAATATCCTTTTTGGTGATACCTAATTGATTATTCTTGTTCAAATATAAAACTTCGTCTTCATTCTCATATACTTTTTCCATGAATTCACTATGAATCTCTAACGCTGCTTCTCTTTTAGATCTCTCTTACTCTTCCTTTTTTGCTTTCTTATTGCTTTGCTTCTTTTTCAAAATTTTGTAAACTTTGAATACATTTCCATGAATGATATGGTCTTTTTTGTACTCTATGCTCTTACCAATAATATCAATTGTTCCTGAAATAGGTTTAAATACCAAGCCAATCACAAAATGAGCTATTATTTAAATAAATAGATTAACATTTAATCATTCTATTAAATTTTTTATAAATATTTCAGCTTTTATTTAATCTGACTTTGGCCAGACAAGTTTTTTTTTTCTTCTAGAAAATACAATTCTATTTTTTTTAACATGTTATTCACTTGCTCTGACATATAATTAATAGAGGGGTTAAATGAAAATATTCTTAATCTACAAGTATTAATATTTAACTGATTATATATTTATTTATTATTTTTCCAATAATTTATTTTAATTATTCCATAAAACTAATTACTAAATTAATTAATTCTAAAATCTAAAAGAAGTTGACTAATAAATATTTTATTTTAATTAGTTTCGAAAAATGTAAAGAATCAGATTAAAAGATATAAGAAAAATAACAAATTAGCTATTGATTAAATGTTTAGCATAATATAATTACCGCTTGAGAAAGATTCAGATAAGGCCTTGCTGTTAAAAGGGTTTAATATGAATCCACTTATGCTTCCTAGAATTTCTTTTAAGAGTTCACTCTGATTGAAAAATAAACTGCTGAGTGCTGTATATCCCTTTAGCTTGCTCATTTTTTCTTTCATTTCTTTTTATTTTTATTTTTTCTTACTTTCATTTCCTTAGTTAGTCTTTTTCATGTCGACAATAATACCACTAAAAACGTTGAAAGGATGATTAAATACCATCATTACACTTCTTCCCAAGGTAGCATAGAAGCCTTTACTAGGTGCTATACAATAAAATTATTTTATAAATTACTCATGAAAATGCTTTTTTAAACAGAATTTAAAATAATTTATGAAAATATATTATCTGCCTTCTAAACCATTGCAAAATAATTCATTTCATATCAATTATTATGCAAAAAAAAAAAAAAACGTGCACTGTTGAATTTGAAAATGTAAAAACAAGCAGATTTAATATACACAAAATAAAACTTATAGGAATAAACTTTGATTTTGTTATTGTAAAATTTGCTCATAGTTTTGTTATAATAAAGCTAAAATGAACATTTTAAAGTTATATTTTACATTAAATTTGCAAGGAAAAGCAAACTTCAATTAGTTCTCTAATTTTTTTTGGATCTTTGTTTTCATAAAGCTGCAATCTGAATTTTCTGCCTTTTTTGTTTCTAATACGAATTACATCATCTCCATCTTAAAGCTAATATTCTGAATCATCTTCAAATCTGCCTTTAATTAAGGAATAGTAGGTTGAAAACTTTTGCTATTTAGGCTTCTTATAGAGAAGCAAGTAACCCCTTTGCATATCTAATCCGAAATAATATTAATAATTCCTCATCCATTTCACATATGTAACGACACCTAATAAATTATTTTTGTTAACTTGTTGGTATGGATTTTCAGATAGAAATATATCTTTTTCGTTATCTTCTGAAACTTCTTCTGATCCTTACTCTTGACCTTCATTTGATTTCTCTTCATCATCGATTTCGTCAATTCCTTTATTGTATTTCTCTTCTTATTTATTTTCTTAGCCATTATCTGACCCTTCACTTTCTAATCGTTCTTGAAGATAATCTATTTCTTTTAAATTCTCTTCCTAATTTACTTCTTTTTGAAATTGAAAACCTTTTTGAATATCCATTTTATCTTTATACTGAAACTTTTGAACTTATTTGACTAAAATCGAGGTTCAGTAAGCTTTTTTAGAAAGACCTTAGCTTTTTTTTCTTACTTTCTTTATTTTTTTGATATAATATATTAAGAAATGTTTATTCTACCTTAAAGATTGATTGAGAAATTAAATTACTTTTGATTTATAATTTATTTATTTAAGGGAGTAATTATAATAAAAGGAATATCTTGTACTTTGCTAATATATTTGTGTAATTATTATTTCACACAAATTAGTTAGTTATCTCATCCACCATCACTAAATGAAAATTAATTAGATCTATCTATAAACTATCTTTTTACATAATTACTAATTGCTGATTTGGTAACTTTTTAATACATTTTCTTGTTGAGCCAATCAAACACATGCTTCAAAAGAGATGATTATTAATCAATCAATCAGTTTATAAATTATGTGTATATTCCTTACTATTAAAAAATAAAAATTTCTATATATTTATTATACTAATCCCTTAACTCAATAAAATATACAATGATTCCCAAATTTAAAAACTTATAAATGCATTTAAGTATTAAAAAAATTTATTTTTGTAAGTATAATTTACAACTTTATTTTTACTTTACCCATTTAAGCTGACTTAATTTGTAAATATTTTTAATGCATTTTTACTTTATTAAAAAGCCTAAATAAATATAGATTAAATTAATTAATTAATATCTATATAAATTAACCAAAACAAAATTAGCTTTTTTTATATTAATAATAGTTAAAAAATAAAAACAAGCAAGCAAATACGAATAAAATTTAATCTTTTTTACTATTTAAATATTTTTATTTTATTTTAACATTTTTATTTTTTCATTAAAATTATTGTTTACTATGACAAAGACAACTAGTTATTTCTTTTCTATAAATTATTTCAGAATCTTGGTCTAATTAAACCTCTTGAATCTTTATCCCCACAACCTCTTTACTAGTCCAGAGCATCAGTGTCAAGACCAATTTTTTTAACTTTCTAAACCTAAAAAATAAAATATTTTATAAATTTACAATAATATTAAAAAATATTGTTTACATCGTAAGAAAGATTAACAACATGCTTTGGAGAGATATTCAACCATCTTGTGAATATATCAACATCCTTATCTCTTCCACTAATCATAGCATGTTCTAAAAGAAGTACACCAATAAAAACTCTAACAAAGCTATTTAATTAATATAAAAATAAATAAATTACTTTTGCTTAATTTATTATTGAAATTTTACTTAAATACTATTTCCCTCAAGTGATGAGAATATTTAGGGAATTCCTTGCTTAAAATCAAGTTATTCAATTGCTATTGATTTTCGTTAAATTCATTTACAAGGATTGTGTAATTATCTTTAAACAAATTCTTAGAAATTAAGCCGTTTTCATTAGAACTTTTAATAATTAATTTTAACAATAAAAACAAAGTCTAAAAATTATTTATATTCTTACACTACATTTAAGAGAATAGATTAAATAAACTTCACATAAGAATCCATACTTGAGTTATTTACAATAGCCCTGTAGAAATCAAGGCAAAGAACGTTTGTTGTGCCTTCCCAAATAGCTAAAACCTATGAATCTCTAAATAGATTAGGTAAATGAGAATTTTCCATATAACCCAAGCCACCAAAATATTCAAGACCTTCACTGCACAATCTAACAACATCTTTACCACTATATAACTTTAGTATTGGAGAAGATATTCTCAAAAGATCACCTTCCATCTGAGTTGCTGTATTTGATTACTCTTTAGAAAGCCAATATCCAACTCTCAGTAAAAGTATTAAATTTCCTCTATTAAATTTGAATTTAATTAATAAAATTAAATTACACTATTAAAAAATTACCTAAAAGTAACTTCCATATCACTTAATACCTTAACTTGTAAGGGTATTTTGCTTAGTTTATTTCCAAATACCGCCCTCCTATCACTGTAATCTCTACAAAGTGCAATCATTCTTCTCATACCTCCAACAGCACTATTTTTACAAATAAAAATATTTTAGTTTTCATTTAGTTTTCAAAAATGTTAAAAACAAAAATATTAAATAAATAAACTGTATTTCCTAAAAAAAATTAACTTTTCATGGTTAACTTTTTTTTACTAAAATATTTAAAAGATTTTTCTAATTATTTTGAATTTAAATATTAAACTTAAAAATAGGTTAAATGCAAATTAATTTATTAATTTATTACAAAGCTGAGTTATATAATCTAGTAATGTTTAACATATGAGAAATATATTTAATTCCCTTTCCTACTGGAGAAATCAAGTATGCTGGAGTTCCTTTAAGAAGAAGCTCAGCAGTAGGCAATTGCTTAGTTCCTAATTTTTCCTTTAATCTAATAATCTCTATCTTATTTAACTCCTTGTCTTTCTTTCTTAGCTTAAGCAAGAAAAGAGAAAGTGGAATTTTGTGCATTTCCTTTTTATTTTAAAATGTTATAACTTGCCAATTTATCTAAAAATATTTCATTCATTATTTACTTCCAAGGTAAGTTTTGCCCCTTCAGGGATAATTCTTGCCAAAGCTAAAGTAACTTGACAGTCTGTGGCAGAAGAAAACCATTTATAGCCATACAATCTGTATTTGTTAGGCTTGTAGTTTACAGCAACAGTCTCTGTAGAGCCAGATACATCCGAACCACCTCTTTTTTCAGTCATCCATTAGCCTTAGTAATAAAATATAAAATCAATTAAAGAATCAGTATAATTCATCAAAAAATTTCTGAATGAAATTTGAAAGAGTGAATGAATAAATCTTTTTAAAATTTAAATCAAGATTTAATTAAAAGTAACAAAGAAATGTAATTCATTCAATTATTAAATATTTATTATTAATTTTTTTTATGTAATCTTTTTGGATTTACTTTTTATTAATTTCTACTAATCTCAAAAAATTTCTTTCATAAAAGAAAAACTGTAATTATAAAAATATTTCAAAATAAAATCATTTTGTTTGTTAGTTCAAATTCAATCAGTTTTGTGCTAGTTTTTTTTTTTGAATAGTTATTTTAAAGTTATTTATTTTTTAAATAGAAATTATATATACCTGATGTCCAAAATTCAGCAGGATTGTATGTTGTCAGGTGATTTAGTGCGTCTTATATTTTACCAATGACTTTTTTATCTAAAACTTTGCTATCATGAGCTAGAACTTATGTTAAAACATATGAAGCCCCATCTGTCATAGCTAAAGGACATCCATATAATCCACTAGAAGTTGAATAAATATAGAGCTTGATAAGCTATATCAATCTTGCATATTATCCATTTTCTGTTTGAATAAAGGAAGAAAGAAATTAAATCGAAAAACTAAATAAATCAATTATTATTTTTTATTATGAAAAGTATTCAATATATTTAAGGATAATTACAAGGATCATATGCTGTTGCTACTATTCCTTATTCAGCAGATATTTCATGCATTTTGTGCCAAGCATTTGATAAATTTAATTTATCTATTCTTCTTCCATAAGCATCAAATTAAACAAGCTGAGGCTGCTCTCTTTCGCATTACTTAGCTAAATCAAGCATTTTGTTAACTGCTAAGTCACCTAATTTTTCAAGATCTTTTTAGTGTTTACCCAAAATTTCGCTGCTAATTAAGGGCTTGAGGTACTCGTTTAAGGCAGAATCTTCTAAATATTAATTTCCTAAGTGAGGACCTTCTTAATGAAGCGATCTCAAATATTCAAGATGCTTAACAGGATCAAACTCCTATTTTTCTAAGCCGTATTTGTTAATTCCTTGCATCTTAACTAAATTTTTTATTTAATTGCGTTTCCTTTTTTTTGTTGTTTGTATTTATCTTTTTTAGAATCGTCTCTAATGAATTATAAACGGGTTTAATAATTGTTTTTTTGTATTTGCTTATTTGTATGATTCAATCAATCAATCCTACTTATCCTAATGATATAATTTTTATTTTTATTATATAATTAATTTACAGAATATCTGACGTATCAACTAAGTGTCTTTTATTACGCTATCTCCGTCAATTTAGATTTACTAAAACCTATAATCCTCCATTTATTTTTAAATGGAGATTTATGTTTAGATTAGGAAATTTTAATATTAATTCATTTATTTATCTATTTTGCATTCTAGATTTAAATTTTCTACTTGCACTGTTTGACGTAGAGACTTACTGCAAGAAACTATTGATAAAAGTTTATTTTATTTATATTTATTAGTGTTTTGTGTATTCCGTTTCCAAATTTATTAACTAAGTTTAAAAAACAGTCATAAATATACATTTAACATATTTAAGATCATAGTATATAGTTGAATTTCAATTAAAATACATATTTTCAGAAAATCAAATTGATTTGACTTATTTAACATGAATTTTTAAAATTTGATTCCCAAAACAAAGTATCAGTATCCATATTCGTTTTTAAAACTTCTTTTATTTATTAAAATATTGAAATAAATATTTAATTGTTCAATCTATCTTGTAAAAATAATATACACTGCTTTTGTAAAATAAAATATGAATAAATTTAAACAATTTTAATGGCTATTATTTATTTAGCATTTAAAGATAATACATTTATTATTTGAATATGGGTTATTTTTTATAATCTTTCTGCTAAATATTTAATAATATATAAAATAAACTTCTAAAAATAAAGTAAGTATTTTATTTAAATTTTCATTATACTTGATAAAAAATATAGAAATAATAAAAAATGTAAATGCATACTCTAAAAAATAAAAAAGTTGATAAAGATAGAAATATTTTATATTAAATTAAAAAAAACTAAATATGTTCCATTTAAATGTAAATTATACATAATATCTGATGTATAGATTGATAGATGTAGACATAATCAAAAATATAGATTCAAACTCAAAAAATAAATTTTTATATTGGTAGAAATATACTTTATCAATATGTAGAAGAGATAGATACTATATCCTAAAGCAGAAGTATTTTTCTATAAGAAAAATTAATAAAAAATGTTCATTAAATATTTTTTTTTGTTTTGAATATAGAAATTTTATAATTTTTTATCAGGAAATATCAAAAGATTATTAATTAAAAGGATTAATTTGATTTATCTTAAAATCGGTAACAAACAAACAGTAAAATAGATATTTAATAAATAAAGAAAAGAATTTTAAAATAACTCACAAAATGAAGCCTTAGTAAATATCTAAAAAAAAGCATTTATTGAACATAAATATCAAAAAATCAGCCGAAATAGATTCAAAGCTAAAAGATTTAGCAACTGCTTTAAAAGCTGTTCAAGATAAAGATAAAGTTGAATTAAATCTTGAAACTTATTTTGACAGTGACTAAGATGTCTTAAAGTTTACAATCTAGTTTTAAAAGATATCTAACTAAATAAATTATATTAAGTGGATTATAAAAGGAAAGTTTACTGACGAAGGATAATCTAGTGCTTTTGGATAAATTTTATCAAAGTTAAACAAAGCTTTTCGTATTGAACTACATTTTTAGGATACTTTTTTCGCAGATGTTGGAGCAAAGTTTTTGGCAAAATCACTTAAAAGTTTAAATAATCTTCATGTCTTCAAACTGATTATCACTTATCCACTTGGAAGGATCGCTAAAAATTTATCATAAATAGGAATCGATTTAATCTAAGATTCTCTAAACAGTATGAAAAACTTAGAAGAATTCGAAAGTAATTTAACTAGTTGGGGATTAACTGGACCAAATAGCACAAAAAGTGGTCTTTCAAATTACATTTATAACCTCCACTAGCATTATAGATAATTGTACAATTATGAGGGAGACAATTAATGGGAATAATTATACAAAAATTTTATTGAAGAAATAAGTAAATTTGAAAAAAGGATAACCTCTGCTTCATTTGTTTATTTTGGTTTATATGAAGCATAATACAAGGATTCGTATGATATTGATCAGGAAGAGCGAGTAAGCATTAAAAAACTTGAATTTTTTTTGAAATAAATATAATATATTTATGACTTACAATACTTAACTAAGTATTTGCATACATTTAAAGAAGAAGAAATTTTAAATTTGAAGCCTGAGTATTAAAATATTGTTCAAAATATTTCTGACTATAACTATATAATAAATAGATTAACAAAACAAAGATTATGTTAAATTCAATAAATTCTAATATTTCAGTAATATATCAAATCTGTATTAAATATCAACTCAGCTATGGTATTGACTGATCTATGGTTTGATTGATACTTTTAACTTAAATAAAAGATAAATCAATCACTTTATCAACTAATATTAAATAGAAAATAAAACTAAGTAATTTATCTACTAAAGAAAGTAATAAAATAAAATATCAGTATTTTATCTATTAATATAAAATAATAAATGAATAATTTATTTATTAATAAAAATAAATCAATAATTAATATATAAATTATTTTATAATTTTAATTAACCATCATAATCAAAATCAAATGCAAAATTGCGTTTATTCTGTACAATAAAATATTTATTAAGCAAGATTATCCAAATATAAATATTTCTCTTAATCAAGTTTATTAAATATATTTCTATATATAATTTATGGAATGTATCATATTTCCTTTAAAGATTATAGTTTACTATTTTTAATTAATTTTAAGATGTTATTAATGGTTATGGATTAAAAATATATTAAAATAATAAACAATAAAATTTCTCAAATCATCAAATTTAATATCTAGGCATAAAGATATTTATTTCTTTTGATATGATTGATTCTACTTTCAACTCAAAAACTGATAAAAAAAATACTATTCGATGCTCTCCTTATCATAAAATAAAATAATCTAGGAACAAAAATTGATCTCGATTTATTTTACATTTAATTAAGGAGCCTTCATTAATTATTTTATTAGCTAAAAAAACTAATTAAATTGATTAAAAAATAAAGACAAAATATGATAATTAAACAAATAGTAACCTTTGCTTTGCTTTTAATACTAAGCAAGGCGGAAATCATAAAAATTCAACTCAAAAAATAGACAATAACCTAACTTGATTATTTATAATAAGATTCAAACATATTATAACATGGCGGTAATAGTAGATATTTACAATAATCATCATAAGGCTCTAAATAAAATGTTGATTTAGCTAATTACCTTTAATAATAATATTCGGCAGAAATCACAATCGGAAAGGGTAAAAAAACTTTATAAGTCCTTGTTGATACTGGCTCAAGTAAGCTCATGCTACCGAGCAAGAACTGCATCGATAATAAAAATTGCAAGGTAAAATAACAAAATAGAATTTTATTTAGATGATAATTTTTTATAAACTAAGGGCTTCAATGCGTATTATGATTGTTTATCCTCAGATGGCTGCAATACCACAAATATAGAGTATACTTAAAACTACTTGACTGGATAAGTGAATGGTGTCAATGTGAATGCAACAGTAGGAATAGCTAATTTATCTCAAATCTAACAATCTGTACTCTTGTTTGATGAATCTAATAAATTTACCAATGAATTCGTATTAACAATTAATTATCTTTCCTTTAATTAGAAAAAAAAGCATGTTATATAAATTTAATTTAATTTTTAATTTTTTAGTATTTGAAGATGCTTTTTCTGATATTTTATGATTATTGAAATTCTTATTTTAATTTTATTTAACATAGTCTGATGGCTTATTAGGATTGTCAGTTTATAATAAAGATAACAATGGAAGCAATTCTTTCGTTACTAATCTCTATAAAAATGGTGTGATTCAAGAAAATATGTTCTCTTTGTATCTAGGATACAAATTGGATGACTCAGAACTTGTTTTGGGAGGTTATAACTCTAAAAAGATAGATCCGTCTTCTAAAATTTATAACCATAAGATATTATAAAATTTACAATATGACGATTCGTAGAAATGGGTTATTCCAGTATAAAGAATTGAATTAAATACTTTTTCCAAAACACTTTCTTCATAAAATAACCTGGCGATTATTGACTCTTCCTATCCTTATCTGGGAGTAGAACAAAGTATGTATTAAGGTATGGTAGACTATTTTGTTAAGAAAGGAGCTAAGCTAATAAACAATAAATATCAAATCGAATGCAACAAAACTCTTGATGATATATAATTCACTATCACGGATTCTGATTAAGTAGGAAGGATTTATTCTCTTCCTTTTTCATTTTACACTTCAAACTCATCAAATACATGCACTTTTTTAATTTAATCTTATAACGGAGCAAGTAATGTAGGTTTTGTGCTTGGAAATGCATTTCTAAGAAGATATGTTTCAATCTTCTACTACTCAAATTTAACAGTTAGTAACCTTAAAAAATTTTAGTCTAATTAACATTAAAAAATTTCATCTTAAATTAATAGGTTTTGGATAATCAACCGCAAACCCAAATGATGATTACACAAGTGGCTTACCCACATGGGCTATAGCTGTAATAGCTGCTGCTGCATCTCTGTTTTCATTAGCAGGAGGATTTGCCTTATATAAAAAATGCAAAGGAAATAAAAATAGAAGTGGCCTTACTTAAACTATGGTTAGCAATACATCTATTTGAACCATAAACATTTTAATCAATTTTACTATTAATTAATAAATTTACAGTAAATAAAAACATTTTATTTTTTTAACAAGAATAAAATATTTCAAGTAAAAAATATTTTTTTAATTTTTTATATGAAAATATAACCAATAAATAACTAATAAATGCATAAATTATTACATAAATAAATTCTCTAATAATTATTTATTATGTAGGAAATATATTTAGTATAAAAAAAATATTATTTTATAAATTTAAAGAAAAAGAAAAATAATTTAAAAAAATATTTTATATCTATGCAAAAAATTCCCCTTATTTATTTAAATAATATCTTATAAAATAATACTAACTTATTAAAATAATAAATAAATATATTTATATATATGTGCATAGATAAAAACTAGGTTTTACTATTGTTATATGGTTTTTTTGTTAAAGAATAATTAATTAAATTATGTTAATGAATTTATAATAAATTGTATTGAGTTATTTATCTATTTTTTTCAAAAATTTGTTATTTATTTGTTAATTTATTAAAATTTGATCAAAATTGTGCTTCTTTTCAAAAATTAATATATAAAAAATTTATTATAAGAATAAATTAAGTCTTAAGTAAATTTCAATAAAATGAAGAGAAAGCTTTTTTTGACTTACTTATTATATTATTGCTGTGAAGTAATCAATATATTTCTGGCAGTTGAATGGCATTTAGCAGGATAAAATGCCTATTTTATAACATTTTTAGTCCTTTTTTCATTTGAAAAATTAGCTTTATTAGTTAGTTAATTATTTGTAATTTCTGAATATCCGGTTTGTTTCTTAATAATGTTTTAATTTTTAGATTGTTGTTAACTTGGATTCATACCTATCTTAAATGGGATATACTTAGAACATTTCGAGTTTACTCTGCTTTTTTTTAAGCTATATTTAAGGGTAATTCCCCTATGTTTATTCCAAAGCTTTTTTATATTTAATTTCTTAATAACAAATGATGATAATGAAATTGATTATTATGTGCTTATCTTAACTTATACTAATTATTTAGCTATTTTAGGTATAAATGTCCTTATTTTAATGCTCAATAGTGATGAATTTAAAATTAAATAATTTTTCAGAATGGTTATTGAAGTATTTACTGCATATATTACACTAGCCTCTTTATTTGGATTTAGTTTACCTTAATAAGTAAAAATAGGTTATTATGCTTTAAGCTTATAGTTAGCTGCTATTATTATAAAGATCTTTTTAATACCTAAATCTAATTAGAGAAATAAGTATGCAATAAAATCAATTTCATGTTTTCTAACTTAATTCTAAATATTTAAATATACAGATTTTAATAAGGAAAAATATGATGTTACTAAAATGTAAGTAAAAGTAACTTACTACTTAAACTAGTATATTAGATTAGCAAGTCTACTCTTATTATTAATAAAAACATCAAATTTTGATTTAAATTAATTTGATTCATTAAAATAGTAAATAATAATAATAAACTACATTTTTTCAGTAACTCTAGGATTTATATTAGTGATTTGCTCTTTTAAAAAAATTTATAAAATGATATTTTGTTAAAGAATAAGTTATACTTAACTCAGTATAAATTCAATTTAGAAATTAATTAAAAAAACTTAGCAAAAACCCAAAAGCTTAAAAGCATTACATATAATTTTCTTAGAAAATTAAAAAAATTAACTAATGTATAATAAATAGTATATTAATAACTCATAATACATATAAATGTAAAATGATATGGAAAGCTGTAAGCCCTATTGTTTTCTTTTTATAGATTTGTTCTAGAATATCTCTAATCTACATTCTTAAGGAATTAAAATTCTAATGAAAAATCTACCTTATATTTGTGAACATCACTATATCTAGATAATTTCATCAATAGAATATCCTCCTGATGAACTTCTTGACTAACCTAAGTAACTAACCACTCATGAACTAAAATAAGTTTTCATTTAAAGATATGAGCTTGGGTATGGTTGTAGAAGCAAAAATAATGTAATTTACTATTACTTTGAGTAATACTTGAAATGCAGATAGATTGATTAATATTAAACCTTAGTATCGTTAACAATGCAAATAAATTTATTCTATCTTATAGTTTCACATAAACAATTATTTTCTTCTTCTCAGATATTATATGATCTCTACTAATGAAATAAATTCAATAAAAATTAAAAGAAAATTAAATAAAATATAAAACTAAGATAGGATACATGTTAATAATTATTATATTTTATCTTTAAACTAACTTTTTTATTGATAATAAACAAATAATTTTTAAATTCATAGTAAATTGTGGTAAATAAATTTTTAGAAATATCCAAATTAAAAATATTAGCAAACATTTTTTTCATTTTAACACTAATTATTCAGTAAAACTTAAAAAGAATTTAAATTTTTATACAATTTTGACATAGTATATATTCTTAATACATACCTCTAAAACAAAATTATAAATACCCACTCACACTTCATAGATATTTAAATTAAATAAATTGAAAAAATCTAAGTTGGTTTTTATTTTATTTGATTATTTAAATTGAAAAATAGTGAACAAAATTTGAATGAATATTTAGTTTAAAAAAGAATTATAAATTTAAAATTAATTTTTAAATAGAAAATAAACTAAAGAATAATAATTATAATTATAAAATATTTTTAAATATTTATTTAAAGAATCAAAAATTTTGTTTTATCAAAAAACTTTGCAATCATTTTCTTCAAGAGTAGTCTCTTTGTATTTCTTTTTTTTGACAATTATATTTTCGGAGATATATTTTTTACAGAAATCAGCTGTTGGGTATTTTGGACTGCAATCTAATAATTTTTAAAAGCACTCAAGAGCTTCATACTTGTAGTCAATTTTATCGAATGCAAGTCCTAAGTAAAAATAACTATCTGCATCTTAGCCTTTTAGTTCGATTGCTTTTCTTAAAAATTTAATTGCCTTTTTTGGGTTATTTAGATACCTCTATTCTATTTCTCCAATTTAATAGTAAGCAAGGGAAAAACTTTAGTAAATCTTAATTACATTTTAAAAATATTCTACTGCTTTTTCATATTTTTCAAGCTATTTAAAGCAGAGTCCGATATTATAAAGGGAGAGTTTATTATTTGGATCTATTTCTAAAACTTTGTTATATTGGAAAATTGATTTATGATAATTTTTAACTTGGTACTCTATACTAGCTATTTTCATGATTGCACTAATATTTTGTGGGTTTTCTTAAATCTGTTTTTCATAGGTTTCTCTTGCTCTCACTGTGTTATTTACTTTTAGGTACCATTCGTTTAGTAATTACTCTTATTTTTCTTAGTTTGGGAATAGCTACAGATATTTTTCTAAGTACTCAATAGCTTACCATATATCTTTGAAGTAATTGTAGGAAATCTATGCAAGTATAAAGTATAAATCTTCTTCGTTTTTATTAATTTCAATAGCTTATAAAAAATTTTGTTTGGCTTGCTTGTAATCACCTAATTCATTTTAAATTAATCCTAAATATCTGTAGCATGAAGAGTTGTTGTTAGGATTAAGTTATATTGATTAAATGAAGCAGATCTATGCTTTTTAAATATTTTTAAAATGGAGATACTCTATCATACCAATTTTATAATAAGTTTCAGAGGAGTTGGGTTAATATTAAAGATAAACTTAAAATTGTTCAACTGCCTATTAATATTGTTTTAATTCTTCGTAGATTTTTCCTAACTCAAAATAAGATTGATGATAAGATGGATTTAACTTTATTGCTTCTTTATAATTATCAATTGCATTTTCTGTTTAGCCAGATAGAAAATAAGTATTTGCTAATAGAAAAAGTAACTCTATATTTTATGCATTAAGATTAAGGGCTTATTTATAGCTTTCTATTGATTCATAATATTTTCTTTGAATGCTATAAACATTTGCAATATTTTTATACAAAATGTAATTGTTTGGATCTCTTTTTAATCCTTTTTATAAAAATTGTAAAGCAAGGTCGTATTTTCCTTAGCATTATAAAGACATAGCCACAGCACTGATTGCTTCTATGTTTTGTGGGTTTATAATTAATTCATTTTGGTAGTACTTTATCTGCTATGTGAATTCCTTTTCTAAAAGTCCTAGACGATAATTTACCATTTTTTATTTTGGATCAAGCTAAAGGGATTTAATATAATTTTTTTTAGCTTCCTCAGGGTTACTTTGATGATACAACTGACCTAATCTATGATAAACATCTGCATTTTAGGGTTCGAGCTCCATTTATTTTTGTATGTACTCCACAGCTTTTAAAGAGTTTCCTTTCTATTACTCTATTTTGCAGAGGATTTCATAAATTTTAGGTGTGTTTGAATTGATCTACATACATTAATTTATATAACTTTAAGCTGAATCTAAATCTTTTATATTTAGATGTAAATTTGCTAAATTAATTAAATATTCTAACTTTAAAAAATTAGTATTAATAGCAATTTTATAGTGCTCAATAGCCTAATTGAAATCTTGTAAATAAAATCCTAATACTAAACCAATTCCTGCATTAGCTTGCTCATCTTCTGGATCTTACTCTAACACCTTTTTATAATATTTAATTGCACTTTCAAAATTTCCTAGGCTTAATTAACACCTAGCTAGGTTGTAGAGTGCCCACTTATTATATGGATCTAAAGAAATAGATTTTTTAAAGAGTTGCTCTTAATTTGCTAAATCAACCTCTTTTTGGCCAAGGAAATTTAATAAAATAGAATTTTCGGGATAAAGAATTTAAGCATTGATTAGATATTATTCGGCCTCCCAAGAATCTTTATTTTTATAATAATTATCAGCTAAATGAATGTGAGTTAATAGGTCTTTTTTGTTAATTTCATAAGCTTACTTGTAAAAGTATATAGCTTTTGTATAGTTTTGCATTTCATTGCTGTAGAAACTACCTAATCTTTAAAATACGACTGGATTATGTTTCTTATTTAAATTAGCAACTTTTTCTGCGAGATCTAAAGTATTGATTTAATTTTAATGTCTATATTATATAAGCTAAAGTGATAACAACTCAACTGATTAATTTTCAATTTAAAGGCCTTAAATCAAATAATTGAGAGCTTCCTTTTCTTTATTAGCTAATATGAGTAACCAAGCATAAATATAGTATGTCCTCCAATACTATTTCTTTATTGAGAGACACTTATTTAAATATGATTTTGCTTTTGAAATATATTTGAGCTCTCTGTTCAAAATAATGCATGTGCAGATACCTAAATATGCATCAATTTCATTGCCATCAATTTATATTGCTTCTTCGAAATACTTTTTTGATAATTCATAATTGGAAAAAGCGTATGCATTTAAATAGCCAAGAGTTAATAGCGCTTGCACACTATTAGGATATTCTTTCAAATGTTTTGAGTACTTGTTAAAAATAATATTTGTTTCCATAAAATCTATATCAATATTTTTATCTATTGCAACCTACACACTAAAAGCCTTCTTATGCAATTATACTTCAGGTATTTTCTCTGAATCATCCTTTTTATTACTTATAGGGAACTATTCTAAACTTGATGATAACTTCCTATTTGTTTCTTAATTTATAGGAGATTATAGTACTTGATTCGCTTCCGTAATTTATGTTAGAATGGTTTAGCTCTCAGAATAAAACTTCAATTTACTTGACTATAAAACATCAATTAGTTCTGAACCAGAAGAGCTTTGTGTACTCTTTGAACCCAAACTTTCATTTAACATACCATTTCTTCCATAATACAAAGAAAATATTTTTTCTCTAATTTCAGGAAAAGAAGGTCTTTTTTGAGGATCTTTATTTAGTATGAATTTTATTAATTAATTTGAGCTCTCAGATAAAAAAGGAGCATCAGATACTTGATAATTATTGTTTTACAAATTTAATAGCTAGTTATATTTTATGCCCCCAAGTATCATTAGACAGATACCAAAAGCCCAAATATCACCTTTTTTTGTTTATTTAATTTAAGACTTTTGTGCATTTAAATCTTCTTGTAATTCAGGTGGGAAATACAAAAAAACACCTCTAGCTGTTTAAGTATATAGAACTTTGCTTTTTAATAGATCATCATACTTTTTAGCAAGCCCAAAATCACAAAGCTTAACAATGTTATCAGTTGTTATAAGAATATTTCTTACTGAAAGATCTCTTAGAACATAATCCTTATTATGCAAATACTCAATTCCGTCAATAATTTAATTAACATAATGGAGAAACAGCATATCATTTATAGGCTGTGTATTTTAATCAATCCAATCTTAAAGTGAACACTAACATAAATTCATTTAAATAAAGTGATAAAGTCCAATTACGAAGTCTGAATGGATTTAAACTATATTTTTGTGATCGCAGGATCGCAAAATTGTAGCTTCATCCTCGCATTATTTAAGAAGATTCTTATTAACCTTTCCTGTCATAGTATTAATAATAGATTAAGCTTTAATAGCATATTTTTTAGATGGATCAGACATTTCTTCTACAAATAAGACCAAACCAAATCCACCTCTACCACCATATTTGTTAGTGATTTTAAAGCCCTTATTTTGCTCTAATTCTTCTTGAAGAAACTCTAAAGTTTCTTGTAAAATGGCTTCCTCTTCAGTTTAACTTGAATTCATATAATTACTACAAAGATTAAAAAAATTAAAATCTCAATTTTTTATTACTTGAAATTTTTTTTCTTTGAATTGTAAAATATTCAATCAAATTTTTTATTATACTTTCTTTAAATAGGATTAACGCAAGGTAATTAAAATTGAATATTTTTGGTAAAATCAATACAAAGTAAATAAAAATTTCTTTTTTTTTAGTGTGAGAACAAGTAATGTCTTTTGTAATTTATCATCTTACATTAAAACAAGAATTAAAAAAACCTTTATAAATGTGAAATACCAAATTATTTGAATAAATTAAAAAATAAGACTGAAATAATTAAATTAATTTGTTGTATCAGCTGTAAGATATATTTCTTTTATATTTTTAAAATATATCAAATCCTAAAATAAAATACTTAAGATTTTTTGCGGTGAGTAATTTTATTATTTGTAAGAAGCTTAAGGATAAATTAAAAAAAATTATTTATTTCTATTTAAAAATGTTAATTTTAATTTGATTTGTAAAATATAATTTTTAGTCAAATTTACATTAATGCTGACCAGATATTATGTTAGTTAGTTAGCATATTGGGAAAAAATAATTATTATTTTATTTTCTCATCAAAAATTTTGATTTAATTTTAAATTTATTTTCTAATTTATTTTTTTAAGGTAAAGTTCAAATTAAAATGATTTCTAAATTTTAAGTTTCAATTACAAATCCAAATAATTAAAAAATATTTTAAAAATTAATTCTTAAATTTTTATTAGAAAAAATATAAAAAAAGTATTTATGTTCATTATACATTCTTAAGCATCTCAGACTAAAAATATACCAAAAATTTACTTTTCTAATAGAATTTGCTTATCTAATCAAATTTCCTTATCAAAAATTTAAAATGCATCTTTTCATTAGAATTAAATTTAATAAGGAATAATAGCATTAAAGAAAATAAATGTTAACTTAAAGCTAACATGCAATTCAAAATTAATAAAATGTATGATAAAAAAAGAACCTTTTATTTATAGAAATATAAATTTTTATTTCTATTAGATTCTAAAGTATTTATTATATGTTTAGGTTAAAAACTTATCAAAAATATATTTGCCTAATAAGCTTCCTTATCAGAAATTAAAAATAAATTTTTTGATTACAATTCAATTTAATAATGTTTAATCCATAAAAGAAAATTAATTAATAAAGCATTTCAGTATTAATAAAATGTAAGGCAAACAGATAATTTTATTTCATTTAAGATTAACAGGAGAGGAGGATAAATGCTATTGCTTGAAGAAATATTAATTTTTTTTAGAAAAATACACACAAAAAATCATTTTTGTTTAAATTATGAAAGTATTGATTTAATTTTTACAATTTATTTAAACTGAAAATAATTTTAAATACTTAAAATAAATTATAAATTCTTTATTCATAATTAAAAGCAATCTTGATTCTTCATCAAAGCTCCCTCTAATTTAAGATTAAAATTTTATCATTTTTTCTAATTTTCAAAATCATTTTTAAAGAAAAAAAAATTTAACTTTGTTGTTAAATTATGAAAATTTATGAATAATAAATAATATCTATTTATTTATTAATTAAATTTAATTCAATTTCCTAAATAAATTGTCAGCCTAAAATATATCTGCTTTTCAACTACTTTATTTATATGAATATTGCTAAACTAGTAACTCAACAATATATATTTATTTATTTATTAATAATTTTTAATGTATTTTATTTTTTTATTCTTATATGAATTCAATTAAAACTATTAATATTTTCTTTAGTATTTAAGATAAGATTAAAACCAAATAAAGAGGTAATTTTAAAATAAGTTGAGTAATTAATTTCAAAAATTAAAATATATAAAAATAGTTTAATACTTTAAATATTTATTTATTTTTAAACAAGAAATATTTTAGGACCTTTTTTGATTGTCAACAAAATAATATATTATTTATATTTAATTAAAAGAAAAAAAATATTAAGTTAGTTAATTACAATTTGTATAATCTAATTTCATAAAATAAACAAAAATACTATTCATTTAGGAATACAATTTAATTAGCAAATAGATGTAAAAAATTGATAAAATAGTAAGCTTTATATGATGATGTTATAGTTTAAAAAAGTAATGAAATCCTAGTTAAATTTTTAATTGAAAAGCCAAATTAAAATAATAATATTTATAGTTTTAATAATCTATTTTTTATAAATAAATATAACCATATTATTATTATCATTATTCGGTGGTCTTTTATAGAACTATTAGTTTTGATTTATGTTCTATCAATTCATTTCAAAAACAGAGTAAATCCTAAGCTTAAAAAATATTTATTATTTTTATTCATTCTAATTCAAAATAATCTGTAAAATTAATTAATGGAAACAGATTAAAATCGATCGCACGAAATCAAAGTCAATTTGAAATGAGTTATAAATTTTTCTCGAAATTTGTTAAATGAAGTTAGTCTTTATATTTAATGCTGAAAAATTAATTGTTAATATTACAACTTTTTTAATAAGAAATCTTAAAACAGATTCCAATTACCAAATTAAAATGAAGAAAAGCTATAAATTAACATTCTTTCTTTTTTATTTTATTCTGTTCTTAATTGAATAAGCCTAATGTAGGCTTGATGTTAGAGGTCTTAAATCTAGAAGTGGTAGGTCTTCATCATCCCGTAGTAGCTCTACAAGCACTACATCATCAGGATCAGGATCATCTAGCTCTTCTAGCAGCACAACTACAATTATAATTATTTCGATAGTTGTACCTTTTGCAGTATCATTCATTATAATTATTTTAGCTTGTTGGCTTAAAAGAAGGTATTAAGCTAAAAGAAAATTAGCTGATTAGGCTGATAAATAAATATAATTAAATATGAACTAATAAATGCAGTAGTGTAATTAATCATCAAAAGTTGAACCTTGCTAACCAACCTAACAACAAAATATAAATATAAATTCCTAAATATGCTAATAGAATTAACTTCCTTTTGAAAATACCTATCAATAACAGCAATAATGTATTCAATATCCTATCTAACATGGATTTTTACACCAGTAGCCTTACTTAGTTCCAAGTTATCCCATTTATCAACACAGCTATTACCCATAATAGCAATAAAATTAGTTTACTTAGTAACCAGTAATACAGTAAGCAAATCTTTTGTGACAAGATAAGAATGAATAAAGGTCTTTTATTACTTAATATTATCTATTTAATTTCTATAAATTTATTAATAAAGTATATAAAAATTAATAAATATTATTATTTTTATACTTAAAATATTTTATAATTTAATTAAGATTAATTTAAACTTTTATTTTCTATTTCAATTTAAAAAATTATTTACTCATTAAATTTAAATAATTTAAAATGATTTATTTGTTTAAAAATTTTATTTATCCTTAAATTTTATAAAAAATCATTTTAGATAAGTATTAGTACCAAAGATAAAAGGGAGTATTAATTAATCATTGAAATATCTTTGCATATTTTATTTTAGCTCTAATAATAATAATAATACAAATTAGATAAAAATAATTTTAAAAAATTTATTTCTTTTCATTTTTTGAGAAGCTAATATTAGTTAGTTTTAAGTTAAATTTTGCTATTTTTATTCTAATTTAAAAATCTTTAAAAACATCATATTTACTTTGATTAACGATATTTCATTTCTTAAAACTTATGAGGAAAAATTTGTTAGTATATTAAACAAATTCAGAAAATAAAGATTTCATAAAGATTTTAAGATCCAGAATGCAATATATATAAATGATAAAAAAACATGAGATTTATTCATTTCATTAATTTATAAATAATATTTTGTTTCTTAAAACTTAATATTTTTCTAAGGACTATTTCTTTATTTGAATTTTTTAAAAAGAACTATTGTGAGAATATGTAAACCAATAAAATTTACATAAGTTAAAATAGCAACATAATTATCTACATTTTCAAAATTGAAGATGCTGATTTTAAAAAAAAAATAAATAGTCTCAGAAGAATTAAAGGTAGTACTCTCGAAAAAAATTTAGGAGTGATTAACAAAATATCCGAGTGGGATATAACGAATAGTAAAAATATAGATAAATCCTAATTATAAAACATCCATTAACTTATTAAAAATTCATCATTTTATCATTATTAAATAACCAAACATAATTATACCAGCTTTTTAAGTATATAAACTCAAAAAAACAATAAAATAGACTTTCCCTCCCTCCATCTTAAAAATAATTTAAAGTCAAATATGTTTATTGTGTAATAGAGATAATAAAAGTAATTTTCTCCTTTTTGTGTTAGTTATAATACTTGATTTATTCATTTTATAAAATTTTTGGTCAACTCTTTGGAAGTAAGTAGATTAGTAATTTCTTTTAATTTCTTCAGTTTAATATTATTGATTGATATTCAGGCATAATTACACACTCTTTATATTAATTATTTTTAAATATTCACAAATATTTTAATGTAAGACGAAGTGAGATAGATATGTTACTGAAAAGTTTTTATGAATGTAAGTCATACATATAAAAATTGAAATTAATTTTTTAAGTTTACAAATAAATTTGGAAATCTCTACTTAATACTTTAATAAGCTAGACCAATAGATGATAAAATTTATAATTACACAAGGTAAATTGTAGTGTAAAACAGTACCTTTTTATGGTGAAAATATATTTTTATTTTTAAATTTAAGAATCACTATTTAATACTTCAATAAATTAGACTAATAGCTGAATAAAATCATATTCCTATAGTATGTAAATTTTAGTGTGAGATTGACCTTTTTATGGAGATTGTTGTGTTAAGTAGACCCTTTTTTGTGGAGAAATTAATTTTATATATTTTTTATTTTCAAGCAATTAATTTGAGATCAGTAACTAAAATTCTTGAATTTTAGTGCTCAATTTTTAATTTATTAAAAAATAGTTCGTTTATTAAGGAATTAAAGTTTAAAAAAATTAAATATATATATATATCTAGGTCGGTGTTGAATTATTTCACAACTAAGTAAAAACTTTTTTATCTCAAGAATTGATAATTAATTTATTTGAATGATAATTAATTTAATACAAATAAATTAACTTAATACAATAAAATACAAAAAAAAAGTGAATGGAAATTATAAAAAATTTAGATTTTTTTTCATAGTCTTTCCAATTCAGTTAAGGAAAGCGAGCATTGAAAAAGAGAACATTATTTGGAGCTTTACTATCTATCTTGATTGTGACCATCACACTATCTTATTTAGTTAATTTGTTTAATCAGTATGCAAACAATAAGATTGAACCAAAATTTAGATCTTAAACCTTCGCTACAGACGATGATGTCTAAATTCCTTTTGTAAATGAACTAGTTGGATTGTAGTACATCACTAAGAAAAATAGTACATTTGATAATTTAGATTAAATAGAAAAATAAACTAATAAGACATACATTGTTTATGTCCCTCTTTATGTTTATCAAATTAATAGTAAAACAGTCTATAGGTAGGTATTAGATTTGGTTCCATGTCAAAATCCTTAAATTAGTGGTAATAAATGCATAGATTTATCAAAATTACCTAGTAACTCCACATTTACTGGTGGGATAAGAAATAAAATAAATACTGCCATAAGTATTCTTGCTTATAGATGTTAGGATACAGATCCTTATAAGACAACTGTTCCTAGTAATTGTGCAAGCCCTAGCGAAATAGATAATTTTATTAATAATTCAAATAATAATTTATATGCATTTTTGCATACCTCACAGTATAACATTACTTCAAATGAAATTCAAGAAAATTACTATAAATACCCTTTAATATTAACTACATCATAAATGGTATTCACTACTTACAGTGCATAAAAGTAAATTACATCTGTTTTATCAGGTGCAATACTCTAATCTGAGTTTTCTTTTTCTTCAGCTATAAGTTACTCTACAACAACTTAGTCATTTGACTATGCGACTACCTCTAAAAGTTTAAATTTAAAATGCTTTGCAAAATTCTCTGTATAAATATCGAACTAAGTGTAGTATATAAAAATTTAATATACTACTATCCCAGAGTTGCTAGCTATGTGTAACAGCATTTTTGCAGTGATGATGTGTTTAGGATTTTTTGGGAGATACATCGCTCAATAGCTTATAAGATAAGACTTATTTCTACTAATTTTGAAGAATATGTATTCAGAATCCTATGAAAAACTTTTAAATATAAACAAGTTTCTCAGCTAATAAAAGATTGAATTGATAAATAGAGATATCGAATGTCCAGCAGAGAGCGTTGATTGTAACCAGAAAGAAACTGAATAAAAAGATATCTTTACAAATAGCCCAGTGTTAGAATCCAAAAGTCCTTTACAGCATTACATAAAATATGACAATATCCAATAAAAGCCAATAAGAGATGAAGTAATAGAAGATATTCTAATAATTTAAACCTAAGAGTAAGTTTAAAATTATACAGATGATTCATCCAAATTATAAAAAAGTAATGAATACTTTTACAATAAGCTAAACTAGAATAGCCCTAAATAAATTTGTGTTAGCCCATTAATGAATTTTAAATCTAAGGATAGCTCCAATTAAAATTGTAACAGCCAAGAATCATAGATTGTTTAGAGCTTAAACCCTTTCTCAAATAAGACACAAAAGAAATACTTGATTCCATAAAAGTAAAAGGTTGTGCAAGAAATTCAGAAAGATGAATAGATTTGTGAATCAGAGATGTAATAAAGTGAAGTTGAGCAGAGCTAGATAAAGAAATATTATGAGGAGAGAATTAAAGCATTCAAAAGCAAGTTATATTCTTCCAAAATTACAAATTAACTATTTTAATTTAGGTATTTTAAATTAAAAACTTGATATTTTTATTTAATTATTATTTTTTATAGGCTTAGAAGGAAGAATGATAAGATTAAATCAAATTAATTAAACCCACAAACTAAAATTATTATTGAAAAGTAAGTTGATAACTGCCTCGATTTCTGTGAAATCTACAAAGAAATAATTTTCTTAAAGAAAGCTGTAATGACTATCTTAAGCAAAGACCAATATGCAGCTTTGTCTTTAGTGGGATTCTCTGATAATCTTCCTGCTTACATACAAAATTTGAATGGATAGCCTTAGCAAAAATAAAGTAAAGAAAATCTATTTTACAATTATCAGTAATTAATCACTTGATTTAAAATTAAAGACGTAGAAAATTTGAATCACTATGAAGAATTATAAACTCTCTCTATGTCAGATGAGCTATAAACATAAGAAATTATAAAATTTCTATTAAAATGTAAATTTAAACAAAATTTGAGTACATATGACGAAAGAATATTTTCTTCAATTAGCAAAAAAATTAGCAATTGATTAAAATGCTTGCTGCTTCATTGATTTTTTAGTAATTTGAATACATTTTTTTTGTAGAATTGGTAAGTAAATAATACATTTCATATAAAAAATATTATTACTTAATTGTTTTTGATTGAATATCTACCATATTTCAAGAATATTTATTTTTAATTACCTTTACAAAAGTTTATCTAAAATCAATAAGATCATTTTTATTAATTTAATTTTCATTAAAATATAACAAGAGTTTTAAATTTACAAAATAAATATTAGTTTGTTGATGTAAAAGTGTATAATTTATATTAATTTATCTATTATTATAATTTTTTTTCTTATTCCTCTTAAATTTTATATTTATTTCTTACCTCTCTATTCTTAAAGAACTCAAAAACTAAATTTATTAGAATTATCTTATTTTTTTAAATAATAAACCACCAAACTAAATCATGTTAAAACTAACATAAATAATGGTTGCTTTTAATTATTTAATTTTTTCATTTTAAAAATAATTCTTTACAAAAAAATTTAAATAATATTTTGCAAAAAAGTTACATTTTTAAAAAATTATTTAAAAGATGAATAACATGCTTGAATGGAGCAGAAAAATTTTAACATGTTAAAATTAAATATCAGAAGTAGAAAACATTTATTCAATTTAAATTAATTATTAAATTAAACTTAAAATATATCTTAAAAATATTTTGCAAAAAGCTATATTTTTACTTTTAAAATGTTTATATGTATGGCATGCATCATTTATGAATGAATTAGAAAAATTTAACATACTAAAAATTAAGAAAATAATATTTAGAAAACATAAAGTAGTAGATATAATATTTGGCAAAAAAAGTTACATTTAAAAAAATATTTATAAGATGAGTATGATGAATTAATAAAGCAGAAATATCTTACAAACTAATAATGAAAAATCAAAAACTGGATATTATTTACATACTTTAAATTAATAAATGAAACATAAAATAAATCAATATTATTTTCCAAAAAAATTACATTTAATAAAAATTTTTATTGAGAAGGACCTGTATGGATGTATATAAATATGAATGATGGAGTAGTTAGTAGAATAATCAAAAAATTAAACATGAATGAATAGAAAACATTTATTTATGTCAAATTCTAAAATCTTTTGAATTTAATAATAATTAAAAAAATTGATATTGTATATAATTTATAAAGTAAATAGAATTATTTGCTTTCCATTTTATTTTAAATTATTTTTTATTTAATAAGCTAATTATTTATTTATTTATTGATTGTGTCTATTTCCATTTTCTGTTAGTTATTAACTTTTTAATATAATCATTTAGTTGTCATCATATATTTATTTTTATCTTAAAGCTATTACTTAATGAAATATATTGTGACTAAGTGGCTATTAGATTCTAGTTTATTTGAGGTAGAAAATACTTTTCTATGGAATTAAAATTAAGTAAGTTAATAATATTCTCAAATAACTTTACAATAGAAAATTTTATTCATGAGTATAATAAATCATATAAATATATCATTCTCTTTAAAATGATATCCATTTATTACATCTCAAAAAAAATTGAATATTTTATTATATGAAACTTTTTAAAAAATTATAATATTTCTTCTCTTTTATCACTGAATATAGAAAAATACCAAATTTTTTATTTAAATTTTTGTAATTATTTAGTTTGCTAGATCAGATTTTTTTTGATAAAATAGATAAAAATTTAAAATAATACCAAAAAGAGAAACAGAAACAACATTTTTTAGATTAAAGGTATTTTTGATAAAAAAATCCAATAAACATCAAATACTAAATAAATAAGAATTAAGAAATTTTGAAATGAAGAAATAATCCACATTAAAAAATGAAAATTTGAAATTAATAGAAGCTAAAAAGAAAATATTTTAAGATTACACCAAGGTCTCTTAACTGAATAAATAACATGTAGTCCAAAATCAGTAGCTTAAAGGAAGTAAACTACAAAACTAGAAAGTTATTCTTCAATAATTTAGTCTTTAAAAAGATTTAAATAAAGAATAAGTTCAAAAAAAATAAAGTGTGCAGAATTGCTTAGATATTTAGATATAAAAAAATTATATATTGAATCTTTAAAAGTCAATTAAAGTTCATCAAAATTCATAGTTACAGCTTTAGAAGACAAAAAATAAAATTTAAATATCATAATTAAATAGTTTATAGAAGGAAAATAAAAAATATGAGGTTATGCCTTGCTTGGCGATTCAAGGGAAAAAGAAAGAAATGTAATTACAGGTTTTAAAAAGAGAAAACAAAAAGTAAGATTTGGAAAAAGAAAAAAGTTAAGTAAAAGAAGAAAAAAAAAATTTAATCAGTGGAGATAATTTGAAAGTAGAAAGTTAGCTGCTGCAACAAGCTTATGAATCAAATCCTTGTATAAATTAACTAAATAATAAATGTGAAAAGAGAAAAGAAGGTTTTGTAGATGTGAAGATTTAAATAAAAAATTATCATGATCAAAGTATTAAGCTGAATCAACTTCATAATTAAATTAAAGAAACAAACAAATTAATTAGCTTGAAGCTAGATACAACTTTTGAGAATTATCAATCTCTTTTAAATTTTTGTGTCAAATTTTTAAAGTTTGGATCTGATTTAATTCATTTAGAGTGGCATGTAAAGGGTTATTTTAATGAATATAGGTAATCTAACCTGATTTCCGAATTGATTAGTCGCTTTTTTATATTGACTAAATTTGTGTTTGTAATTCACCTTCCTTATATCTCTACTCTTACTGTAGAAAGCTTTTCTAACGGATTAAAACAACTAAAAAATTTAAAAATATTTCATTTCAAGGTAAGCAAACCATTTTAAAGTAATTATAAATAAGGAATGCGCGATAAGGCACATCTACATATTATCAATGCTGTTTAAAACCTTGAGAACTTGGAAATAATGGTGAGTGACGTTTAATAAATTCAGCATTGCTCTCCACCACCAAGTAAAATGGCTAATCTTATATACAGCTACAATTTACCTGATAGAGTATTGAAACAGAAACAATAATAAAACTTAAAAATATAAAGTTAGAAAATAACAATGCTTTAGTTAAACAATGTAATTTCAGCTCATTTATATTCATACAATTCCTATTAATGCTAATAAGATACTTTAAAGCTTTTTGATTTACCTTTTGTTACAAGTTGCTATTTTACTAGAGATAGTTGTCCTCATTAAGTAGAAGTTTCCTAAATAATTAATCATTTAAGAAAGTTTGTATCAACAAAAATGAGACACTTGCTTTAAATAATAAGTTTTCATAAGCAAATAACAGAATTTATTCCTTTGAATCCTGCCATGTTAATGACAGATCTATGGTTTGATTGATAGCAAATTATATTAAAATAATATTAAGACCATAAAAATTCAGTCACAAAGCTGATAATTAATTATTGATATCAAGTTTTAAATTTTGGATAATTTAATAATTAGAATTTTTATTAATAGTTGTAATTAATATTTAATTGATGTTATTTATTTATTTTCATTATTTTTTGACACCAAAGACTATTTATCTCCTCATATATGTATATATACAATATTGCTTCTAACTACATTAAACATTATTTTCTTAGAAAAAACTATAAAAAGTATAACTCAAATTGTTGTGCTCAAATATGCTTTAAATTATGAAAGAAGGAAATAATGCATGTTTTTTTAACTTTCCAATTTTTTTATCAAATATTGTACTTGATAATTACTCCTTCATAATTTAATCCAAATACTTCTAAATAAGTGGATTCAATTTTAATAACTTACATTTTTAAATAGATCTGTTTTTTTTTTTTTTTCATTATATTCAGCTACAAACAACTGTCAACTATTTATTTTAAAAAACTCATTTTTTTATTCAATAATTACAAAATTAGTACCATACAATTAAAACTGGGTCACTATTTGAAGTGGTAGATCTACTAGAAGATAATCATGTGGCTGTAGTGCTATTAGTAGAGGTTTTAGTACTATTTGTTGTAGAGTCGGAAGCTGATCTTGAACTTGCAGTTTTATTCCATTTTATTTTTTAAAGGAAAATTTAAATAAATAAAGAATTTTAAGACATTTAATTTAAATTGTCCATTAACACTTACAAAATATAATTTTTTATAAACAAGGAAATTATTTAGAGTAATGGTTGATTGAGCAATAAATTAAAAATGCAAACTGAGATGTTTGAAATGAAAATAATAGGTTACATCGATTAATAAAATTAGATAAGAATAATGAATGCTCAAAAAAATGAAATGTTGGATTGAAGCACATTTTCATTCATATATGAATATATTTATTTATCAAGTAATCGATATGATTTATTTTTTTTTGGAGGAAAAAATATTGCATATTTATAAAACTCAAAAGTGGAAGAAGTCTTAAAATTAGTATAAATTTTAAAGAGTTATTCTCAAGTTTATTACATAGTAACTTTTTGATTGAATATATTAAGTTTCATGTCAAAAAAACTATTAAAATAGATAATTAAAGAGACAAAAAATAAACTGAAAAGCGCATATTTGGGTATTGAAGATATCTTAATTTAAGAAATAAATCATTCAAATATGCAGCTTATTTTTAAGCTAGTCATTATACATATTATTTTATATCAGGCTAACTCTAGTTAGACATGTGATTAGATTAATAGATGTAATAATTGTGATAAAAGCACTTCTTTGTGCTAAGATTGTGACAATGGTTTTTACTTTTCAAAGGAATTATTAATGTGTATATCTTAAAGTACTTGTCAATATGGATAATATAAGTAATTTAACAATTTTCCTTGTTTGGATTGTCATCCAACGTGCAAGGCTTGCACTAGCAATAAATCATATGATTGCACTGAGTGCATAGATGGTTACGCTTTTATTTAAGATCAATTTTCTGACAGAAAAATGTGCATAAATTGTTCTATACCTAATTGTTTAGAGTAAATTAATTTCTTTTAACAAAATTTTTGAAATCTATCTTTAAACAAACATCGAATCACAAAACTTAGTCACAATTAAAAAATTAAATTTTTTCTTCCAAAACCACTAGCTAACAAACTAATAGTATTATATTTGCAAGCAATAATTTCATGAGAAAATCATATTCATTATACTGATTTAATTTATTTTCTTAAAAGAAATAAGTATTTTATAAATTATCTATCAAAGGTGTTCTTAATTCAAGTATTGCATGTCTTGCTAAAGCGGTTATTATTTAGACAAATAAAAAAATGAGTGTAAGAAATGTGAAGTAGATAATTGCATGGTATGTGAGACTTCTCCTTCTATTTGCACATAATGCTTTGCAGCTTACTCACTGTAAACTATATATAACGATTAGAGTAGTGACAAATAAGCCTAAACACAAATATGCTATCTGAAGGGATTATGCCAAATAGGGTATTATTTGTAAAAGTTTGGCAAGTGTTAGAAGTGTGATTAATCATGTAAAAATTAATTTAATTTTGGTTACAGTCATTACTCTCAAAAAAATTACAATTAAAAAAAAATATTGCATTCAATTTGTTAATTAAATTTTGTTATTTTTAAGTATTTTATTATTTAGAATGCAAATCATAGCTATTGATTTGATAATTTATTAAAATTTAATATTATTTCATATTAATTTAATTATTTAGGCTTGCACTGCTATGAGAGCGGAAATGACAAATGCTATCAGTGTAATACGGGGTATTACATGAATAATTAGTATTGCATGAAATGTGAACCTAATTGTAAGACATGTAAATATAGAAGTAATTATTGCACTTCTTGCTAATAAGGGTATTTTTTGAATGGGTCTCGATGTGAGCTTAAATGCAGACAAGGTGAGTATGGCTATAATGGTTAATGCTTTTCTTGTGCACCAAATTGCTTTAGTTGTATTGATTATGTATGTTTTTAATTACTTTTTTTTCCTTTCATAAATTAAATAAACATAGATTGATCAATCGATCTATCTATCGTGAATTCTTAGAATTAATTTCTGATTAAATTTGAGAAAAAGTAAACTTTACTTTTAATAAAAGAATACCTGCACAAAGTGCGTAGATCACACTAACTACAAAATTGCTAATGGATAATGTGTAAATATCTGTCCTTCAGGTTAATATAATTAATTAAATTCTATAGATACATTGCTATGGTAAAATTATAAATTTGATGATATCATCTCACCTATAAATTGCTAAATGTGTGATACAAATTGTAATGAGTGCATTTAAACTGACAGAAATTGTACTTAATGTAGTTCCGATTATTTCCTTTCAAATTAAAAATGCTCCAAAAATTGCTAATCCAACTAATATAAAGACATAGACCCGATCACATAATAAATTGTATGCATGAACTGGTAAGAAACTTGCTTATTCACTTATTTGCTTTCTGATTCATTAAATTACTCTTAATTTTATAAAATATTCTACATAGTTAAGTTCCTTGCTAAGAATGCTCAGATAGAAATACTTGCACATCATGCATTGAGGGATACACGCTGTCTGATGGAAAGTGCTTTTATTAAAATATTCAAGGTGGATTTTGCAAATAAGGAACTCTAGAGTTTTCTAACCCACCACTTTGGTAATGATAATTTATTATAATCTAATATAAAAGTTAATTTACACAAAATATAAAAAAGCTTCGATATATGCCCAAAAGGACTAATTTAATTTGGTACCAAATGTTATTGTGATTATAGTTGTAAAGAATGTGTTTTTGATACTAATACTTTACAGACCATATGCTTAACTTGTAAATAGAACAACAAATACTCATATTAAGGTACCTGTTTAGATAAGTATGAACATAATTTTATTGAAAAACGAAATCATTAATAAAATTTCTAAAAAAACAGATGCCCTGAAAACACTCAAGCTGCAACTGCAATCTACTAGGGAATAAATTATTAATATGAATACACATCTTGTATAATTGAGTGCCAAGATAACTAATTAATAACTATATCACCAAATATGAATAAGTAGTGCACTAACTAATGCCCTGCCAACTTTGAAAAGTATAAGTCTAAATTTTGCATAAACAAGTAAATATGCTAAAAAGAGACATATTTTGATTAAAAAATATTTGATGATCTGATTAATATCAAGTAAGCTATTATTTATTAATCGAACAATTCTTTTTCTTCTTTAAGTGTTTTTTTATTAATTCAATATTGCTAAATACTTCTTGATTTATTTTTAGTTTGATAAAATTACTTATTTTCCCTCTAAAATTCCTTCCAAATTAACCAAAATTATTAAAAAAGAAATAATCATGTGAATGCTAATTTTTTTTTAATACAAATCTTTGATTAATTTTTTACATTTAATAATTTCTTATCATGTTTTTCAAAGAAATTTTGGATATCTTGATGATTTATTTTAACTTTGTAATAAATAAAATTAAACTTAATAGTTAGACTATTTAAGAGTTAACATATTGTAAGAAATGTTTTTCAGAGTGTGCATAATGCGTAGGACCTTTAAGTATATTTTAATTATTTATATTTATATTTTGATTTTTATTATTTATTCCTAAGGCACTGACTGTATTAGTTGTAAACAAGGTTTTACTTTATAGGAGAAATTCACAGATAATATTAATAATAATAATAACAAAATTGGTCACTAATGTTAATAAGAGTGTGATAAAGGATACGAATAAATTAAAGTTATACAGCTTGACACAACTGCAAGAGATGAATGTCATGTTTGTAAAAAAAATTGTAGTTCCTGTATCAACACATTATTTAAAGTATAACCTAAATTTTTAGATAGTTATAATGCAAATTAAAACGATATTGACTTAAATAAATATTTTTGTGTTTAATAATGCCCCTCAAACACTTATTATGATGCTAAAATAAAAGAATGCAAACTCGATGTCAAGCTTCAATTTATTTTTGATAAAAGCAATAATTAGATTTAAAATAAGTATTTTACAACAGATTAAATTAATTTCAGTTTGGAAATTAACTCTCCTTACGAGATACCTTAAGATAAATTGGTAAGCTGCACAATATTAGAAATTAATTAATATTTGCAAATGCAGTAAAATAATTTAAATTAAAAATTATTTTCTTCAGCTATCAATGCGAGCATTCTGAAAGAGGGAAGAGTTTACACCTTAAAGTGCATAGTTTTAATGTTTAAACAGAAATTCGAAAGTACTACTTAGGTAGAAACTTTAAAGATGATTGCTGGAAATTTTTATTCAAACTCTACTAGTGGTGTAGCAATAATTGATACCTTCTAATTTATTATTAATGGCTACAAATTTGAGAATGTGAGTAGTGAATATTATAGTTTTAATTACACTTTGTATGTAGAAAATTATAGCTATCACTCTTAGTTTACTAATACTACTTTGCTTAATACAGACTAATCATTTTATAGTATAAATCCATCTCTTTTACTCAACTTTAGCTACTCATTAAATTACACATTTCCGTACATAAAAAATTAACAAAAAGTAAGAGTGATTCTTGCTGCTAGTTTCTAAAAAATAACAGATTATTAGGTTATTTAACTGAATATAGAACCTTATTACATAAAAGTTGTAGATATTTAATCTCTCATATAAAAGACAGTATATGAATATAATTTATAAAAAGGAGAGCCATTTAACAGTGAAGTATTGATATAGTTTAATAGTTAGTTATTACTTTTAGGGGTTATACCTAAATTTAATATTAGCTAAATTTCTTCCAAATCAAAGGTAATATAATTGCAACAAGTAAAGGACTATTAGATTCCTTGCAATAACTAAACTGATTGTTTTGAACAAGGAGAATGTCTTTCACAAATTTAGTCTTACTCCTAAAAATGTTAGTGTAATCAAGGTTACTAAGGAGAAAATTGCTTATGGAAAGCAGATAACTACCAAGAAGTATAAAAAATTTATCTCATAAGTTTACCTTAGCTTAAGTATGAGATGATAGAAATACACATTTTATCTTTATCTAATTAATTTAAAATTAACAAGTAAATTTATTTACATTTTCTTATTAATGCATTAAAATATTAAAAAATTTAGATACAACAACATTTTAGAATCAATTCATTTTATTTGCTAAATGAAAGACATTATTAATTACGAGATGTCTGAAATATTAATTGATATAGTGCTAAATCACTTTTTTGTTAATGATAAAATTATGAAGTAAAACTTAGACAAAATTTTATTCATAGCCGATGTTTTGATTGATCTCGTTAGGAAATTTACAGAATTAGGCAAAATGGGATAAAATAATTACTTTTAAAGAATAATTAATAACTTGCAGCATTTATTTGGGAAGGTGGTTACAAATCATGGATATAAGATTTAGTATGATTTTAACAATTTATCAGTCTTAAAATAAGATCTCGCTGTTATGAAAAATGTCTCTCTAAGCGATTTTTAGATTGTTGGTTCAGATTACTTTATTTCCCTTCCTATTAAAGAATTGGTTAAAGTGGGCGAAAATTTAAAATTCATAATTATTAAACACACAATAAGTGTTACCAAATAAAAAATTGATATGACTTAGTTATATTCTAGCATATTTGCAAGTGATATAATAATGTTATAGCTATAAGATAAAGATTATTAGAATAAAAATTATAATGCTAAAAGCTTAGAAAGCTCAATTATCCTTGACATCCCATTAAATGTAAAATTTTGAAATTTAATCAATTTTTTTAAAAATGAATAAATAATTAAATATGCAGATAAAAATTGAAGATATCTCTGTAGATGAGGAATCAAATTTATCTTATTAATGTGTTTAACTACTTTAGAATTCTGTTTGGTCATCAGATAATATATAAATAGAAATATTTGACAACTTTGTGAGGTGCAAAATAATTTATCTTACTTAATGTGCGATTAAAATAGTGAAAAATGATAAAAAATAAATCTAAAATGGAAACAATCTGCCTTAATAACCTGCATAAGTGTAGATAGATAAATCTGAATTAAAACAATATGTAATTAAATATTTTAATTTTATTATTTAAATTTTAATTTTAATTAATATTTTTTTTGTTAATTTGTTAGATTTTCTCCATCACAAACACGGCTATTTTGATAGTTGTGTAATTAGTGATCATTTGTTGGAATAATAAAAAATAGTAAAATTAAGAATTGATTATTCAGTCACTTTAAAATTAGAAATTAAATGGAAAGGATTAAATTGAGAAAGAAATTTAAAGTAATTAAAAAAATAGTAATTAATAAAACTCTGGTCTCCAAAAATAATTTGTTTCAGAGAAATGCGATTTGCACTCATTTCAGTAGAATTTAATTTTGAAATATTTTTCATTCTAAGAAATCCAGAAAATAAATTAAGACTAAGTTTTTGACTGTTGTTAATTGAGTAATCTTGATTAATATAAGCAAAGAGAATAGATTTGTTGTGAAAAATAATAATCAGATGTAAAGGAAACTACAAGCAACGAATAATAACATTTAAATTACACTCTAAAGCAAGACACAATGCATTATTAGAATGCTTCAATTAATCATAGAATCTTTTAAACGCAGAAGTATCTAGAATAGCCCACTTTTAATTGTGATTTAGAAGAGGATAATATGAAAATAATGTGTTTTAATAGTGTTTAGAGTTAAAATTTACAAAAAAGCGAATAGTTAGCTTAAAAGTAAGTTATATCAACCGAAACTCCTATAATAGCAACTTAAATTGATTAAATTTGTGTTGCGTCATAAGAAAATAAAACTAATGAAAACAATTATATATATAAAACAAATTTCTTTTAAGATGAGAAGAAGTATAAAACAAAAGATGAAGAAATATAAAATATGAGCAAGCAACTACAATGCACAGGTCAAGAACAAAATTAATAACCATCTTAGGAAATAACCATAATATAGGATAATTTATTAAATTATCATCCTGTTTATTCTTTTACAAGAAATTTGAGGTACCGGGATATTAATTAAAGAATTATTCTATTTTTTTTAAACATAATTTATTATGAGCTAATTTCAATTATATGCGTATCCAAATAGAAAAATTTTTAATAACCAGGATAAGTTAACTTACTTCCTTTCTTATATTTCTTTTTAATATCTTCCTTCATCAAAGCCTTTTTATCTTACCTCATTCACACCATAGCTTATTTGAAAATTTGCATTTACAAAAAAATTACAAACAGCATCTAAGAATCTATTCTAAGCCTTTTTTACCCTATGATAACTGTCTTCCTCTAAATTATATTTATAATAACAATTTGCATTGTGAATCAATTTATTGAATAAATGAGTTAATTTAGAAATTTCTTGATTCAAACTGCCATTAACATAATTTTAGACTTTTTTGTTCTGGAATTCTTATTAATAATTATGCTTCAAAAAGTTAATTTCAAAACAGGCGAAAATTGGCTTCGATTAAAAAATAATGACATCAAGCTAAATTGAATTTTCTTCAAAAAAATAAATAATAAATTCTAAAAATAAACTGTAAAAATAATAATAATTATTAAAAATAAATTAACAAATAAATATTTTAAAACATAATTTAATATTTCTCTTTTTAATTTAAAATAATAAATTTACTCTATCTATCAATTAAATACAAAAAATTATATTATTCATGTTCTATTCAAATAACAAATTATTAAATTCTTTTAATTTTTACTACAGCAGCTAGCTACTGCTGGTTCCGCTTTTATATTATTTTTTTAATATTTATTTAATGTTTTTTGTGCATTCATTAAATTATTCACACAATTTCTTAATATTCCCGAAATCATTCGATTTAAATTTTAAATTGTTTGATTCTTCTATAGGTAGATTGACTATATTTATAATCACATTTATGTTTACCGTTTACAAATTAAATAAGATTTTGTTCAAGGTGATTTTTAAAAAAAAGATATAAGCATATAATGATTATTTCGAACTGAATTTGTGAGTTCAAATGCTTGTTTATTTATTTGTGTAAAAATAATTAAGAACTTTTGCTTGAATAAAAAATAAATTTTAGGATCACTCTTACCTTTCAATAGCGTTAAGATCTTTGATTGATTATAAGCCTGTTTTTTAATACACTTTATAATATTTTGATTAGATAAAAAATAAAAAAATTAACATCATAAAAAGTAAACAGATTCATTCATTCTTCTATTTATTTATTTACATATCTATCTATCTTTCTGCCAATTTAGCAATTAAAAGTTAGTTAAGCAAATTATATAGCATGGATAAGTTAACATTATTCTAGATTTTTAGCTGCTTGATATTCGTCTCTATCAAAGAAGCTCACGCTCAAACTTCAAATACCAGTAACAATCCGAATCAAACTACTAATAATGCTTGTAATATAAAACATTGTATTACTTGCAGCACATCTACTCAAGAGTGCACTTAATGTGAAACAAATATGACCTACGATTTGCAATTATAAGCATGCATAAATATAGGTCCATGCCCTTTGGGATAATACAAAACTTCACCAACATCACCTTGTTAGGATTGCTACTAAACATGTAAATCATGTTATGATGGATAACCTACATCATGCTATGATTGTGTTGATGGCTATGTGTAAGCGCCAGACCTATACAGCAACAAACTTATTTGTGTTTCGTGTACAATACTAAACTGTAGAGAGTAAATACCATATTAAAATTAATACAAATATAAGAGTTTTTTTAAGAAATGATCATCGCTTAGATATTAACTGTTTTTGGTTGAATAGATCAAAAAATGAATGAATAAATAAATAAATAAATCAATATAAAACGCAATTACTTTACTTTGAATAGCTTTTTTTTAATTTACTAATTAACAACATAAATTATGTAATCAAATTTTTTAATTTATGATTAATACTACTGGAATAATTTTTATATATTAATTTAATGCAAAATAAGTGGATCAAATATATCTTCTAATTTTTTAAAGGCTTTTTAAAATAAAATAATAAATATAAAAATAGATGTTTCAGCAAGGATGAATGCAGTATTTGTGAAGATGGTTTCTTATTAAATAAAAATACTGGATTATGCGAACCATGTTAGATTTAAAATTGCTAAGATTGTAGTGGAGACAAAACAAAATGCAATACTTGCTTACTTTCTTACCAATTACAAATATCCAATAACTAGTAGATTTGTGTACTAAAAGGGAATTGCCAATTGGGTTATTATCAAGATTCTTAAGGAAATTGCAGTTAAAAATGTGACGTTTCATGTAAAAAATTAATTAAATAACAAATTATTTCATTTATTTTTAATTTGTTGAGTTAGAAAGTAAAACAATATTAACTTCTAAACATAAATCAATCAATATATATTTTATTTATCATTTATTTATAAAACTAAATTTATACAAATAGGCCTTCATTGTTTTTCAGCTGGCAATTCAAATTGCTATTAATGTGCCTAAGGATATTATTAATCTAATAAACAGTGCTTACCTTGTAGTTCTAACTGCCAAACTTGCTAAAAAAGTGATCATTATTGTACTTCATGCCCAAATAATATGATTTTAAGTGGTAGTGCATGTATTCAAAAATGTAATTATGGCGAATATAATAATAATGGATTTTGCTAACCTTGTCCTCCAAATTGCGTTTAATGTATTGATGGGGTAACAACTATTTCATTTTTTAAATTTTTTATTTTATCTTTATCTTAAGTTTAAAATTTTCAAGACATTAATTGTAATTACAATCCAAATAAAGTAGAAGTTTGTTTTATTTGATTTTATTTCTAAATTAATATTTTATAGAATACTTGCACAGCATGCACTGATAAGACTTAGTTCTAGATTTCAAATGGGTAATGTGTTGGAGTTTGCTAAAATGGCTATTATAATCAATTAAGCAGAAGCGATATGGATTTATGGTAACAGTTTAAGTTTTAATAAATAGTTTCATAGCCTAATTGCTAAAAGTGTAACTCAAGTTGTGCAACGTGTTCAGTTTATTAAAATAATTGTACTTCATGCAAAAATGGATATTTACTTAATCCTAACAATTACTGTTAAAATTAATGTAATAGTTCACAATTTTTGTTTTATGATCCATATTAAAAGTAATCAATATGCATGCAATGGTAATATAATTTGATTGAAATTATTTTGTTTTCAAGCAAATTTATTTAAATTTTTTTCTAATAGTCCTTATCCTTGTGGATCTTGTAAAGACTAATTCACTTGCACTTCCTGCATTTCATCAGATTTTACTCTTGACAGTACTGGAGCTTGTACATTTAGTGGTTATAATGTAGGGAATTGCAAAGAAAATTAAGTTAATTTTAGCTAGTTATGGTAAATAGTTTATTATTATAATAATAGAAGGGAAAAATACCTAAAAATATATAAATAAATAAATTGATTAATATTGTTTTTAATTCATATTATTATTTATATAAACACAGTTTAGATTCATGCCCAACAGGTACTATTCTTCAAGGTGATACTTGCATGTGTGATTATTCTTGCAACTTTTGTTTGTTATAAGTATCAAATATGATCACTGAATGTGTTTAATGCAATAATCCAGATTATTTTTAAAGCCAAGGAGTCTGCAGTTAACAGTAAATAAATTAATTGCCAACTTTGTTTATTTAAAATTCAAATTAAGCCTATTATTCAATAATTCATCATTCATACTTATGTTATAAAAATAATTAATAGATGTCCTTAAAACCTTTATTAAATTGGAAAAGTTTTTTATTATTAAGGTAGGACTCCATATTTCTACAACTCATGTGTAGCTAAATGCCCTCAAAGTTTATTTAGCTAAGTGAGCATTAACAGTAGATAGTGTGTTTAGTCTTGTACTTCAGGATATACTTAAATATAAAATATGTGTGTAAATACTCCATGCACCAGTTAGTAGTTCTTTGATACTAATTCATATTCCAACGATTAAAATTTAGGGTAAAAAATTTAAAAATAGTATTTTAAGATCATAATTAATTATAAAATAGGATAAATAATAAAAGCTTGACTTCTTATTGCATTAGTTGTGATCCTTCGTGTTCAAATTGTGACTCACAAGGGAGTAAAATATCATTTTAATTAATTTGCATTATTTCAGTAAATTTGTAATTATATTAATATTTTTATCAATTTAATTACAGATTAAAATTGTTTGGGTTGTGCTACAGGTTATTACTAGCAAATTAGATTTCCTTCAACTGGAGGATAGCCTTTTTAAGTTTGTACAAAAACTTGTGATTAAGGGTATATTGTTCCTCCTGGAAGTTCTTAATGCAAGTAATGTTAAAGCCAATGTTAAGTTTGTGCATCTGGACTTTATTCTATATTGAGCAGCATTTTACATCCTTAAGTAACTAATTAAAATGTTTATGATTGCTTGTAAAATTGTCCGCCAGGAACTGTAGCATAAAATAATTAATATACTTGTAACGTCAATACTGAAATAGATGTTATTGTTGATTATACTAATTCTGTAGATAACCTTTTTTGTGTTTAAAGTAATATTAATATTGCTCTAGCTATTAATACAATCCAAAGCTTAACCTAAAACCCTAAGTACAATTGCACAGTAGCTGGCCTTAATCTTCCAATTTAAATGTAGAACATAAACTAAGGATAATATACAAAATTTAATGGAGTAATTCCAGCTAACACTTTACAAGAAGACTAATCTTATAATATTACTTGTAACGTTACTATGAATAACGTTAATTACTCTAGCAGTTAATAAATTTCTACCTTTAAGCTGATTCCAGGTAATTTTACTGTCGATTAGACATCGGGAACTGCACTAAATTAAACATTTTATTTTAGCATTTCTGGTTTTTATCTAGATAATATTAGTCCTGATGATTATTTACTATAGTATCAGATAAGTGCTCAAATGTCAGCCATCAGCTATCCTTACAATAATTACACAATATTCTAAACAAACGATTAGTTTTTCAGAAGTAATCCTGATCAGGCTTTAGGATTAAATTACACTTACGCCTACACGTTCCCATAAATTTTTGCACCTGCTAATATCACAATCTACTTAACTGTATATGGAGTTTCTGCTCTGTAAAGGGTTTACAATCTAACTATAAATTTGTAGCCATGCAATTAAACACAAAATTAATAATCATTATCAACTAAATTATAGCAAATAATAAATTAATTAAATGTGAATTAGAATGCACCAATTAATTTAACAAGCTTAATTGCATTCACATAATAATTGCAAAAAAATAATATAGTACCCAGTCTTGATCTGGGCTAAAAGTAAGCTATATCCATCCAAAAAATGATTTCCAACCAACCCTTTATCGATATATTTATAACCTGTAATGCAGCCAAAGATTGTTCAGGTTAAGGTACTTGCAAATAAAATATAACTTCTTATTATAATAAATGTGACTGTTTTGTCGGCTTTTCTGGTGAAATTTGCAGCTGGAGCACTGCTGATCTTAACTTGGTCCAAATGGTTTATAATAGCTTTTTAGATTAATCAAGCTAATTGCTATAAAACATTACTTTAAACCCGACTACATCAACAAATATGTAAAACAAAATAAAATTTATTTTATTTTTATAATTGAAAAAAAATATATTGTAAATCCTCTTTAATTAATTAACACCTATCCTCCTCACTTACATATTTTAGAAGCCGTTAGGTTTTGATCAAAACTTTCAAAATTTTAGTGTTAATTAGATGTTAATTAATAAAGATTTACAATATTTCAATATCTAAAAATTTTTATAATTAATTGTTTTTTTATTTTAATAAATAAAGCTTATCAAATTTGATCAATCAAATGTATTATCTTGTTTAAATAAGAGATGTATTTAACAGCGACATCATGTCAAAGTTCATGAATTTACTAAATTCTCCTTAAATCTATACAAATTCCAATGCAATTTAATCAACTGGTTAATTATTATCTATAAACGATTTTGCTATTGATATTCTAAGAAAAGCTAGCTCGAATGGTACAGTGACTCAAAGCTTGGTTTAAGCTGTTTAAAATAATTTTGTGTAAACTTTATATTTGCTATAAAATAATTTATAATAAGGGCAACAAATGACATTCTCATTAAATAACGTAAATGCACAGATCCAAGATTTAACTTATGCAAATTACCAAGGAAATTAACAAATTGAAATGACAGGAGATGGAATGACCCCATAAACTTCATGGGATTTATTTATTCCTACTTCAGTATTCGGCTACTAGGCTGGAAATCTATATGCATAAGCTATAGTTTATCCTTGCGATTTATAACAAATATCATAATAAAATTATACTAACACTACTTACAATTTGGTAGCATCAAATATTATTGATATTACTATAAGATCAAAAAGCAACATGTAATAGTACTAAGTGTAGAACACATAAACTCCTATCTAAATTACTTTATAAAGATAAGTAAGATATTTTCAAAAACAAATATTTTTCATTAGAATCATTTATCTTACTTATTTACTGGCTAAAATTTTACTTATTTCTTTTAAATTAAATATATTCTTTATTTCTATCTATATATAGATTACTCAACAAGATATGTAGTTCTATTAATTACCTTATACGTTGAATTGTACTTACCAATTATAAGATGGAACTTGGACATCAAATGGGTTGAAAACCATAGATAATGGTGATGGTACTTTTACTTGCGTTACAAACCACCTTACTAATTTTGCTGTATAAATCGAATCTTATAATCCTAACTATTACACAAAATCTTCAGATAATAAGAGTTTATCTTCAAGTTCCAGTTACTAGTTTTAGTAATCTGTAATATTTCTTATTCATTACAAATATATTTTTATTAATCTAATAAATAATAAATAAATTAGTTGTTTATTGTTTTGAATTTTGTAATTATTATAACTCTTGGTCATGTTTGGGGAATCGTTGCAATAAAAAGAGACAAAATTTAGAAACGCAGATAAAGCTAGATAATCTAATAATAGGTTCAGAGTAATAGTTTGATTTAGAAAAGCCCTCCTAATTAGTAAAATGGTGGAGTGACTATTAATATAAACTAAGATCAATAAATAGATTCTATTTTCAATCAGTAGCAATAATTTTAATACCCGCCTTAATAGAAAGAAATGAAGCTTGAAGGTATCCATGTGACTCATCATAGAGAGATTGAAAAAGAATAAATGATAGCAGGAGTACCAATTTTTGGTGATGCCACAGAAACCTAAAAAGTTCAAATAAAAAGTAAAAGTAAAATTTCTAAATTGTAGATAGACTAAGTAAACATTGATAATGCCAACATGGTTAGCTAAAATCCAGAACAAATAGATAAAATAGCCCAAAATTTAGCAAGAAGATTAAAAGAATAAGAAATTGATATGGCTAACTAAGACGACTAAAGTGGAGAACCAGCCAAAAATTTTAAGGAGAAAGAAGTGAATATCATTCCTATAAGCACATTTTATCAGTAGCCTTATATGACAAACTAAGCTTCTCCATAAATGACTCTATTGTAAAATCCAACAAATGCACCAGATTAAATAGTCATGAATGATCCATATACTCTAGAAGTGTCTCCAAACATTATATAGGGAGTTCCTATACAAGAAAATAATGAATAAAGAGAACGTGCAGAGTCCTTACGTAAGTATGTAGAAAAGCTTGATAAAAATAAATAATACATTGACAAAGCGCAGCAAGAAAAGCTCAGATTGCTTATTTATTATCATCCTATCTTTTCATTCACTCATCCTCTCCCTTATGTTACTGCTCCAGTTAGAACTATTCTTTTCTTCTAATTTATTGCGATCTATGAATGGTTAACATTATCTTCAGTAAATATAGAGACTCCTCTCGATTCTCTGACTTTTGGTGTAGGGTTATCTATTTTCTTTTAAGTTCTTATTGGTAAGGCAATAATTTAATATGTAATCCCTGCTATCCTCTACATATTAGCAACTATTGAAAAGATATGTACATCCTAAGTTAGATATTCTTACTCGTCTTTTTTAAAATATATTTTTATCCTCACATTGACTGTCTATTGTTTGGTAATGTTTAGCAATCTAACTTCTTCGAATATTAATACCCTAAAAGAATTTACAAACTTCATAGCCCTTTTAATCATTACAATAATTGCAGATTACTTTGTTATTGATTTCTTTATTATAAAATTACAGTAAAGCTGTAACTCAGTTCTGATGCTCAAGCTCATAAAAGCTAAGAATTTATGTCTAGGAGAAAGTTGAGATAACTAACTAACTAACTAAAAATTATTATTAAAAATTTTAACTTTGATTAAATTTATAATATTATTATGCTTTAAACTTATATTTTAATTACAAATACTGATTTATAACTGTTTGCTTGTTTTTTAATGAATTTAATCAAATGAATATTTAAAGTTATTGTTTAATCATTTTTTTTTAACTTAAATATATTTATTCATTTTAATAAAATGAAAGTATTATTTTTCAAATAATTTTTAAATTAAAAAATTTTTTTTAACTCAAAAACTTTTTATTAATTGATAAGAATATAACTGTAATAAATATAGCAAACACTCTTTTATTTTTTTCAGACCTAAGCAGTTTCTTTTAATATTAAGAGCCTATTTGATGCAGATCTAAAAAACTAAAGGAGATATTATTAGTTTTAAACAAACAAACATTCAAACAAAAAAATATTAATATAATAAAACTATTAATCATTAGTGATAAATCTTTTCTCATTTAATTCCTTTTTGACATAAGATTCAAAATTATTAATATATTAATAACTATTTGGATTTATTGTAAGTAAATTTTATGAGTGATATAAAATATGAAAAGCAATTACTTTTTTTAATTCATAGATCATTTGTATTTGGTAATTATAAAATTATTAAAATTTTATTTAAAGTTTATTGCAAGATTAATTACAAATTGATTTTTAGTTTATTTATAAATACAAGAATAAAGATAAAATATATTTTATAAGGTTAAAGTTCAAATCGTTTTTAAATTTAAAATGTAAGTTAATAAATTTTATTGAAATTAAGATAATTGTATTTTAGAAGATTTAATTTTGTTTGAATAGTTTTTAATCATTTTAGATAGTTAAACTCAATATTCTTCCAATAGATTGAAGCATCTTTTTAGAGAATTTTAAAATCAGGGAAACCACTATTATAATTGCTTAGAATTACTATTTTAACATATTTTGTTCCTTTTCTAAATTTATTTGTTTCTGTAGATCTTGTTTCCCCTTTGAACCAGAAGCTCTTTTACATCCATTTTTTAATATAATCATCAAAGCATTCTGCAAAAGTATATGTTCCTCCTTCAAAATGGTTCATTAATTATGTCTTATTAAACTATATAACTCCTTTTTCCTTAAGCTACTAGTATTTCTTCCAACCATAATCAGTTAAGTAAAGTCGGTTTCCTTTTATTTCTGAGAAAGCTCCATGCTCTTCTGTAGTGTCATATGGCTTTACGTTATCCTAATTAAAATTTTACAAAAATAGGAATTTAAGTAAAAAGGAAATATTTATTTATTTATAAAAAAGAATAAAGTTGTTTTGTACTTGTATGACCGCAGATATTGGTATTAATCTGGAAGTGTCACCTTCGTAGTAAAACCCAATAGATCTCAAATATGCAAAATTCTTTTATTTATCTTTTTGTTCAGGAGAATAAGAGTTCCATTTTTTAAGATTTGTCTCAGATCCAGAAGAGACCAAAAGAGTCTTTGTTGATTCATCATCTCCAGTTATAATGACTTCTGAATTTTCTACTCTGCAAACTTGAGTTGAGTGGATAAATTCTTTATTTTCATCAAAACAAACTAAACCAATGTATACGATCATTCTATTTGAAGTTTTAATATCCAATTTCATCTCATATGCCTTATTTACATCAATCTACATTTTATTTTAAAAGTTAATAAGTTGATATTTTTAAATTCATTTTTTTACTGAAAAGAAATCATCACTGAGCATTTTTCTATCAGGTCCAGATACTTAGTAGCAGAGTTGAGAGTATTTTTATTATTGTAAAACTTCTGGGTAAATTTAGAAGTAATCTGGATGGCTGATACAACCTTGGAAAAAGGATGGTAGATGACTGTGACGCTTTTTAATTTATTTAATAAATGCTTTATGAGGAGAGAGCAACCAAAAGTGCTTTTCTATATAGTGAGAAAGTTTAAGACTTCCATAAAAGCGAGCAAGATTCTCAATCACATCTAAATTAGTCTTTTCTATTAAAGTAAATTCAGATTTGCTCTTGGCCATCAAGAAAGGAACAATAAAGCAATCAGCTAATGAAACTCTTGAAGTATCACCTATATTTCTAGTATATGAAACTATTTTCAAAACTCTAAATATTCTCACCCATCTTCTTTAAGAAATTAGAATCTTGTTATCAAGTAATCTTTCTCTAAGCTCCTTCAAATAAAGCTTTAATATTCCCGTTGAGTCTTCCACTTTTTAAAAGGCTAAATCTCCAAGTGCACTATTTTTTTCAATAAATAAATTTATAATCTTATTTCAATTAATAAATATTTATTTGATACGTTAAAAACTCTTATGTTAATTTCAACTAAGGTTTTTTAAAAGCATTTGGTATTATTGGACTAACTCCACCTAACTTGCTGTTTTCTGTGCCTTTGAGAAATTTCTAAGGGGCAACAATTTTACCATTTTACCCGTTTTTAGTCCACATTGCTTGAACAAATTCTTCAAAGTTATCTTTTTTTTAGTCAGCTGGTTTCTATGAATTTAATGAATTATATTTAATATTATTGATCTTACTTAAAAATACAAAATTATTTGTAACAAATATTCTACCTCTGCTTCTTCAAAGTAAGTGAATAGAAACTCTTCTAATATCTAATTATCGAATTGCTTAATACTTGGCTAATCTTATTCTGTGGTGGCATATGTAGTCAGTTTGTCGTTTTCTGAAAGATGTCTAATAATAGCATTTATTAGAGGACTTGATGCTTGGAATATTTGATGGAGAAGAAGGAAATTTGCTTCGTTTACCTTAATGTCAGTTGCTTGAGTGTTTTGTAGTGTTTTGACATCTGCTTAAGGGATAGTTGCAAATCCTTATTTATCAAATAGTTCATCTACATTTGTATTAGTAGTAATGAAATGAGTTAGCTTCTTATAATCAACAAACTTCGAGAATGCTCTGAATAGCTCCTCAACGTTAGAAGAATGAATTCCTCCATAAATGAGCATTTTTTCTTATGAAATGAAATTCAAAAAAATGATGCGGGTGAGATCTGGGAATTGATTAAAAAATTCATCGTTAACCTCCTGCCAGACTTCATAAATCTTATTTAACTCTCTCTCTATGATTTCTTCTGTATAATATTACTAGTTTGTTTTGTCTTGAGAAAGCAAAAACTTCCTAGGATTCTAGGAAGTGGTGTATGAAGCCATCGATGCTATATCGCTAAAATCACTTAAATCATTATTAAATTGATTTTGGCGCTTTACTTCATTGACAAAAATATGTGCATATTTTTCATCAACACCTAACTCTATCAAATCAGATTCGTTCTTAAACTGTAGACCTTCATCCCAATTATGAATTCCGTTCTTTTGCAAAACTGTGGCTATTTCATTGAACTTCTCTACATTGGATTAGGTCTAGAAATAGTACTTAATATTGTTGTAAGCTTTATCTTGTAACATTTTACTGTATTCTTAATAAATTCAAATGGGTTATTTTATAAGCTTTTAGTTATATTATAATGCTTTGATAATAATTTGCAAGTTGCCTTGTTGTTCCTTTAATTTTCTGTAAGTTTTCCTTCACCAAGATGGGTTTTCAAGCTTGCTTGTTTAAAATATTTAAGTGAGTTTTTTAATAATCTTAATTATTAATTTTGCTTTACTTTATTTAATAAAGAATGTTTTTGGAAGTTTTTGCTGTTAAATATTTGTAAAGTTTGTTGCTCTGTTTTTCTTTTAAAAATGTAATAAATATAATTAATTTTTATATCTTTTATTATTATCATTGATTGAGTTATCTGTTTTAAATTCTTATTAAAAATTAATATTTCTTTATCAAATAAATTTATTGTTCTTGTCTCATAGCCATTCGTCTAATTATTAATTTTTACCTCTTCAAGTAAAAAAAGAGGATTAATATTTATCTAATTTCATTTATTTGTTATATTTTTTGCATGAACCAAGTAAACTAATATTCAATTATTTTATCAGCGATCGTAAAAGCCAATTTTCATTCCCAGAATCTAAATTTGAAAGTAAATCACAATTATAATTCTATCCAGATTATATCAATTTTAATTTATTTTTTCCACTCGTTTCTTAAATAAATTTATCAGTTTTAGCTTACATAATTATTTTTAGTTTAATTTTATTAAGAAAATATGATTTAATTAGCTTGAATGTATGAATTTTGTAACTGTTTAGTTCGATTTTGTGAATTATTAAGCTAAAATAATTTCTTCCAAACAAAAGATTTTAATGTTAAAATTTATTTTACATAAAATTTATACATAAAAATTTTGTTTATCATTTAATTTAAATTTATGAAAATGCACTTAAATACCACAAAATATGTCAAATTAATTTTCTAAATTAAAGGGTTAAGTCTGTTTACAAATCATATTTATAAAGAAACACTCTCAAAAACAATTACTAATTACTAGAAGGTTTTATGGAAACGAAATATTCTTTTACAATAATTGGAAATCAATTAAATTTAACTATAATTTTTATGTATATATTTTAGATGCTATTAAATGTTCTTTAAAATTAAATAAAGGAAACAATTATTTCTTTAAAATATCAGTTTTTATCTTTAATCAATTCTTCCAAAAATAAAATATCATTTTTAAATAAAAAATACTTTTTCAAAATTTATGCTAAAACACTTATTTAATTAATGCTTTCCAACCACTAAATTAATATATTAAATTTTATTTAACTAAAAAAATTAAAATTATTTATTTAATTAATATATCTTATTAGGTTTTTGATATTAAAAATAATTTCAATTTTATTTTAGGAAGTTTGACAAGATTTTAACTAATTTATTTTAAATTAATTTATGCTATTATTTTTTCAACTTAAAAAAATTAAATTTAAGGTGATTATGAGTGTAAAAATCTTTGATTCTATAGTAAATATGTAGTAAATGAGGGATTAGCTGATATATTTTATGAATAAAAGCGGTATTTTTATTTAAAATATCTAATTTGTTTAAATTCAATTTAAAAAAACAAAAAATCAAATTTTAATAAATTATCCGCTAATCTATTTTTATCAATTAAAAAAATAATTAAGATAAATTGTTTTTAACTAACATAGCTTAGGTATACAATTTAACGTAACAAAATTATTTTGGTAATAATTTTTAAGGAAATGAGCGTGCTCGATGAATGCTTACAAATAATTAATTAATTTACAGAAAAACATACTGGTAAAGTAAAAGATATAGATCAGTCAGATAAATGTTAGCTGATTAATGATTTAAAATTATATTTGTCAAAAATAAATGGAAAAAAGGATATGAACTTAATTGAAAATAGCTTATCTTGCTTGTAAAAATTGCAAATTTGTCCAAATTAATTAGTTTTTAGCATAGTTTATGAGCTCTATATGTACTATTTAAGGGTTGAGGAGAGTTCTAAATCTCTAAAGCAAGTAATGAATCATAAACTTCTTTTAATTTTGAAAAGCAAATACTTAGAAGAGCACCATTTATGCAATATCGTTAATCACCTTGATAAGACAACCAGTGTTCTACAGATTCTTTCTCAGCAAGACAAATTATCAGTTTATATATTTTTTTTAGAGAAGATTTTTTAAGGACACTCAAATAACTTAAACGAAGTAATTAGAATTTGTAGTAGATTAGCAGCTGAAGATAAAAAGGATTACCTTGAAGGATTAGGATTAATGATTGCAACAGAATATTAAGATAATAAGTAATAAAAAATTAAATTAAATAATGGCGAAAGAATAGATTGCATTTCGATGCTAATATTTGGGCTAATGAATAAAATTTATAATATTTAAACAGAACAACAAATTGAAAATGAAAATGAAATATTAGAAATATATAACTTAGCTATCAAGTGTATAGATGATTTTCTTAAAAATTTATTTCGCAAAGTAATTGAGGAAGGTAACTAAGCATCTTCTATTTCAGTAGCTGCTTCCACAAAAAATAAAAAAGAATCACATAAAATACAGCTATTTTTATTTAACTTTATAAATGATATCTGCAAACAATTATACTCTTAAGAATACTCTATAATACCTGTGATATTTAATGTATTTACATCTATACTTAACAGCTACATAAACCTATCTAATTATCAAAACAATCACTTTATAATTGATTTGACTAAAAGCATCCTCAAAATCCTTTATAAAGATACATAATAAATAACCCAGTTCAGCTAAGATATGCAGATTATATTCTGCTAAAAAGCTCTCAAAGGTAAAAAGTCAAAGTACAACGGCTCAGTCTTTTGTAATGTATGTTCAGAAATAGGATTTTTTACATTAAAATAAAACGAGCACGAAATATCCTTCTGCTAAGAATGTTCAAACTTAGAAATAACTTCATAACACATTTCTTAGATAAAAAATTTATCTGATTTATTAATCAAAGAATAAATTGCTTTTTTACAAACGTTAACATATCTCTATGCAGATACTCATCATAAAACTCTAAATATAAACTTCTTGGAGTCTAGGAGCACTAATATTATACTTCACTTTGTCTAACAAGCCTACAATAAACCAATAAATGCTAAAAATAAAAAAATTACTTTCTTCCTTAACACTCTCACATCATAAACTAAATTAGGTAATCCACCAGATTCCCTGGGAAGCACAGAATTAGATTTCCTAGATTTTATATATAAATCAAAAATACAAACTATGTTTGCAATTCAAGACAAAATTGAATATCTATTAAAATATATTTTTGGCCTCACTAACGATAACTCTAGCATAATTAGAAACAAAGTAAAATAAAATTTAATTATATAATCATGCTATTAAACAATAGCCTATTTGTTAATTTTCTTATCAATTTTATTAAAATTTTCTGCATTATTAATTCGAATAAATAAAAGCAAACAATTTGTAATGCCAATCAAAGAATCTTAAATTTGGTAAACAAATAGTATTGATTGATCAATTTTTTACATTGATACTTAGTTTAATTTTACCATCATTTTTTAGACAAAGTTATTTAGTTTAATTTTTATTATAAAAAAATTTGATTTTATTATTTAATGTATTAATTTGAAGATTTTTTAAAATTACTAATCAAACAGAGCTTAACTATTTTAAATGAAATAGAAGGCTTCAATAGATCTCAAAGATTCGAATAATATATTGATATTCGTAGAAGAGACTAATAAGTGACTGTCAGAATGACTTGTTTGAAAATTTTAGAATAGCTTTATATGTCAGAGGATCAAACACAATTTGAAAGTGATATTGAATATAGAGAGAGAAAAGAAAGATACTTTAAAATGATTATGGACAGATTTAATGATAAAGAAACTTAAGTTAGAGGGACAGTATTGAGTTTTATCAGCAGTAACTTAAATACTATTGCAAATGATAACCAGTAGAAGATAAGCTTAATAAAAGAACTTGTGATTAGAGTTTTAAGTGACACTTAGGAATTTCAAATATAATCTCTTGATGTTTTAGCAAAAATATACTTCCCATTTTTTTAGGGAAAGCAAGAGACAAAAAAGGCAGTAAATTAATTAACTAATATTCTAATTTTACTAATATTTTAATTATTGGATTTAAATAAGGTGAAAAAGACAAAAAAAGAAACTAAAAAAAACTAAAATATTTTAAATATTGAAGAGGAAAAAACCTTAGAAAACATAATTGAGCTGCAAAAGTTATATGAAATAAATACAGATATTATGGTAAGAATCTTTAGTCATTTCTAAGAGAACCAAAGCGATTCTGCTTCAATTCTCAATACAATGCTTTAAATCAGCTTAAAAATATTAGAAGAATTCATTTCAGATAAGAAAGAGAGAAGATTCATTTTGGAAATTATTGAAGTCCTGTCTAGAATGAAAAATATTTTTGATATTTATTAAGAGTTTTAAATATTCATTTCATATTTTGATCTGTTAGTTTTAGAAAGAAATTAAATTCCAATTGCTAATAAAGAACAAAGGGCTGAAACTAATTTATGCATGATAATTATTTTAGACATAATAATCAATATGTTTTAAAGAAACTCAATTGTCTCAAACCCTTAAATAAAAAGGTAATAACAAGTCTTTACATTAATCTTGAAAGGCTTTGAAAAATTTTGAAATTTTATTTAAAAAAAATGAAAAAAGTAATTTTAAATACTTAAAATTTCAAAAAATTTTTGAATGAAGTCAAATTTTATTTAAAAAATTAAAATTTAAACTTTAAAATTGCATGTTTAAAAAAAAAATCATTCTTACATTTTTTAAATGAAAGATACAATTTTTATAAGATTTTAATTAGAATAATTTTTAAAAAGATCGCAGTAAAAAATATTTTTATTTATTAAATAGTTCAATTTCGAAGATAGAAGATAAGTTACTAAATTTAATTTAGAAAGAGGGAAATGTTTAGGTGCTTAAAAAATTAGTCCAATTAAGTGCTTATTCAATAAATTATTCATCTTAGGATATTCAAAAAATACTAGATATATTTAAGTAGAGATATGCCTTTTTAAAAAATGTATCTGACATGTAAAACCTCAGCTAAAAGATTAACTTTGGAGACTAAAATGAAAGTGAAATTCTCATTTTTAAAATAACTATGAGTATGTATATTGTATCAATTTATTCTTATCACTTTATGAAAGGTTCATTTTAAGCTCTAAGCATAAACTTAAAAGATGTCCTTGCACTACTTTTATTTTATCTCTCTCTACCTAACGAAAGAATTTAGGCTGCTAGCTTTGAAAATATTTCAATGCTTTGGGAAAAAGAATACGATTTAATTTTTAGTTGCTAAGACATACTCTAAGAAATTATTGTTAGCAAATCAACTTCTGCTAAACTTTTGATCACAATTTATACAATCTTTGATAAATACATTCTCAAGCACTCTAACTAAATAAAAAAGAAAATCAACACACAAATTACTGTAAAAAACAGTATGGTCGAAGAGTAAATTTAAATTTCATTTAAATAAAAATTAAAAAGTTTATAGCAATTATTAGCATTTTATTTATGAAATCAAACAATAAAATATTTTTTTATTCAACATAGAAGTGAAGAAAATAATCAAAGAAAAAGCATAGACTAAGAATTAGAACACATAACATCAATTATTAGGGATTTAACTATTAAGAGCTATGAGCAAGGACTACAAAACCCAGACTAAATGGTAAAAAAAACAATCCTAAGGCTTTTAAATCTTTTAGTGAACGAAAATTTAGTTATTTTTCAGCAAGTTGGAGCTAATATTATATGTCTTGTATGTGATCCTGATATTTTAATTAGGACATTAGCTAATTCTATTATCTAAGAGGAATGTTTAAGAAACAAATACTCTATAGACAAGTGTTTAAAAGCAGGCTTAAGAAAAAGTGCAGTTTTTATAGATTAGAATTATAAGCAGTTTACAATAACCGAAGGACCTGAAGATAAGTGCCAATCCCTCTTTGAAAGAATAAACACAGTGCTAAAATTGAAAGACACTCCTGAAAAGGATACAAATATTTTTGCAAAAAGAGTCTGTGAAATTTTAAATGAAATAAATGAATGGTCTTATGAAGATCATGAAGTAGCTTTTTTTATTATGTAACTTATAATCAGCTTAAATTAAATCACTCATGGAGATATTTTGATATTCCTTAATGGAATGAAATCAGTTTCTGACAAGGTTTACTACGAGGTAAAAGATTTCTTAAAGAGAGCCATTAATAATCAAATAGACTAATTTGATGAAGAAGACGATTTAGAAAACGAAAAAGCCTTCATTAAAACCAATATATTGCTGATGTGTCTCGTTACCAGCCATATTTTGATTATACAGTCTAGCTTGTCTCTTGGTAAGTACTAGTAGATAGATAGCTTCATTTAAAAACTAAGTTCTTCTTACCTTGAAGAAACAACTATTTTAGATAATCAGTCTAATAACAGAAACTCTGATCTACAATAGCAACTAAAGGTAAAATGGGTTAAGAAATTTAATGGGAACAGAAATCTTTTAGATAATTTTTCTGATTTATTTTTGGAGTAAATGAGAGATTTTGATTGCTCAAACGAGGCTTAATTGAAAATGCTGAGAAAAAAAATAAAGCATTTGTTTTATGATTATGTAGAGAGTGATATTATAAAAGTTCTTGACTTAACATATACAGACACTGACAAAAACCTTAACTCCGACATGAAAAGTAAAGAAACAACTAAGCTAAACTAGAGAGGAAAGCCAACGAAGGCATATGATATTTCTAAAGCAAGTACAAAACATAGAAATATATAAAAGTAGAATTCACACAAATCATCTAATAACAGTGAATCAAGCTATCATTCATGTAAGGGAAGTAAAAGTTCAAATTATTAAGATCTAGATTATAGTGGAGTTTCTCACAAAAGCGCCTCATCCCAAATTTCAAACCCATTCAAAATGAATTTAAGAAATAGACAAAACGTAAAAAGGTATAGTAAAATTTAAGAAGATTAATCAGATACCTAATCAGATGAAGATTCTTAATAAAATTACAAAAATAATAAGGAAAATGACGACTTTGATGATGACTATGCTTGAAAAATATTTATTTATATATTTAAATGATTTAAAGCTTTGATTGAGTTGTAAACTGCTGATAAGCAAATTATTCTTAAAAAAAAAAAAAAAATTAAACAATCAAGCTAATAGATATAAATTAATAATATTTTGAATTAAATAAAATTGAAATTTTTCTATTAAAATAATAATAATTTTACCTAAATTTTGTACTCATTATATACTCATTTATAATTATTTTATTACATTACATATTAATTTAGCATTCTTTTTAGGTTTGCTTTAAAGGTTACTAAATTTCATAAAAATACAAGTTTAAATATAGTTTATTGTACTTATCAGAATTTATAAGCTATATAATAAGGAAATTAATTTTTATTAAGAAATTTTCAATTTAGACAGAATATATAATTATTGATTGTAATTAAAGCTGTGTAATTAAGATTTTTCTTTTATATCTGTGTAAAATAAGAATTGTAAATTAGTTATCAAATTACATTTTGATACAACCTCGCTCCAACTAATTTCTTTTTTTTTCTTTTTCTTTTTTATTTTTTACAATTTAAATTAAAATGAAAATTTTTAAAATAAAATCAAAATTTCTAACTCTTTTTGCCATTATAATAATAATTTAAATTGTGTAAAATAAGTACTGTAAAGTAATATTTGAGTTATATATATTGAATAAACCTTACTCCAAATAATTTGTGTTAATCCTATTAAAAATTTAAAAAATAATAATATTGTTTTAAAGTTTGGAATATAATAAGCATTCAGAAAAAAAAACATAGTTTATGAAATTTGTTTTGTTACTTAAATTATCTTTTATTAAAATATTTAAATTTTTTTGATGAAATTTCTATTAAACATTATTAAATCTTTTAGCATTCTGATCAAATTTGAAAAGTAAATTTTAATTTTTATGATGTTCATATAAAATATAACAAATAACATACTATTTTATATTTTTATTAATAAAGTTATGAATTTTCTTTCATTGCTAACTGTTAGCACTGCTCATCATAGGTTTATTTATCCCATTGTTTTTGTTTGCTTCAAGTAACTCTGGAATATCCTAAATATCAGGCTGTTTAAATGTTTCTTTTGACAAAAAGATGCAAATACAACTAAGCATTCCTACAATACCTAAAATATAGAGAGGATCTATTCCGATTTCTATGGCTAAGTTTTGTAAATAAGGGCTGATCACACTGCCTAAATTTTTTTACAATCCAAAATAATTATGATTCGTACGAATAAGTGCAGTAATTAAATTATTTTACCGATATTAGAAAAGGCTGTTATAAATCCATAGCCAATAGATTTAAGAGTAACTGGAAAGGCCTCGCCAATTTATATAAGCAAGAAACTAATTATACAAACAAAAAAATTTACATAACTTTAATCAATAAAAATAATTGATTGTTTACCTGAAAGAAAATGAAACTATGAAACGAGCTAAGCAAGTAAACACCATTTGTAAATCTTTTTGATAGCATTCATCAGTGCAGTCGCTTGGCACTTTGAAAATTGCATCTAGAATGAGAAAGCATGAAGTAACAAAAAGAGTTATTATACCCCACTTCCTTCTTCTTAATTTTGAACATATTCTATCTAATAGTATAATAAATATTTTTATTTGATTTGAAGAATAACTATCTAAATATTAAGTTATAGTTTATAGTACAAAAAATTATCTGTCATAATTTAATTGTATTTTGAGTAACAGCATAATTATTTAGAATTAAAATTTTTTATGTCAATATTACCTGAAGCTAGATATCCTACTAGCTCAGAAATACCTATGTAAAGACAGTTCTGCTAGAATGTAAAACCAACTGAATCCAAAGAGAGTTATGTTCCATAATATAAAGAGGACAAAAAGAATAATGCAAACATTAGTGGAAACAAGATGATTCTTTATGATTTATAGGCAAACAAGTCATAATAAGTGTACTTCTTTTTCGATTACTTGATTTCTATTTAAGAAAGGTTATTTTCTTGATTAGGAGATTTTAAATTATCTATTGTTATAGGACATTCTTTACCATTAGCGCTTGCAATCCTTTTTAGAACTTCTACACATTTTTTTTTGTTTTTCAAAATCAAAAATCTATTTTTGTAAAAATAAAATGAATAAAATATGATACTCTTAGTAAATTTTTATATTCTTTTATTTGCTATACCTTGGTTGATCATCAATCAAAAAGAAACTTAAAATCCAAAGGGCTGCAGAAGGGATGGCAAAGAAATACAGAATTTAATATCTCCAATTTTCAGTAATCATGATTATAAAATAGATAGAGATCTGTCCTAAACTACTAATTGCATAAGCGACAGTAATGCCCATAACTCTGTATGTTGCTTTTTGAGTAAAATTTAAGTTTAATCATTCAGTTTTTTAAGATATTTATGCTGTTTTGTAAGTTGATTGTAAAAATGTTTACAAAATATTGAAGAAATAAATAAAGGAGAAGTAGAATAGTAATAGTTATCTACAAAAACATAAATTAGTACTCCTTTGTATATAATTTATGAAATAGTTTTCAAAAATTTACCACTAAGTTCATTCATTTAAACAAGAAATAGAATTAACAAGCAGTTATATCCTAAGCCAATACCAAATTATGAAATTATCAATAAGGCTACACTTTAGGTAACCCCATAAAGGATTGCAAATAAAGCACCAAATCCCCATACAAATATAATACACTTCTTACGGCTGAAATTATCAGAGAAGAGATTAACAACTAATAAACCAAAAGCTGCTCCAACCATTCCAATTGATTACAAAAGATTTCTTAATTGTAATTTATCACAATAAAGATGAAATTCAGTAACAGCAGAAGCCATTTTATCTGAATCGACGACAGATCCTGGATCACAGCCTCCCTAATTATTTATAAAGTATTTAATGTTAATTTATTCTATTGTTGTTATTAATGTAATTTTTTACATCAGTTTCGGTGCAAGAAGATCCATCAGAGCAGGTAAAATTAGGGGGATAAGTTGTTGAGGGAACTAAGAAAAACATGTAACTCATGAAAATGAACATAGACCATATAAAAATAATTGATCTCTTTTGGTACCAGTTGGAATCACCTACAACTTACATTGCCTAAAAAGAAGTAAAGAAAGAGTAAGGAAAGATTAAGTTTAATTAATTTTAGTTGTTAAGAATTAAGGAAAAATAATTTTTTAGATTAGAAATACTTCTTCAATATCATATTGTTTCATGTTATTTGATAAAACTTCATCGTCTTCGTCTTGAATTTTGACATTTTCAGTTTGAAATTCAGTCATTTTTGTGAGTTTATTTAAAGTATTTATTTTATAATAAATGTTTGCGAGTTAATATAATTATCACATTAAATTATTAAGAATGTTAATTTATAAATAAAAGAATATTCAAAAGATATTTCTAATTTGATTTAGCCATTAATTTTGCTTAACTTTATCATTTAAATTAGTTATTTATAACAAATTACATATTTACATCTCTTAATTTACTCCTTTGAAGAACTTCAGCTCATATCTATTCCATCAATTTTATTCATAATCATGATAATTTCTTAACAGTTTTCAACAGTATTAACTTGAATTATAAATAAATATTAACTATTCAAATAGTTAATCGTTTATTTTCATATTAAATTATTCATTTTAAATCTAACTATCTATCAATATATAAATGAGAGAATTTCTCAACAATATTTTTTTTGTTTATCTGATTTATAATTTTAAAAAGTTTAAAGCAATTTATAAAATTATAATGCTTTTATGAAAGAATTTTTTATTTTAATTTAGAAAAAATATTTTTATTTTAGGATAATACTAATTGACAGACATAGTTGATTTTTACATAATTTTGATAAAGCATATTTGAACTTTTTAAAAAAAATATTTTTAAAATAAATTTAATATTTATTTGAAAATAAAAAATCTACAATAATCATGTAAAAATGGCATTGAGCTTTAGATAGATAATTATTTTTTTAATTTTAACTTGATAAAAATATCTAGATATTTAAATTATTACTTATTTATTGTTTTATTTTTAAGTTTTTATACAAAAATTAGTTATTTCCATTAAAACGAAATAGATTAATTTAATCAATACTCTTTTTTTTCATATCATACTACCATTAAAAGGTAAAATTAAAATATTATTGAATCTTTATTTATTTTAAAACTATAAATTTTTATATTAATTATATTAAATTAAGGTAATATTTATACTAATTAAAATAATATCTGTAATTTGATAATATACGGTTTTGTATCTTCTCCTATCCTTTCCAATAAATTTAAGAGAATTTACTCATATTATATATTCTTCTGTTGCTATTATTAAAAGAACTCTTTTCTGATGGTATAGATATATAATGTTTACGATGAATATACTCTAAAATATAAAATATTTTTTTTTAACTTATGAAACTCTATTTTCATTTTTTTTTGGCTTTTTATGAAATCTATTAAGCATTGTGAAAAAAATAAGAGTATGATACAAATTATTTAAAAGAAATATATTATTATTATTAGTTGTGCTAGCTGTTGGATATGTTTTGTTGTTTAGCATTTTATTTTTTAATATTCTAATATATCAAACAAAATATTCTTTTTGATGATAATAAAAAAAAAATAAATAAATAAACAATAGGTACTTTCAATATTCTATTCTTTAAATAAATAAATTCTTAATACAATAAATAACTTTCCTCAAAAGTTTATTTTTATGAAATATTTAATTAAATTTATTAAATGTTTTGTAATTGTTTAATTTTATTTTAATTTTTAAGATTTAAATACAATAACCATATAATTTTTCTTTTAATACTAAAGAACAAAGTATAAATAAATATATTAACTAAGCCAAAATAAGCCATTTTAATGGCCTTTTTTATTATTAATTGAAAAAAATTAAAAATAATGTATTTATTATTTGCCATTAATATATGAGTTTATCATAAATTCTCATAAATAGTAAAAGAAAATAATAGATAAATTCCTTTTTAGTGCTTTTCTATCTTAAATACCTAATCATTTCAAATAAATGAAGCCATAAATCAATCAACAAAATTTCTTTTTAATAGTTTTTTATCAAAAATTTCAACTCCAAATAAGTGAAATCAAAAACATATTTTTTGATATATTTGAATAAAAATATGCTATAGATGTGAATGCTGATAATAAGATAGAAAAAATTCTTTTTTATTAGCATTTTATTTGATTATTTATTTAATATAATTTATTCACATTTATAAAAATAAATTAACTAATGAAAGCAATTTTCAATATATAAATTAAAAAACATTTATATTTTCTTAAAATAACTAACACCAATTTCTTGAAAAAATTTATAATCCTACTATATTTAACATAAAAGAGATTTGATAAATGATATTTAAAATGATAATCCCATCTCATAAAGCTAGGACTGATAAACTATCTAGACTGATTCAAAAGTTCTTTAATAGTGAAAAAGAATTTTATATTTTGAAATTAATAAATATTAAAAATTAATTAGAGATTTTATATTTATTTATTAATTTATAAAAAATTTTTGCTAACTAATAATCTAATTCAAACAAATATTTAGCTTGAAATTTCATAGCTTATTGCCATAAAATTTAGCTGGAATTTATTAAAAATATTTATTTTTTTAGAATTAAATACCATATAATTTAATTTGAGTTTAATACAATTTTTTTTTGATTTTTTTGTTGTTGCAAAATTACTTTTTTAAAAAACTATCAAATAACAATAAAATTTATTTTAACCAACTTGATATGTCTTATTTATAAATATTTTTTGCAACTGAGCTTTTACATACATTTTTCTTAATTTTGAATTTAAATGGATAATGCAAAAATGTTAAGTATTACTGCGTAATTTTTTTGAATTTGTAAAAATAGACTTTTGTAAATTTTTGTTTTAAAAATAAAAAATAACTTGAATTAATTAAAATGAATATATCCCTTTTAATCTCTTTTATATTTTTATTGGTTAATATTATCAAGTAAATATTTTATAAAGTTAATTATATTTCAAAGAATTTCAATTTTTGTTTTGCTTATGAAAAATTTTGAATATTTTTACCTTCTAGAAAAATAAATTTTTATATAAAATTGCTAAGTAATTAATTGATTTTTATTTAACTAACTTTCATTTTCTATAAAAAATTATTCTTCAGTATGACTGTATCCAAAAATAAAGATTATTTTACTCAGTACATATTTTAGATTTTAGTTAAAAATGTATAAATTTGTTTACATCCAAAAATTATTCTGAACAAAGCTGAAGAATAAAGAAAGTTTAAAAAATAAAAAATTTTTATGTAAAACTTAAAAAAATAATTTTAGTACTTTTTAAAAATAATTATCAGTTTCTATTTTATTTATTATAAGAAATCTTGAAATATTAATTTTCATGTTAACAATTTCAAGAGAAGACTGACTGATAGATCAACGAAATGGTAAACAAAATAGAATCAGCTATATTAATTAAAATAATATAAATTAAGGGCCAGTAAAATTTCTAAAAAAGTATACAAGAAAAGAATATATGGAAATCAAAGAGACACTTACTTTTGCATATCGTTAAATGAATAGAAATTTTAATTTAAGACAAAAACTTACTTATCATCTAACAAAATTTGTGATTTTCTTCCCTTTGATTTAATAGTCATATTTTAAAAAATTGAATTTTAATTAAAGTCAAGCAGAAAAAAAACGAAGCAAATTTTTGAAAAAGTTTCTACATAAGTGATTCTTTCTACCAATTTATACTATTCTAGAATAATATGTCTTTTTACTTTGTTTTTTATGTATCTTTTGTGTTAACTTTTAAATACATTTTGAGAAAAGCGAAGTGCTTTGGATGATAATTGAACTGAAAAAATATTTTTTTGGTAAATTTGCTTGGAAAATAGACTGTTTAATGAATAATTTTGGTGGGATTTATATAATGAAAATATAACCAACTAACTAAAAATATAAAAATATAAATTGGTATACTTGGTTAGAAAAGATTGAATAGCAGTAGCTCAAGATATTTTAATAATTTTTTCATTTACTATGTTAAAATTTAAATAATAACTAAGCATGGCTGCTTGTATAATAAAGTCTAGATTATTTAGTAAGGATTTAATATATTATATAAAATAGATAAATAGAGATTTTGCTGATTAGTTATTAATTTAGATAGATAAATAGATTATAGATAGGTAGAATGAATCATTAGATAGTTATATCGACTCTTATATTTTAGTGTCGTATCTTTCATCAATCAATTGTTCTATTAATTATTTTTCAAATTAGTTATTTTTTATTTATGCTTTGATTTTACTAATTTTGAAGCAGTTCATTTATTTTTTTGGATTTTTAGTTATAACTGTTTATATATTATTATCATTATTCTGATTTGCATATCTTTTTATTATTTTTGTTAATATTATTTTATTGGTAAATTGATTGATTGATTGATTGATATATTATTTGGTTTGTAATAAGTTGTTTCATCATTTTGATTGGTTGAGATGGCGATAACCACATGTCCTTGATTTTATTTCTCTTTCTTTCATTTCATGGATTTTATCTCTTTTGTGTATTTTTTTCAATACTTTTTTATAAAATTTAGACAAGAAATTTTCACTCTAGATGCTGTATTCGAAGTCTTAGTCAAATGTTTGCATATATCTTTGTAGTTCATCAAACTGTTTTCTTATTCCCAAAACTTTCTAAACTTAGAAAGGCTAGATATCATATTGAGAAACCACTATAAAATCATCACACTGGATTTCTGGATCATATTAAAGCTCTGGTGGATATTTGATTTGGCACACTTTAAACTCAGCTGGACAGTATATGGAGATGTTATCGTATGATAAAAGGTTGAAGTTTTATTCAAATTAAGTAGTTTTACCATGAAGAATGTAATTCATGTATACTTATTAGATAACAGCTCTTGAGTCGTAGCTGAACATATCAAGCTAACTCTTTTTAAGAGCGACTCTGGCTTATTGATCTTCATCAGCACCTAAAAGGTAAATCAATTCTTTAGATTTTGAAAGGTAAGAAAGATGCATGGACTTGTTAATGATACAAAATGAATATCCTGCTATATTAACAAAGAGGTCTTACGAACTGTCTTACTTTGTCATGAATTTTTCTTATGAGTAATTCTACATATATTCTTATCTTTACTATTTGATCTTCATCATGTATTCCATATTATAATTATTCCTTTCTAATATTCTTGTGATTATATCTCTAAAAATAGCTTATTTGATATTCATTTAGCGAAGCATTTCAGCAAACTCTTTATACTTAGCAGATTGTTGAGATTCCAGTAATTAAATGCTGTAGTTTATATCTATATCTGGGATTTCCTTCTCAGGCATATGGAAACTAACATAGCCGCATTTTTTTTCGACCTTATAAACAGGTTTTATATTATGCAAAAGGTCAAAGCCACGGAAATACTCATCTTGCTGTTCTTAAATTGATGCTCCACTGTCAAGATCAACCAAGAGATCAAAAATAATAACATGCGAGAGTTTTTATTGCATTTTATTAAGGAACAACTGATACATAAACTTACTTTTATCATCTCTGTAAGCAATTTCATAATCCTTAGCCACAAGGATTTAGTTATTACTGTTATATTCTTCATCGTCTTCTTACTTAACTTTGCTTTTGTTTTTTGATGAATTTATACATTTTAATGATTTAGTCTTGCTCAAATCATCACAAATATCTTCTTCCTCCATAAACATCTTCATATTACTAGCAGTTTAATTGTTAGAGGAGTGTTCTTTTAAAACAATACTCAAATTAATGATAAATTTAAAATATATAGTTGTTAGTTTGATTTGGTTAAATTTTTTGTCTTTTTATATATTTGCTTGATTATTATAATGACTCTATTATTCTATGTGGTCAATCAATTACAAAACCTTTATTTTTTTGTTTTCTTATTATATAAAATTTTGATTGAATATTATTAATTAAGATTGCGATTATCTTTCAATCATTTAATCTTTTTTTATCACCTCATTTAATTTTTTCATGAATGGCTACTTTATTTATTATTTTTATGATTAAGACTAAGCGAAGTTTTCTAAAATAGTCTTTGCTTTCTTATTTTTTTTTTCACTTGTTTTTTTAATTGCTAAATTTACATGCTCTTTAAGTTTTTATCGTATTATTCAAGCATAACATTCTTAATATTTATGTACCTTAACTATCTTATGGAATTTAATAAATTTTTGATCTTATCTTAATATCTATTTCCAACTCATTAAAGACAAAAATTGTTAATTATTTGCTTCAATAGTACTTATTGTTCAAAATTTACAAATCTAGTTTGGCCTTTTTTTCACCAATATAAGCTTGTCAAAAATTAGTAATTTTAACATAATATGCTTTCAAACATTAAAATTTCAACAAAATTTATTTTAAAAATATGATAGCAAATATTTTTCTAAAATTAAGAAAATGCAATTAGTAGTTGGAAATAAAATTGACTTTAAAGCTAGTTAGTAATATTTTTCAAGCATATATGTTTAAATATGCGTTAATTATAAATGTATGTAATATTTTAAATAGAGGTATATTCTTATTTATAAATTATGTAAGCAGACTAGATAATTCAAGAATAAATATTCAAGCAATTTAAGTGGAATTTCTTTATTATAAGTTCGAGGTAACTAAAATTTGAATTTAAAAAATTTAGAAGTGATAAAAATCTGATTTCTTTATGGCTTTATATAATTTTAGATGTTCATTTATTTAGTAAACAAAATCAATTTTTACTTTTAAAATATGTAAGAATAAATGTGTAAGCAGAAGAATATCATAAATAGTACAATCTCGCATAAATATTTTAATTTTTGTTAGAATACTTAATTTTACGTAGCAAACATTTCAGAGATCTTGAAATTTTAAGCATAGAATTAATTATTATACAATGACCAGGGTGGATTTTGAGTAAGATTGTAGCAAATAGTTATAATATTTCATAATTAAATTACGGATTATCATTTAAATTGCAAAGTACCAATTAATCTTTAATCTACGGCTAAAAATAGTATCAAATACAATTTTTTTAATTTATGCTTGAGTAATTTTTCAGATTTTAATCTTAAATATCCACACTTAAATATTTTAAATACTCATTTTTGATTTATTCATCTAAATTCTAAAAATTTACATTTATTTATGAGCTATCATTGATTAATTCAAAAAACTTTCTGATTCAAAACTTAATAAGTTTAAGCTGTTCAAAAAACCTAAATCGGAATATTACTATTTAGTTTAACATGAATAATAAATATAAATATATAAGATAGTCTTTGATAACACCATGTGTCAAAATGTGTCAGTAATTTATCAATATTTCAAAAATTATTTACTAAAAATTCTGATTGATTTTCTTTTTTTGAATAATTTAATAATAATGACATTTTGTTTATTTTCCAAAGCACAAAATTACATTCAATCAGATATTAATTATTAAAATTTTGAAAATATTATAATTAAAATATCACACACAATAGTAAGCAAAAACCATTTTACTCATTTTTTATTATTCTAAATTATTTAATTGCTAAATAAGTTAGTGAAAAATATTTATTTGTGTTAAATTAAATATATTTTTTCAAGATATTAAAAAGAAGATAAATAATGTGCTTAAAGTATTAATTTAAAATAGCTGAAATACTTTAAGAAAAAATAAAAAAAATAGCATAAAAACCTATCTTTTGAAGATTTTTATATACAAAATCTAAAAAAAGTTTGATTAAACTTTACTTTTTACTTATTAAACAATAAATGAATACTAATATTTTTATTCCCAGAAGAAAATGAAAATAATTTTTATAAAAAATTCTAATTTAATTTATTAAAAAGTAGGATTTCATAAATTTTAGGTTAATTTAATTAAAATATGAATATTTTAGATATTGAGAAGAGCTTTTTCATATTAGCTCATCTATCTTCTAAATAACAAAATAAAAATTTTGAATCTATAAAAATTATAGAATAAAAATAATTTATTTTAAGGATAAATTCATGGGTTGAAAGAAATATGTGAACGTATATCTTATAATTAAAAAGCTTTTAATATTAATCTTAGACATAATAAATTATCTATAGATGAAAAATAAAATGAAATAGAAAATCTTAAAAATGCAAAATTAGTATATTAGAATTAAAATTTGTTTAATATAACTTTATTATAATTCGAATGAATGTTAAAATATTGTTAAACATCTTAAACATTTTATCAATTATAAAAAATTAATATTTCTATTTAAGATTAAAAATTAAATGAAATAATTAATTTCATTTAAAATATTTTAAATTTTCTTAGAAAATTTATTGAATTTTTTTTACTAATTTTAATTCAAATGCATGGAAATTATTCTTTATAAATTTAAACTAAATTTTTCTGATATTTTACTATTTAAAATTTAATATATATTTTTTATCTATAAAATTTAAACATTCATTTTGCTTTTCTTAATTCTTTATTCATATTCATCTTTACTAATCATTCATATTAAATTCTAAATATTCTTAAAAAAAAAAGGGAAAATGAAATTAATAAATAAGATGCTCCAAACTTAGTTAGGTTCTTATTTTAATAATTGTGTCAATCTTTCATATATGTTTGAGACAGACTTTTGATTTTGTAAAGTATTATTTTTAGTGTCAATTAAAATATTTTAACTTTAAAAAATTTTATTGTACTAAATTTAAAATGTTTAAAGAAAGATAAACAAATAGGTATATTAATTGTATTAAAGTCAGTTTTTGATGAATTTGTGAAAAACGAATAAATAAATGATTGAGCAAAACATAAGCAAATGTATGTAATTGGTAATAGTTAAAAGAAAAATATCAAATATTCAATTTAATATTGTTATTTTAACAAAAGAGTTTTTGACTGACTTGCATTGTAATAAACAAATTTTCATAGATAATAGACACAGCTTTAGAAAAAAGAAAACAAAATGAAATTAATTTTTCATAAAATATTTAGGATAAAATTATTCTTTTTGCTATTCTTAGCCTTATCTTTGACAAATAAAGTGAACGCAAATCAAACATATGTGAAAGTTAGTAATGGCTAGTAATAAGAAGAAGAAGGAAAAACTATTATAGTTGGAAAAACAACCATAAATTAGATAGATTATAATACAGAATGCTCATGCGTTGAGCCTTCTCTTTAGTAAATGGAAGATCCTGATGCGGAATCGTGCAGTTTAAATAAATTAAAATTATAATTGGACACTGATGGATAGGGTATGAACTAAGATACTATTAGAGATATCGTTGGAGATGTACATTCTCTGCAATTTGTTAATCCGAAAGAATACTATTTCATGGGATTAGATGGTAGAAATACAGAGGCTTGTCTGTCTACTCCAGGAGGAGATGCTGGAGAATTTATTTTAGCTCTTTTTATATATGAAGGAATGCTACAAAAAAGATAGCTTGATCAAAACTCTGTCGATGCCTTCTTTAAATCATATTTATAATATATGAAATCATAAAAGGTAATTTAACTAATAAATATATAAATAATAATTTTCATTCTACAGAATTATTTTGAATATAATTATTATTGATTCAACCAACTTTTTTACTATTCATCAAATACTAATTTAATTATTTGATACAAATATGTGATTTATATGATTTAAAAATCAACATCCAACTAAAGAATTTACTTGTGAAAAAGTTGATTTTAGATTCAAAATGTTATTAAATTGATTTTAAAAACATTTTAAAAGAAATTCAAAACCGAACACAAAATTATTTATAGATATCATCAAAAAAATGCTTTTCAATTGGTGATAAATTTATAATGAACTTATAATATGGGAAATTTAGATATTTTAATGTTTAATACAAGAAAAGAATCAAAATTTAAAAAAAATACAGTTATGTTTTTTTATATTTAAGAATTGATCGATCTAAAATTCTCATTACTCTAATTTATATTTTATCAATCCAAAAAATAAAAAAATGTATTTTGTGTTTCTAGCTTTACGATAATTAATTTAATTCAGTATATTATTTAAAATTTTGTAGTGAATGAATGAATAAAAGTCTTTCGAGAATAACTAAATAAATAATTTTTAAAATGTTATTTATTACTATAAAATTTAATGAATTAGAATTTTTCTGGTTGTTTATGTTTGTTGGATTGAAAATTAAAAACGCTTGAATTTAGATTCCTTTTCCAATTAATTTAAATTCAGCTAAAGAATTATATCACCAAACCATACAATTTTATTTTTATTATTAATTAAAAACCATTAACTTTATTTTTGGTTTAATTTGCAAATTCAAGTACTTTCAGGAAATGTTCTAAAAATTTTGAATAATCTAATAATAAAAATTCAAGTTGTTCTAGTTTTTATTTTAAGGTAGATGATTGGTTGATTGATTGATATAGAACATAAATTTAATTCGTTAAAAATCAATAATTATTCATTCATTCTAGCAGCATAAAATTTTTTAAAATGCTTGATAACATATTTTGGATGGTTAAAAAATCCTAAAGGAAAACAAATTATTTTTTAACTTCACATCATATCTAGAATTGTTAATAATAATGTCTATAAAATTTATTTAAAAAGTTTTACTTTGCAACTGATGATGAAGCTATTTTTCATATGGAAAGAGAGACAGGCTTATCTATATCAATTGATTCACTGAAAAACCCTAGCGAATCTAATAAAGCAGACCTTCTAAGTGCTCTTATTAAAGCTGAAAACTAGGGTGATAGACACATAAAGAATTTGTTGAAAAACCCTGATTTATATAACATAAGACCAGAAATAGTTTAAATGTTTATTACCTCATTCTTTAATGTATTATGGGATAAAACAAATTTAAATCGTGAAAAACTTATTTTAGATTCACTTGTTGGGTAACCAAGCGAATCAGCATTTTTAGAAGTAAGGTCTAATGAGATTTGTCTTGAAAAGCATTTATCTCCTTTAATTTCTGTTAGAAAAAAAATTGGGGATAACTGGTAATCATTGTTTGTAAACCATATCGATGCAGCCTCATAAAAGAGAAGGGAGTTAGCTCATTTCTTCTCTGATTCAGTGAATCATCACCAAGAACCAATAGATCCTGATATTATGTTTAACAGATTAACTAAGCACGGATTAAGCTTCTTGGAAGTGTCAGGAAGTAGACTCGCTAGATACTTACCTTTCTATTCTCTTGATATGGTTTGAAGTATAGAAATAATAATAAATAAATATCTATGTTACATATGATTTTAGCGATATGAGTATCAATCAGTAATATGATGTTAAAAATTTGAATCAAAATGGCCTTTAATTAATTTTTATCTTACATAAGCATTTAATTATTGTCTTTATTTAGTTTCAAATTACTTTATTTATATGCTTGAATAGTTATTTTATTCTAGAAAAAAATAATTTGTTGAGTTATTAAATCAATAATTTTCTTTAATTTTCTATTTTAGCAATGTAAACCTTGTAAAAAAACATAAAAATTCACTCTTTTTATTTAAGGAAATACATTTGTTATTTTGTTTGTTAATATTAATCATTGGAATAAAATAACCAAGTAATATCTGGTTAGTTTGTTTTAAGAATAATCAATCAAAATTTAGCTTACAAATTGATTAAAACTTATTAATTTCTATTTAATGATTTTTTTTTTTAATTTACACTAAGCTTAATAAGCTTTTTTAGAATTTATTTCAGATCAATTATCAAATAATTCATTAGTCTTTTTTATTTTATTAAAGAACATCAAAGATTTAATTTAAATATTATCAATAAATGAATGGATAAACAAATAAAGAATTAAACGCATCTATTTTTATTTTTTATGAAATATTTGAATGATAATTTTGTACTTTAATTAGAAAATATAAACATTTATATATTGCTTGTTAGATAAATTTAAATATTAAACTTACTTTTTATCAGCAATTCTTTTTTATAAAATTATAGATAATGTAAATGAATAAGGTAAATAAAAATTTTTTTATAAACCCCAAAATAAATACTATTAAATTGTAACATTAATATTTGAATATTGGATAAATCAAAAAACCAATTAATTAACTCTGAAAATGAGTTTAAGTTATTTTCAAAACCTATGTAAGAAAAGAGCACATTTATTATTTTAAATTGATAAAACTTTTATTAAAATATTTAAAAATATATCATTCTATGTTGAGATTAACAGGGCTTCTCTGTATATAAGAATATGATTCATTATATATGGAAAGTCTAAATCCTACATTAAATTCAACAATTTTTTTATCATGTTTGATTCTGGTTGGTAAAAGATAGTTTTCAGAGTGAACTATTATTGTGTTTTTAAATTTTTTTTTGAAAAATTATATTTATATTACACTTAATAAGAATAATCTTTTGTAAGTATGTACTAGATAAATTATTTTTTGGTTGTTTGTTGCTGCCAAATAGTAAAATTTAGATATAAATATTCCGAAAGAATCATTAAATTTTTTCATAATTTTATTTTACTTCCTAAAAGAAAGTTTCTTTTACATTATTCATCATTATTAAATAAGAAAAAAGAATTTTTGTTATTTTTTAATTTAACTTACATATTGCTAGAAAGAAGAAAAACTAAACAATTTTTAATATTCAATTATATGCATGATAATTTTATTATTGAAAAGCAAATAAATAAACAAGAAAGAAAAAAGAGTCAAGTTATATTGGTTATTGATGTAAAAATCTAAATTAATTGAAAATGTCTTTTTTAATGAGACAAGAAAATTTTGTTAATAATGATTAGATAAAAACTAATTGCTTTTTGAATAAATTAAGAATTATTTGAACCAGATTTTTAAAATAAATCTAATTATAAATCCAGTCTAACAATATAATAAATCAATTTACATAAATTTCTTTACTCCTTTGACTTTTAAGTTAGCTAAATATAAATTTAAATTACCCACATTAGCTTTTTAGTTTTTGAATTGATTTTTTAAAAAGCGAGTTAAAATTTTAATCTTCAAATTGTATTCTTGTTTGCTTTCTGTTATTTGATAAATTTATAGACATTATAAACTGCTTGCTTAAATAATTTTAAGTTTATGTTTATTTATTTCTCAATTAAGACATTTTATGCCATGTATAATAATGATATTTGATAGATTTTGAATCTCCTATTTACAAAAATTTAACATTCGTAATTTTTGAATATAGTGGTAGCAGCAGACCTTTTACAGTATAGTGATTAATTTTAAATGTGGATTTGTCCCAAAAAATAAAAATTGATGATCAATTTTTGGGATTGAAATATCTTTATCTAATTCCACTAAATATTGATTAAAATTGGGATAAAGACTTAAAAATTAAAAAAATATGTTAATTTAAATAGGAATATCCAAAATTATTTCTCATTTCTGCATTAAAATTTAGATTCATAAATTCTTTTGAGACTTTCAGCTTTAATATGAAGTAAAATCATGAAAAAGTGCAAGCCTTCAAAAAAAGGCTAAGTATTTTTCCCAAATAAAAATGAGATAATTTATTCATAGTTAAGTTTAATATTTAAAGGAAAATTCAACTTTCAGTAAAATAATTAAATTATTTATTTATTTAGCATCTCAACTCTATATGGTTAGGGTACTTATCTGCGTTATGTAAATATTGTCAAGTTGTTAATTTGAATGGTAAATTCCTTAATTAATAATCAAAAATAAAAATATGTGAACAATCCTAAGAATAATAATGTATAGATACAAAACTATTAATTTTCTTTTCTAAAGTAGTTCTATCTGTCTATCTATCTATCAATCTATTCAAATTTTTTAGATATTTTTAATTTTAAAATAGCTTCCTGCTTTACTCTAAAAATCAAAATATTTTCTCATTTTTTAAATAAATTCATAAAACTAAATGATAATTAGAAAATATTCCTCCAAGCTGACTGCTGATTAGACATATTCAACCAGAGTTACTGGTGGACTATCTGTTTTTTTCCTTTAATTAAGTTACAAATAACATACACTAAGTACATTAAACTATAACTAAATTTCTTTTTGTAACTGAGCTAGCTTGGATTTTTTTACCTAAAATTATTGATATGTATATATTATGATAGTTAAATTAAAAGTAATCTTAAAAATTTGTTAGTATAAACTGCCTAAGTTTCTCATATTTTAAGAAAACCTTTCTAATTCGCCATTAAATGTTAATTTTCCTTATGAATTTTGTTACAAGCAATAAGATGTTCTCTTAGTAAAATTTCAAAGAGATCGATCTGTAAAATGCTTTAATATGCATTGTAAATATTTAAAAAGGGATCAGCCTTCGAATCTTATCAGATTACCAGAAATTATTGCTGATTTATGAATATATTATTTATTTATTCAGCATTTAGAGAATATACTCTGTACCATCGATTGAAATAGTAAAAAATTAACTCTACAAAACAGATACAGCTTATCGCTTTATATTTTTTTAATTATTTCACCACCAAGAAAAGTTTTGTGTTTTGTAACACTAAAAAGATTTAATCAATACAAAGGGTGAGATAATTAATATCGAATGTACAATTACATTGATTAGAATTATATTTTTAAGAATTACAAAAAACAACACCCGATCGATGATCATCTAATAAATTCTTATTCGCTTGCACAGTATAATATTAGATTAACTAAACCAGCTATCTCGTGTGCACATTAAAAGAAGCAATTAAGTTGTTTAAAAATTTATATAAAAAATAAAAAAAATAAATAAATTATTAAAGAAAAGAAAATTAATAATATTACTATAAAAAGTATTTAAATATAAAATTAATATTTGAGAATTGCATTCTGCATAAAGCACAAAATTAACTGCGAAGCAAACAAAAAAACACATAAAATACAATTAAAAAACCATCTCACTCAAAAAGCAAATCACTTAATAAAGTTTAAATATTTAACTCTAAAAATGGGAAATAACTCTTCTTGCAAATCTGAAAGAGAATTCTTGTGTCAATACAATGCCATTTACTAAGTAATGTATGACCAAAAACACATTAGAGATTTTCTTCTCTACTTAAGACAAAAGCTAAGCGAAAATAACCATTTTTCAACTATCCCCTAAGAGAAGCTTTTTGTCTGCTTTTAAGATGACCTTGAAAATATCTGCTTGAAGTTATCCTTGTCTGACTTAGACTAAGCAACTGCTATTGCTATTTACGACTACCTACAATATATAATTTACTCATTAGGTAAAATGAGAAACCTTAAATAAGCATATGATAATTACATCTCAATTTTAAAAACTAAACTTAGTTTGGATAAATCAAAACACTGTCAATAATACAAACAACTCTTTGAAAGATTTTTATCTAAATATGAAGAACTCAAATAAATTATTAATTTGATTGAAAAACTTGATTTAGATACAATAAAAACTTGCCTTAAGACCTGTGCCAAAAAATATAAAATCCCCCTGAATGATTAAACCACAAGCAATTAAAATTAAATATTTAATAAATAAAACAATGACAAATGTAGTATGTATTATGGAAGAGAAACCTGCAGCACCATTCATTTAAATGAAGTCGAATAAGATGATTCATGGATCGAACCTTTCTGAAAAAAATAAATATAATTGATAAATAAATAAAACAAAAGTTGAAATGAATATATTGATAGATAAGGCAGAGCCTTTTTTAAATAAAATTTGTAAATATTTTCTTTAAATTCTTATTTAAGAATTTCTAAAAAGAAGATAATAAGAAAACAAATAAATACTAGTATATAAAAAATTAATAAATAAATGTATAAAACTACTTTAATTAGTTCACTACTTATAATAAATATATTTTAAATTCATTTTGTAAATATTCTCTTAACTTAACTAATTCAAAATTATAAAACTAAAATAAAAATCACCAAAAACATTTAACACACAAAACTTCATTTCAAAGTATTTAAGATGTTTACAAAACTTTTAAAGAATTTGCGTATTTGCAATTTGCCTTATAAATTTAAAATACAGAATTTAAAAGTAAATGATAGATAATTTATATTCCTAACATTAACATTAAACATGTAATACATAAAAAAAATATTTAGAGAAGTATTTTATATTTATATGAAATAACTCATAAATAAAAAAAGACCAAATTTTACAATTATAAAAATATATTGAAATAATATAATCTGTTAATATTAGAAACTATTAATGTGGCTATAATAGATTTCATTTCATGTTAATGATTTCTTTTTTAAATTTAAACTAAATCCATTCATCCATTTACTTTTTTATTTATTTGTTTGTTTGCTTGCTTGTTTTATGGATTGATAGGAATAGAAAGGAGCTAAAAAACCACTTCAAAAAATTTATAATGAGTTTTGAATTGCTTTATCACAAATGAATAATGAGATAAAAAGTAAATTCACGATTTTGAGCTAAAGAAGTTATCTATTCCTATTTATCTAATTTAATAGATAGAGTATAAATAAAAAATTTACAGTAACTGAAAGATGTTTGGAATAAATTAGATTATGATTTTTTTATATTATTTGTGTTAAATTTATTAATTTATTCATTTGAATCTAAAATAGAAAGAATATAAATAATTGAATTCTATGCGAAAATAAGTAAATAAATTTATAACTAGAACTAAACATATTTCTAATAGCGATAGTCTTAGCAGAATTAATTAAGTTTTTTTGAAGTGAATTCATGAGGCTCATAAGCATATATCCAATATTAGTTACTTAAAAACAAAAGATTGCAAGTAAAACTTTTTAAAATTAAATTTTTTTGTCTAATTTGAAATATTCGTTGGTGAATTTATTTATCTAGAAGTGTAATGTATGCAAATATACTAAATTTTGCAAAGCTCAAAAGAAATATATTTAAATATACACTTACGATACATATTGATTTGTGAATTTAAAACTTTAGTATTATTCTACTTAGAAACCTTAAAACGTGCTAATTAATACATTTGTAAATTCGTCTCATATATTAAATTAAATTTAATTTTTGTATTTTTGTTTAAATTTTCCGATAAGTTTGGTCAAATTCTTCAGAAGAGTATAATTGATGAGTTATCATAATAGTTTGATAAAATTACTTACACAAATACAAAAAGTGATTTTTTTCTTTTCTAAAACGAAAGGAAATCTTTTTAGTAAATCAAAAATTAAATAAAAATGTATTTTTTAAAAGTCAAATAATTAAAATTACTTTTTAAAATATAAAAATAGTGAAAATTATTTTTTTTCTTTTTAAAGAAATTCAAATAAGAAAATAAAATTTTACATTTCTAAAAAAAAATAATTTGAACAGTATATAAATAATCTTTTTGCATAATCATACCTAACTAACTAAGAAGAAGAAGAAAAGTAAATAATTTAATATAATTTAAAACATCAAAACATAAAATACAATTTATTTATGTGGAAAGAGATTGATTCATCGTTTTATTCTGATCAGTTATAGCAATAGAAATTATTTGGATTTTCTTTTTTAACAAAATAAAATTGATTAACCAAGTTAACAAAACTAGCTATTTACCATCAATCTTTTTTTATATTTAATTTACATAACTATGGCCATCTGTTTATGTATTTGCTTATTACATAAATATTAATAAAAAGAAGCGCGATATAAAATATATCAAATTTATAAAATCACCGAATGATTGTTTTTCTTTTTATCTTAATAATTTTTATTTTTCGAACTGTAGATTCAGTAGTTTATTGAAATTCCGTGTTTATACTTCACAACTTCCATACACTTAATAGATAAAATTATGCAATATATTTTATATATAGTATTTAAATAAATATTTTTAGAGTGTATTTTGTTTAACATTTGTAGATTAGATTTTTCAAATATTCATAAAAATATTTATTGATAGCCTTCACTTTTATTGGCAAGAAATAATGAGTAGATATGATTTTCCAAAGTAAAAGACAGTTTATATTAAATTAATTATATTTCATAACTAGAATGAATATTATTAGATCTATAAATTTCAGTCAGTCCATAATGTCCTCATTATTTATTTTTAATTTAGAAGCGATTTACCAGGTATTTCGAGTTACATAAAATTTCAAATAAGAATAAAGTAAAAATACTGTGATTTAGACCGTAGAAATATTTTTGATTTAAAAAATGAAGGGGTAGAGAGAGATATATGCATGCGATGTAATAACGCAAATTAATTTAAAATTAATTACAAAATGAATAAATATTCTTTAATTTTATGTGTAAACTGACTGCGAAATATCTAATTTTAACTTATTGTAAATTTTTACTGATTAAATTTAAATTTTTTTGTTTGAGATATTTTGAAAATAATTTTGATTTTAAATATTAGAAAAGATTAATCCCAATAATTATAAAGCAAATAGAAGATATAAAGTATATTTTACTTTAAAAACTAACTATTAAATTAGAATAAATTTTCAAAGAAAGAACTTGCTTAAAATTATTAGTGAATGAGTGAGTGATTTATTACCTTTCTGGGAAAAAAATTCACTTTTTGCTTCAAATATTTTGAATCAGCAAGTATATAATTTTTGATTGATACTTGAATCACTTATTTCTTAGATTACAAGGTTAGTTGGTAATCTTCTAATTTTTTTCTTTCTATTGCTAATTAATGAATAAAAAAATAGCAAATATATTAATCTATTAAATAAAAAGCAGTAATTACTCTAATTTTTGAAATCTTTAATTTAATCATACATAATTTATGCATGTGTGTAAGTAAGTCAAGTAGTCTCAAGAAATTTCTTGCTTTTAAAAAATGACCCTTTACTTTTTTTCATAAAATTTAAACTATCAGAGATATTTTTTTACTTTTTAGGTATTATAGGATAAGAAATAAGGCAAGTATTCACTCATTAAATTGCAGAGAGGAAAATTATTAATCAAAAACTTATTAATTGTAAAAATATTTTTACATTACATAGTTACATATCAATTTACTAGAAAATTTGAGAGTTATAACTTATTTCCTTAGAACCAGTAAAATAAATATAAAATAGTTATAGTCCTTACTTAACATATTAAATTTTATTAATTAATTTAATTTAGCTTCAAACAAAACAACTCATAAATACTTATTTCAATTTTCAATTTAAAATATTTTACAAAGAATTATATTTTCATTTTTTTAAACCATTTAATAAACTAAAAAACCCTAACTTCTTTGAATGAATTACCTATTTAAAATTCTAAGATCAACTTAAAATGAAAACAGATTTCTAGACATTACATTTTAACTTTGAATTTACTTGTAAATTTTGATTCATTAAGCTCTATTTTTTCTTATCTCTAAAGTATGCTATTTAAAACTGATAGAAAAATACATAATATTTAGATCCGTTGATAATTTATAATTAGAATAGCTAAATGTGTTGTTTTTATTAAGCAAATTTCCAAACGTAAATCAAATTATGATCAAAATTCAATAGATAATCTTATTTTTCATTTTAAAATTTATTAAATCAGTAGATTTTATAATAAGCTCTATAATAAAAATAAATTAGCAAGTATAAATACTTTATTAGCACAGTTCTTTCCTTTTCAAAAGACTACATCTTACATTCAATCATAGTTATTAGCTTTTAAATAAAATCCAAATTTTATAAATTGAATTAATTGCTTGAGAAGTTAGAAAATATTTTTGGTCTTAAAAATCTATTCATAAATTATTATTTATTTTTTAATTATAAAATTATTCTTTTTAATCACATTTTAAAATAGTTTTGCTAACATTTTGTATTTTACATTTTGAAATAAATAAATATGCATCTGATTGTATTAGTTTGTGGTAGTAATTAACATTACTTAGGTAATTAAAAGGAAAAATTTAAACTAATAATATAAAAACATATAAGCAAATTTATAATTTTATGTTTAACATTATTAAATCAATGTTTTTTAATTTGATAATTTATTTATTGAATTACCCTACGTTTTAATTCTTTATTTAGCCTTTTAAGTGTTAATTAAAAAAATTTTTTTCTAGCGTCTGGTTAAAAACTGACTCAATAATAAGGCTTTAAAGTTTTTTAAAATTTTTTTATTATTTATATAAATTGTTATTTTTTTACTAAAAACATTTTTTTTAAATTACTTTTAAGTTTTGGTTGTTAAATTAATAAATTATGTTTAAATATTTTTTGGTAATTAGAAAACTAGGTTTTTGATTTTAGTCTGATTGATTATCTGATTTTACTCAATAACAGAAAAAGTACTTACTGCTTTTATGAAGATGATAGTCATGAATTCCAAAATTAAAACTGAGTTTTTTTCACATTTATGAAGTTATTTTATGTTTATCAGTTTTTTGTTTCAAAATAATTATTTAATTTTGTTTTAATTAATATATTTAAGCTGTTAATTTAACTTTAGTCTTTATTTATCTGTAAACAAACTATTTTTCAACTAGTGTTAAGTGTTAAGAAGAAATTGAAAAATTTGCTAGAACATTTTTAATTAATAATCTAAATTCAGTGCTGAGATGAAGAGTCAGATTCTGAAATAGCTATCATCTAACTAGAATATTGAGTAGATATATCTTCCAAGCAGTTCATATATCCATTTAATGTTTCTTCTTAGTATTGATATTGCAAAGTATTCAAAATATTTTTTAAGAGGTTAATTTTTGTCCTTAGAGAGCTTTACTTTTGTTGGTGAATTTAAAAAGATAGTGATTATACATAAGAAAATTTGTCTTTCACTAACTAAGAAATTCCTTAGAAATTTTATGAATTATTTAAATCAAGTTGCATGAAATGAAGTTTATTCTGCACAACTTGGAGCTGTTATTAAACTTATTTGAATTATTCATAAGAACGATAAATGAAATCTAAATATTTGACAAACGCCGATATCAATTCAATTGAAGGAAATCTTTCTATCTACTCGATAAAAAATTTGGTTTCATCAATTATGTCTAAATCTTATTCTAAATATTCCTAATAATTAGTTGGATCATGCGCCATATAAGCCTATTTTCTATAATAAAAGTATTTCTCTTCAATCTCTTTGAATTCATCTAAAATCTAATAAACTTAATAGTGAAGATGAGATTTCTTTCCATTCTCTAATTTACTTTTGTTTTGTCCCATCTTATTTTTATTTTATAATAATTTTTTTTGATTTAAACAAATAATTAATAAATTTGATGCTTTTTTTTGATTTATTGCATAAAACTTGTTAATAACAATTTTTATTTCAATTAAAATAGGTAATAAATAAGAAGGACTAATAAAGGATTTGTTATTTAAGTTGAAAAGGATGGTTCGTTTATACAAACCAGTCTTGAATTTCTTTTTCAAAATATTATTATTTAGAAAATTTACCACACTTCATGAAAGAATAGCAAAAAACAACACATTACCATTAATTGTTTATATATTTTAATAAGCTTTATTTTTATGCTAACCAATCACTAAAAATATAAATACTTACATAAATAAATAAGCAAAACAGCAAATTATATTTTATCTGAGTTCCATTTATTTATAACCAAAGAAAATTTTATAAAAACAAGGTTAATTATATTTAAGGATCTATTTAATAAATGGTTAGAAATAAGTTGAATTAAATTAATTTTATTATAAAATTTAAATAATTTGAGGAACAATCAAATTAACTTTTAATGTAATCAGTTTAAAAAATTATTATTAAAATTTCGCTGTAAAATTAGTTTTTGCAAACAATATTATAAAATCAGCATAATATTTTAAGAAGGTATTTTTATTTTTATGTAAAAATGACCAAAAAACAAATTAAATAATTTTAGTCAATATTTTCAATTATTAACTTTTATTTTTTAATATCATTTTTATCAAAATTCTAAATGTCAAATAATCATTATTGGTGTTGTAAAGTTCAATCAACAAATGATAGATTATTTATAAAATTTATCTTGAATAGTAATTAGAGTTAATCAATTTTGTAATGAAATTTAAATAATTTGAAATATCTAAGTAGTTTTTAATACATTCAGTTTAGAAAATAAATATTTTTACTATATTCTAAAATTTCTTTTATAAATAATAATCTAAATTTATCCTTACAATTCAAGAAAGTTATTGATTATTTTAATTCAAAGCAGAGTAAAAATAAACTCAATAAATTTATTCAAAAAAAATAAATTATATTTCATAAATCAATTTTCATTTTTAAATATTATTATATAAAAATTTCAAACAATTATTTTAGAAAAATTGAATAAAATAGCAGTAAACTATGAAATGAGGAGTTAAAATTTAGTAATTAATTGAATTCAATCAATTTCTTGATTAAGTTTAAATAACTTGAGGCATCTAAATGGTAAGTAATTTTTAATTTAATTAGATTAATAAGATAATTGCTGTTAATTATCTACTCTAAAATTTATTTTTACAAATAAAAAAAATAATGTTAAAATGTAAATTTAAAGAGAGAGATTATTTTTAAAGAAAATATTCTTTATTAGTAAGTAGATAAATAAATATAATTAACACAAATCCTCATTAATTAAGGCTCATTATTTTAACATCCTCTATTATGCGTCGAATGAATTATAAAATATCAATTTAAATAGAAATTTTTATTACATAGAGGGAATTAAATAAAATAATGCTATATTTATTATTTCAATTTTGATAAATTTATCACAAATGACTGATATAGTATTTTATATTGATTAAATGTAGTTTTTTAGGAATTTATATTGTTTTAAAATTAATTAAATTATTAATTCAGCATTTACTAAAGTAAAAATAGAGTGATAAATATTATCAAAATGGGAGCTAATTAATCTAGTAGAATTTATAATGTTCCAATAGATGAAAAGAAGGATGGCTACTCTTAAATAATGAGACATCCTAAATATATAGATAAGCTTGAATATAAACCAATACCTGAAATAGATAATGTTTAAGATCTTGTTCTACATGGGTACAGCAATAGTAAAGAAATGAATTTTTTTGGTAAAAAAAACCCTGTTTCTAATGAATTTGAGTATATGACATACGATTAGGTTATTGAATAGGCAAAATAATTAGGCTCTGCAGTTAAAAATCTATAATTCTTGAAAGAGTCAAGTGAATAAAGCAATTAAAAAATGGAATTAATTGGTAATTAATAGTATTTCCTTATTATAAAATATAAGATATTATTGATTTGCTTTAGCCTTTTACTTTTATAATTTAATTGAATGAATTGATGGAAATAAATATACATGTTTGCTAATCAATACTTTTTATTAAATTCAAAACTATTAAAGTTGACATTTAATTAATTATTTATTTTATATAAATTGATAAATAGGAATATACTCAAAAAATAGAATTGAATGGGGGATAGCAGATATTGCCAATTCATTATATGGATATACTATGGTGCCTTTATATGATTCATTGGGTCCTGATTCAATTAGTTATGTCCTTGCTAATTCAGAAATCACTACTTGTTATTGTTCTGCTGCTTCTGTATTAACTCTATCAAAAACGTAATAGATAGATAAATAATTTACTATTACTATATCAAATAAATAAATTTAATGATTCAATAAATATTTAGAATCTCCTTCATTTCAGCAAGATTATTATAATTAAAATAATATAGAACTATTTCTTTCTATCGATTTTATAGATTTGCTTAATTTTTATTGAGGTTGGTTACTATCAAATTAAGAAAGCTTAACTCATAAAATATCTCATTAAGATATTTAATAGTAAGCTAAATTTTGAAACAAAGCAAAATAACAAAATATATCAATCATTATTTTAATCTTGCTTAATCGACCACAACAAATAAATTTGAGATGATATTATAATAAATTTTACTCTTTTTTTTCTAAAATTAGAAAAGATTTGCATCACTTAAAGAATATTATTTCATTTGATCACGTTTCAGAGGATTTAATTGAATTAGTAAAGCAAAGAGGAATTGTTGTGCATTTATTCAAAGACATTGTTGAAAAGGGAAGTTTGAATGTCCTGCCTCTACCTAAATTAACTAGAGATACAATTTTTACATTTTGCTATACTTCTGGCACAACAGGTAGCCTTTATTAAGAATATTTTTAAGTATAAGCTAACCCATTTTTTACTCCAATTAATTAATTAAAAAGGTAATCCTAAATCTGCTATGATTTCTCATAAGAATATTTTAGCATCAGTTACAAATTATGACAAGTCAGATTGTTTTCTCACTTAAGATGATGTTCACCTAAGCTACTTACCTCTTCCCCATATATATGAGCGTTTTATAAATGTATATTGTTGGTTTAAAGGTACTAAAATTGCCTTTTACTCAGGAGATGTTCACAAAATTTAAGAAGATATAATTGCTTCAAAGCCTACTTGCTTTTCAGCCGTCCCTCGTTTATTGAATAGATTTTATGATGCTATCAACTCCAAGCTAAATTAAGCCACTGGATTTTAAAAAATTCTCATTTAACACGCTCTTCAAACAAAGCTTGAAAACATATAAAAAAACGGTGTTTATACACACATTTTATATGACAAGTAATTTATAATTTAATATAAAATGTAAAGAAATAGCATTCAAATTTTATAAAAATAGGATAATTTTCAACAAAATAAGAGAGCAGTTTGGTGGAAGAATTAGATAATTAGTTTGCGGATCCGCTCCTACTTCTCCTAAAGTTTTCGATTTTTTTAAAGCAGTTTTGTCTTGTTCAGTTATTGAAGGCTTTGGATAAACAGAACTAAGTGGAGTAGTGACTATTCAAGTAAAAGCTGATCCTAAAATGGGTAATGTCGGAGGTATTGGTCCAAGCTCAGAGCTAAAACTTGAAGATGTCCCTGAAATGGAATACCTGAGCACAGACAAAGATGAGTTAGGTAATCCCAAACCAAGAGGTGAGATTTGTGTTAGAGGTTACAATGTATTTTCAGGTTATTACAAAGATGAAGAGAAAACAAAAGAAGCTATTGACTAAGAAGGATGGTTTCATACTGGTGATATAGTAATTTTATATTTACTGTGAAATAAATTGCTAAAATATCTTTAATTATGAGGGGGAAAATAAATCTACCTAAAATTATAATTTTTAAAAGCTTGAACAATATTTATTTCTTATTTAAAAAGGGTGAAATTATTCCTAATGGAGGGCTAAAAATCATAGACAGAAAAAAGAATCTATTTAAACTCAGCTAGGCAGAATATGTATCTCCAGAAAAGGTTGAGAACATCTATGTACGTGCTAGAGGAGTTTAGGAAGTTTACATTCACGGTGAATCACTTTATAATTATTGCATAGGAATAATTGTTCCAAGTTAGGAAGAATTACTAAAGATTGCTGCTGAGTTAAATATTTCTGAAACTGATATTGCTTCTCTTTGTAAGAATTAGCAAATCATTTCTTGGTATATAAAAACTATTCATAATCTTGGTAAACATGAAGGGCTCTTTAGTTTTGAATAGCCTAAAAAAATATATCTTGAACCAAAATCATTTTTAGTAATTGGATGTGTTACAAACAGCTTTAAACTTCAACGTCATCATGCTAAGAATTACTTCAAGAATATAATATAAGAATTATATAACAATAATAACAATTAATGATTAAGAATAATAATTAAAATAAATATTTTAATCTCTTTAAATTAATCTATTAAAAACTTAGAAAAATCTTCTTAAAGTAGATAAATTTATTATTTTATATTAAATTTATTAAAATAATTAATTCTATTCATGCTTTGTGTTCATTCTTTAAAAAAAGCTTTTCAACTTTCAAAAAAAATGTAATTTTTATTTAGAAGAACTACTCAAACTATTTTTTTTTATAAATTCTAAAATAAATAAATAAATAAATAAATAAATAAATAAATAAATAAATAAATAAATAAATAAATACTTTTAATTTGTGAAAGGTGGAGAAATTTTCTGATATCTGAAAAAAATCCAACTGTAATCTGAACAAATTTTTTGATAAATAATAAATAAATTATTTTTAGTTTGTTTAAAATGACAATACTGATTAAATTTCTAAAATGGAAAATGAGTATGATATTTTGATTACATTAGCAAATATTATTAGTTTAATTTTTATAAATTTAGTTTACATCATAAAAATCAAGCTTATGCATAAATATTTAATAGAGATTGCGTACTAAATCACAAATTCATCTGTTTGTTTTATATATTATTAATTATAATAATGCCGATGCAAAGTAATGCTTATTATAAATCAATCAAAAAATATTTGGATACAACTTGATATTTACCACGTTAAGTTCAGATTCTATTTTTCTACAAATCCACATCATTCTTTATTTGATTTATCAAAAATTTAATAATGTAGTCTATAAAAAGACTATTTTAATATTTGACTTAAAACTAGCAAACAAACAAAAAAAATTAAATTTGAAAACATTAATAATTTACAACTAATTCTATCAAAGTAATAAAGAGAAATTAACAAATAAATACAAAAATGGGAGCAGATTAATCAACTAGGATATACAACGTTCCAATTGATGAGAAGAAGCAAGGATCTTCTCAAATCATGAGACACCCCAATTTCTAAAAGGACTTGGTCAATACACCATTTCCAAATATCAAGAATATCCAAGATCTTATTCTTCATGGCTACTCTCTTGATAAAAATAAAGAATTTTTAGGAACTCTTAACCAAACAACTAACTAGTATGAGTATATTACTTACGATACAGTTATGACCCAAGCAAAAAGCATAGCTTCTGCTCTCTAAAATTTATCTCTTCTTAAAGAAGCTAAAGATTACAAGAACTATGACCTCAAGCTTGTAGGTAAAATTGGATAATATTTTAGATAGTTAGTTTAAAAATACACATAAAATTGCAATTTCTATTTTAATCAAAGAAATAAAGAAAAAAAAGTAAAAAAAAGAAAATCTACTGAGAAAATAAGCACAATTACCAAAAAAATTAAACATTTTATTTAAAAAAACAATTTTTCTTAATAAAAGTTAAAGAATATTTTATTAATAATTTTAGGTATCTATGCAAAAAATAGAGCCGAATGGATTGTTTCAGATATAGCAAATGCCCTTTACGGGTACACAATGGTACCATTGTATGATTCACTTGGACCTGAATCTATCAGCTATGTTTTGGGACACTCTGGAATCACAACCTGTTACTGCTCCACTCCTTCTATTTAAACTCTATCTAAAACGTAAATAATTAATTATATGTTAAAATTTGTTTTTGCTTTTTTTAATTCTAAAACATATCTTAGTTTGCTTGCTTTATTGATTAACCAAATTTTGAATTATCCCAAAAATTCTAATTAAATTTCTTATTTATTTTGTCTTTGTTAATAAATGTTCCCTGAATTTGTTTATTACTAAATTACTTAAAATAAATTATTTAATTTTATTAATGCACATAATTTGAGTTCATCTTGCAAAAATCTATACAATCAAATGTAAGCAAAAAGATATACTCTGACTTAATTAATATCAAATGTTAAATTTATTTATACTTGATGAAAAAAATTATGTTTGATTTTTCAAATTTAACAACAAATATTATTTATGAAAATAGTAAGGACTTGCATGAATTAAAAAATATCATTGCTTATGATGAAGTCCCTGCTGAGCTTTAGGATTTGATGAAAAGCAGAGGAATTACCATTTATAAATATTCTGATTTATTAGCAAAAGGTTCTGAAAATATTCTTCCTCTACCTACCTTAACTCCTTAAACTATCTTTACTTTCAGCTACACTTCTGGCACAACAGGTATTCTAAAATATAAGCAAAAACAACTTATTTTTTAAATACAAAATAATTTTTTAATATTTATTCTTGAACAATTAAAAGATTTATTTTTTGAATAATTATTATAGGTAATCCAAAAGGAGCTATGATTTCTCATAAAAATATATTAAGTTCTGTTGCAGGTCACATGAATAGTGATGTGAAATTTGTATCAAGTGATATTCATTTGAGCTATCTTCCTCTTCCTCACATATTTGAACGTTTTGTTAATGTCTCTTGCTGGTTAGTTGGTGCTTAGGTGGCTTTCTTCTCAGGAGAAATAACTAAACTTAAGGATGATATCGCTGCTGCTAAGCCAACTATTTTAATCACTGTCCCTCGTTTATTAAACAGATTCTATGAAGCAATCAAAAATAACTTAAATTCTAATCAAGGATTTAAAAAAATGCTCATTGATTATGCTCTTGAAACTAAGCTGTAAAACCTAGAAAAGAGTGGAAAAAATACTCATATGCTTTATGATGCGTAACAACACTTAGATTTTATCTTATGAACAAATTATTAATATGATTATAATTAAAATAGTATCGTTTTCAGCAAAATAAGACAAGTTTTTGGAGGTAGAGTAAGAATCCTTGTTAGTGGTTCTGCTCCTATCTCACCTAAGGTTATGGACTTTTTCAGAATAGCTCTATCTTGTATAGTATGTGAAGGTTACGGCTAAACTGAAGGAACTGGTCTTGCCACAGTTTAAACAATACTCGATAGCAAGTCTGGTAATGTAGGAGGTGCTGTTTCAGGCTGCGAAATAAAACTTTAGGATGTTCCTGATATGGAATATTTGAGTACAGATAAAGACGAAAATGGCAATCCTATGCCTAGAGGTGAAATATGTGTTAGAGGTAACAGCATATTCGAAGGTTATTACAAAGATGATGAGAAAACCAAAGAAGCTATTGATGAAGAAGGATGGCTTCATTCAGGAGATATTGTAATAATTTCTTTTAATTACATAATGTATTTAAATTATTTTCTTTTTAATAATAAAGGGATAAATCCTTCCAAATGGAGGCTTAAAAATTATTGATAGAAAAAAAAATATATTCAAGTTGAGTTAGGGTGAATACATTTCTCCAGAAAAGGTAGAAAACATCTACGTTAGAGCAAGAGGAGTTTAAGAAGTTTATGTCCATGGTGAATCCTTATATAATTTCTGTATTGGAATTATTGTTCCTAACCCAGAAGTTATTGTTAAAATAGCAAGTGAGTTAAATATCAATGAAACTGATGTAGCTACTCTATGCTAGAATAAATAGATTATTGAATGGTATTTGAAGAGTCTTAATGAATTTGGTAAAAAAGAAGGTCTCTTTACTTTCGAGTAACCTCAAAAGATTTATCTTGAACCTGTTTCATTTACAGTTCACGGATGCCTCACTACAAGTTTCAAATTGCAACGTCATATTGCTAAAGTGCATTTTAAAAAGGTTATTGAGGATTTATATTCTTAATAATGAATAAAAAATCATCAAATTAACAAGAAAAATTAAATATAAATTATTTTTTAGTGAATAGAGTGTTTGTTTAATTTTTTTTATTTTTATGATCAAAAATAATTTTTCTTTTTCATATTTTGATTAAAAACGAATATTCTATCTACTTTTATAATTAATTTACAAATTAAAAAATGTTGGTTGATGTAAGAGATCTTCTATCTACATGTTTAAATATTTTATAAGTTGCTTATAAAAATTGCTTAAATCCTTAATCTAAATTTATTAAGTAAGATAGATTCTTAACAATTTAATCAAAAATAAATAATTTCTACTTTTGCTGGTATTTTTAATTTTTAATGGATATTTAATAAGTAAGTCAAGGGAAAAGAAAGAAAAATTAAAAAATATAAAACATATATGGATAAATAAATCATCAAACATATAAATAAATTTATAATCTTTTTTGATAAAAACTACCTTTCTTTCATATCTTTTCAATTTATGTTTTCTAGAAATTTCAAAAATATTCTAAAAAATTGTTGTTTTTGAGTTAAATATATTTATTATTTTATTAATATTAATGGTAAAGTAATCAATAAAAAAATGTTATTTTGTTTCTATTAGGATTTAGATAAATGAATAAAATATTATATTAATATTAAAATTTGAAATTATTTTAATTTTTAGAAAATTAAATAAAAAAACAAAAATTATTTTTTACAGAAAATAACATTATTTATTATTCTATTTTTTAAAATAAAATTATCAAATAGGCTTAATTTGAAATTGTTAAAACATCTTTTAAACAATTTAATTTATCATAAGAGTTTAACTCTATTATAAGTTATTTTAATTGATGTATTAAAATAAAGTTCTATGGTTTGATCAAATATTTGTTGGAATATCTTTTGTAGAAAATAAAATTATTGGAAAGTGTTAAATATTTTTAGATATTTTTTTTTATGGTAAAATTTAATACTATAATTAAATTAAAACCAGATAAAATGCGAACTAGAATCAATTTTAATGCGCACTGTCAGTGTGTAAAAAAATACTTTGTATATGAAATTAGAAAAAAGGAGAACTGAAATGCGTACGAGAATTAAATTTTTTATTAATACTGATTAGGCTTTAAATATTTATAGATAGATATTGTGATATCTGATAAAATAAAATTATAAATTAATAATTTATTTCTCAATTTCAACAAAAGCAACAAAAATTAAATATTTCTAGGTATAAATCATTTAAAAATGGGAGACAATATCTTTCTTTACATTCCTAATTTGATAGGTAAATTAATAAATAGTTAGTTAGAATCTATTCATTTATTTATAATTTTGTGGGCAGAACAAATGAGATTAACCTGTTATTATTAATAATTTCATTATAGATTATGGACGTGTTGGTTGCATCATCTACGTTTGTTTCTACTATAATACTAATCCATTAATGACTGCTTTTATGTATGCTTTAAGTTAAGCTTTAGATGCATTTGACGGAATGGCTGCTAGAAAATTCAATTAATGCAATGCTTTCGGTGCTGTCTTAGATATGGTTTGCGATAGAGTTTCTGATGCCATTATGTTAAGCATTTTAGCTCAACTTTATCCTTCTCTTTCTGGTGTTTTCCTTTTAGCATGTGGTTTAGATATTGGATCTCACTGGTACTAAACTTATTCTACCTAATATTGTGGAGAAGCTCATCACAAGACTGCCAAAACTGAATACAGACTCTTACACATTTACTATAATGCTAAGGGATTCCTTTTCACAATGGTTTTAGGAATGGAAGTACTAAATTCATTATATTTTTAGCTTATTTTATTAAATAGAATGCAATTATCTCACCAAATTTTAATTAATATTTTATAATTTTTAAAGATGTTCTTGGTAAACATGTACTTGAAGGCCCACGAACATAACATTGATGTTCCTGACTGGTTCAAGATCGTTAATACTAGCTTACTTCTCTTCTCCGTTCCTGTATTCATTTTAAAGAGCGTAAACACTTTTCACAACATTCTCTTAATCATTGAATCTAACAAAAATTTATAAATTAACAAAAAAATAGTTTATTAGCGTTATTTAATTAATGTCTGCCTCCTAAAAAATATGTAGACACGAAACCTAACTCAAGTTAGAAGCTTCAAAGAAAAAGTGATACAATAGTTATATATAATAAATTATTTAAAAAGTAAATGTAATCAATAAGTAAAAATAAGAAGCTACCACAAATAAAGTAGAGAGAGTGAACACTTTGTGGATATATTTTAATTATTAAACTTAAATAAATAAATATTTATTCATCTGAGTATTTTAGTAATAATTCCTTTTATATTTTTAATAACACAAAAAGATCAATAAATAGATTTGCCTTAATTAACTCTAATTTTTATAAAAATAATTTTATTAAAATGCTTATTTTGTTATTTTGTTATAAATTATCTTTTATTTGCTTACTGAAGAAATTGAAATAATTATTTTTTTTAATTTTATTAAAAATGTTTAACATAAAATTGTTTATGTAAAAAAAATTAATACTATGGTGTTTTTCATATATTTAGCAATGCAAATTGATTAATAATCCTTAAATCCATTATTTTTTTAACATATGTTTGTAAAAAATATTTGAATTTTTGTGAATTTACTTATTCAATTTTTTATTTAATTTAATTTTACACAATCAAACCAATTCAATAATTTATTTAGGTTAAAATTATTTTTTTTACTAAATATTTAAATAAATTAAATATTTTTGTAAGATAAATAAATAAATTAACTTATTTTGTTTTTCCACTCTTTCTATTTTTAGAAATAAATAAATAATTATATAAAATATAACAGGTAGTAAAATTTTTTGATATAGAGTGTTATTAAATAATAAAATATATACCTTTTGATATTGAAAATGCGTTAATATATAATATCATAAATGTTTTAATAATATTTAAATTTAGACAATTTAAATGTCACAAATATAATGTTATTAACTTAATTTTATTAATTAAATTCATTCACTCTTATTTGTTGTTGTTGAAAAAACTAAATTATAATTAATTTTTCTAAATAATAGGGGATTTTTCTTTAATGTCTAGTTATTCATTTTAAATTATAGGCTAAGAATATAATTTTTAGGAGTTTTTTTTTTTTTAATTGATTTTTCTACTTGTAATATTATGAAATAGCATATCGTATTAATTTATGGATGCTCTTATAAAGTCTTCTTAGTTATGTTCATTTATGTGAGAATTTATATCACTCAATTCTTCTTCATTGGGAAAGCTCTTGCTTTATAGAGTCTCAGAGCCTTCAATGCTACTGATTTCTTTTATATCTGTGCAGTTAGATTTGGTCCTGTTTCTTGTTTTAATGCTGGATATTGTATCAAAGCAGTTAAGATTTCCATTTTTTAAATTTTATTCTGATTTGATTTAGTTTGATTTAAAAACAGTAAACTTGCTTACATTTTATTTTTGCCTTAAACCATTTTCTTATATTTATGCTTTATTCTAAATGTTTGATTAAAAACATATTTTTTCTAAACTTTTGGATGGTGTTCTGATCCCAATCCTTTTGTTTGGAGATGATTCTTAACTTCGAGTTTCTTATTCTATTTTCTATGAGGGACTTTTGTTATTTGTTTTTGATATTTTATTTCTATATTGTATATTAACAAAAGATTTCTGCTTTGAAATAGTATTCTAGAAGTTTATAATTTGATAAATATTTTGATTTAACTTAATCATTTTTATGATTTATTTGTCCAAGAAATTTGATGTTATCATCTTGTAAATACGATTGCTAACCTTAACAGCGCTTTTACATTTTGCAGAGTCAATTTAAAACCGAATCTATCCCTGACCTTATCTTTATATTTTATCAGGAGAAGAAACTTCATTTTATATTTCATTTAATTCTTTAAAAATATGTTCGAGCTCTTTTCTTTTTGACTCTTTATCACTAATTTTTTAATAAGAATCCAACAGCTACTTTGTATCATTTAAGCCTATTGATGGATAAAAGAGTGAGCATCTTATTTACTTTATATCTTTATTTGAATTTATTTTTGGAATTTGATTTGTGTCACGCAAAGTTGTTACTTATTATTAATAAAAATTAATTATAGAATAAAATAATCAAAATTAATAGATTCTTTTATGTTAAAATAAAATTTACTGTTTCTTTGAGAACAATAATCTTGAAGTGGAACTTAAACCTCGAAATTTGTTTAGCTTTTACTCTCACTAATTTGAATAACAGGTGTTACTAAGCTATTAAAAATAAGGAGCTAATCCTTGTTTAAAAGAAGCATTTTTAACTTCTCAACTTCAAACAATTTTTTAGTTATATAAACAAGATCTAAATTTTTTTCAACTTCTTTCCTTGATTTCTAAAAAAGCATAAAATCTCTATAACATTAATCTACAAAATTATTTTGCTTGCTTTTGAAGAGATAAAGAGCTTTTTTCAAGAAGAATTTTATTTTTTAGAGTGTGAATAATATAAAGTTATACTCCACTTTGAACGTAAAATCTTTGAAAATAGAGTGTTGAGTTTAGTATTATGAATGACATTCTTATTAAGATTTATATCTACTATCTAGAGTTCCCAAGTCGTAAACAAAAGTTTCGTTCATTATATTTTAATACATGATGTGTTGATAATAATATTGATATAAAAATGCCCCAAAAGAAAATAAAGCAGTAAAAAGACCTCCTAAAAGTGATAAGGAATTTATAATTATCATTTAGAACTCTTTTGTTTGCATCTGATATATAAAAATATTGTTGTTGATATTTATTGTTATATTAATACTTGCTATATCACTTTAATTTAATATCAGCAAATCTTATTTTTAAACTCTAGCTCCTTTACCTATCTAACTTGTCGAGCTTGGTAAAAAATATGTGCCTTATTATTGCCTAAATAAATTAATCATTTAGTAATTCTACAAAAAATTTATATTAGTGCTTTTCACAAATTAGATTTATCTATTTATTTATTTATATTAAATTTACAATAAAATTAACGAAAAATGTAATTTCATAAGAAATATTATTATTATTAAATAAAGCTTTTCATTTCAATTTATCAATACCATTCTTTATTTTTTAAATAATTGATTTTATATCTCTTTTTTTTGTGATTGATTAAATTATTATTATTTTTTCAATTTAGTAATATACCTTCAGTACTATTTTATATAGTAGCCTTGAAGTAATAAAGTAAGGTGAATTATTTATATATTTTTAACTTAATGAAAAATAATTTTTAAAAGTAGCCACCTCAAAATACAGTAATGATGGTTAAAATTTGATAAATATTTGAGATAATTTTTCACATAATTTATATATTTTTATTATAGAACTAGATTTTTTAATTTAATTAGACTTTCTTTGTCAGAATATTAAATTTATTTAAAAAAATTTTGATTATTGCAGCAAAAGCAATCAATTCTAACAGCTTGATTAATCAATATTAAGTATAGTAGAAATAAATTTTGCCTAATTATCAACTTTAAATTAAATGGTTTTTTTAATTATAAAAATATTTAAATAAATTGAAGAAATTACTTAAATTAATAATTTGGAGATTACTAAAATTGATTTCCGTTAACTTAGTATGAATCATCATTGTATATCATATTTAAGTATATGTTAGAGTTAGGAAATATAGTTGCTAAATCATTATTATCTAAGTCGAATTCAAAGCTCAAATAGGTATAATTTGTTTAATAAAATTGGTTTTGTAATTGAAATTACCCAGATAAGCAAAACATGGGATATTTAACAGAAGAAAAAAGTTTACTAATTTAGCTTTGATTGCTGCTGTCAGAAGAACATTCAACAATTTATAGGTTATTTTACAAAACTTAGTTGTTATTTTTTTAAATATGTAGAAGTTTAATATTTGATTTAGAACCAAATAATGGAGATTGTTGATTTTAGCCAGACAAATATTCCCTAATAATTAAATTTTGCTGCTCTTAATTGATTGAACTATTCTCTATGCTAATAAAAAAAGCTAATTGAATTTCATTTTCAGTTACTTATATTTAATCACTTTTGCTTTGCGAAGAATCAATGTATGATATATAATTATTATTATCTTATGTTTACAGTTATTCTATAGTCACAACAAAATAAAATGTTAGTACACTTAGAAGGATCAATGAAAAAATACCTCCACAAATAGTTCCATTTCTCTTATCATTGTGCAATTTAAATTCGTATGGTTTTACTAGATAATCAAAATATATTAGCAAATTTTTAAATGTTTTGCAGCTTTCCATTCTAATTTTTTTATTAAGGTAGATTCTATTATTATTTTTTTACTTTTTGTTTATAATATTTTTAATTAGAGTTTAGGAAGATGATAATTCTGAGAACATAAGCAGTAAAAATTAAAATAGTTGTAAACAATTTTAAAAGAACCAATATTTAGTTATTAATTAATATATAAAAAACATATTAGTATTTAAAATTAATTACAAATTTATGATAACATTTTTTATGAAAATGAATAAAAAACAATTTTCAAAAAAATTTTAATTGCATTCTTCTACTTAACTATTTACTTTTCTTCTTAGTAAAATTTTTAGTTTTTAATCTAATAGATTATTATTGAGCTAAGCATAATTAATTACTTGTAAGATGTCAGAAATTAAATTATCTTCCAATAAAATTATTTTATTTTTCTAAAAAAATATATTTAAATTATTTATTAATATTTAATAAAAGAATGAGTGAAAGTTATTCTATTATTATTATTTTAATTTTAATTATTTTGAGAATTTAATTAAAAAAATAATGAAAAATATAAATTACATCAAGTTTTAAATTTATTTAGAAAAATGTTTCTTGCTTTATTAAAATAATTGTAACTAAATAAAGTAATTAAATATCAGTTATTAAATAAAAATGTAGCTTTTTTTTAATTTAATTTATTTATTATTTGATTAAATAAATCTTTAATTTAATATTAATTGATGTATTTATTTTTAATTATTTTTTCAAATATTTTTTAATTTTTCTTTTTCTTTCTTTTTATTTTTATTTTTTATTATTTTTCAATTTTTTTCATAGTTTTTCTTAATTTATTTTATAAATTTTAATTTTCTTCAAATATCTTTATCATTTTGAAAATTTTATGGGATTTAATTCTTTCATTTATTTATTTTGTTTTTGGGAAAAAGAGCATAATTAGTTTTTTTAATTCAATCATCAGCTATTTTATTTATTTAATTAATAATATAATTCATTTAACATGCAATCTATCTAATCATTTTTTACTAAATAAGATATTTAATCTTAATATTTAGATTAAATGTCTATTTTGCACAAGCTATTCCCTTTTCACTAAATAAAAGCTTTAATAAAAAAGCACCATTTTAGTGTTCTTTTACAATAAGAATTTAAAAACTAATTCCACGACTTCCGTCCCAAATAATATAAGAGATGCAATTTAAAAGTATGAGGACAATCTTAAGCGGGCATCTATTTTGTCTCAACTCCTAGGTATTAAAAACTTATTTCCTTAAATATAAGATTGATCTCAATACTTCAAATCACATCTACTTAAATTTGAGGGAATTTTATTAGGAATAAGAATTTTTAGAATGGAAAAAGAATCTTTCTATTAAATCTTCATGTCTGTCTTCATTTTCTATTTTATAAAAAAAATAATATAATATTTGTTTTAAATTAATATTTAAAATATTTTCAAAACTTTTATCATGCTTATTGCCTTAAGAATATATGGCCTTCAACTGTATTATTATATGTTAAAAATATTTAAATACATTTTAAATTTATTAAATAAATTTTATGTCTTTAAGCAAGATATTCTATTCATACTTTTTGAAATTTGTTCTAAGCTCTTTATTGCATTCTTATTGGTATTTAGATATGAATTTTTGAGTTTTTTTCATAAATTTATTTATTGTCATTCTATTTAATTTTATATCTGCTTTTAATAAAATATTAATTTAATAATATTTCTTCTTTTAAATAAAATAAATCTTATCATTTTTATGAGAAAAATTGAAGCAATCAATTTTTTGAGCTAGCTATTCTTTACATAATTCATTTGATAATATATATCCTAAACTATTTCTTGCATTTTTATTGATACTTAGATATTCATTTATGAATTTTCTTCTTAGTTGTCACTTTTATTCTATTGAGGCTTCATTTATAAAATATTAATTTAATAAATATCTCCTTTTTAAAATAAAATAAATCTTATCGTTTTTATGTTTTTATAAGAAAAGTAGAAGAAATCTATTAATATATTATTTATCAGAAACCACTACAAGAATTATATTTATCTAAAATTTCATTTTATGAAAGATAAAATTAGCAAATATCTAAGATGAATATATCTCTATAACTACGGGAACGGATGGCAAATGAACTGGTTTTAAATTTTTCCTTAAAATTTCGACAAAGTTATAAAAATAGTTCATCTTTGCATTTGCTATTTATATTTATCAATCATAAAATTAGTTTTTTATAAATATCCTCAGCAAATCTTTCACTTTAAGAGCTTTAAGGGAATTATTGAAGTCTCTATTATTATATATATATAAAATTCAATATGCGTTTATTAAATAAATAATATTGTTTTTATTAAATAAATGCTTAGTCTAACTATTTTATCCCTTTATTTTTGCAAACTTTAAAAAAGTTTATTGGATTTATAATATTTTTAAAATATTTTATACGAAACTGTAAATTTTGTATGTTCATAGTTAGTAAAATTATCAAAAGCTGCCTAAAATAATGAATTACTTACTTGATCTTTTTGAAAATCTATCAAAACGATTTTCTTAATATTTTTGGATCTTTATCTTAGAAATACATTCATTAATGCAATCAATCATTTAAATATAACTTAAAATCTGATAAATTTAGTAAATATCCAAGATAAAGGCATTTCTATAACTTCGGGAACGGATGGCAAATTATCTGGCTTTAAATTATTCCTCAAAAAATATCGATAAGTTATAAAAAAATCTCATCTTTGCATTCACTATTTGCATTTATCAATCATAAAGTTAATTTTATGATTTTCTTGGATTAACAAAATTTTAAGATAAAGTTCAAGAAAGATATGTATTTGAAGAGCAATATCTTCCAACAAACTGCAATCTGTGAATCTATAAGCAAATTTTTAAGAGTATAAATTGCTTATATCTATTTTTCTAAATAAAGAACCAATTCCATTTATTTTACCTTCTTTTTATTTTTTTGAATTAATTAATTTTTCAAAAAAAATAAAAGATTTGCCGTTAAAAATTGAATCTTTTTCCAAAATCTTAAAAATATTTGAAGAGATAATTAATTAACAACTATATTATTAAAGCTGAATGAATAGGTTTGTTATATCATTTGATTTTCATTCAGACTATTTAGATTTCCTTATTTATTAACAATTTCATTTGTAAAGATATTCTATACAATCTAAATCACTCACTTAAAATATTTTCTAAAAAATTTATTACAATATTTAAGATTTTAAGTTCATTATAGTAATATCTAATCGAATTTAAATAAAAATTAAAAATATTTACTTGTAGAAATGTTTTACTTTTTAATTGTTTTATTAAATATTTTTTTATTTGTTAATTAAAAAATAATAAATTATTTTTAAACAAGTTTTAAAAGAAAAATCCTTAATTTTATATTAAAAAATTTATTTAATTATAATTATATTTATTTTATTTAATAATTAAATAGTGAAATACCTATGTATTGCTAAAATAATTACTCTTAATTATTATATGCTCCAATATAAAATAATATTAAAATTTAAAATAAAATCTAATTTTTATATTAAAGTAGTAAATTTTTGTAATGAAAAATAAAATATTTTTTTTAATAAAATTCAGTTTTGTGGCTTATAAATAAAATTGATGTAAAATAGATTGAATGGAATCTAGGACAAGATTAAAGCGATGGATAATATAAATTCTTTAGAACTAAAACTTTTATTATTTCCAATAATTTATTAAGATATTATATTTATTAACTTTTAAAGCACTTAAAATATAGTATTATTATCTCATAAATGTTAGCAAATCAATATATTAATAACAGCAATAGCGCAAGGAAGAAAAAAAAAATTTACTTGGATTATAACCTTGTTTCTCCTACATATTAGAATCATGAGTTATTTAAAAGCCCGCATTTATATTCAGCTAGAAATTCTACTCATTAAAAATTATTGAAGTAAAGTTTAGGTCATAATGCTAATTAAGCTCATTCGTATTCATTAAATAATTCTCCAGAGAGGAGTAGAGATTAGAATGCTGCTTAGTAATAAATTGATACAAATTATGATACTAATAGATTAAGGAGAGCTCTTTATGGAGTTAATTTAGAATAAGGCATGCTTGTTGATAGCATTAATGTTGATAAATACAAAAAAAGGAAGAAATCCATACCTACTGTTGAATAAACTTCACAATATTAAATAGAATAAGCTTTATAATATTATTCTTAATCTCATTAACAGAGGTTAGGATAAAATTAGTATTTAGGTAATTAAGCGAGATAAAGCAGGATAATTGGCAATCCTTACAACCAGCCAATTAATTTATCAGTTCAGGCATCATACATATCTGATCAAAATTACTTAAATGGAAATAAGTAAAGTTATTCTTTAAATAAAAGCTTAAATTAATCGAATTCAGATGGGAAAGGAGAGGATACAGTAAACTTAACTAATAGGCAGTAAATTAGAAATGTTTTTGGAAAGCAAGTAAACTATAAAAATATGAATTCTTAAAACAACTCTCAAAATAATATATCTCCTTTTGAGATAAGCTAAGATTATAACAAGTCATAAAATCAATACTTGCCAATAACTAAAGCCTAAAAAAATAAGAATAAGTCTAATAGCGTTTACTCTGCTGTAGATATATTCCAAAATGCTCATGGGTAGAGCTCTGCAACAAGCTTTGCTCTAGATTCTCCTTCTGAAAAAAATCTAAAACCTAATGAATAGCAAAAGAAATCTCATTTGCAGCAAGAAAAAAATTAAAATTTAGGAAATATTAATTGCTATTCGAGTAACAAAACTATTGAAAAAATATTCAAATCTAGTAAAAACACAGAAAAAAATTTATCTTTAATAAAGAATCAGCTTAATGGAATTTCTAATTTTTCTCTAGAGCCTATCCAATAGACAAATAGATAAAAGGATATGAGCTTAGATTTGATCCGAAACTCTTCCTTGAATTAATCACCTTCCCTCAGTCCTAAAATTAAATATAAAAAAAACAGATCTATAGAGAAAAATTAAGACAACCAGTAAAGCCCAAAATCTAAATTTGAGAAATGTTTTTCTCTTGAAAAAAGTTAAGACATCAATGTTTCCTTACAGACTTTAGCATAAAATAGCTCAATAGCTTAGCTGATTTAAAGAGAAAAGCCACATGCTCTAACACTACCTAAATTAAAAGTTATTGTATTGGATATGGTTAACAACTATGAAGACATTGATTAGAAATTCATTAAAATAGATATTGAAAAATATTGGTTAAGTTTACTTAATAAGTCTGTAAGGTTAATAGCTGATTATGAACTTATGACAAGACTGTAACCTTATATAATAGATATATTATAATCTGATTACTATCTCAAGTATAGAACAAATCAATTATCAGGTAAATACCAGCTGAAAGAGATTAGTAAATGGAATTTCCTCAAGGAAATACAAAGCTATGAAAAGTTAGAAATTGCTCAAAATAAGTTTTATGAATTTATAATTTATTATTTCATACCTAGCTAAGACTATAGAGAATAGCTAATCAAAGATTTAACTTTAGCAATCAATCAAAAAATATAAAAATAGTTTCCCTTTGCAGAAGATATAAATACACTTATGGATATAAATGGAAATATAATTAACGATCTCTATGAGTTCAATATTTCTTAAAAAGTATTATTAGCTGGTAATCTAACCTCATTAATTACTCTTTACCCATCTTTCTAAAAACACCTTCAATAATACAACAAAAATGCAGAAAAAATATCCTTTATCTAAGAAAGAAAAAAAAACTTTTAGTAGGCATTTGTTGTTCTTGAATCATCTCCTTAATTAAATACTCTTAATCCTGACTCACCTCAACAAAATAAAAAATAACTTAAATTGCCACAAATTCTTCGATTACCTCCTAGTTTGACAACACAAGACTCTGTTTGTTCCCTTAATTCTCCATAAAGTATTTGAATTAAATAATAAAATAAATCAATTTTTTTATTTAATTGTTAATAAAACTAAAATTTAAAATAAATTAAATTAATTTCTAAATTATTTTAATATTTTACCCTTTATTTAATTAAATATTAGATTATTTAGTTAATCTACTTCTTAATTTTTTACATTTAATTTAAAATATAAATTTTTAACTTGAATCAATTTAAAGAGAGAAGATAAATATTTCTATTAATTTTGCAAGTATTTAAATTTAAAAAACATAAAAGTGAAATTTTAAAATTAATGTTAAAATTTTTTATGATAAATTATTTTAAATGCTTAATTTAATAGAGAAAACAAAAATAAAACTAATTTTAATATTCATAATTTAGAGAAAATTAAGTGCTTTTATCAATCAATTATAGATTTAATTTTAGATTAAAATAATTATTTATAAAAAGAGAAAAGCTAATTAGATAGTTTGGAAGTTTAGAAATTTAATCATAGGAGTACTCAGAAAAAATTAGAAACAAGAAATATGAGCTTGATTAGCATTCCTGAATTTAACTATAATTCAGGTGTTCATGAAAATGATAAAATAGAATAAAAAGCAAGCCAGATTGTAATTTAAACTTAAAGGAAAATAGTAATTAAAAAAGAATAAAAAAACTCTTTGTACTTAACTAAGGGCGACATTTAAACTTACTTAAAATAATATGAAAAGTTATCTGAAAAAGATATTTTAAATTTTCATGCAGAATTTAAATAATTAGTATCTCTGAATTCAGTCTATGAAGAAAAAGCTAATATCGGAATTAATTCCAGATTAAAAAAACCTTTTAGAGATTATTTGGTATATACTTAGATATTTTTTAGTATGAATCCATCCTTTCAAGACAAAGAAAGATAGTACTAAACATAAATATTTGAAGCTTTGTAGATAGAAATTAATGTATTTAAAAAAATATTTTTTTAATTAATTTAACTTATTTCAATTTAATAGATTGGAGATCATTAACATCCCACCCTTGGTTGGAAAGATTTTCTTTTAATAAAAACATGTGTTGCAAATTTGCTTACTCATGATTAAAAAATTGGTTTTCTTCAAAGATTCTTCAATAAATATAACATGATTCAAATAACGAAATAAGAATTTTATCATCTTTTAGCCTCTGCTAGAGGAATTCCTTTTAATGAAAGCTCAGAGAAGTTAATCCTTCATGGCTTTCAAGAAGAAATATGGAGTAATTTGAATGAGTTATCTTTGATAGATAAAGATAATTTTCTAATTTAAAAATTTTTTTATAGCATAAATCCAAATTGTAGATTGTTAAATGATTTAATTTAGTGGATGTTCTTGCAATCTTACGAATGAAAAAGCAAGCTTCCAAATTGAATATGTTTAGAAATGGTTGTTTATTGGTTTCAATTAATTATTTAAAATTACAATAAAATAAAATTACAGAATATTAAAAAATTTATTTTTCTTTGTAAAATATTTATTATCTAAGTTAGTAAATATATTTTTTTTGGCTTAATTTCCCTATAAAAATGTAAGCATTATTATTTATACAAAATATTAATTATTAATTTAATTAAAATACATGACTTAGTTAGATATTTTATATGACCAAATAAAGATTTATTACAAAAAGTATTGATGGGATGATAATTGTTACAGTTTTTATAATACATTCAAACACTTAATTTATTTAAGAAAGCCAGAGTTTTATTTTCTTCAATATTTGAATTTTGAGCAAAATATTTCTAAAAAAGTAAAAAAAGATTAAAATTGGGTAAATATTCTTTATTTTTATAATTATCTCTTAAAACTTTTTATTAAAATATCAAATATATTTTTTTATTAAGCTAAATTATATTTTTAGCATATACTTTATTTTAGAATTCTAAGAAATTGCATAAAAATAATAAGTTTTAATACATTTAAAGCAGAACAATTTTATGTAGAATTAAAAAAAACTTTACTCCGTTTAAAATGAATTATGATAATTAAAGTTACAAACGAAAGAAGTAAATTGATATTTAAAAAAGATCAAATATTTATAATATCATGCATGAAACCTATCAATGCTTAAAATTTATAATCAATTTGAATGGTTGAAATGATTTGCCATGCAGATTTAGTTATATATTTGAAAGAGGTATTTATCATAATTGGTGCTTATTATATCAAAAGAAAAAGAAAGTTTTAATTACAAATTTTTTACTTATTTTTTTCGATTATTTTAATTTTTGTTAATTCAATATTGCATTTTTAAGATATTTTGTAAAAATTATTTGTTTACAATTACAATATAACAAATTTAGATATTTAAAAAAGGGATTCTACAAGATCTATTAGCATAAAACAAATATTAACTCATTTTATAAAATCAATTATTGATTTAGTTTTTAAATAAAAATGTCACAATTAGTTTGTGTCTAAGAAGAATAGATAAGTCCGAGAAGCAGTTAAAATCATTCGCTCGTCAATTATTAAAATTAACATTAAACACATTAAAATTAATCAAGCAATGTTAAATACCTCACTCCAGAGCGAGCTTATTCTTAATAAAAATAAGGAATTCAGAAATTTTAAATCAATACAATACCTAGATCAATATCCAGAAAGAGAATTTAAACAGATAGCTCAGAAGATTTTCAATAAAATGGCAATTAATTAGCTAATTAATCTGTAAATTATGCTAACAAAAATAACTCTTTCTCTAATAATGATTACAGCTCAGACTAAAAAAAGTATGAAGTATTAAGAAACACAAAAAAATAAAATTTAACTCTTAAAGGAAGTGATATACAATAATACATAAATACTTAAATTTAAAAGAAACTCTCATACTGCATTAGTGGTAGCAACTCCAAAGAAATTTATCCATCAAGAATTGTTGCAGCTTTGAAAGATAAATAAAATGATTAATAGCTTTTGAATGGGTTCAAATAGAACCCTTAAACATATTTTGCTTAATAAGGAAGTGAATAGTAATAAAAGATTAATTTTGAAAATCGTAATCACCTAAGTAGCGTCAATCGAATGCCAAACAGCAATAAAAAAGATATTAATTATTCTAATAAATTAGTTGATTAAAGCTACTCTTCTGCTTTTGATAACAGCTAGTAATATGACTCATAATTTAACTCAAATAAAATAGAAAGAGCAGCTCCAAAACAAAGTTTGTTTTAGAAAATAAGTCAATCAGTAGAACGATAAAAGTTAAGAGAAATATGTAACAAAAATGGAAATCAGATAAACAATTTTAATCTTAAAGACACAAGCTAAAATGTTTTAAAAACTGATTAGAATAAAAATGATGATCAAAACAAATATATTTATCGCTGTTAAAGCGAAAAAAGAATGAACACAGATCAATCGATTAACTCAAATTATTCTGCATAAACATGCCCATAAAATAGAGCCAAGTCCCCTCAATCAATGATTTCGATGATATCAAATAAAAGCAATAAGTAAAGACCTTTTTCAAAGAAAATAATTGAAAAGATAAAACTAAATCGTAATTTAAAATATTAAAACGGGAGTTATAATGATACAAGCAGTACATACTTCACAGACCTTAGTGGATCATAATAAAACCAAGGTTAATATGTTAGTTTTAACTTTTTAGTAGTTTAACAAGCTCAAAGGATCAATAAATATGCAGAATATATAAAGCAAGATACCTATAAAATGAATTAAGAACTAAGACCAAATAAAGATAAAGTAAGAGAACTTGTCAATTCTATTTTATAAATGTATTAATTTTTATTTACTCTTTCATCAGATTAGTAAAGGATAGCTAAAATTATGATAGATTGTGGTGCAGCTAAAGGAAAATTATTGGAAATTTTCTTTTAGAACTAAATGTAAAATAACTCACCTCAAAAAGACGATTAATATTATAATCGATACATCGATACTGTTGAAAGAACAATCCATTCATAAAGTAATTAACAAGAAGTTAACTAATTCGTTAATGATAAACAAATTAATGATCATTCTTTGCTCACAGATTAGTCGCCATAAAATAATAATTTAAACGATTTGAAGCTTAAGGATTCTCTGGACCCAAAACACTTTTTTGAAAAAACTTACTTCAAAATTCTACAAAAAGACTCAAACGGAATCGCTTAGGTACAAGAGTATGTAGATCTTTAAGTGATAGAAGATTTGGATAATTTAAAAACAACTCTTTAAGTTTGCCTAAAATTTACAGAAAGCAATTCTTCACCTTAAAAAAAAGATAAATCAAGATCTCCTTAAGTTAAACCTACTCCTCCAAAATAGTAATATAAAGACATAAAAAATTCTGAATTCGATGTAAAAATAAATAAATACGAACTATCAAAACAAAGATTCCCTATTAAACATTAAATTCAAACCTAGTCTGAATCTTTAGAAGAAAGATCTAAAAAAGAATATAACTCTGATATCAATAAAAATGATGAAATAATAATATAAGAAAACACTAATTCAGATGACATTTTATAATATTTAGATTTACTTAAAGATTAAAGAACAGAAAGGAAAGGCCTAATTTCTGAAATGAATGAATACACTTCAATTAATTAAGGTGAACGATTTCCAACATATGTAAATGACCCATATGATTTTATAGATTATTCAAATTAAATTGATTTACTTGGCTTAGCTAAATATTATTGAAATAATATATTTTTAAAATAATAGCCCTCCTTTACTCATATAATACTAATCTAAATAAATAAATAAGAAAATAAATAAATAATTAAGTAAGTAAATAATAAAATAAATAAATAAAAAGCAAAATCAAGATGTAATATTTAATTTTATTATAGCAAAATAACTATTCTAAGATATGGAAATAAATATTTTATTAGATGAAATAAAAGTACTTTAGTATTAGATTAATTAAATAAATAAAATTATAAAAATTTTACAAAATTTAAAAAACACTAATTGTAAATTAAAATATTTTTCATAATTTGTATAAAAAGTTCAAAAGTAATATTTTTCAAGTTTTGTTAAGTTTGATATAAATATTTTAATTAGTTAATTTTTTATTATTTAGCAATTAAATTTCGTTAATAATAAATCTAAATCAACTGATTAATGATGGCATTAATTAAAATTCAAACTTCATGCATTTCTTAAAGTAAAGCTTTTGTTGAAACCATGTTTTAATTAATAATTGGAGATTTCACTTCGTCTTGTTCGTAAGGAATGCCTTTATATCTGCTATAAAAATAATAAACTATATAATATGGATAAAGAGTTATTGTCCATCCTAAGAGAGTACACCACCAAGTTTAATCAAATATTCTTGTTATTTATAAATACAGAGATAGCAATCCCATAGCTGCTGTAAAGAATGGTACAGAATAGTGCAAGAGGAATATAAAAATTTATGGCGTGGGATCTTAAATATACAATTTAACTTTTTCTTCAATAACATCCCATTTTTCTATCCAAGTGAAAAAGAAAACTTCAATAAATAATCCCATAAATAAATTAAAACCCACTCCATAAGTGTCAACTAAATCTAAGAAATAAAATCCAGCTTAGGTACAATATAAAAATCCAAATAAGGATACAGCACCACAAACAAGAGCTCTAACCCATTTCATTGGAATTCTGTGAGATAAAATAACTATACCATCACCGTTTAACTCATCCTCTAGAGTTCCAGCTAATCCATCCATAAATGCAAACTGAGTATCAATTCCTAATTTAAAAAATTAATTTTTATATTTATTGATAATATTTAAATTTACCTAAAAATATCATAGTGATGAAAAAGACAATTGCTAATAAATTAGAAAAAGGCATTTTTGTTAGTACTGCTGGAAAGACTATGAAGGCAAGATCAGGTCCTCTTAAAGGAATTTGATCTATTGGAATGTTTGTTATATGAGACATATATCCCATGAAACTAAATATAGCCATGGAGGCAAGAAATCCACATAAAACTGTGAATAAAGGAATTAAATAGGCAGATCTTTTTATTTCTTAAGAAATTGGTCTGTAACTACCAAATAAAACTAAAACTCCACCTCCTGTACTTACTTAAAATATGGCTTAATTTGTGGCATCAACCCAAACTCTTAATTAAGATAATTTAGACCAATCAGGCATAAAGAGCCACTTGATTCCCTACCAAGATCCAGGAAGAAACATGCCTCTAATTAAAAGCAAAAACAATAAGATATATGGTGAGGTAGCTGTAATCATTGCTACTCTACCTGAAACTGCAACTCCTTTCTATATACAAAGATATCTAATTTATAAAAAAAAAAAATAAATAAATTTATTTTTATTTAGAAGTAATTATTTACACTATAACTTATGAAAGAATATAACAGAATAGAAGTGGCCAGATGATGTGACCTATTTCACTGATACTGCTTGAAAATTAAAGAACTTCTTTGTAAAAGTAATCCTTTAAAAAATAAAATAAAAAATAAGTACTTAAGAATAACAAAAATAAACTCTAAATTATCAATCTTCAATTAGTCAAATTTTTTTGTTGAGAAATTCGCTAGTCGCTTAATTGGTTAGTTAATTTAGAAGAATAATTAAAGCTAGCAAGTCTGTGGCAGTAGCGATTTTTGAAAAATATATAAAAACTTTACTGAATTCCATGGCACTGGGGAGTCTTTTGGAGCTGTCCAAGGTAAAGGCGATGTGAAACTCTCGTAAAGAAAATAAAAGGAATATCCAAGTATTAAATTATAATAAGTAGACATACTGAATGTAGTTAGCAATGGAAAAATACCTAATCCCTTGAACTTCTTATGGGTCTTTTTATAAAACAAAAATTTAAAAAAATAATTTCAAATCCTTCATTTCGTTTTATTGTATTTTAAAAAATTATAAATATAATTTATATGTATATATATGCTGATAGATTTATAGATAATATTTATTAACTCCACGTTTCAAATCTAAAGTTTGTTTACTTTTTCAAAGCATTGAGGTGGGCTTTTTTAAAGCATCTAACCAAGAGCAGTTTCAAAGTAGAAGGAGGGTATACCTATTAAAAAAAGCATAATCAAATAGGGTATTAAGAAGACTCCTCCTCCGTTTTTATAAACCAAATAGGGAAATCTCCAAACGCTACCAAATCCTGCTGCATACCCTAAAATAGTTAGTAAATATTCTAAATAGTTATTAAATCTATCTCTTTCATGGTGATTCTCTAAACTAAGGGTTCTCTTGATACCAGCTCTATGATACCCTCTTACGTGATCATGATCATCGTCATGAATCAGATTAGTATAGCTATTCAAATTCTCCTATGAACAAATTTCGGGTAAACTATTTGCCATTATCTACTTCTAACCAAATATTTTTAATATTTTTGATGATTTTGTTTGACTTAAAAATATCTTGAATAATTTTTTTTAGATTTTTTATCAAAAAATAAATGATAATCTGTACACACTTAATATTTTATCTGCCTAATCAATAATGTAAATTAAAATTTGGTACCTAAATTATCTAATCTTTTAATAAGTTTTTTGTTGATATAACTTAACCTGCTTTTTTAAATTATTTCTGAAATATTATTTTTTTAAAAGAAAACTATTTTTATTTATAAATAAGAACAAATTTTAATTAAGTAAACTCTTAATAAAAAATAAAAATAAATCTTAATATTAATTAGATTTATTTTATATAAATTTGTAAAATCATTAATAACTTTAATTTATTGTTTTTTATTTAAAATACTTGAGTTATCTTTAAGAAATATGACAAATCTATCTAATTTAACATCTTTTGTACTTTTTAATCGTAAAAAATAATTAATAAAAAATACTTTTTCAATAGCTTTAATTTAATTAGTTTTTTATATGAAAAAAATTGATAAAAAATATTTTATATATATAAAAAATTATTTAAAAAAATAAATTAATTTATTGATTAGTTTATTTGTAGCCATAAAAAGTAGATAGATATATTTTATAAAAGATTTTTCTTTCCCACAAAATATTGGATAAATAAAGGATTGAAATTTGTAGTCTAAAAACACAAAAGCAAAAAATATACCAAATAATTAAATTATGTAAATAACTAATTCATAAATATAATATAAAATAAGATTGTATTTGAGTTTTCAATATTCAACTAATTCCTACTCAAGTTCTTTATTTCCTTATTCTTCCCTTTCTTAACTAGTTTTTCCTTAGATTGGCTTTTCATCTTTGTATTTTTTATAGTAGTAATATATAGCATAATATGGATAGAGTGTAAAAGCCCATCCAATAATACTAACCCACCAGGCTTATTTGTTGATTTTTAGTAATTAAAGTATCACAGCTAATCCTCCCAAAAGACCTGTAAATACAGGGACTGAGTATTTTAATAAAGTTTTATATATCTAAGGGGTTGGTTCTCCAATATATTAGGTAATCTTGATTTCTAAAGTATCCCAGTTCTCCATCCAATTAAAAAAGTAAACTTCCATAAACACTGCAGTAATCAAATTAATTCCAACGCCGTAGCTATCAATAAATTCTAAATAGTAAAAACCTGCTTAAGTACTGTATAGAAAAGCAGATAAGGATACAATACTACAAATTCCCATTCTAATGTGCTTTTAAGTGATAGTTATATTAAATATTTTGGCATCAGTACCATGGAATTCGTCTTCAATTGAACCTGCAAGTCCATCCATGAAAGCAAATTAAGTGTCTATACCTAATTAATCAATAAAACATATTTATTTTTTAAATAATAATAATCTATCTACCACAACTATTTATAGTTAATGATATTATAAATTTATAAATTGAAAATAAAAACATTTAAAATACCTAAAAACACCATGGTCAAAAAGAAAATAATTGACAGCAAATTTGAGAAAGGCATTAATGTTAAGACTGCTGGAAACACTACAAAAGCAAGATCTGGACCAGATAATGGTATATCTTGGATTGATTAGCCAGTTAAGTGAGACATATAGCCCATAAAACTAAAAATTACGAACGAAGCAAGAAAACCACATAAAACTGTTAACATAGGCACCATATATGAAGTTTATTTTATTTCTTATGAAACTGGTCTATAACTACCAAAGATGATTAAGACACCACAGCCTGTACTTACTTGGAAGATAATTTAATTAGCAGCATCAACCCAAACCTATAAATCACTTAACTTGCTCCAGTCGGGAGAGAACAAGTAAGAAATCCCAGTAAAAGCACCCTCTAAGAACAATCCTCTCAACATTAAAATAAATAATAAAATATAAGGTGAAGTGGCAGTAAATAATGCTATTTTTCCAGAAACAGAGACTCCTTTTTGAATGCAGAAATAACTAATGTAATTTTAAAATAAATTAAAATTAATTTTATTATAAGTAAGGCTTTAATTTCAAATAAAAAAGTTATAGTATTGTATTTAATTATAGAAGAGATCATCTTAAATAATTAATCAGTTATCGATAATTAAAAACTTTAAAAATAGTTAATTAAATAAATCTATAAACCAAGCTTTTCAACTAACTTGATTGTTGATTTAGATCAGAAATAATTTAAAATTTTGTATTTCTTTTAAGATAACATAATCAGATATGTTTACAGGCATATCATTCATTTATTGAATGTTTTTTTACTTTCAAAATTAGTTAGCTTATGTATAAAATTAATTTTTTAAATATTTACACAATAACTTAAGACAACAAATAGCAGAAAAAGATAGGCCAAACAATTCCACCTAATTCATCTAGGCCACTAGAGGAGTTTAAGAAATTTTTGTAAAAATAATCCTTTTATTATAAATGTAAAATCAATCATACTTTTAGAAAAATATTCAAAAAGCTTAATCATATTATGAAAAATCTTAATAATTTTTTACTTTATTCCAAGGTTTTTGATTCTCTTCTAAGTTTTCTAACTTCCAAGGTAGAGGATAAGTAAAACTCTTCCATAAAAAGTATATTGAATATGCTAAAATTAGATTATAATAAGTTGACATTGAGAAGTTCACGCATACTGGGAAGATACCTAAACCTTTCCATTTTTTGTGAATCTAATTAATAATTTATTAAAATATAACATTTTATGGATGCTTGCTAATTTTTAGGTCATCTTTGAGTAATATATTTAAGAAAATGCCTTAGAAAATTTAAATTTATTTACTTTTTCAAAAATTAGTGGAGGACCTCTTTGAAATATTTATCCTATTGCAGTTTCAAAGTAAAAAGATGGAAATCCTATCAAAAAAAGGAAAATAAAGTAAGGAATCAAAAAGACACCTCCTCCGTTCTTAAAAATAAGGTAAGGGAATCTCCAAACACTACCAAAACCAGCAGCAAAACCTAAAACGCTAACTAAATATTCATAATAGCTATTAAATCTATCTCTTTCGTGGTGATTTTCATCTAATTATCTATTGAATGCAGCTCTATGTTCACCTCTATTTTCATGAGCATCTTTATTTTCATCATACCAATGCTCTAATTTATATTACTCGTTTTTTGTCAAGAGAGTTAAAGGCTTCGGCTTTGGTCTCTCTTTTTACCCGAATAATTTTTCATGCATTTTCTTTTCTAATGGATATGCTAAAAACTTTTTTGATTAAGCTAATTTATGTGTTTATGTAAATTTTTATGAATGTTTTGGTTTTTATTTTATTTTTTTAGTTCTATTAATTTTTTGGTGAAATAAGTAACAAAAAAAGATATTTTCATAAGTTTTTTGAAGAAGATTTTTGTCAATTTTACAATAAAAATATCGAACACTCATTTTTATTCACGCAATAGATTTGTTATACTAATTATAGAGAGAATTAGTCATACGTGATATTTCATGAGTTGATATCAAAAAAAAATTTTGGAGTCTATATTTTATTTGCAAAAGCAATCTATATTATTCACACTTTCTTGATAAAAAAATAATATTGATTATACGATCTATTTTTAGATAAATTATAAGATTATTTTTATTTCTTAAAGTTTTCTTAAAAATTTCTAAAGGTATTTTAATATTTGACTATTTTTCCTTCCTACTAGTTTAATTATATATTAAATTATTATTTTATGTTAAAAAAACCAAAATATAACAATACTAATAAATATAATTCCTTTTTTTCTTTCTTAGATTTAAATATAATACGACATATAGAGAATAAAGATTTTTAAAATAAATTATTACAGTAAAAAATTGGCAATTTCTTCAACTCTTAAATATTTTTAATGTTTTTTATTTTAGATAAATAATTTGTATTATTAAGCAAGAATTTTAAAATAATTAAATATATTTATTATACTTTAAATAAATTTTCACATGATAATTAAAAATATTTATGAGTATTGGAAGGAAGTAAATTGTTTTTATTATTTTAGTTTAAAGCATTTACTCTATGAGTTTGGTTAAAAATAATTGATTATTTGATTGAATAATTTAATTTTATCTTTTGAGTTATTTTGGATTTGAAAAAACTCTAAATAAAATAGAAAGAAAAAAAATTAAAGCTAATAAAAAAACAAGTAATAAAATGAAGAGAAAATAGCATGATTTAAAATGAAAATTATGTGTAAATAAATATACATTTTTTAAAATAAAGAGAATTTTTACTTTTTGAAACATAAATTATTCTGTTTTTTAAAATTTATGCAGCTATTTTTTTTTATAAGTAATTTTATTAAGTTTTATCATTATGTAATAGACTTTCTTAATCTTTTAAAAATCGATTATAGATAGATAGATATGTACGTATAGTAAGAATAAATGAATGAATTAATAAATCAGTGAAATAAGTAAATTTTATATTTTTTAGCTTCACTATCTCTTTTCGTGTATTTTTTTATTATTTATTATATTGATCATTACAATCAAAGAGTGGATACATCCTTTAAGGAAGGATATTGAATGTAATTTTTAATTACTACTTTGCATAATAAGTTATTAAATTGTTTATTTATCTTATAGCTCTCTTTAAATTTATATTTTTTATTAGTAATTGTTAATTTATTAAATTAAAATCTTTCATTTTTTCTTCTTTTCTTTTTCTTTTTCTTTTTACTTTTATTTTTCTTATTTGTCTTTCTCCTTTTATTCTTTTCCCTTTTTTTCGGCTTATTTTTTTCTTAAATTTGCATCCTTTCTTTACAACTCTTCCAATTCTTCTTTGAATTTTTATGCTTTTGGAATATCTCCTTTTTATAAGTATATCTTATCAGGGCGTTAGCTTTAATCGCTTCCAAGAGTACTTTTGATTATAATAGGTTCATATGGCAATACATAGCGATAATCCCAATAGCGAATATCGTCGAATTCAATAAAACCCAGATAAGTTCCGTAGCATTTAGAGACTACTTAACCTTTAACCTTGATAGTACCTGAGATGTAGTCAGTAGGTCTTTTTTTGACAGAGTCTATTGCAATTTCTGCTACTATGTCGTTTTTTTCATCTTTAAAAGTAATAGAACCTGCAGATTCAACTCTCATAGCTCCCATGAATGAGCCACTATACACTTCCTTAGCAAAGTTATATATAATATATTATCCGTCTTTGAATTTTATATGACGATTACCATTATTTTTAAGTTTAAGCGAGTTTAAGCCTGCATTTGATTTGTAATTGTAATTTCCGTACATTAAATAGGATTTATCTGGTCCATAAATAGTAAAATATGAGATAGGAGGATGGTGAGAAATTTGTTCTGCATAGAGTCTAGTTCCATCAGGATAAAAACCTTAGCAAGTTTCACCAATAATTGGATTGAGAGGCTTCAAGAAACCACAGTTTATATAAAAGTTACCAAAAGTCGCACAAATTAAATATTTAAAACGCTCAACATAGTTATCTGTCTGACAGGCCTTATTTATATATAAGGGGAATAGACAAGTAGAATAGAGCGCCTTTTCTAATGCACTTTTTGGAATCATTGCCTTAATAGGGAATGAAATTTAGGTTAAGTTGAAACTTCCACTGAGAATTTTACGTCCTACTTAACTAATAATTTCTTTTCCTATTCCTCTTAAACATTCCTTTATTTTTTTATCTTTGCATTCTTTACCACCATCGCTGTGGGAAGATTCAGCTCTGCATTCATCCTTTGCTTGAATTGTTTTGAAGTCACGAACAAGATCAAAAATCATTTGCTTTGAAATCTTTTTATTGTGGAATTGGAACTCCTTCTTGACTAAAGTGTAAATGACATTTTTATCTTCAGGAAGAGCTGGTGGATCTGATTCATATCCTTCCATTAGCTTAATTTATTCTTACTCCTCTTTTTCTTACTATTTCTTTTTTTGCAATTCTAGCTATTACTTTAAAAGGTCATTATTGGAAGAATCGATTACCATTTAAGACTTAGCATCTACTTTATTTTGCTGCTATTTTAAATCTTCCTCTTCTTCTTCTTTTTCATTTGCTTCTTTATGGAATGATTTAGCTTTTGCAAAATCACTCTTCTTTTCTTATATTTTGTGGTTTTATTGCTTTAATTCTTAATACACAGAAGGAGTGAGACATGCATCTCTCATTTCTGACTTTTCGAGTAATTCAGGTATTTAGTCTGCTATTTAAAATATGATTTCATTATCAACATTGTCTTCTTAAATTGAGTCTTCATATCGAGAATCATAAACTTTGTTGCCTCTAGAATTAAATTGATCTGAGTCATATAAATTCTTTTAATGTGGTTGTGATTCGCCGCTTCCGCTTACACCTGCAGCAGCACTAATTTAAATGCTAATTTTTTATTGGCTTCCATTTATTTTATTACTTTTATGATTAACTCCATTCTTTCCATTGTGCTTAATATAATCATGTTATGATATCTGAGGAGTACCTAATATTATAATTGGTGGTAGACATTCTACTTCATATTCTTTAAGAAATCCATTTAATTCGTTCTTTATGAAAGGATTTCCCTTTACTGTAAAGCTTGGAAGCTGCACTCTTCTGTCCTTGTATTCTAATTTTTTTATAATATATTTTAATCTCTTTCTTTCTTTAATTAATAATTAATTATATTTATTTATTCTGTAAAATAGAGTTAAATTAAAATGATAAATAAAAAATGCTTAAATTTATTGTGAAAATGCTTATTTATTATTTATAATGTTTGTTAGTTTTAAAATTAATTGAACTGCAGTTTTTATTGGCTGCTTTCCATTCTTAAAAAAAAAGAAACTTTAATTCTTTAACTAGAGTTGATTTAGATGATTGATTATACATGATAATTATACTATGACTATCAGTTTTTGCTGATTTATTTCAAAATTTATCTCTTTTTTTGATATTTTAATATTTTTAAATTTACTGATTGCTTTTAATTGCAAATTAATAAAAATATTAAAACACCCTTCTATTACCAAGGTAATCATTACGATAAACATATGAATGAAATTCATTTAAAATAAATATAATCAATCTAGTATTAGCTGCTTGCTCTTTTTAGCGAGTGAGTTCAGGTTTTAGTTTCAATTTTAAAGTAATTGCAGATGGTTAATAGATATTGAAGGAATTAAAGTTTACTATATTAGTACATTACTAAATTAGTGTTATTTATTTACTATATATAAATAGCAAATAATATAATCACTTCAAAACTCAAATTATTGAAAACTCTATAAGATGATTATAATTTATTTATTTCTTACAGTATTCAGAATTGCGAGGAATCCTTTTAAACTTATCTACATTTTCATACTCATCTACTATTTGAATGTAACCCATTGTCTCATCGCAAGGATTATTCTCTTCTATTTGTACTTTAGTTCCATTCATCTTGTTGGTTTTTTTGTTAAAAGCTTAGTTAGAGAATTCTTCTACACCGTCTTAGTAGTTCTCTTGCTCGCTTAAGACTGATTATGACTTCATATCACTAATTTCTTTTATAATACAATTTGTTTTTTAACTTTGTTTGTAAAATGCTAAATGCTATCAAGCACATAAGGCAGGTTATAGACCACTTAAATCTATTTTGAATTTAAAATATTTATTTATTTATACGTTGCAAACTCTTAAAATGAGAGGGAGCAAACAAAACTAAAAATGATCTACTGCACTTTGCCTTATTTAAAATTAATTTTTTCTAAATCTTATCATAAAAAAAGAACATACATTTATAAGTTAATCCTTAGAAATTTTGATATTTTTAAATGGCTGGTGAACGGCTTTTGATTTTGTATATTATTTTTTATCTTAATGCAATAATTGTAGAGTACCTAACTTGCTTGCTTGATTGATATTAATATTTTTATTTTTTCTTCTTAATTAATTATTTTTTTAAAGTAAAGAGATTGAAGGGTTTTTGTAGTACTTTACTTTTTTTTGTAATTGCTTTGATAAAAATTTTTATTGCAGTATTAACTAATGTTATTTATAGTTCAGCTACCTTTTCAAAGGCTTCTTAACCCAAACCTATGAATTACTCATTATTCATTTAATTATTCATTTTTTTTTTGAGCAAAAACCAATTAATTAATTTTTGTTCTTGAGTGAATTTGTTTGGTTTTCAATCATTTCATTCAAGCACAGAATAAATAAATTAAAAAGCTCTGCAAAAAGCATATGAAAAAGAGGAAGGTATAGTTTAAGCATTTTCTGGTTAATAAATTTTTAAATAAAACTATTTATATAAAGTTTATAATCACAAGTAACCATGTTGAACTCTATGTAAAATAATTTCTTTTATCATACAAAATATGTATTCATTTTATTTAAAAACGAGAGATATTGTATAAAAATTCGATTAAAGCTATTAGTTCTAATCAAGGTTTTTGCGATCATGTTTTTATTTATTTACAAATTTCAGCATAATATTAATTTTGATTTGTTTACAAAATTTTTAAAATTTAATTGGTTTTTTTCTAGTTATATTTTTGAGCAGATTATCTGCTTGCCTTTTGCCTGTCTTCTATATCTTTCCGGTTTCTATTAAAAAAATCAAGTAGAAAATGTTTGATTATAAGTATCTATAACATAACCCAGATAAAATTAATCCCAAATAAATTATGTAATTAAAAAATTTCCTAATAATTAATGACGACAAACAATTAATTGAAATTAAATTTATTTAATAAATTGAATAAATATTATTTATTTTTTTAAGTTTATTTGGTAAAATTTTTACCTTTTTTTTCGTATTTTTCCCCTATCCTTGATTAATAATATTATAATCTCTAGAAGCTCTAAGAAAAAGTTCTAGATTATTTACATTTGTTACTTATTCAATTGCAGTTCAGATTAAATTTCGTAATTATACAGACATTATGAATAGTATTCTTCAATTTTGATAAATATTCAAAGTCTTATTTTTTATCTTTTTCTATAAGTAGAAACGTTTTTTAATTCAGAAAATATTTATATTATTAGGCTGATTATTTTATGAAAAAATATATTAGCTCCTTATTTCTCAATTCAAAAAGAAATGATTATTTATTAAAAGATATCAGCTTTTATTAAATAAAATAAATATATTTTTACACAATTTCAAATATAATTTAAAAAATATTTCTATATTAGAAATATCCAAATAGCATTAATATTCAAAATAATATGATAATTTCTGTCTTTTATTGATAAAATCTAATGCTTAATTATTTCAAATTTAAAAGTATAAAATAGAAAGATAGATAAATATAATACTATTTAATTCTTTCAATTTTGATTTTTGATTTTATTTCATCCTCGATCAAACAGGAAATTAAAATTCAAAAATATTGCAATAATAATCATAATATATTTTTATATCTAACTAATTTAATGATAATCTAATATCAAATTTAAAAAAATTTATTTCTTATTTTTAAAAATTAAGAAAAGTAAATATGGCTATTAATCAATAAGATATGAAAAAAATAATTTTTCTTTTATTTTTTATATTTAATATTTAACTTCTGTGGTCTTTTCATCTAACTCTTTTAAAGTACGATGTAAGTAAACAGTAAATAGTTACTTTAAAATAATTAATTTATTGTATGATATAATTAAACTGCTCATAATCATAAGGTTTATATAAAAAAAGAGGTTTGAATTTATATAAATTTGTTATTTAAGGTAACTAATAATAATTCAAATCTGTTTATTATATTATTTTCATAACTTAATATTATTATATTAGCATTTAAATTTTATTCAATCAAAATATTGAATTAATTTTCTAAAAGTAAGTTTATATTAACCTTTATTACATAATTATTTATTGAATTTAATATAATAATTAAAAATTTTTAGTAAAAAATATAACACATACATTATTATATCCTTCAATTTTTAATAGAGAAAATTTTAAGATTTCTACTTCTTTATAAAGCTTTTACTCAAATTTTAGGTATTAATGTTAATAGGTCTTAACATAGGAGATCTTGTAGTAAGTAAATGATATTTTTAAATTTAACAATTCTTAATTATAAAATATTTTTTATATTCGTATTTAAGTATTACAAAAGCAGGATAATATTTAGTTTTTAAAATAAAATTATGAAAATATACATAATTAAATAGCAAATACTAATTAATTGTTTATATTGATAAATTTATTTGTGTTATTTATTAAAAGTCAATTTATTACACTTTTTTAAATTAGTTTAATATAAAGTTTTTTTAGATGGCGTAGATTGATTTGATAAATTATAATTTTTAATTCCATATTTTAATATATTAAGTAAATTTAATTTATTCATTTTTTAGCTTTTTTCTTTGCTTCTTTTTCTTATTTTTTAAGAAGTTCTTTCTTTTTTTCTTCAAATTATTTCCTTAGTTTACGATCATTTCTTTAAATTTACTCAAGTTTTTCCTTTTCGATTTAAGCTTATTTTATATTGCCTTAGCTTAATTATATTTTATCTTGTCTTAAAGAATGGTCACTGCCCAATTTGCTCTTAAGTATATTGTTTTTAAAAGGTAATTAAACTCTATGATCCCAGTATCTGACACCATCGAATTCAATAAATCCTAAATAAGAACCGTAAACCTTAGAGCATAGTTTACCCTTCACTTTAATTTCTCCTTCAAAGAAATCAGTGGGTCTCTTTTTCACTTTTCCAAATTTAATCTTACATTCAATTTCATTTTTGGTATCTTAGAACATTATCTTTCCTAAAGTTTCATGTCTAGTTGTTCCAAAGAAAGTACCTGAAAAATACTCGTATCTATTAAATTAAGAAATTTATTAACATTAACTAATTCAATATTTTAAATAATTTATATTATACCCCTAATTGAAAGTAATTAATTATCCATCTTAGAATTTAAAAAATCTTTTGCCATTATTTTTAATTTTAAGGGAATTCAAACCAGCAGATGCATCGAATTCACCATAGCCATACGAAACGTATTTTTTTTGAGGTCCGGTTACATAAATGTATGTAATAGGTGGATGATGAGATACCTACTCTGCGAAGAGCTAAGTGCCATCTGGGTAGCTTCCTTCCAGTGTTTCTCCTAAAATTGGATTTAATGGCTTATAGAATTAGTTAGCTATTGGGAAACTTGAAATGCTTGCTGTGATTGAAAGTTTCATTCTTTCCAGAGGATCATTAGACTGGGATGCTAAATTCATAAAAAGTGGGTAATAGCAGGTGCTATATAATTGACATTCAAGCTAGCTTTTAGGAATCATAGCTTTTTTTTAAATTAAAAAAATTAAATTTACAAATTATTTTTAAAAAATAAAATACCTCTAATTGGGAATGAAATTGTTGTCAAGTTAAAGTCTCCTGAGATAAGCTTTCTACCAATTTATTTAATAACTTCTTTAGCTACGCTTCTTAGAGTGCTTACTAAAAAAGTATCAAAGCACTTCTTTCCTCCTTCTTTATGAGCGTCGTAAGTTCTACTTTCATCATTTGGTTATGATTTGACAGCTTACCAGCTTTTAACTAAACTGAGCACTTAATCTCTTGTTTCAATGCTGTTAAAAGACATTGAAAATAGTTATTAAAGCACTCCTTCTTTAACTACTTCTTCTACTTAGTATAATTTTTAGAGATCAGTATCGCTTATTTCTTCACTTTTGTTTTCTGTCTCATCTGTATTTAATTTATTAATTTAATTGTAAAAAGCATTATGCACTTCCTCTTGCTCTTAATTTAAAGATGGGGTGCCTTTATCCATGCTTGAATTACGAGTTGAATTCTAAGAACTGCTAGAAACAGTTATCCTTTCCTTAACTTCTAAATTTTCCATAATGTTTCCTTCACTTTCAGAATTATTATCGATTTATATCATTTACTTTATTATCTTTGGACCAAAAAAGATCTAATTTTTATTTATTTAATTAGTTTGCATAGGTAAAATGCTTTAGCTTTTTAAATAATATGTATGCAGTATAATTATTAATTAATGAAAGATTTTATATTAATCACTATTTATTTTGTTGTAAGTTATTTTTGATATTTTTATTAATTACTTTACCAAAACTATTCCTCTAATTATAAATCACCAAAATTTAATTTCACAAACATTTTTCAAACACGACTCTGCTTACATTATATTTCAAATTAAATTTATTAGCTACCTTCTTCTCGAAACTTCGACACTACATTAATTATTTTGGAAAATTTCCAAAAGCTTCACTCTTACAATTAAAATAAATAAAGTTGAATAAAACTAAAATTTCTATTTTGTATTTTTCATATTCTAAAAATAAAAATAATCTATCGAAACATCTAAAGTTTTAAAATACAGTTTATAATATCCTTTAAAAAAAATAGAATATCTGAGTCTGAATTACTTTAAAGCGAATTAAAATAATAAAACTTAACTTCTTAACTTTAATTTTGTATAATTATTTACAATATCTTAGAGTTAAATTTGTTAAATTTAAATCATAAAAAATATACATGGATTCTCTAATAAAATATCTTAGTTAGATTTATAATTGATGATAAGATTGGATATTATTAAATTGAAAAAATTGTTCTTTCAAAATAGTAAAAGGTGTATTTTTATCAATTATTTTATGAATTATTTTAAGAAGCAATAAATGAAAAATGACATGAATTACATTTATTCAAAATTTATTAGTAATAAAATTCAAAAAATTTTATGTAAATTAATTTCAAATACAAAAAAATATTTGTTTACATATTTTAAAAATAACAAACAAAATATGTTTATTCTTTGAAATTTTTAATTTTTTATTATTTTATAGATTTAGAATCAATATCATAAACAATAAAAGGTTTTTAAAAAAATTAAAAATAATTATGAAAAATAAATCTGTTTAATTAAAATTTTTAAAAATTAAATTTTATTTTTAGATTTATGATAAAAAATAGAAAGATTAATTTTAAATATTTGAAATCTTTTTTGATTTTTGACATTATTAGATTAAAAATAGCTTATTTATAACATAAATATTTAAATTATTTATTTCATTTTTATGTTTAATTAAATCACATTTTCATAAAGTAATTAAAAAACTTGAACCATAAAAACTTTGAAATTAAAAGAAATTTTAATATTTAAAGGTAAATTATTGATTTTTATATAAATATTTTATTGACTTAAAATAAAATTTTTTAACAATAAATCAATTTAATTAATATATTAAGTATAATTAATGCCATGATTTAATATCTTATTTTATAATCAGAATTCAATAAATCAATAGATTAATGATAAAAATACTACTATTAAGATACTAAAGCTAATAATCTTAGAGCTAATTACTACAACTACTTATGGTGATAGTGTAGATTTTCCAATAGTAGATACGAACGATGTAGGTGCAAACAAGGAAGGATTTTCTGTGGTAGCAAGTAAGTAAAGGTTATATTAGGTATTAGACTATAAACCTGTATAGTTGAATGTAACTTAATTATTTTAATTATAATACATTATCTAAAAATTAGGTGAGGTTTGATTTCTATTTGTCAGTTTAAACTTCATTTATTAAACAGTAGGAGTACCACTGTTTGGAGCATCTTTTATATTAAATATAATAATCATATTAAAAATTAAATTATTTATATATGTAATATACCTATTAAATACATCCATATGAAAGAATTTTATGCAGTTTGGATGTTACTAACTTAAAACCATGTTAAGCCAGTTGAAACAGTAGGCGTGTTAATAAGAGAAGGTGCAGGTTATGGTTAAACCTAAACTGGTGGAGTAACAGAGAGGATTTAAGGTAAGGTAGCATCATTTTAATTTAGTTACAATGCGAACTAAGGGTTTTAGACAATAGTCATAACTTTATTATAGCTAGAGTCACTGCTTAAATGGTCTAATGGTAGAGTATAAAATGAAACAGTATTCGCCGATGTTATTATGTCTAAATTTCTTTTATCCTAAAAGAGTAATCTAGAATTCAAATTTACTTGATCTTGTATTAAAAACTTATACTTAGATTATTCTTCACAGTAAATACTATCAAAACTCATTACACTTTTAATTAAAAATGTTTAATAAAACATAAATTAAATGTATGAAGATTATTAAATTAAATTGATTAAAATAAATTTATTTTTTACTTAAAGCATGGAATTGCAAATTGCTAACAAAGATAGCACACCAAGTTGGTTTTTTATTTAACTCCTATAATATTAGCAAATTATATGCTGATTCTCAGTAGTTGACCTCCATTTTATGTTGTAGTAAATGTATTATCTTATCTTGAGCTTAATCTTTGTAGTTAATCTAATGCCCAAGTTGAAATTGTGTAGCTATACCCTGATTTCAAATTACTAATTGTGAATGAATTGCTTGCTTATTCTGCATTCAAAATACCAAACTACTCTTAATAAATGTCCATTGGATTTAAAACTGTATACTTGTTTGCTTACTTCATTACTTCATCACTTGTTCTAATCGGGCCAGATTAAAAACATACATGATAATAAATTGCAGAAGGAACATTAACACTTATTAGAAGAGTTATATAATTCTAAAATATATTTGATGTCTGTAATATAGGAGTAAAACTTAATACTGGTGGATTTGGTTAGCCTACATCATACAGCTAGAATATGATATTAGTAGTACTAGCAATATAAGAATTCTATAAATAATTAAAAATAAATATTATTATAAAATAAATTATTAAATTATTACAGCATCATTTCCAAAAATGGTCATTTAGAGCTATACTTTGTGGTCTGGTAATACAGGAGAAATCATCTATGTTGAGCGTACAAACAATTTTCCTTTGTAAGACTATGGAGAAAAATTAATAGTGTATTAAGTGACGGGTTAGTTATTATCATCTAAAAGACTTATCTTAGGATCTAATCCCATAATCTAAAGCTCAAACAAAACTGATACTCCAGAAAATGGGATCTGATTAGATAAATCAAAGAAAACAGGTAAACTTTATCCGAGGACTGAAACTTTATATGTAGTATAAGCAGGAACTATTTAAACTTTAGTATTAGAAACTAACACATTGATTAACCCTAGATTTCCATAAATTACAGGACTTGATTCAACTTTTGTGAAGCTCAGAGTGTATAAGCCAGGTAAAGTATTGATTGGACAACCTAAGTTGAATGTTTCTGCAGATTAACCAGTATAAATCATCTAATTTTATTAAGCAGTAATTTATAATATGGATAAACAAACAAAAAAATAAGAAACAGTTTATTGTATAAAAATATTTATTCCAATGATTGGTGAAATAAATGCCAAAATTTTAATTCAAAATAATTAAATAAAGTTAATTTAGAACTATTTTTTATAATGTAAAAATATTTATTATTTTAATAAATGTAAAATTTGAATTAAAAATGTTAAATAAATTTAATTACATTATCTGAAATAAGTTGAAATTGCCCACCGCTGCTTGATTATAATTTATATTAAAGAGTTTTACTGAAATTGCCATTTGGATCAACAAGACTTATCAGATTAGAGTAAACACCTGGTACAAGTTAAATTGTATTTTAGTTATAGATAATTTAAACTCCTTAGAAGAACCAATTCATATATTTTAATGTGGTACTGTAGACAAATTTAATATTAGGCTAGTTAGTAGAAGCAATTGAAGATGCTAAATTGTTAGTTTTTAGATCTTAGCTGAGAACTGAAATCATCACTTTCGTCACACTACAAGTAGATTATTCAGGATTTAATATTGGATTAAGTGATACCAAAAATAAAGTATTTGGAGGGATACTTTGGCTCACTTATATAGTTCTATTTAATGGTTAAAAATAAAATTCATAATTCTTTATCAAATCAAATTATTTTTTTACATTTTAGATCCTAATATTTGAAATACAGATCCGTAGGTTGTAGTACTGTCAGTAGATGTAATTTAGCAAGTAGTAGGAGGGCTGATATTAATAACTGTTCCATATTCCTATGGAAACTCTACTATTATGTTTTGATTAACACTTATTCCACTTCCAGAAGAAATCGTGTAACTGTATATACCTGATTCTCTTGCATTTGGATTAGATTAAGTAGCATAAGTTATTTAAAGTTAGTTTGTTGTATCTTAATTTGTTGCAGGATCAGCTAACTAATTCACTTCAACTATAGAACTTGGATCTGTGGATGATCCTACTAATACTTAGATATTACCTGCACCAGCTGATACAGGAGGAGATACTATACCATAAATGTCGATAGTAAAGGCTATTTAAGCTGCAATTTAGATGGGAAAGGCCTAATATTTACAAAAAAAAGATAAAATAAAAAGAAATATTTTTCATAATTTAATAAATAAATAAATAAATAAATAAATAAATAAATAAATAAATAAATAAATAAATAAATAAATAAGCTTTTTTTAAGGAAAATTACTGAAATTTGTATCTTGCGATCTGAGCCTACATTAGTGCAATAAACTGGCTAATTATTTATTTGGCAAGATAAATAGCTTGATCCAACTTAGGGATTATATTTTTGTGGAAAGGTTACAAAAATGGAAGTTTATTAGTTGATCTATTGTGCTGATAGAGAAATTTAAAATCTAAACTGAGTTTATGCTCCAGCTAAACTGTTAAATCTTGTTAATATTAATTTTGGAAAAGTAACTGGATTGTTATATGGAGGGTTTGAGGCTCCTGATGGACTTGTACCACCTTTAATAACTTCAAAACTAGATCTATACAATAATCTAACTTAGTATTATTAGATATTTTTGTATTAATTTAAAACATTTTCGCAATGAAGAGTGAACGGTAGGCTAGTATCTAAGATATCGAACCTCGGGAAAACTTATATTAAATTTGAGCTAAGATTTATATTTTGAAATCCAAAATAGGCTAAAGAGTTTTGCATCAAGTAACAATTAATATTTGAATATTGGCCAATAAAAGATGCTTTAAATGATATAAAATAAAATTTATTAATTCAAAATTAAATTAAAAAATTTGATTTAATTACCAACACTTATTTCTAAATATTGTCCTTTTAAGTTTCCATAACCTGGAGAAGATAATGCTAGGATAGGGCGTTAGTTTATTTAGAATTGCATTTCAAAAGTGCCAATGCTATTACTAACTAAACTATGGGAATATTTGTAAGAAATTATATTAATCACTGTATTCCATTATTCACCATTATTAAAACTCAAATTTACTACTGGTAGAGCACTTTACTAATCAATAATACCACCTGTTGAAGTTAAAGTTGCAACAGTAATTGCATATGGAGTTGCTATACTATTTACAGAAGCATCAAATCCATATTAAATCAGTTAAAAGTCACCCGGCTAGAAATCTTAGACATAATTTAAAGTGAACAATATATTGTTTGCTACAGGTACTGTTACAGTACATTGTGTCAAGGAATTATAACTAAATGTAGAAGTTTTATATAGTAAAAAGCAATTTGCATCAGTTTTCTCTGCAACACTAAATAGCCAACTTCCAGATGATACCAAACTAATCTATTAAAAAATAAATAAAAATTAGCTTAGGTAAATATTTCATTAATTAACTATCCATATTTTTTGGATTGATCAAATATTTCTTTTAAAAATCATTTTAATTATTAAATTCTCCAACATTTTAATGCAATAAATTACCTAAATTTAGCCATCTTTTGGAATAGGATTTGTTGTAGTAAAATACCAAATTACTTTGTTATCTTTAGTATAACGATTTATAGTTACTGGTTAAACATTATTTATGATATTTGGTTATAATTGAGATCCAGCATCAACTGGAACAGGATCTTGGAATGCTGTAACTATATTACCATCATTTTAGCTCCATGTTATATAAGTATTCTATAGCTTAAGTGGCCCAAGAGCAGGATATACAAAATTTTTAAATGTAACTTTTGTAGATGATGAAATTGTTGGATCAGATGCTCCTATTGCAGTAAATGGGCAGAAAATACCGTATTTCATTTAGGTAGATTGGAAGAAGTACTATTTTTAAAAATATTAGATTATTAAAAAAGAATTATTTTTAAATTATACAATAAAATAAATAAATAAATTTGAATCAAACAAATTTTAAATAAAGATTTTTACTCTAAATCCAATACAATTTTCTGAAGCTACTGATGTATTAACAATTTAATTTGCAGTTACTGAAAGAGTTTTAGAATACATTTACCATAATCCAACAATTACAAAAGCACTTCCCATTTATGTTGGCGATCCTAGTACATTTCTATTTATGGTTGAGACACCTCCATTATGACCAATAAACAAATCAGCATCCTACAACTAAAATAATATTAAAAATAAATTATCATTTTGACTTTGTAATGTAATATTTTACTCCTCCTTCTATTTTAGCAGTGGAGTCTAACCTATATGAAATATTTGCTGAACTTGTTTAAGGAGCATTAGTTGTACCAGTAAATAATTAGAATTAAGACATTGTGAATGAATTTACAAAAGTTTAACTCTAGGTGTTATCATTTGCAAAATTTGTCATTACACTTACAAATAGTCTTACACTTGTGCTTTAACCTGTGTTATAATAAATAATTCAAAATTTGTTTTTAAATTTTACATTTTTGATGTTAATTAATTTACCAATTGAAGATACAGGAATAAGCAGCTAAAATGGTGTATTTTAGGCTATTTATGAAATAGTAGTTGATACATCAAACTCTACTCTCTTCATAGTGTGGATTGAAGAAGATTAATCTTATTATCCATTATAACCCCAGCACTATTAAGCATAATTCAGATTACTAGAACAACTGACCTAATAATTTAGTTGAATTTGAATTGATTTTAATTTTATAAATTAAACTGATTACTATTTATCTGCCATAGTTATCTGTACTTTCAGTGAAAAAGTTTACATTATTAAAAAAGACAGCAATTCTTTACCCTCCTATTTTTTCTGCATCTTTTAGGTATCCTGTTACTCTAAATTTAAAAAATAATAATTTATAAAATTATCTTAAATTTACTATTTAATACCTGATAAAAGCTGGGAATTAAGATCCATCTGACATTCCATTTTACGCACCTTAAGAAGTGTAAAAATTTGATATGCCTATTTGAACATTCTAGAGATCGGCTGAAGAGCAAGTCGTACCCTAGGAAATTGTGAAAGCATTTACAGCAAAATAGCTGGTTGGTGCTCTGTTACTAGTATAGCTATCATATAAAGCACCATAAAAATTAATAGAGGATTAATCAGCACCATAAGAGCTAGACATACCCTAAATTATAACATCACCAATACTAAATACAGAAGTAATTGATTCAGATTATATGCACTATTATAAATATTATTTTAATCATATTAAAATATGATAATTTAAATTACATTAGATGTTGTTTATGGATTGATTAAAATCTCTGTAAAAGTATTATAAGTTATAATGCTTGCAGTAGCAGCTGAATTAAATTCGTTGTTAATATTACAACCAGCATTTTTAGATTCTACATAAGCAATTTAATTAGATTGAGCTGAAATAACTGTTGAAGTTACTAATCTCATGGCAAAATTAGGGTTAACACCAAATTAGTTGTTTGGTCCTTTTTTCCAAGCAAAAACAAGTTTTTGTTTAACATTATTGCAAGATTTCAACCCATAATTAGTGGGAGACAAAGGCTACAAAGGTTGTTTATTATTAGAGTTATCGTATGAAACCTAAATAATTATTTTTTTATTATCAAAATTTTTATTTATAAATTAATATTTTTCAATAAATACTCTCTTAAATCTGATTTTTTTTGTAAGTAAATAGTTGGATAAACAGAAAAACATTTAAATTAAACCAAATTTTTTAAAAATAAATTAATTTTTTATGTGAACAAAGTCATTTGAAATATTTTTAAAAAGTTTGATAAAGTAATAAAAAAATTAATTTTATGAAATTTAGATTAAATTTTATTACTTATGAATGCACCATTTAATATCCATATTGTGAGCTAGAATAGTCAACCCTGTCTAAATTATTCTATATAGTAAAAAATTGAGATAGTATATTTGGTTTGGTAGCCTAAATCATTGGTAGTTCAGCATTATTAATCAAATCCTCGCTGTAAACAGTCATTGTTCCAAAGTTACTATTTAGTTATATGTTGTTTGCAAAACTGATACTTATGGTCACATAATATAGCTATGTCAAAAGCAATTTTCCTATTTCTGTGCAAATAATATTTTGAGGAGGGCTAAGAGAATCTAGAATACATTAAACAGGAACATTTCTATAGATTTTAAATATTTTATTTCAGAAAAAATAAAATAAAATTTAGGTTTTAAGAAATCAATTATTTTTTGGATAATATGTATAAGCTATATTTTATTTAAGTCATTAAATTTATATTTTATTTAAACTTACGGATCAAATCTCGGAAAATTATATCTAATTGAACCAGTGAGTACACTGTCTAAAGCACCAATTGGTATTTATATTACAATTTTGAGCTTTGTAGAGTCAGGGATATCTAAACTTATTTGAAAATAGAATTTAAAGGGATTATAAAAGTTTTATTAAGCCATTATTGCAGCTTTTGTTACGAAAGAGCTATCACTTAAATCTATGGTATTAGATAGAAAAACCTATTATATTAGTTAAAAAGCTATTAAATATCTTTCAATAATGATTTCTTAAAATTAAAAGTAAATAAAATACTTTATAAAGATTAAGAGTCAGGTAACTTGTGTATATTGCTTAATTTAAAGTTGCTTGCTCAATTATTTGATTAGAAAAGCCCATTAAGGTTCTTACTTCAAATCCTGCAGTGGGGATACTATGGTTAGGGTTTATGACAGTTACTCTAAATCTGTAAGACAAATTTTGTTTAAGCCCAGTAAATAGTTAGATTACGATTCTATTGTTCAAAGTATCTGTTTAAAAAGCATAAAATATTATTAAATTAATGTAATTAATCTAATTTATTTAAAAATTTACCATAATTGCAGCTATATAATGAAGGATCTAGAGGAGGTATATTGCCACTCGGTACAACTTATTGTTCTGATACACATGTCCCAGTAAATTTGAAATATTTAGGCTATTGAAACAAGATCATGATTCTTGCTTAATCTTTAATTGCAATTGTTGGCAAGATCTAGAAGGATACATCATAAGACCATGCGACCTATGTTTTTTGAGGACTAGGTATAAATGGAGTTACTTATAAAGTAGTTGGAGGAGCCGATATAAATTCTAAATTAGCAAAAGCATTATTCAAATCATATTATATTGGTTATCCACTTGTTACAGAGATAGCTGATAAAGTTGCTGCTTGGACTGCCGATTAAATACCCGGATTAACAATAAACCCTCCTATAAATAAATAAAAATAATAATTCATCAATAAATTTATCCATTTTATATAAATCTAAAATCAAATATTTTTTTAATTTGAATTTAATCGTTAAGAATTTATCTTGAATTTATTTATCATTTTATAATTAAAATGCTTAATTCATTAAATTTTATAAGTTTAATAATTAAAACTTGCTTGTTTGATGCCTGAATTTCACTCATATTCCACATTTTAAAAATTCAATTTGCTTTTTAAACACTGATTTACTAATATAAGCGTTGCTTATATAAATATTAATTCAAAGGAATGATTACTTTATGGATATATATAGAGCGAATACCATTAAGGTGCGGCTTTTAAGCTAGTAGGATTTGAAGCAGCATCTAGAAACAAAATATAATAAATGTTATTCGAAGTCCCCTAAGTTATTGTTGCTGGTAGTAGAGTAGGAGTCAAAGTGCATCCAGTTGAGGTCTCATCAACATATTTAACTTATACATCTGTAAATTTATTAGTATATAATAGAAAAGGGAATGTGAGCTGTAAGTAATTGTAAGCTCCTAATCCATTTTGAAGCTGAAAGGTAAACTTAATTTAAGTAGTATATCCTACATTTAAATAATCTATTGAATAGTCCTTGGTAAATATTTAGCCAGCTTTGACAAAAAGGTATTTTTTTTGAATTGTTTGGAGTAGTACAAAGATCCAGCAAACAAAAAGTGCAAGATTGCTTTGTCTCATACTAAAGTTTACTTTTCCTGTTTTTTTTTTGGATTTTTTAATGAATTTTCCTTAAATTCCTTCAGAAATATGAAAAAATCAAAGTAATTTATGCTTTAGAAAGAATTTTAACTATGAAAAGGTCTAACTATTTTTAATAGGAGAAGTTTAAAATGTAATTGCTATGTAATATTTAATTGATAGATATATCTCTTATCTTAATTATTTTATTGAATTTTTAACTATTTTTTGTATTTTTAAGGTATTTGATTTTAATTCAATTTACAAAATATCAAGATAGATATCATACCAATAAGGCGATAACTAAAAAATATACGCTCATAAATCAAAAGTTAATTTCATTTAGCAACGAACAAAAAATAATTAATTATCAATTATAATAAAATATATAAACTATACACAATGCAATTAGCATTCATTCATTTATTAATTACCTGTTAAATTCAATATATTGTGGTAAATATTTAATCATAGATTGCCATACAAACATTTTGATTTTTTTATTATCAATAAATATATATCAAGCAATCTTTTATCAATGTAAAATAAGTTTGCACTATAATAACATTATTTATTTACTTCTTTATTAATGCTTTTATTTAGTTATGAAAATAGTTAAATGAAATTTTAATTTTTTTAAATATTTTAGTTATCTAATTTTTTTAAAGGAGTATTCTAAGTTTTGTTTTTAAATCATTTATTTTTATTTTATTATTTAAATAAAAATATTTTTTAAATTTTGAAATAAATTTACAAACATTTTATTGTGTAAATTAGATTTTTTTTAATTTCTAATCAAATATAATTTTATAAAGTATTTTGGTCTTTAATTTAATACATTACCAAATCAAAACATTAATTAAATTACAATTTTTTCAAAGAATTATTATGCTTAAAACTGATAGTAAACTAGCAAAATAAATAATTTAAGAATGAGTTGATACTGTGGTATTATAATTAAGTGTTTATTATCCTACAAATGAAACGCTAGAAGCTGGAGCAAAAAGAGAGGGATTTTCTGTTGTAGCTAGATAATAAAATGCATATTGTGTTCCATTAGTAAGATCAGTGTAATTGAATGAAACAGGTGTAACTTAATCATAATATTATATTTAGAATGTTTTTACAGTTTAGTTCTAACTAGTCAACATATATTTCATTTATTGCTATGAAGGAGTTCCACCGTAAGTCACATCTATTAATTAAATAATGAATTAATTTTATTTTATAAAAATAATTTTTTGTTTCTTACTAACTAAATACATCCAAATGAGGGAGTTAGCACTAGTTTGTATTCCACCAATGTAAATCCATGTTATTCCAGAAGAAACAACTGGTAAACTTGTAAAAATGGGAGCAGTCTATTAGTTTACTTCTTTTGGAGTAGAAATAGATAAAATACTAGGAAGGGTTAGATCATTTTATTAAATAAAATTAGCAAAGTTCGACCCTTAAACAGTGCTTATAATGGAATTCCAGCTTATATCTTACTCTTAAGTATCAATAGACAATGTGTAAAAATTTACTGTGTTCGAAGGAGTTGAAGAGGAATAAACTAATTATCTGTTTTCATTATTATCTTATTACTCTAATAATCTTCTCTATAGAGGCTAATTGATTGAGTCAACTATTGATAGCTGGTACTAAGATTCTTGACTGCAATAAATATTGTCAAAACTTAAAACGCTAATATTATTATATTTTTGATGAATATTTTATTATAAATTAATAATAAAGTATAAATCTTTTTATATTTTAAATCAAAATGAATTACTTTAAACAAGGTATGGCAAATTATTCACATAAGAAACATACCAGAGTCAACTTTTAAGCTTGTGTTATTGATTTAGAAAAGGTAATAGGTATTTTCATATTTCTTCCATCATTATTTTTTGTTGAAAATTATGAATCGCCTTAGTTAATAACATTCAAAAATTGATCTTAAGTCCAAGTAGTTATGATGTAGTTCATCTTTGATCTTAGATTTGAAATTGAGAAAGTTTGAATTGCACCTGCTAGCTAAGGATTTTCATAATTGAATGCGCCATATTATTATTAAAAGTAATCTACTGGATTTAATTAGACATAATTTTTCACTAGATTTTACACTTCAGCAAATTACCTAACAGGACCATTAGCATTTCTAATATAGTAATACACAGTGCAAGGAAGTGTTGCTTAGACATTTAAATTCTGCTAAGTTGCTAATTAAGATACTTAATCAACTGACTAAACATATTAGAAGCTTGGTATGGGATTTGGATTTATAAGTTTGAGGACTATTGGAGTTGTAGTGGAAGTATATGCGTTCTATTAAATAATAAATTAAATTAGTAATTCATGAGTATGAAATTATGAAATTTTACTGCATCAGTTCCGAAAATTGTCATTTATAATTTAGACCAAGTTTGTGCTGTTGCTGGCATGGAGACTGCAGATCTTACTAAGATACTTCCTTTTGGTTGTGTTGGAGAGAAATTTAGTGTTAATTAGGGTACTGTTGACAAGTTATTATCTACCAAGCTAATTTATGGGTCAGTGGTTCCACCTTAAACTATAGTAAATTGAATTGAGACTCCACTGAAAGGTAGCATATTACTTAAATCAAAATTGATAGGAAGACTATACCCTCCTGCAAAGACTTAGTATGTAGTGTATTAAGGTGATATTATATTTTAGGAGTTTGAAACTATAATATTAAGGAGACCGATATTACCATAAACCGCATTACTGTGATTCTCTGTTTTTGAGAATATTAATGTATATAACCCAGGTATAGAATTAGATGGGCAGCCTATATAAATATTTTCTTATTATTAGCCTGGATATATTTACTAATTATTGTTGCTAGATATTAGTTAGAAATTAGTTAATGATTAACTTGCTAAAGTATATGAAATCTTTCTACTAATTGAACCTGTAATATCTTTTAAAGCAAGAAGAGCAGAGTAAGAACCTGAAATAAGTTAAACAGTAGCAAAATTATACAATATTTCAGAAGAACCTTAAAACCAATTCAGGTATTTTAAGTTAGAGTTATAGGTTGAGCGGAATAACTATTAATTAGATGAAGAGACTGATGATTTAGCAAGCACTTGAGTCCTATCTGAGCTTAAAACTGAAATCATAATTCTGTTAATCTGGCATTTTGTATCTTCCGGGTTTATAATTGATTAAATCTAAATGACAAAAGATCCAATAGGTATATTAGTACTTACAGAAATTAATCTTTTTTTAAAATTAATAAATTTCTTTAATTTTGTATTTAATTAAATGAACAAATAATTGTTAATATATTAATTTAATTTACATGTTAGAGCCAAAAATGTTACATCCTTGACCATACACACTTGCAAGGTTTGTTGATTGTATATTGCAGGTAGTAGGTGGACTAACAGCAATAGAAGTTCCATATTCTGATGGATACTCAATATATATATTAGATCCAGAGCTTATTGCACTTAGAGAGTTTATGGTAAATTAATAGTTATTTTATTCACGAGAATACATATCGGATAATGTTGTAGATACTATGTATAAGCTAGATGTCGAATCACTTAAAGTAGCAGCATCTGATACATTTATTTACTCAACAACTTAATCAGGGCTAGTAGTTTTACTTAGACTTATTTAAATATTTGCTGCTCCTGCTGCATTTAATGGGGCATATACTCCATAAACTTCAAGAGTGAATTAAGTTCCTGCTGCTATGTTTAAGGGGAAAGCCTAAAATTTAATTAAAAGTGAATGTATAACTAAATTAAATTTATTTATTTAAATTTACTGTAACTAAAATGCATCTTTCAATAAAGTTGTAGCAATAAACTACTTTCCCATTAACTTGGCAACTTAAAGAAGAAGATCCCACTAAATGATTGAATTTTAAAGGAAAATGAAGGAAAATAGCTGAGGATTAAGTCACACCTGTTGCAGAAAATGTCAATTAAAATTTATAATGCAACTTTGATCCAGCTAAGCCATTGAATTTGCTTAATGTAGCACTTGTAAGTGCAGCAGGTGTTGTGTATGAAGGATTTGAAACTCCTGTTGGAGAAAGCGTACCAGTTATAACTGTTTACACAGCTCCATCATTGAAATCAAGATCAATTTTAAATGTTGGAGAAGCTGAAAAGGTATTTATCACATTTAAGCAGTGTAGCTAGAATGTTAAACTTTCAGTCAATATATCGTTTCTTGGAAATAGTCTTATTTGATTAGCATTTGAGCTGTCAATAGATTTAAAACCAAAGTATGTAACACTATTTTACATTACGCTGCATTATGTTGTGCTCTCTTATCCTACTAATTAGCCTTTTATTTTTTATTTTAAATAAATATGAAATTGAGAATGAGGAAAATTATTATTAGCAATTTAGGTTGGAATTAAAAATAGATTTATTTTAAAAAGATTATAAAATTTAAAAATAAATTCTATAAATACCTATATGTTTATAATACCATCAAATTAAAAAATTTAAAAAAATTAATAAACTTTCTAAATGGATTGTTTAAACATATCTTTATTTACAATTAACTAAAGCATAAGGTGTAAAAAGAATGTAGTAATTATTAAAAAATTGTAAGAAAAACATTTGTTTGTTTTAAATTTCAATAAAATAATTGGACTAGCTACTTATTTAAATTTGGACATATTATCCTGCTATAAGCCCAGCACCAGGATTAGGAGTTGCAAGAGCAAGAATAGGCCTACTATTTATTCTGAAAAATAAATCTAAATTTCCAACACTGTTACTAATCAACGAATGAGTAAACTGAAATTTTATTTAATCTACTGCTGTGTTCAAAGCTACATTATTATCGAATGTAAGAGTAGCAGAACCATTAGATTAGTCAATATTTCCTACAGCATTTGATGTAGTAATGGTTATTGCATAAGTTTTACTCAAGGAAGTGCTTGGAGATTAAAATCCATATTAGTTTAAGATGTAACTTCCTGCTGGGAATGTTCCAGAATAAGAGAAAGTAAAAATTATATTGATGGTGCTTACCGAAACTGAGCAAGCTGATGTTGAAAATGTTCCAAACTATAGCTAAAGGATGCATGCTGCTAAATTACCAGCATACACTTAAAAACCCCATGGATTTCCAGAATCATTTAAATTTATCTTTAAGTTAATAGCAATTTTTATAATGTTTTAAAAAAATTGTTAGAAAATAAATTTACAGTTATTTTGCCATTTCCTGGGAAAGGATTTGTTGTTGTGAAGTACCATTAAACCCTGTTGTATTATATGTATCTCCTTAATATTAAACTTTTTACATTGTAAATGAGATTAGCGTTGAGGGTTTATGTTATAGAAGTACTATCTTAAAGTACTGAAATAAGGGCACCATTGTTTTAACTCCATGAAATATAGGTCCCACTCAATTTAAGAGGGCCTTGAGCTGGGTATTTGAAATTATTAAAAGTTACAGAAGTTGTTGGACTGACTGTAATTGAAGTATCCTTATAGGTAAATGGGCAAAAAATTCCATATTTTTAAACTCCTCCTGTTTAATACTTTTTTAAAAAATATTTATTAAAAGAAATTAAAATAGTTAGTAAATTAATTAAAAATTACTGAAAAGGGCAAGCAATGTTCTGACATAACATTAGTGTTTACAACACTTGTTGTAGCAACGGCTAATGTATTAGTATACATTTACCAGTTACCAACTATGACAAAGGCTGCTCCAATATTTATTGGATCATTATTAGGATTATTTTAGTTAATGGTTGGAACAGTCAGACTATGTCCAATATTTAATTAAGCATCATCGACCTAAATTAGAAATATTTTTTATTGTATCATTTTCTGTGAAAAATTATTTTACTGCTCCTTAAGTTCTAGTGGACACAACTAGCTAGTAACTCAAATCTGCTAGGGTTGCATAATAAGGCTGAATACTACCTGTCAAAATAGTATAACCTGGCATGGTTTTTGAAATTTAATAAGCCTGTGTTTAGTGGCCAAAATAGGGGTTATCTACTAGTACAGCCACCTACAATCTTTGAAGATTTAAATTTGCTTTTAATAATTATTTATTGAAAGTTTTCTATTGATTTAGAAATTGTTTGAGTTTTTAAGAATATTTATTGTTGGAAAATGTAAATAAAGAAATGATTTTTATTGAATATTAAATATACGTATAGCTTAAACTGGAATTAATAGTTAGAAAGGAGATGAAGAGCCTGTTTGAGCAATAAAAGGACTAATATCAAACTCAACTCTTTTCATAGAATGAAAAGATTGAGATTAATTAATCTGTCCAGAATATCCCCAGCACTTCTGATTTGTATTCATGCTGCTAGAGCAGCTTACCTTTTAATTATTTAAAGAATTTAATAATTTTTAAAATCAAGTAATTATTTTTTGAAAATACCATCATTTGTCCATACGAATCAAGACCAATAGAATAAAAATTAACATTGTTAAAGAATACGGCAATCCTCTTTGCGTTAACCATTTCTTCAGCCGTTAAATAGCCTGTTACACTTTTAAAATCATAAAAAGTTACTTTCTTCACTATTAAATTCAAAATATTTACCGTATAAATGCAGTGTATTTTGTGCCATCAGCAATTTAAGTTTATGCTCCACTGGATGTTTGATAATTAGATAGAACAATATTTATATACTAAAGATTAGTCAAAGTACATGCACTACCAGTAACAGAAATAGTATTTGCATTTACAGCAAACCATGAATTTGGAATTGAAGTATTATCAACATAGTTAGAATAAAAGGAACCATAAAAATCAAATCCATCTCTTCCAGCATAAGAGCTTCCATGACTCAAAATAAAAACATCACCAATACTAAAAGTGGAAGTCGCTCCCCCTTAGCTCATGCACTATATAATTTTTATTTAGTAATTTTTACTATATTAGTTTTTTCTAAAAAATTTACTGTAGATGAGCCTCCAGATGCAAATAGAATATCAGTATAAGTTGTATAAGTGGTAATCATCCTATTAGCATCAGAAGGGAAAGAAGATGATATTGTACATCCTGGATTTGTAGATTCCACATAAAATTAACTCCCAATTTATCCTGGGTTAGCTTATATTAATGGAGAGCCAATTAATCTAAAAGCTTGATTAGTTCCACCGCCAAACTATCCAGTAAGACCTGAATTTAATGTAAAAACTAATTTCTAAGGTAAGGATTTGTTAGTGCAAAATTTAATTCCTGCACTATTTTGACTGATTGGAGATAGTGACAACTAATTTCCTGAAGCATCTTGTGATGGCTATTTATTTTATAAATAATTTAAAATTATTTAAAAATCTATGAAATTACAATTAATATAAATGAATTTAAAATGTTTAAAAAAGCCAAGATATAAATAAATAAATAAAAATCTAATTTTAAATTTAAAATTCATTTAATAGATTTTTTTATACCTATGTATGTACAAGCTAATAACCGTAAGTTGTAGTAGTAGTATCAATAACTTGCTAATTGGGTTTAATTAATGGCTAAACAAAATTTTACATGCTGATACTAACTAAAGTAACAGCATTTCCAGAGCTGTCTACTGTCCATATTTAAACACTTCCAAAATATGAATCAATATTAACTCCCGAATTTTAAAAATAAACTCTAGCAGTACTATAATACCAGTTAGTAGAAGTTAGAGGCCCTACATTATCACATTTTATTTCATAATTTGCTGCTAGAGTATTTAATACACAATTTACAGGAGTGTTACTATATTTAAATTGGAAATAAGTAAATTTAAAATGAAAAAAATCTAAATACATATCAAATCGAGGAAGATTGTGCTAAATTGAGCCTGTAAGTATAGCATCATTAAGCATACTATTTACAGTTATTTTGAAAGTAACTCTTAATTTAGTTTTATCTGGAGTAGGAAAATTAGGCATAAACTAAAAAGTAAAAGGATTGTAAAAGTTTTATCCTGCTAAAATTCTAGCCATATTTTAATAATTAGGATCTGAGAGATCTATTCCATTACCCATAATTACCTTTTTTATAGAAAGAAATAATATTCTTATTAATTATTTAAAAGAAAGTTATCAATACTTTTTGTTAGACCTATAGTAGACTAACTGATAACTAAAAAGCAGGTATAACTTTAAGTTCAATAATTTTATTAGAGCTAAGGAGCATAGTCCTCACTTCGATTTGAGCTTATTATGGTGAAACATAACTAGGATTTTAAACAGTTACTCTAAATCTGTATATTTAAGAAACAACTAATCCTTAGTTGATTAGAATAATGATCCTATTCTTATTCGAGTCTTTATGTAATTTTTATAAATTAAATAATTAAAATAAAGTATTAATTATTTAAAATTTATAAAAAATGTATGAAATAAATTAAAATAGTTCAATTCCATATGAAATACTAGAATTTATTGAAACCAAAAAGAATTTGATTAGCAAAATATTTTTAGTAAATAATTTATTTTGAATGAAATTTTCTTTTTGCTATGTTTTTATTGAAAAAATAGCATTTTTGATGAGACTAAAAAACAATGAAGTTGACATTTTTTATTTGATTGATTTTTTTACCTAGAGTGCATTTATATTGACTTGGATCTAAAGGAGGAGTGGTTTAGGAAGGAGTAATATTTTCTTCTGAAATGCATTGTGGCAGAAATTTGTAATTTTAATCGTTTGTGATTCTTAACACTATTCTTGCACCATTTAAAATAGCTGTATTAGGAATTACAATCACGGATACTTCATATTATGATCCAGGTAATTTGTTTACTGATGCGTATTGAGGGGAAAATATAGCAGATGCAGTAATTCCAGCAGTGGATGGACTAGAATCAAACTCTAGTACAGCAAAAGAATCAGTTACATCATAAATGATTGGAGTTCCGTATAATGCAGCAACAGTGTCTATTGATTAAGTCCTAGCCTAAATAGGTTTTTGTATACCTTAGTTAAAAATAGTGCCAGCTTTAATATAGTAAAAATAATTTATTTATTTATATAATCGTTTTTATTTGTAAATCATAAGCAAAATAACTAATTAATTAATTCTTTGGTACATTCATTAAATAGTCTAATTGGACTAAATTCATTAATCTTAGTTTTAAAAATATAAAAAGTTGCTTATAAAGCACTTAGTTTTCTTAATATCATGTATTTCAAAATTTAATAAAAGTCTTTTGTATATTTCAATAAAAACAGTTTGTCTCTTTGCATATTTATTTTCAATAAATAATTTTGAAAATAATTGTTACCCTCAGGATAAATATAGAGAGCATACCAATTTGGACTTGCTTATAAATCAACAGGCTATGAAATATCATTTAGAAATGATATTAAGTAATCTGTTTAGGAAGATCCATCTAAATTAATTATTGCTGGCAATGTTTACATAGATGAGCAGCCGTTTGTCCCTTAATATGAATATTAAACAACAACTTTAGTAATTGATGTAGCAAATATTTTTTAAGGGAAGGAAAGTCTAAGGAAGTTGCCAGCTCCTAGTCCTGATTAAAGCCTAAATATAAATGTCATTTAAGTTACTGCATTTAAATTAGTATAGTCCAATTAATAATCCTAAACCTCGATTGCACCACAAATAACAAACTTAATATGTTATAATTATATAAAGGTAACCAAGTAAAACAGCAAGCTTTTTAATTTTATAATCATTTTTTATGATGAACCAAAAATTGAAAGGAAAAAACTTCTTTATAGTGAAATATTTGGCTTTTTTATTGATGGTACTGACTGTTGAGCCAAAAGCAATTAAGATCAATAAGAATAATTATGGTAGTTTTATTTTCAGATTCTTATTTATTGATAGAATATAAAGAGAGCTTCTATTATATTTAAAATTAGATAAATCTTTTCTTATATTAGTTGTAAGTAAAATTATTAATCGATTTGTGTGTATATTATATGATATATATTTCTAAGATTTGATTTACTTGATAAATAATGATAAAAATAAACAAAAAAAATAATGTTAGTAAACCTTTTCTACATATTAAATTTGAGGTTTAAATTTAATTGATTTTTAACGTGAATTTAAAAAAAATAAATTCGAATAAATGATAATAAAAATATATTTATCATAATCTCTACTATAATTTCATTAAATTTTTATAATACTATAAATTTTTTCTTTTGTGAGTATATTAAATTTAATGTCATATTATGTGTTATATTTCTAAAACTAATTTGCTATTTAGATAGATCTATTTTTTTTTTAAATTAAATTCATAGGCATTACAACATTTTTATAGACTTTCAAAGGATAAATACTATAGACTATTATCACTTAATAGAAAATATTGTTTGTCTTATTTTATTTTACAAATAATATTTCCTAAAATTGTTGGATGTTTACATATTTTTAAACAAGAAAAGGTCAATTAAAGAAGATCAAAATAATTTATTAAATTTCTTTTAAAATTTCATATAATTGAGTATACAAAGATCAATGAATGATTAAATAGATGGATAAATCAATGAAACATTATTAGGATAACAATTAAGAAGAATAATTTTAAATGAATTAGAATATAATTAAAATTTTAAGTAATTATTTAAACAAATAAAAATTCTAATGAAGCATTTAGCTTGAATGAGCAATTCATAATTAAGAAAGCATACTAAAATATGTAAAATATATATAGTCTTAATTAGATTTGCATTATTTATTTCATAATAATTTAGTAAAATTTATTAAGTACTCTAGAAATTTAAATGATTATTATTATTTAAAATTTGTTATTAATCAATAGATGTTCTTGACAATTTCAGTAAGGTTTCCTCTCTTTTCTTATTCAAGTTCCAAAGAGACAAACAAGGACTTGAAGTTACCAGCACCGAATCCTTAATGGTTATTTCTTTGAATGATTTCGTAGAAGAGAGTAGGTCTATTTTTATTAATTAATTAAAAATATTAGAAAAAGTTTAGTTTGATCAAAATTGTTCGAAGATTCATCAGAAAAGTTTGATGAATTTCAAAGTCTAATCTAAATTAAAAACTAAATAATAAATGAAGTAAATCTTTTACCTATCTTCAACAGGCTTGGTGAAGATTTATAAGAGGTAACCCTTTTCATCATAATCAACTAAAATATGGTTCTTTTGTAAGACATCAAGATCTTCCTTAACAGTGATAGAAGTCTATGCAGTAAGAGCCTTTCTGAGATTATCATAATAGGAAGTAGGAATAGATAAAAATTCAACACCTCTAGCTCTAAGACCTTCGACAGTGTTGATTACATCACTTGTATTCAAGGCAATGTGTTATACACCAGGGCCAGCATAGAAATCAATATATTCTTAGATTTATGATTTTCTCTTTCCATCAGCAGGTTCGTTAATGGGCATTTTAATCTTTTAATCGTAGTCAGTCATGACAATAGATCTTAAGGAAGAGAATTCAGTGTGGATCATGCTGTCATCAACAGACCAGAATCTGTGGAAGTCCAAAGTCTTTTCATACCAGTCAGCAGCAGAGGTCATCATGTTATCCTATTTATAATAAACAAAATATGAGCATTTTATTAAATACATACATCTATTTAATTAATTAATTTATTTAATTATAAATTTGCTCTTTTTGTATTTTAATCAAATTTATGAATGACTAACTACTCGCTTGAATTTATGGCTATTCTTTTTTACTTTTTCTAGAGAAATGTTTAGAATATTTCTAAAATTGATTTTATTTGCTATTTTTAAGTATTTATTAAGTTCTATTTGTCTTTAATAATAAATTTCTTCATCTTTGATGGGAGTTTTGTAGTAGATTACTTATAAGATAGCCATTTAAACATTTTTTTTACTGAATTAATTATTCCTTCAAAATATTTTTTTTAAATTTAATCTTACAGGTTGGTTACCAACAATATGATCTACATAGTTGTAGCTGATGTCAGGAAGAACATTGTTAAGGGGGTCCTTTAAGGGGTGAGCAACAAATCCAGGCATGAAGAAACCTTTATAGTCATTTCTTTGGATAAATGTGTGAATAACTTCACCATAAGTGTGGACTGCAGCAATAGTGACACTACCATGTTCGTCCTTCAAATCTTGAGGAGGATAAGCACACTTGGCACCTCTTTAGATAGCCTTGTTGTAAATAGAGTGACAGTCTTCAACCTTATTAATAAAATATAAGTTAAATTATCATTTTTTCATTAGCTTTTCTTTTTTAATTTATGATAAAGAATTTAGATAATTAAAATTACAGCAAAAGCGACATCCTTAACACCATCACCGTGTAAACTTTAATGTTAGTTCATTTCCCTTTAGTTGTCCTTGTCGTTTCCATAGGGAGTACTGAAGGCTAAAGTGACACCTTATTTATTACGGACAACGTGAGTTGCAACTTCTCTGCTACCAGTTTCCAAACCCTTGTAAGCATAGTATTCGAAACCAAAACGAGAAGTGTACCATCCTGCAGCTTGCTTGGCATTACCAACCCAGAAATGTAAGTGATCATAACCTAAGAACTTACCACCAGTAGGTCTTTCACCAACAGGCTTTTCAGTGTATCCAACAACAACGTGATCTTTATTTTCACTCATTTTTTTGATCTTTTTATTTTGATTTTTAAGAATGCTTGATTTTGTTTTATTTAATTTTTTGTTTTAATTATAAACAAAGTGAGGATACATCAACTTCTATTTATGCTTCAGATGTAAGGAATGTTGTAGCGTAATATAAATTAAAAAGGTTTCTTGTAAATCCAATAATTACGAAATATCTGACTTTTTAATTGCGCGACTTACTTAACATGCTTCCCCACCTTATTATTGAAGGTAACAGCGAATAATATATTTATAAACATCTAGTTGAGTCATTCTAATATTCTATTGATTTAATTTTTCTTTTGCTACTGAGTTCGAACATACTAACTATTACTTATTTATACCATCATCTCAATACAATTCTTCTTAACAATCCAAATCGACCATTTTTTGAATTCTATCAAAATATGATTTATTTTTTCACCAAAACTTTATTCAATAAAGCTCACACAAACTTCATTCCGTCGATTGAGTTGAGTTTTCAACTAATTTTCATTTTACAAGGTCAATTAAAGTCTTATATAAACAGACAAATCTTCCAAACTATTTTTAGCTGAGTAAGGATTATTGACGCAATATTAATCAATTTACAAATCCTTTTAAAATTTTTCTGGATTTTATTGAAGAATAAAACAAAAAAAATAGTAATCAGAATTCTTCTTAAATTAAAAAGAGTATCTATATATCTATCTATCTAAAGATAAGAGAGGTTTAAACTAGAAGTATAAGTATTGATTATCTTTTTATTGGCAATTCGTTTGTGATAATTAATAAGCCAAAAAAGAAATAAATAATTTAAAAGCAATAAAGAAATATATCAGTATTTACTTGATCGATATAATAAAATTACATTAAACACATACCAAATTTAAAATGATATATCTAATGCATATAAAATATTATAATAAGATTAATTATTGTTTTTGTTATTTTTTTTTTGTTGATATTTTTGCTGTCTAATTATGAATAAACTTAAATACACTTCAGTTAATGAAAATATATGCCTTTGTTAGATAAAAATACTATTTATTTCATCTTAATTCATAACCTAATTTATTTTTGATTTCATCTCTAATGGAGAATTATAAGGTGTCAATCTATTTTTAAGAAAAAAAAGTTAATGAAGAAATTATTCGACAAGTTAAGCTAGAACAGAGTTTGTGAAAGTTCTTCTTAATAATCTTAATTAATTAATTTAGGTTATTATACTAACAATTAAATTTATTATGCCGAAAGAATATTCTTATTTTTTATTAGCATAAAAAAAATAAATAAAAATTTTTTTATTTATTCAATCTTAACCTAAAAACTAAAAACGACATTAATTAAATATTCAAGTAAATATTCAAAAGATATTTAATTGATAATTAAAATGGGTCGAAATAAAAATTTTACTTCTTAATTTGTAAGAGTTCTTTCTAATGATCTGTAATTTATTCTAAAGCATTTGCTAGTTTTCCCAGTCTTTTTATTCTCATAGGTGTCAACACACTCTACCTATTCAATAAGATCACCTCCAATTTCTCTCACAATTTCATAAATATCATTTTCTTCAAAAGTTGTCATATCTTTTATCCAAAAAGATATATCCTTATAGCAAGCAGGATATTTACTGAATGGCTAAAATTTGTTAATTTGTCCAGCCTTAAATTGATTCAAAAATCTAGAATCTTTACTCCAGAAAAGTCTATAGAAATAAAAATAATTAAATTAAATCAAACGATATTTTTAACTTTTTATTATTCTAAAAGTAGATTTATCCATCCAAAAGATTAAACTTTTGTTAGTAGGCAAATAAACTTATTTTAGTATAATTTTAAATTAATAAATAACCTAATATCAGGAATGCCAAAAAGAAGCATTGCGAATCTTTCTAAGCCACCACCTGATGCCCATGCAATATCATCATCATGTCTTCCGAAGTTTTTCATAATTTCTTTACGAAGGATACCACATCCAAACATTTCTACCCATTCTCCATTGAAATATATTTCCATTTCCAAAGAAGGTTCCGTGAATGGGAAATAAGCTGGTATCCATCTATATTAAACATCTTCACCAAAAATATTTCTGACTAAACTCTCATATGTTTCTTAAAGATCCTTCATAACCATTTATATTTTAATATCTTCATTCTTAGTATCAAAGTAATCTTGAGTGTATGCTCTAACAACTTCCATCTTTAATATGATACAAAATTAGTTAATTACATTAAATTGATTAAATTTATTGCTGAATAGAATATTTTTTGTTGAATTTATTTTCATTTAAATATTTAATTAATTCTTATTAAGAAAAAGTTCAATCTTGATTCTATAAGTTTATTTTATTTTCTCTTTTTCGATTTATTAGTTATATATTACTTAATGGAAAACAGGGTAATGTGTTGCATCTATCTCGTCTCTTCTAAAGCAATCAGCTTATATTTTATAAAAAAAAATTTTAATTTAAAATACATAACATCTTGAATATTATTTCTTTTATAATATGAATTTGATAGAGATAATCTTGCATTTTAAATAAATCTAATGACAATTTCTATTATAATTCTTAAATAACAAAATAAAGTAATTACCAAAAATAACGAAAGCTTCAGCTTTTTGTTCAAACATGTTACGCTCATTTGCAGTTGCTTATGGTCTCATAATGTAATTTTCAGAAATATAGTAAGTATCTGATCTTTTACGAGAAACATGATCTTTTGGGATGAGAAGATCTTCGAAGTTCTACTGAACACTGATTACAGGAGAGAAACTATCTCCAATTACGAAAGGAAACTTTTTCTTTTCATGCAAAAAGCCCTTCTTATATTTGTCATTTGTAAAAAATTCTTCCATCTTATAACGCATAATTCCTAAAGGATGGTTAGGTTGCTTATACAACTCTTGGCCTGCTAACTCTATAATCTTTGGAGTAATATTGCCATAAGGTGATTTTTTTTCTTCGATTTCTTTACGAATTTACTCAGTAACACTAGAAAAATGTTTTTAATAAGAGAAACATAAGGTAGTTGCAATTAAGTTTCTCTTGTTTAGCTTAATAAAATTATTTAACTATCTTGCTAATATCATTTTTAAATAAATATTTATAAATAAATGTATTAAATTTGACTAAAGATTTTATTATTAATTATAATTTGATAGAATCTAATCAAATTCATTGCATTCATTCAATAAGTCAATAAATCAATAAATGTATCTTTCTTTTATTATTCAAAAAATTTGATTTATAAGTTAAAAGATAAAAGAAATTTCTAGTATTATTAGCAAGTCATCTTATTCATTTATCTAGTAATAAATATTATTAATAATCACAGCGAAAATAATATTTTAATTATTATTAACTCTAAATTAATAAGCAAATAAAATTATTAATAAAACTGAATCTTGCTCTAAAATTTGTTATTTAAAATTATAGAATTTTATTTTAGAAACACTTAAAAAAAATAGAATGATAAATTAAAACGAAAGTTTAATTGTTTGAAATCTTTTCAAAATAAGTTTTTATTTTACTTCATTCTTCTTCTTTATAAAAATTTTATTTGAACATATTAGTAGTTATTAAAAAATATTTATTGTTATTTAGAATATTATTCAAAAATTTATTTTAATTTGAGCAAATCAACATTTTTTATTTATAAATAGAGTATTATTTTTTTCAATAAAATTAATTAAACTTAATTTTTAAAATATCCTAAAAGAAAATTTATTGAATTAAAAAAATTATTAAATTAGTGCATCTTTTAAAAAATCATCTTAATTTAAATGAGTAATATTTCTATACTTTATTGTTAATAATTTAAAGCAGTGATATTGAATATCCTGTTATATTTTAAAATTAGTTTCTAAAAATTTAATATTTCATTATCAAAATTAATAATAGTTTAGTATCAAGTATACATATTAGTATATTTTCAAGTATACATATTAGAATATTTAATTGATTTAAAGGAAAGTAAATTCAATTTTAAAGTAATTTAAAAGTATTTTTATTTGACTTAATTAAAAAGGGTAATTTATTTATTATATAAGTAATAAGTAATTATACTAAAACATTTAGATATTTTGATTTAAAATTATTATAAAGCATTAAATTTAATTTTAAAACAAAATAAATATACATGAAATGTTTTTTGTTTATTTGTATGTTTGTTTGTTAATAAGTTGTTGGTTGACAAATTGAAATTATCTAAATTTTGTTTTTATATTTTTAGTGCATTATTTTTTGATTTTATTATTTACCTACCTATTCATTAAATATTTATTGAAATTTTTATTGATAAATGAATGAGTGTCGTTCTGTTTTACTATATTTTGATTAGTTTCTTTTTAATTTATATTTCAAGTATTATTAATTGATTAACTATTTTCTTCATTATTTAGCTTTTGATTCTTTCATTAATTCTTTTTACTTCACTTTTTTTATTTTTTTTAAGCTACAAATCCAGGGATAATCGAACTTTTCTCATCTAAATTATAAAAATTATAATTAATTAAAAGATTTTTTTAATTTTGAAAGTTTACAATTGTTGGAAGAATATGAAGAAGACTATTGATATGAACTACTTTAATTATTGCTATAAGGATTTGAGTTACTAGAGCGACTGCTATTATAATTGGTTTAAGAACCTTCTCCACCAAGATACTTTCTCTTATTGTTTCCCTAATTTGTTCTATTACTATATTTATTGAAATCATTTTCATTATTTTAATTGTTTCCATGCTGGCTGCTACTTTAACCACCTAAACCATTTCCAATTTTAAAATTATTCATAAAATCTTTAAATCCTCCTATTTTTTAATTAAATTAATAAGATTTAGTAAAAACAGAAAATTTAAATTTACTTTAAGATTAGTTGTTATTGTTATTGCTATTATAATGATTTCCTATGTGGTTGTGCTCATATTCTGTCCTTTTTGGAGTCTTTTATTCATTTTCTTCTATTATTTAATAAATTAATAAATCAAAATAAATATATATTAAAAATGTATTTACGAAGGCTCTAAAGAACAGTATCTTCTCCAGTTTGGTTTGTAGAGCTATAAAAATTATTTTTATAATGCTGTTATTCCTAGCTGAGATGAGAAATGCTTAAATAAGGTACGAAATAATCAGTTAATTGGGGATTTTCTAGAGAGTCATTGCTTTAGGTAATTAATTTTGTATTTTCTAATTATTATGAAAGATTGCTTGTATTAGTTTTTATGAATGAGATTAGCTTTGCTCCTTCTGACTCAGGCTAGTTTTTAAGATCTTCAGATTAGTCATCGCCATATAATATATAAAGTTGTTTTAAACTTGAAGGATCTTCTTATTCAGAAGTTTTATTTCTTATAACAATTGTGTAATCACTATTTTTTCTCAATTTATATGAAGTGTTCAAATTCAATTTCTCAAGTACATTCATTAAATTACTTTCATCAGAGGAGATATGTTTGGTTGTCTTTTTTAATAAGAACGATTGCTCATAAAGCTTTTTAGAAAAGGAGCTGTTACCTTCAAATAAGGTTAATTGAAGATAAGCACTCTCTAATGAAACTCCAACTGTTGAATCATAAACAAAAATGGGCATATGATATATACCATTCAGAGCACATTCTTTTTGTGTTCTAAATGATATACACCACGCAGTATTATAACCAACTTCTAAGGAATCACAGAAATGCTCAACACTTCTCAAAGCAAGTCTCTACTCACTAAATAACTCGTTCCTTTTTTAGTTAGCTATTTATTATTTCTTTTGCTAGTAGGAGATACGATTGCTCTCATTTTAGCTAGTATTATTTGAGTTTTATTACTGTGATGATTACTAAAAGTGTTATGCAAGAGAGGCAAATCCTTATAGTTATTAAGTTTAACTATTTGATTAAGCCATTTAGGCATTTGATTACTAGACTAAATTTTAGAGTTTAGTAATATTTGCTTAACCACTTCCTTATGCTTTATTGTTATTTATTTGCTAAGATATATTATTTGAGTTATTTTAGGAGTTCTATTATGAAGATTAAGCTGTGGAGCTACTGCTATTGCTTTAGCTATTTTGTTAACTTTCACTTTAATTTTTACTATTTTCATTTAATTTTTGTTAAAACTTCTACAAAAAACTGGAAGCCCCATTATTACTATTCTCTCCTCCATCATTGTTCTATTATGATTATTCTTTATTACTATTATTATTGTTATTGTTATTATTGTTAGAATTGTTTGATTCTTCTCTCTCTCTTGTCTATTAAGTATTATTAGAATTTTAAGAAGGATTATTATTTGTGTAATGAGTAAATTTATTGCTGTTTTATCCACTGTTAGAGCCACTTTGGTTTTAATAATTATTACTGCTAGAAAAATGGTTATTTCTGATATTATTATTATGGTTATTATCATGATTATTCATATTATTCATCTATCCCTAATTGTTCCCTTGATTTGAAGAAGCTCTCTAAAAGTGGTTACTCAAACTTATACTGTTATGGTGGTATGTATTATTGTATCCTCCAAAACTAGGATTAGGATTTGGTTGAAAAGTGACTGGTTAACCAAAACGACGAGGTGTTTATTATGGAGCTATTTTTAAGCAGCTTAATTTTTGGTGAGCGCTTCTATCATCTGGAGGGAGATGATCTAATATTCCTGTTAATTTCTAAAGAACCAACTCAGAGTTTCTTAAATTTTAGCTTGTGTTGTCTAGATCGTTCTCAATCATCAAAGACTAACTTTTAGGAATTTATCCATTTGATGGAGAATAGTTAACAATTTCTATTTTGTCATCTTCTTTATGAATGAATTTAGAAAAATATATTAACAAATCATATAGCTCATCTGGTTGCAAGTTAGCCAGGTCAAAAAATTTTTCTTGATAAGTAGTTAACTCCTATAAAGACTGAGTATCTTGGCTTGCAGGATTTTTAGTCTTTTTAATTTAATAATTAAATTTATAAAATAAATTGATTGAGTTATATTAAATAATCTATTAGATTGTAAAAAGTTAATAAAATTTGTTGTATGAGTGATTCATTGAATGAGTAGTATTTCTACTTTTCCAAATTATATATAATAAATAATTAAAAATTTAAAATTACTTCTATTAATTCAACTTTATTTTCAGCATTCTCAATTGCCAAATCTACATATTTGCAAACTGCCTCGATAACCAATTCCTTTTATCTCAGGAGATTTTCCTTATTTAGATGAAGCTAATCAAATTTATTTTTATAAATATCTTTGAGTGATGGTGAGGGACTAGTAGGAAGCATATTAAAAGAGAGGTCATTTATATTTTCACTGATGAGATTAAGGAACTCTTTAATTTCAAAAGTCTTGTCAAGATGCTAATAGTGATATTTTATGCACTGATAGCAGAACATTCCTCTGTATGAGCAATCTTGATCCAAACATACTGAAAGAACTGATCTTTCAGTGTGGACTTGGCAGAATGTTTATGGAATTTTCAGAGAGCACTCAGCTTCTTTAATCATTTGCCTAAAATAATAGTTTGTTAGTGTTAAATTCTTTGAGATTTATTATAGATTTAAGTTATAAAATTTATAATTTTAGTTATTTTAGCAGAAAACACTATTATTCTTTTCCTTTTAACTTGTTTTATTTTTTATGAATACAAATTAATTGATTTATTATCAAAAGAACATTAAGTTTACTTATTTATTAATCAAAGTAAATCCAAATAAAAATGAGAGTGTTGTTATTATTATCTTAAAACTGTATTTATGTATGTATATATATATGCTTTAATATATTCTTTCTCTCTTTCTTTATCAATATCTTTTTGATCTAATATTATTGTTAAATGAAATTTCTCTTTAAAAATCTATTCAATTAAATAGTAAAATCAATATATAGAAAAAATTACTAAAAATCTTAACAAATCAAATTTTGATTTTGAATTTTTAAATTTTCAATTTCAGTAAAAAACCAATTCATAAACCGCGAATCAATGTTATTTATATCGCTATAAATTCCTTCTACTTTATTTTAAAGAGAATTATTTTTTAATAATTATTTTTCATTTATAAATTAAAAATTTTTCTATTTTTAAAGAACTAAAAAAAATAGAAATTATAAGAATAAAATGATTTTTAAATCATTAAAATAATATTTTTTAAAAGAGCAATGATTTAAAAAATTCTAATATAAAAAATTAAAAAATTAATAAATACCTCTTAATATTTTCACTTTAAAAAAAGTGATTTGACTTTTTCAAGAATTATAGTTGTCTTTTTTATTATTTAATCTTTAATTCGCAATTAAATTTTATTATTTTAAATTAAACTTAAAATTAATTTGAAAAATTTGTTAATAAATCATAAATAAATTTTAAATTGAATTAAATCAATAATTATATTCTTAAAATTAATTAAAAATTTTTCAAATTATTTTTTATTTTCCTATTTTAAATTTAAAATAATTAAAATATTAGATTAAAATTGAATTTTAGCTAAAAAAATAAGTAAATAAAATTATTTTAATTAAAATATATAATAATAAATTATTGTTTGATTTTAAAAGCTGTTGACAGACTTTTTATCAATTGTGAAAAATGAATAAAACTATTTTAGCAATTTTCTAAATCAAAGATTTAAATTTACAAAAAAATTATTGACAAAAATTAATAATTTGAATATTTTGATGAATAATGATAATGATGGCTTTATCAGAAACTTTGGAATAAATTAATTTTATTATTTGTTTATTATCTAAAATTATTATTTAACTTCAGTAGTTAATTTCTGAGCATTTATCATCATTATGGTTTTATCAATAATATCAAATTTCATAAATGTATTTTTAATTGATTTTTCAAAATAAATTTTTTTAATTAAAGTCAATAAAATATTGATTAATATCATAATTTTATATTATTTATAATATATTCAAAATACTATTTTTAGAAAATAAATAAAAATGAATTAGTTTATAAATATTTTTTTTATTTTATTAGCTAAATATTAATTGGTTTTAATAATAAATTACTGAAAAAAACCCAAAAATATTTATAAAAATAAAAAGAAAAAATACTATTTTAAGTTTTATAAAAAATATACTTAGATGGTGGATTACATTTTTAAAAATAGGTCAAGAAAGTTAAGCTAAGATAAAAACACCCTCAGTATCAGGATATTAGTGACGTAATAATAGCTTCAATAAAAGTTTTCTGGAAGATATGCTAGACGAATAAAAGGTGGGAAAGATATAAACAAGTAGACTCAAGTTAGATGCAAAAATAAGTAGTGGAAGAAATCTCAAGTTGAATAAATTTGTAGATCCCCCACAATATGGGCAATATTAGATAGTCTGATACTTTAATAATAATATTAGAAAAGGTTGTTTATTTCAATATAAGTTTTAACACTTTGGTGAATATAAATTCTTCAAAAGATCTGAACAACAAAAAAAATTAATAAACAAACAAAAAATTAAATAAATTTGCAAAAAATATTATCAAAATTTAAAATGTCTTAAACTTTCGCCTTTGAAAAGTACCCTTTCCTTAAGGAATTAGGTCTTGAACAAACTAACCACGGCTGCTTTGATGGTGAGAAGTGGACTGGTAATGGTAAAACTTTCTTGTCAGTCAACCCAACCAACAACGAAGTAAATATCCAATTTTTATTTTAACTAAAAGTTTGCATTTTATAATGATTACCTTAAAAAATAAATAAAAAATTCCAAAAATTATTTTGTTTAAAGCTTTTGGATGTTATTTTTCAAAAAGAATTTACATTCCAATGAGCTCTAAACAGATGAAAATAAATTTGGCAATAAGTGTTTTGAAATCAGATAAGTTTTGGCTTATTTGACATTTACCTCATAAAGCTTGATTTGGAAATTTTAAATACATGGTCAGTTTAAAAGACCAATTATGACTTAATAATTTGCAAATGAGAACTTAATCTAAATTATACTAATGCAGGAAGCAGAAAATTAATTTTATTTTTATTTTATTAGGTTATCGCTGAAGTTAGAGGTGCTACCCCTGAAGAATATGAAGTAGCTGTCCAAAATATGAATAAAGCTAAAGCTGAATGGGTTAAGGTAGTTTTAAAATTTGCAAATATGAATTCTTTTAATTAAATATTAAAAATACTTATAGTTACCCTTGCCCAGAAGAGGTGAAATCGTCCGTTAAATTGGTGACGCTTTCAGAAAGCACAAGGCTGCTTTAGGTAGACTTGTTTCCTTAGAAGTAGGTAAAATTGTTGCTGAAGGAGAAGGTGAAGTTCAAGAAATTATTGATATTTGTGATATGGCTTGCGGTTTATCTAGAAGTCTCAATGGTTAAATTATTCCTTCTGAACGTCCTGATCACTTTATGATGGAGCAATGGAACCCTCTTGGTAATAAAATTTATAAAATAAATAAATAAATTTACAATTTTTGACTTTAATGGAAGGTCTAAATAAATTCAGTAATTAAATTAATCTTAAGCTACTCTCTATTTAGATCTTTATTACGTTTAAATAAACCTTTATTAGCTTAATAATGAGTTAGTAAATAATACAAAAAACTATTAATATTTTCCTTATTAACAAATTTTTGATCTCCCCACCTTCTATTTATTTTTTTGATTATCATAAAAAGATTTATTTAAGATAATCAGATATAAAAAATTGTTAATATTTATTACTTTATCAAAAAAATCTGATTTTTCAAAATATCTTTCCAGAAAAATTTAATCTTTTTGATTGGATTATTCATTCATTTATTCATTCGTTGATTATTCCTTAGATTTTATTTAAAAATCTTATTATATTTTTTTCTACTTGATAATTCTATTCTAAATTTAAAAATTATATCAAAATTATAGGTTTAGTTGGTGTCATCTCCGCTTTCAATTTCCCCACTGCTGTCTTTGGATGGAATTTCATGATTGCTGCTGTTTGCGGTAACTTGACTATGTGGAAAGGTTCTCCTTCTACTTCTCTTTGCAGTGTTGCTTGCACAAAGATTATCATTGATATCTTAGAAAAGAATAATTTACCCAAAGCTGCCTTAACCTTGTGTATGGGTGAAGCTGATATCGGTAATTTGATGGTTGAAGACAAGAGATTCCCCTTGATTTCTTTCACTGGTTCAACTCAAGTCGGTAGAATCGTCTCTGAAAAGGTTAGCAAGAGATTTGGTAAGACTATCCTTGAATTGGGTGGTAACAACTGCTTAATTGTTTGTGAAGATGCCAACGAAGAATTAGCATTAAAGGCTTCCTGCTTCGCTGCCGTAGGTACTTGCGGTCAAAGATGTACTTCCCTTAGAAGACTTGTAATAAAAATAATATTTATTTTTGAGAATAAAAAAGCAAATTGAATTAGTTAATTATATAAATAGATAGAAAGCTATCAATTAGTTAATTGTAAAAAGAATTAGGTTTTTTACCAAATTAATTTATAGAAAGAAAAACAAATTAATTTTATTAATTTAAATAGCATCGAAATTTTAAATAAAAAAAATTATTTTAAATATAAAATAGTTAATTCACTCTTCTAAGTATGAATCTTTGAAGGAAAAACTTGTTAAAGCATACAAATCAGTCGTTGTTGGTGATCCTTTAAATAATGGCACTCTTTGTGGTCCTTTACATTCAAAGGCTCAAATTAAGATCTATGAAGATGGTTTAAAGTAAATCTAAGAACAAGGTGGTAAGATTTTAACTGGAGGAAAGGTTATGGATGGACCTGGTAACTTTGTTGAACCTACTATCGTTGAAATGACTAATCCTTATGCTCCTATCTTACAACATGAATTGTTTGTTCCTATTTTATACATTATGAAGTTTGATGACCTTGATGAAGCTATTGCCATCAATAACTCTGTTCCTTAAGGTCTTTCTGCTTCTCTTTTCACTAGCAATCTCCAAAATCTCTTTAAGGTAAATAACATAAAAATTACTAATATTAGAAGAATCATTCTGAAGTTATAAATTTAATATTCTGTAATTAAAATTTTATTTTTAAATTAAAATTAAGTGGACTGGTCCTTTGGGAGCTGACACTGGTATTGTTAATGTAAATATTGGTCCTTCTGGTGCTGAAATAGGTGGTGCTTTCGGTGGTGAAAAGGAAACCGGTGGTGGTCGTGAAAGTGGTTCAGATTCATGGAAATAATACATGAGAAGATCTACTTGCACTGTCAATTTCGGTAAATCTCTCCCCTTGGCTCAAGGTATCAAGTTCGATCTTTGAGAAAGCAATATACTTTGTAGTTTTTGAAATAGATAATTTAAATTTATATTTTTCTAGTGCTTGGCACTAACTAAGATCGTATTGTATTTTTTGTGTTTTAATGTTAGAAGTATGATTGACTGACTACTCATAAATATTTCTATCTTATTAATATAGAAAATTCAAAACAAATTTAAAATATGTAAAACTCAGAGTTTACTATCAACTTTGTCTATAAAAAGTTATTGGAAATTTTCCATAATATTTACAGAAATATTTATTATCTATCTGTTTATAAATTAATGAATCAATATTAATTAATATTCTATTTATCTTTCTTTGTTGTTTAATAAAATTTGATATAAATTCAGTAAGCAACTTTGCAAAAATTAAGTTAAGAATGATTTTTTTTACAATTTTAATTATAATTAATACTTATTGAATGAAGCATTTATTAATTTGTGTATTAAACTTTGCTATTTTATTTTCTTTAGTTCTAAATAAATAAATAATTACAAAACTGAACCCATATTTAACAACTAGTTATAAATATTAAATTTTTTGGCTACTGAATACAAACTAAATTTGAGGATGAATACCCCTAAATATACCATTAACTCTATAGTTAGCATTTAGGATTAAAATTCAAATAGAATAATATGTAAGGACTAACTTGATTGCATTTTTTGTTAAAATTTGAAATTATTTTAAAATAGAATTAGGCTAACTTGTGAACGAAAAAGAAAAACATGGACTTTTGGATATTAATCAAAACACTCCATAATAAAGCAGCAACTCTAATGAAACTTCACCTAAAAATGAGTTAAATACAAAACTTACTCTTATCGCTTAGTGTTCTAAAAAGCATGAAAAGGATGATTTAGATATGGAACACTTAATTAAATTTTAACAATTATTGTAAAATTCATAACAATCAGCAGATGCAGAATATTTATATCTCAAGGAGGATATTAAAAAGTCAAAGGAGAGAGAAAAATTAAACGAAGTAAATGTTCATGATGAATTCAATCCAAGTGTTAATAATAATTTTTTTGAGCAATTTAGATTTAGATACTTTTTTGAATTTTTCTGCTATCACTTTATATATTTTGTATTACTTGGACCACTGGCTATACCTCTGATTAATTTAAGAGGCAAAGCTTTATCTAGAAATATGCAATTTTCAGGAATATCTGGTTTTTCTATTTAGTAGTTCGTAATCTATCTTTTAAATATTACAGCATTTGCTGTATTTTACACTAAAAAATGTGATGTGGTTACTTTTTAAGTAGAAATGATTAATATCATAGCAATTATGATAACAAGATGTGTAGTTTTAGCTTGTAAATATGCTACTTACGATCGCAAAAAAATGTAATATTTAAGAGATAATATATTATCAAACGAGGTTAGGAATTCAGAGCTTTTTTTTGCAGGATGGACAAGCTAAACACCAATAGTAAATTAATTTTAATTTCATCATTCTAAAAATTAAAAATTTTAAATAATTAAATAAGATTATCCATCGCTCAGTATTACAATGTTAAAAGGCATTTAATATTGATCCTAGTTTATTTTATATATAATTTATGGTAACTCCAGAGCAAAAGACTGATGCTCGATTGAAGGAGCATTAAGACATCCTAAAGTAAGTCAGAGATAACGATTAGTTTTGTCAAAGGATACCACCTCCAGTTGTTAGGCCAAAAAAGGAAAAACAAGAAAAAATATACTTTGGTTATGAAATTTTAAAAGATTTAATTGATACTTATCAGTTAAAACATAGAAAATTCAGAAAATTTTTGATTATAAGTGCTGTAGTATTTTCATTAATGAGATCTCTGATTCCTTTTATTTTTCATATTTCCAGTAAACCAACAGATCCATATATGCACGCTCATGAATACTTTATAGGTGTAGTAAGTACATTCTAAGTTTTTAATATGTATCTCTTCTTTTGCTTGTAAGCTGTGCTAGGCTATTTCGATACTACAAGAAAGGTAATAAATATTATTAACTCTCTTTTTTATAACAAAAAAATCAAAATCTCCAATTTTTAAAATTAAACTCATGTTAGTCTTTAAAATATCATATGAATTATAAAATATCTTTTATTCTAAATACCAAAAAAACTTTTAATAATTTTATATCAAAAATTGTAAAAAAATGAATTAAATATTTTTAACATCATATATTATTAAATAATCAAATAGCTTTTCATGTAAAGATAACTTTCATTTATGATCGCACCAAGAAAATTAAAAAATTTAGATATGGAAAAAATTTTACCCACAATAGATATTTTCAACAGCTATACAATAAAAGGATGGACTCTAATAAGAAAAGTTTGTATGGAATACGGAAAAGCTTACAGCTTAAGAGTTTAAGGATTGTTTACATTTTTAGGAATATGGATTATAGGCAGCATAATAATTTTAGTTTTGGATGCTTTTAAGATTGTCACTACTTTTGAAAGAATATTTCTTGTTCAATTGTATGTCGATACTATTGTAAGTTTGTTTTTGGTCTTTGCCCTTATTGTAGCAGGTGCTTAGATAAATGATGTTTTTAATTTATAAGAAAGCATATTAAATGCCAACAAGACAATAATATCTGATCTAGGGCTCATTATAAATGGTTTTTTAAATGAAAAGTATCACTCAGAAAATTTTATTTACACAAAAGCATTAGAAAAACTACTGGAATAATAGTAAGAAAGTCCAGAATAAAAAATATAGAGTCTTCTATAACATTATGATTTCCACATAAACGAATTAATTTATGATAAAAACCACAATCCATTTACTCTATTTGGCTTAAAAGTGACATTTGTTATGCTTTAAAGTGCAGCTGTTGCATTTGGAAGTGTCGCAGCTACAGTTCTTTCGTAGCTAACAAAAAAGCATTGACAATAATTAGTAAATTAAATATTTTTCTTCTAAATCATTTTTTGTTTTTATTCATGTATGTAAGTGCAACCTTATCAATATTTCCACTTATATCTTTAAATAAATTTATATCCATAAATTTGTCTATATCAATCTGTCCACTTATCTGAATATACCAAAAGTTGTTTATTTATATAATTATTTATATTTGTAATTTGTATTTTATTTTTCTACATATAATATAATCTTTGACAAAAAAATTTCTGGAAGTTTTTATTGTATTTTTGAATAATATTTCTGTATAATTTAAAAATACAGAAGTAAGTAGAAAAAATTAAATGAATTTGTTACAATTAAAATCGATCGATAATAATATAATTGATAATAAAATATTCGATTTGATAATTTTTGCTAAATCAATTTGTGTGTCATTATTGATGTAATATATAATAATAAAAAATTAAGTAATAACTCATTTTGCTTAATACCAAATAACAAAGATAGATTATTTTTTACATCAAAGTTATTTAATTAAGAAATATAATTAATTGAAGAAGTAAACATTATATATATGGCTTCTATTTTTGCAGTTAGAGCTGCTCTAAAAGATGGGATAAGTATTAATCAAGTTCCAAAGAATAGTGGAGATAATGAATAATATGTGATAGGAATAGGTATTTATAAAAATACATACACTTTTACAATTTTAGCTAATTTTAATAAATAAATAAATTTTTAGAAAATGAAAACATAGTTTAATCAATTTAAATCAATATGCAAAATGACGAAGAAGCTACAAATAGAGCAGAAACAGACAAAGAAGAAGATTAAGATGAAGTTATTTATATTGATGCTGAAAAATAGAATGAAGGAATTGATATAAAGTCAAAATAAGTTAAAGCAAATTAAAATGATATGACTAACTATAGTTAAAAATCAACTTAGCCCTAACATTTACTTTAAAAATTTAAGACATTTAATTCTTCAATGTCTTTATCTGAAAACTATTTTTAAGAAGACAGAAAATCTACAGAGTAACTCTTGTATGAAAAGGCTAAAAAGGATCCTAAAAATATAAAAAACTATTTCATCAAGTTTAGGTTCGGGCAATTTTTTGAGTTTTTCATCATACATTTTCTTTATTTCTTTCTAATTGGCCCTTTAATAATTCCCTTTCTTAGATTTAGAGGCAAAGCTTTAGCAAAGAATTTATTGTTATATGGATGGAATAAACCAGCCCTTTTTTAATTCATATTTTTCACTATCAACATTACAAATATTATTTTTTTCTTTTGCCTTTAAAACTCTACTATCAAACTTGAAATCGAAATAGTAAATAATATTTCTGTAGTGCTATGTCGTTGCGTGATTATTGCCTGTAAATACGCTACATACGATCCTTTAACAATCAAACTTATAAAAGAGTTTGATTAAGAATATAATTAAATTGTTTCAGACTTCTTTTTAACTGACTGGGTTAAATAGTCTGCTAAAGTAGCTATTTTTAAATTATTTTTAAAATTAATGTATTTACTTAGTTCTTTATTTAGCATTTTAAATAATAACAATAATAGGTAGTTGGAGACTAAATTTATTTTGTTTAAAGGACTCTTGATATAGATCCAGGGTTGTTTTACATCTAATTTATTACTGAGCCAGAGAAGCATACAGGTGAGAGAATTGCTGAAAGTTTTAAACTAATGAAAAAGGCTCTTGAAAGTAAGAAGGACGTTACTACTAAAATCACAGCTCCTATAGCTAGAATGAAAGAAACAGATTAATTGCATTGTGGTTATGCTATTTTACATGACATGATAAACAAATTCTAATGTAGATGTAGTATCTTAACTAAACATTTATCTAAATTTGTTTACATCTTTAGTTTAGAAAGGGCTCTTGCTCCAATAATTTATAATTGTATGATAAATCCACATAACCCTTATGGTAACTGGCATGAATATTATATAGCTATTACTTCTGCTTATCAGGTATTTTCTTTGTACTGTATTGGTGGATCTATAATGACTGGAGGTTTGATAGATATGCTAAGAAAAGTAAATAAATATTTTTCATTTTTAAAATAGTTTGTTAATACATTTTTATAAATTAATTATCATAACAGCTCTACATGTTAAGGCAGTTGACATTTATGATTTCCCCAAACAAATTAAGAAGCTTAGAAATGAAGAAAATATATCCAACAATCAATATATTTAGAAGTGTTAATTTAAAGGGTTGGTCTTTAATGAGATAGGTAGCCTTAGAATACGGAAAACCATATTTATTGAGAGTGTAAGGATTCTATTTTTATTTAGGTTTTTGGGTTGCTAGTAATCTAGCACAAATAGTGTTAGGGTAATTTGGTATTATCCTTTAGAATACAGCCTAATTGATATAAAATTACAGTGATTTAGTATTTACTTTAGGTATACTATTTGGAATGCTAATTACTGGTGCAAAAATAAACTAACTTTTTGAATTATAAGAAAATATTCTTACATCTAACAAAACAGTAGTTACTGATATGTTATTAGTGGGTAAAAAGTATATACAGGTGCCAAAAAAATCACAAAATTACATATACAATAAGGCCTTAGAAAAAATTACTGAAATTTCTTGTACTAATTTTACAGAGTATGTTAATAACCTAATCAATTAGTACGATAATCACATAGAAGAGCTCATTTATGACAGTGAATATAATCCTTTCACTCTATTTGGAGTCAAAGTTACTTTTGTTATTCTCCATTCAATTGCTATAGCAGTAGCATCAATTCTAGCATCAGTATTAACTGATGTTTTAACAAATAAATGAATGAATTCTCATAGAAATTGTCCAAATTAATCAGAAAATTATTATCAAAACATAAGCCCCTTTAAATTCATTTCGTCCAACCTATAAACAAATTTGATTGTTTTTAAAGTTTTGAATTATTCAAAATTTAATAAAATAAATTTTCCTAATAAAAACAAACAAAAAATAGATATTTATTAAATTATTTGCATTTATTTATTATATATAATTACAATTATTATCTCTACTTTTGCTACTAATTATAATTTATTCATTAATATTTAGATTTAAGACACCAATCTCTTCAAACATATCTTTTTTATTACTTTTATTTATTTATTCTTCATAATTTTATTATTTGAAATAAATTAAATTTAATTTATCAAAATTTCAATTAATTTTCAAATATTTTATTTTAAATTAAAAATATTAATAGAATTTCATTTTTATTTTTTTAATTTTCAGAATTAAATCTCAGCTTTCTAAAAATAATTTTTTTGATTTGATTTCCTTTTAAATTTATAAAAATAATAAAATGCCCTAAATTGAATTGATTTCATCATAAATTTTTTATTATAATATTAAAAAATTTTAATTTGTTGATATTAGTTTGTTTTTGATTTAAGTAAAAATGATAATTAATTATAGATAGGATGTCTCTTTTTGTAAAATTTATTTTTTTTGTTTAGCTATCTTCCTATTTATCCATTGGTTAGAGGCAATTATATTTGAATACTTTACAATTATTTATTTATTAATTTATTGATAGACAGATAAATAGGTAATAGAATTATATTTCCACTTAAAACAAAATATTTCTGTATTTGAAGCAAAATCTTATAAAATCAAAAATAAACAAATATAATAAGCAATAAACTAAGCTATCTATAAAGATTTTTCTGTTATTATTACCAATATTTACTCAAAAATTAATTTCTTTAATAATTGACTATAATTATATCAGTAAATTTTTTTAAATTAAAGTTAATAATTTTTTATAATACTTAAAAAAAATATTCACAAAAATGTCTACTTAAAATAAAAGCACTTCAATAGCATAATAAGATCAAGAGATTTGTAATATCTAATAGGACATAGAGCAATAGGCATCTAAAGATAATTAAGAAAAATAATAGCCTAATAATAATTCTCATTTGAAATATTAAAGTGATCAGAAGTTTATTTCAATATCCAGAGGATAAAAAAATGTATTTATTAATAACTTGAAAGGAATAAAAGGTCTTGAACTCAAATATTAAATACAGGCAAAACATAATGATGATGCTTTTTGTCTTACTGTTTTAGATAATTAGTATTTAGCTATTGGCTCAACTGATGCAACAATTACAATATACAATTTAAAAAATGATTGCAAACTTGTACGCAAAATAAATTATTATTATGAGCCTATATTAATTTTAGAACCTTTAAGACTTTTCCATAAAACTCTTTTACTCAGCACAGGGTATGACTAAATTATTAACGTCTGGGATTATTTATCTGGGAAAAAGATTACCGATTTAGAAGCTTGTGGATGTGAAATAACAAAATTATGTGACAATTTAGATAAAAATCTTATAGTAGGATCAACTTTTGATGGTATTTAATTATTACTTTAAATATTATAATACTAAATTCTAAATTTGTATCTATTTTAAATAAAAATCAAATTAACTATTAGGAAGAATTATCTTATGGAGCTACACAAATAAGCGTATTGTTAACGTATTAAAACTAAGATCCTAAATAAGTAATTAGTAAAGACTAATTATTCAAGAAGCTTATGAAGATCTTATTTAAACAGAAATGTAATAAATTGAAGGGATAGGATAAGAAGATGATGATTTAGTTTCTGAAATGGATTTAGAATCACATGGTTCAATATACTCCTTACACTAGATTTAAAGGGATAGTTACCTTGTTTTGTAAAGAGGATGTATTTCAGAAATAAAAATAGTGGCTTCAAAAGATACCAAGACCAGTCAAAATGCTTAAGAGACAAAAAGTAAATCTTAAGAAATACTGATAGAAGAAATAGATTAAGAAAATAATGATAACTAAATATAAAATAAACAAAATGATTCTGCTAAAATAAATTATGAAATTTAGGTGCTCAGATAATTTTAAGCAAATTAAGATGCTATACAGTTTAATTTAATACCTTTTGAAAACCAAAAAATTATCACATTAGGTACTAAGAGAGGCTTCATATTTCTTTATGATTTTGATACTGGAGAGGTTATAACAAGTAAAAAAACTTTATCAGGAGCAGTTAATGAAATACTTACAATATAAACTATGCACGATTCTAAAGACCATCCATTTGTAATTTCAACAAGCCACACAGATAGATTTTTAAAAATTGAATCCCTGAAAACAGGGGACTCATTTAGAGTTGAAGATGATAGAATTTTTTGCTATAATGAATGCATGAACTCAAAAATGCAATTCTTCAAAAATAGATAAAATGAACTTTTCATCGCTGTTATTTGCCAAGAGCATTAAAACCCTTACTTTTCAATATTTAAAATCAACTTAGATTACTATGAATCTCAAAAAAATATCACTGAAAAGTTACTGAATTAATGAAAATTTAGATTAAAAAATATACTATTAATAATTTTTTGTAGAATTTAAATTACTTTATAAAAAAATAAATTAGCAAATAAATAATTTAATAGGTTAACAAATAAATAAATTCCAAAGATAGATACCTTTTAAGAATTAAATTTTATTTATTAAAAGCTCAAAAAAATTGAATTGATTTTACTATTAATACGAAATATTTCTATGAAAATATGAAAGGAGGTGTTAAAAATTGGGAATATTTATTGAATATTAAAACTATAAAAAAAATAATCAAAATTTTAATTCAAATTAATAATATTTATAAAACTTCTGATTAGGGATTTATATGCTGTTATTTCTTTTTGTAAATTAAATAGTAATAATAATAATAAAATATTTTTTCAAATTAGTTAACAAAATATTTAAGATCTACTTTTAGATTATTCATTTTAAATGAATTAAAAATTATTTAAAAACAAAATGGATTGAATATTAATTAATATTTATTGTTAATAAAGTAAATTTAACATTAATTTTATTACTAAAATTACTTTCACCTTTCACTAATTATACTAATAGTATTAATTCTAATATTTATTTTAGTTAAATATTTAATTATAATAATTTCTCACTTCTATTAATTTTTTTCTAGTTAATTTCTAACACTTTTATTTATTTATTATTTATCAACATAAAAATACATATACCTACATAAATGCATATTTATGTTTATTTTAACTATAATTAAAGGTATTTTTTGATTTTTTATGTAGTTTAGGCAAGTATATTAAACGAAATTAAATATTTTTAAATAAATTTATTTTAGTTAGTTAGTATGTTAATTGTTTCTTTTACTCTTTTTTTAATTCAGGATCATTTTTATGGTTGTGTTTAATTTTTAATAAATCAGTTTTTTTTATTTGATCCTTGGCTTATAAGAGGTTCTTGTAGGGAGTTATTTATTTTCATAGTGCTCTTGGTCTTTTTTTTAGTTTTTTCATCATGCTAATAAAAAAGACAAAAATTTATAAAATTATTAGTTTAAAATAATGTATTAATAACCTTAATATGCAAATCATCATCTTAGAAGTCTATATCTACTATTTCTTCAAATACATCTTTCAAAAAGATAATACCTTCAATTTGACTATAATGCTCAACAATCATATCTCTGCACTAAATATAAATTAATATTAATTCAATATTACTTCAGCTACTGGATTATATTTGAAAATTAAATTAATTACACTCATTAACAATTCTTCATTGTTTTTCTTCTTTTTTTCTTCTGTTGTAACTATTGCTAGACTACATTTCTTTTTTTAAAAGATTTATATCATCTAAAGCATGTTTGTGTCTTTTGCTATCATCAATAACTAAGTTAGAGGGAATCTTGTGGCTATAGGCTTTTTATATTATATTTTTATTAATACATTAATAGTAAGAAACTTTCTTTACCTTATTTAAATGCTTGTTTTCGCATCCTAATATAATTTTTGTTCTTAAGCATCCAATAATATTAGTTCTAACCTTGTCATAAATAGGAATTGTAGAGAAACCGCTTTATTTTATCTTTAAAATGAGTTCTTTCGAAAAAATGTCTTCTGTATTAAGCATAAAGCACTATCATATTAGAGAAAAGTAATTTGTAACAAAAGTAAAATGTAAAATTTATTTACATCATCTAACTTAATCATCTTTTCAGTAACCTTTTGTTCTCTTAAATCGAGGGTTGATGAAATCATCATTACTTCTTGTTTATTGAATCCAAACTATTTTTATTTTTAATAGTTTTAAGAAAATGTTTAAAATTGAATTCTAAAGATTGACAAAAAAGACTTTGTTAAAAGCAAATGTACAGATAAGATTATTTTTTATTGATTATGTGTCATAAAAATCAAAGAGTTCTGAAAAATTTTTAATTATTTGAGATTAGAAAAAAATAAGGTGCCTATTTTATTCACCAATCATAAATAATTAATTATTACTTGCTATAAATGAGTGTCATGCTATCCGTTTTCATGGAGTTCAATTAATGCCTTTAAATCTTTTTTGTTCTTTCTATATTTACTACTGTCATGCTTGCCTAATAACCAGTCTAAGAATTTTGCTATTGGGAAACAGAAAATCCAAAAAATGAGTATCAACAATCTATTAGTTGAATATAGGCAATTTTATTCTTTGATAAAAATTAAGAATATATATTTAATATTAAATGTACTTTATAATAGGCAAGCTTTTTGAGGCTATTTCGAATTATTTAGGACCTGTGCAATATGCTTATGGAATAATTTCACCAAATACGACTACTATAATAGTTGAAAATAAAACAGCAAATGCTGCAGGGATTATTTCATGAAAGAATATAGGAAGAGCTTCCATAGCTAATGCATTTGCAACTAAGAGAGTCGATAATAGCAAGTGATGATTTGAAAGAACATCTAAAATTTATTATGCCTGTATTTCGAAATGAATAAAATAGATAGATATTACTTCTTAAAGTTGAATATATATAGTTAGTGAGTATTATACAGAAAATAGGTAAATTTATTAAAGAAAATATATGTATCATTGAATTAAATTAAAATTATAATATAATAAAACATATTTAATTACATTCTTCTTTTCGTTTTCTGTTCCACTCTTTATCTTAAGATTTAATGCTACGACATCAATCGAGAGAAGACCAACATTTAAGCCAGAGCAAATGCCTGCCATCATAACTAAAACTTTTAAGATTATTTTACATTTAAACATGACTTTCAGATCATTTATAAATAATTAGAAGTTTACAAATAACCATAGCTATAGCAAAGTTAAATTCTGCACTACCTGGTTCGTGGTACTTTTTAGAGCCGCTGAAATTAATTGTGTCTTATTTTGAAAAAAGACTCCTTTTCTTACTCAAAACTATTACGAGAGTAAATAATAGAAATATTTAAATTGATTGATTGATATGTATTTTTATGAGGAAAATAAAAAAATAAATAAATACAGGAGTTTTATGACAAGACAACCATAAACAAGTAACTTAAAATGATTGTATAAATCAGAAATCTTTAAGACTTTCTTCCATTTTTCAAATTCGCTTTTAATAATTATTTCATAATATCTATCTTAATAAGGCAAATACTTTTTTATTTTAATAATCTTAACAAATGCAATATTTATAATTCAGCAAAGTAGTATTAAATAAAATATTCATTAATTAATTGCGAATCACCTAGAGCTAGTAAATATAATAAATGTACAATTAAATTAATTTAATTCGATATATTAAATTAACTAAAATTATTACATAAAATATTTTATGTTTTATTAATTATTAAATTTTTTAGAGAAATCAGATGAAATTTTAAAAATAAAACAAAAATATTTTTATTATTCATTGCCATTCTTTTTATTTTAACTATAAAAACTCACAGTTAAATTGAAGTATGATATAAAATTTATTTAAAGCTATTTGCAATTTGGAAGTATGAGAATTTAGTGAGAAGGTACTTAGGGTCTATAAATTTTTGAATATTTTTATAATATCATAAAATGATTTAATTTTAAAGTAATTTATTTTTTATCAAAAGTTATTACAAATTTAGTTTATATTTTTTTGAAGCATATTTCTATTTTTAATTTGAATTCAAGTAAATCTACCCATTTTAAAAATTTTATCAAGTATCTAAAACATTTTTTAGTTTACTTTTAGATTTTTAATCCTTTTTATTGCATTCAATTCTAATCAAAAAAAAATCATATGCTTAAATACCTTAGAGAATTGTACATTTTTAGCATAAATATGGAATAAAAATAATAAATATTTTAGTAGATGAATAGAGTTAGAAGAATCTTTTTCATAAGATATTTTAGGTAGGTAATGCTAAAAAAAGGATCAAGATTTATTATTTAAAGGATTTATGTATAAAAGAATATTTAAAGATATGTCAAAATTTTCTTAAATTAGAAAATAATACTAAGAAGATGCGTCACAACAATACAAATCAAAAGTTATAAAAAACTGATTCATTTGGCGTAATAAATAATTAACAATTGTTTATGTGATAAAAAACTCAAAAAAAACTATTACTACAAACGTATTAACAGTGAAATTGCAATAATCTAATTATTAAAACTGGAAAATATTGCGTAAGATTTCTAAGCTAAAAGTTATATTTCAACTAAAAATATATATATCAATCTATATTCGTGCAACATACATATGATGATTATTTTTTTTAAATTTCTAAAATCACTTTTTATTAGGCTTTTTCATTCAAAACTGTATTTTTATTTTGGTATTAAGGCAAATACCTTCAAAAAAATATAGACTTTGTTTTATAAATATATTACATTTAAATTAATTGACAATTGTTTTTGTATTTGATTTGTTATGTCTCTATTCATAAAAATCAAGCAATATAAATATTTATTGCTACTTATTCGTTTTAGTGGTTTTGTTTAGTAATTTGATATTTATTTCTTAGAATATTCTGTTGTTAGTTACTTGAAGGACTAAACTCTATTATAAGCTGTTGAGCTCAAACAATATTTTAGAACACACGTATTTTTAATCTAGAAAAAAAAATTAAAGAATATTAAATAATTATAATCAGTGTTCTTATATCCATTATTTAATGAGAGGAATACTTGATTGAATTAGTGAGTGAGTAATTATTGTAATTTAGATGATGTAGCTGTTTATCTTACGTATATATTAAAAGAAAATTAGGAGTTGATTACAATCAATCAGATACCAAATCATAATTAAATTATTTGATAGCGGGTATTGGGTATTGCAACAAAAATTTGAATATTATTAATAAATAATCAGGCAAGAATGCCTTTATGCGTGTTTTTTGATTGTTTTGGATAATATTCTTCTTGTAAGCTTATTTTTCATTTATATTTTTTTATCAAGAATTTATTTAATTGGAACCTGAAACGAACAATTTTCTAAGAATATTATTTAAATAAATCTTATCATTTATCAATATATCAATACATCGTCTTATCAATCATATAAAAGAAAGAAAAAAAATTAAATCAAAAAATCTGACATTTAATCAGAGTAAAAGTAGTTAGTAAAAAATATACTAATAGGAATTATTCGATAGATTAACTATGGACAAGTTACCCTAATAACCTGTTTAAGGTAGAAAATACAATTTTAATGGCGAGCAGATTGGATTACCTTAGGAAATGTTATAATAAATTGAAGCTGAATGGTATAATTGCTTTGGCGTTGGTCTCACTATGATTGAAATGTTCAACAAAAATCCAAAATTCTTGAATTACATTGCATAAGGTGAACAAGCTATGAAAAGACTTCTAGGAATTCCTGCAGAATTTAAGATCTACACTATGCACTGTGGTTAAGCTTTGCAGATAGCAGCTGTACCTCTTAATTTGTTGGATAAAAAAGATACTGCTACCTACATCAATTCGGGATATTGGAGCCAAAGAGCTATTGATGAGGCTAAAAAATATGTTCCTCATCTTAATATCACTTAAAATATTCAACTCACTCCTGGAACTAAAAAAATTACTTTGGCAGACCAAGAACCCTTATCAGCTAATACAGCTTACATTCACTACGTTTCTGATGAACCCGCTGATGGAATAGCTCTTAACATTTAACCTAGACGTTAAACTGATATTGCTCCTAATGCTTTAATGGTTGCAGACTTATCTGCAGATTTCTTAACTAGAGAAATTGATTGGTCATAAATAGATGTTGCTTATGTTAGCAGTGAATATCAAATAGGTATAGCTGGATCTATCTTCTTGATAATTAGAGAATCCGCTATGAGAACTCCTCATCCCTAATGCCCTTATATGATTGATTATGCTGCCTTGAAGGCCACAGACGGTCTACCAAACACTCCACCCACATTCCCTTAATATATGAACGCCTAATTCTTCTTATATGCAGAAAAAATGGGAGGAGTAAAGGAAATCCAAAAGAAAATAAATGGCTATGCACATCGTATTTATACAGAAATCGATGCTCATCCTCTTATATATCAAAATAAAATCTCTGAAGAGTTCCGCTCAAACACTCATATAGTTTTTAATGTCTTAGGAGTTTAGCAAGATCAACACTTTTTAGAAGAAGCCAACAAGAGAGGCATTGTAGGATTGCAAAATAAAAGAGGTTAAGGTATTAGAGTTTCATTAGGTTTAGCAACAACTGATGAAGCAATAACTTGTTTAGTTCAATTTTTGCAAGATTACGCTACTAAAGTAGCCTAAGCTTCAGTTTGATATTTAAAGTGAGAAAAATAAAAACAAATCAAGAACAATTAAAATAATAAAATTAATTAAGACTATATATTAAATTTAGTAGATTTTCAGCATTAAGTAAAGTAAAGTGGATCAATCAATAAAGGGATAAATGGTTTGTCTTTAAATAAATAACAAGCTTAGCAAATAAATCAAAAATTTATCTAATAAAAATATAGAAAAGATATTATATTATTCTATAAATATTGCATATTTTAATATGAAGGAAGAAAAAACAAGCGTATTTATTCATTTGTTTATTGTCTTTTAAAAAACTTATAATCTGATTTAAACCCCTATTTTAACCATTTATTTGTTTTATCAATTGTGACTGTGTCATTTTTTTTCAAATATAATTAAAAATATCTTTGTAAATATGTTTTTTGGATAACATTTTTTAATAATTTGTTTTTAATAATTTATTTTTAATAATTACTTGTTAATATTTATCAATAATTAAATATTAAACTGTGTAAAAATATAAATCTATAAAAATGTTCTACTTATTTGAATAGAATAAAATTTAAGAAATCGTTTATTTTAAACTTTTGTCTGAACTCTTATTTGTGTAGAATTAATATCGATTAAAAATTTAAACTTGTACATCAATAAATTAATTAATCAGTCAATCTATCAATTTACTAAAAATTCTTTTTCTTAATCTTAATTAAGAACATTAATTAACTAATAAATGCTCTTTAAGTAAATAGCTTTTAACGCATATACATTATAGAAAAGCTTTATTAAACAAATTAAAAATAAAATTAATGATTTTAAAATTAATTTTTTAGATTTTTTTTTTTTGTTAATTCATGTTCATGGTTAAATTCCAAAATTAAATTAGTTTTAAAATGAAACAAATATTTTAAATTAATCTTAAAGCAAAATCTAGTTTTTAAAAATTAAAATAGCTAGCTTTAAATAAAAAAATTCATTTAAAATAATAAATTTTAAAAGAAAATTATGGCATCTATTTTTATGTCCATTAATCTAAATAAAATAAGGAAAAAATCCATAAAAAAAATATATTATTTTTAAATATTAAGATTTATTTTAATTTATTTTTTTGGTTTAAATATAAAAATTGCTTATATAGCAATATTTTAATCATAAAAATAATCTTTTTAAACTAATAAATTAATTAATTAATGTTTTGATAAAAAATTTGCTTTTTATAAATAGTAGTCAAATTTTATCAAAAAATTGATAGCTTATAAAAAATTAGAAAAACTTATAAATGGATAAATAGAATAAACTAAAAAATGCGAATTTGTAAAATAAATAAATTAATTATATACATTTTATTAATAATACTTGTAGCGAGCGACAATTAATTCTTATAACAAAATTTATTTTAAAATTACTATCTGTGCAAATTGTTAAAAACTATAAATTGAACATTTTAGATTATTCATATTGAAATACAAATATATTATCAGCTCTCAGTATTTTATTAAATTATCTATACTATTTGTTTGATATTCTTATAGAAATAAAAGAGTTTATAAGGCGCAGACTATTATGAAACTGCCTAATAAGTATGATAATATTTAAGCTCTCATTATAAAAGTAAATAAAAATCATAAATATTATTGCTAAATCAAGTATAATTTAATCAGAAATGAAATGTAAAAACAGATAGATAATCTTGATTTTTAGTAAAATAGAAAAACATTAATTATTTTATTAGACAAGAATTAAAAATGTATCTTGCATAATTAGAAATACAATTTTATTTATTTAATTTTAAATAAACATTTGTAATATTTTTTATTGAGCAAAATTGATCTAATTATTCAATTTTAGTGATTTGTTTGTTATTCATTCGAAGTTGCTATTCTTATTATTTTATGAGATTGGTCCAAAATTAGAATATATCCGAAATATTTACAATTATTTCAATTTTTATGTCGTCATATAATAATTACATACTATATAGTAAAACAATACATCAATTTTGAAATAATATCATTTAAAAATAGACAATCGAACAATTAATTTTTTTTGGTTTTGTTTGGAGTGTTTTTATATCAAATTCAATTAATTAATTTCAGTTTGTGGTTTTTGGGCATATAAATTTTATTAATCAAAGAAATTATAAATTATTTATTTAAATATGTAAATCTAACTTAACTTTTTTCAGATTCTCAACAAAACATTACAAAAAATAATAAATATAAACATATATTTATATTTAGGTATCTTTGCCACAATAAAAATTGGTTTAACAATATCAAGAATTATAAGTTATTTCTTTTATTTTTGTTCAAAGGTATATTTTTAAATTTTAAATATTCTCTTTTCATTAATATCAATAATAATAATATTATTCATTTAATTCTTATCAAATTAATGAATAAAAAGATTTACAAATGAATATTTACATCCAAATTTTTTTCATATTTTGCCTTATATTTTGTGTTTAAGATCGACTTTTTTTTCTTCATTTCAGCTTCAAATGCGATACTTAATGTAATTTGTTTAAATAAAAATAATTAATTCTTTTCCTTACTCCTGTATGTTTTAGTTAATTTTTTATAATTAAATCCTGATAATAATTGATATAAGGTATATTTTTTTAAAAATAAATGGGCATACTTATTTCAAAATAACTAAATAGAAATTTATTTTCTACAAAAATTACTCCTTTATTATTTAAATAAAAAAATTTACCGCTAACCTTTAAAAAGGATAATAGATAAATATAAATAATGATTTCTCTACAGATAATTAATAATATTGGAGTGTTAAAATCCCCAACTATATTTTGAAAGTTTTCTTCTTAATTTAGCAGAAATAAATAAAGGGCAAACACTTCAATTGTAATGTAAATTTTACTAATTTTTTTTAAAACAAAAATAAAAGAAAGATTAATCCTTAATTCAAAAATTCAAACACATCAATTGCCATACTAAATTTTTAAAAAGTTTTTGACTATTGTTTTTTTCTATGATTCAATCATTTAATAAAGGAAACTTAATTGACTTTAACACAATCAAACACTCACAAAATATTATTTCCTCTAAAATTAACTTTGATTTATTTTATTAAAAAGATATAAAAAAAGACTTATAAAATATTTAAATATTTGTTGAACTAATTATTAAAAAATTCATTTATTTTTAGCACAAATTATTTGCAAAATTTTTATACAATATTAGCAGAAATACTGTTTATTTAAATAAACTAAATTTTATTTAAGGAAGTATTTTTCTTTAGAAGTTACTTTGCTGTGAGAAAAATAAATATTATTATAGATATTAAGATAGATCGATAAATATATAGGTAGATAGATTGATAGATATAATGAAAGAAATTTAAAAAGATTGATAAATATTTGTATTAAAAACTAAATGAGGCATAATTCGTACTAAATAAAATATATAGGTTGAAATGAGGTAAATATTGAAACTTGTAAATCTTTAATATAAATAATATTCATAGTTTGATAATTAAAATTTATTCTTATTGAAAATAATTATTAATATTGTTGTTTCAACTAATTGGTTGATATTTGAAACAAAAATTGTGTTTAGGGGTAAAGGATTTTATTTTGAAATTGTTATTAAAACTTTTAATTTTCTGATCACGCACTCACACCTGTTTATTGATTAATTTATATATTTTCAGTTTTTGATTTCAGAATAATGTTAAAATGTTGAAATTTCTGGTTAATTGAAAGGGGTGGGAGATATTTTGCAAGTTAATTCTTAAGTTAATAAATTTTTTGCATCTTCAACACTCATAGAAAGATTATTTGTTGAAGATGAAGATTTATTAGTCTCTTCTGTGTAGCTGTTCAGAAATTTCAGCTACCTATTTTAAGGATCAGTGGATAAGGAGGATATATCATCATTCAATTTTAAATTGCTGGTTTTTTTTTCTGGTGTTTTGATAATTTAATTATAACTGGAGAAAAGTTATTAGTTAAACTCTTCATTATAATTTTAGGGAGTGTTTTTAATTGAAAGATTGTTTGAAATCTAAATTTGATTTTAATTCATATTCAATTTTATATTTGAGAAATTTTCTTGCTCAATAATTTATTTTTATTTTATTGATTAGTCATCATTTTGTTCTATTTCCATGTCATAGAAGCTGCTTGTATATTAGTCTATCTACTCAAAGTCAAATAGGGCATCCTAAGAAGAAAGGCAACATTAGCTTTGAATCTCCTAAGGAATCTAGGTTTTGATAATCTTTATAAAATTTACAAAGCAATTTTTGAAATTTTCTATCCATTCTTAAGAGTATATATTAGAGAGCAACTCCAAATTTCCGAATTTAGAAAAATTAAATTCAACTTCTGAGGAATATTGTAATAACTTTAAGATTACATGAGCAATTATTTCACTTGAATAATTATCGAATAATTCTTCATGCAACCAATAAATTTTGATACAGTTATAAATGGCTGTGAAATCATTATCAGTGAGTTCATCTACTGTCTATATGATTTTTAGCATATGAGAAAATGATGTGTTTTCTTATTTAAGTCTTTCCGTTAATTCATATTGATTTAAAAGCAAAAGACCTTACAAATATGAGTGAATCATATCAAAACACTCAAATTATTTTTTAGCATCGACTGGGTCTAATTCTAAAGAAGGAAAATGAGGAACTTTCATCATGTAAATGCTATAGCACTGAAAATAGCTACTTTCTTCAGAGGAGTGGTTTGGATTATACTTTATAAATCTAGCTAAATCTGAGGGATTTTTCATATTAGCTTCAGGAAAACACGCTTAATTAATAGCAAACGCTATTATATAGTTTGAATATTCTTTGAAATTAGGTGCTGTGTAAGGTATTAACTAAGAAAGAAGATAAATGCAATGTTCAGACACTTCTAAATTGTTAAAGCCTAAATCCTCAATATTCTCAATAGCATGATAGACCGCAGCTTCACGAATAGTGCTCATTTGATCAAAAGAAAATGGAGGGTGGTTTTGTTATTCTTTTGGACAGAAGTTGTGAGCGCTTTTTTGTATTGTGTCACTTAGATTTACAATAATGTAGTGTTTTTCATTTTCAGCGCTCTTATTTAACTGTGGCTATTCATGAATTAATACATCAAAATTTAAGTATTATTAACTAAAATCCCATTATATGTCGCTTGGATTGAGTTAATTTAGCTACTCAGAGTTATTCAAATCCATTTAGAAATATGTTAAATGATTTAAGTAGCTATTTTTTTTTTGTTTAGTAGAGAGGAATTTGGCAAATTTAGCGAGTTTTTTTTTGCTTTCAATGTCAAATAAATAAATAAAAGCGTATCTTTTTTATCACTTTAAAAATTTGTTGTTTTAAGTGAATATTTTTTATATTATTTGTTATATTTTCTTAATGAAATAAACTCTATTTGTGTTTTAATTACAAACATTTTTGCTTTACGTAATATCTTTATTTAATTAACTAAATCCTCCCATCTAATAAAAGATCAATCAATGTTGGTAGTAAATAGATAATTTATCTAAGACAGATTAATTAATTTTCAATTTATTTTCTTTTATGTCTATTTTTTACATCCAAATAATTTCAATTATTCTATCAAAGTAAGCCGCTCAATTTTTTAAAACAAAGATTTCTTGAAATAATAAAATATAAAAGCTTTCTCCAAAAACACATCAATTTTCAATTTTCCCTCATCACTACTTTTCATATTTTAAACATTTAAATATAAATATTCACTCTTTTTTTCTTTTTTTTAAAATAAATAATTTTGGATTTAAATATCTTAAATACTTTATTGAGCGTTTTTAAAATAAAGCTTTCTTCTATATTTATTATTTCTCAGCATATGTTATTTAGAGCTATCCATTCATTATTTTTGGATAGGGGTATTCTATAATAAGCGAATTTTAAATTTTAAATTTTAAATTGAAAAAGTTAATAAATTATTAACAATAAGATTTAAAATATTTTTGCATAAATTTTATCACAGCATTAAAATAAAATAAGAAAGATTTAATAACAGGTTAGCATTTGAAGGTTTTTTCACTTAATCAGACAAGATAATTTATTTATTCATTTAAGGTATGAATAATTGCTTATTTATATATTTGATTTCAGTTGATTTGACATCAATAGTTTCAATACCAAACTAAAAAAGTAATAATTTAGATCTAACATCAGAAACCACTTATTTTAAATAAAATATCAATAATAAATTTATAAATTATATTCATTTCCATAACAATTATAGTAAATTGAAAAATTTTATTACTTTCTAAGAAAATTAGGATTATTTTTTTTTTTTTAATTTTAATTTATGCAAGAAAACATATTTATGATTTTTAAATATTTATTAAAAAATGTAAAATTTATTATGATATTATTATTTTAATTAGAATTATTTGTTAGCATTTCATATACTTACTATTGAATATGTTTCATTTAATATTATAGTAGGATATGTTATAAAATAATAAGTGTTCTTTTGAAAATTCAATTTAACATTCTAAATTTTAAATATTCATAGAAGCCCCAATAAAATTATTGCACTTTATCCTTCATTAATAGAAGCTAGTATGTAGATTTTAAGAATTATTTAATGGCAGAAGTATTTAATAATTAAGTTATTTTATGTTTTTAAAATAAATTTAGCGTTCTATATATTAAATATACATGATAACCCCCATAATATTATTTTAATTTAATTTACTCTTGCTTAATGCAAGTAAACATGCAGATTTAAGTATTAATTGAAAGGCATAAATATCATTATCTATAAAATTTATCATAAAAAAATTATAAAGATGAAACAGGCAATTTTTACATAATAAATAAGATATTAATTGAATAAATATAAAGAAAAGGGTTAAATTTTATTTACAACACCCATTAAATATTTTAAATATGTTACTACAAAATCTGTTTGAATATTCTTAATAAATTCATTCTTTGAAATAGTTATTTAATGGAAAAAGCTTCTTCAAGATAAATTAGAATCAATCAAATTATTTCTTGAAGGCGATTGTTTATAAGCAACTTTAGATTTATTATATAGATCATTGTTACAATTAAATTTATGAGTATAAATTGCTATAGATGGTAATTTAATTTCGTTTGCTTCACTTTCTTCAATTGTTAAAATTGTTATTTCGCTTTTTTAATTTTAAAAATTTGAACCAAATAATTAATTTGTGTGAGGTATTTTTTCATTATTGATTTTGTTTTAGTTTGTTTATTTTACTTCAAGATCTTGTTTGTTGTTGTTACTTCTATTTTTATCAACTTCGTTGCATAATGCTTTGTAATTTGGTGGATATTAATACTCTCTAGAAAAGGGTTTTACTTTATATAATGGCTTTTAAGATACTAAATAGCTTTAACATTCTATATTCAATTAATCTGTAAATTCAGACTGATTTTAATTATTATGCTAAATATCTTTTTGTCTGCTTGCATTTTTTACAGGTAACTCTTACTTTTTGTTAACATTTGTAGAGTGCTAATCTTCTTTTGTTCTAATTGATTTATTAATAGATGCTTATAAATGTTACACAGGAATGGATAAATTATTATTATTTATGTAAGAAAAATCATTTACATTTTAAAAATTTTACTAATTTATTTTTATGGTTTCTCTGATACCTTCATCCGATTCCTTCTCCCCACTTTAAGCATTTTTATTTAATTATATAGATTTCTAATTATTTATAATCTACTGTCTTTAATTTACCAATTAATTTTTATTGTTACTACTTTTTATTGACGAATCTTCGCTTAATATTTATTTTTGATTTTTATGCTCATCAATATGCCGATTCTATTCTGTATTTTATTTATTTTTCTAAATAAATCTCACTTTATTTGCATGAACTTATTCATGCGATTGCTCAAGTATTTATTACAATTATAATTCATTTTTTCCATTTTATTTATTTGGACTTAATTTTTTTAGCATATTATTTTATCTATCATTTACACTCTCATATTTATTCTCATCTTTTTCTTTATTTGCAATATTATCATCAGAGTTGTGCAAGTCCTTACATTTTTTCTAATTCTTTGCTTAATTATGCTCTTTTAGAAAAATTTTTTAAAAGCCTTAAGTCTCAATTTTTTATAGCACCTCCTCTCTCTATTCAAGCGGTTGGTCTAATGACGTATCACTTACATCACTTGTAGTTGTTCTGAGTAATTCATTTTCTAATTTATGTTTTTGCATGCGTTAGTTTAAGTTTTTTTGGCTAGCCTAATTTTTTAGTTCAGGATTGATTTTATTATTTTGTTGGGCTTAATAATTTTAGTTTAGCTTAGGTAAATTTGTCTCATAGTTAGATGTATTTGAGGAATTGTCATTTTTTTTCACCTCTTACAATCTACTATGTTCTAAAGTGCTCTCACTCCCGTGGCTGATGGCAGAATCAGGAGTTTTAAAAAATATTTTTTTTATGTTTTTAAAGCTATTTTTTAAAACCTAAGGATGCTATAACTAATCTAATCTATCAAAAGGAGAGCTACAATGCTTGGAGAGAGGTGATGTTTTATATAATTTTTAATTAATATTTTTATTTTGTTAATTAAATAATGACTTTGTTTCTTCGCCAGGAACATCTAATGGAGCTAATCTTTAGATGGGATGGCTTTCATTTAAATTTTTCTAGCATAATGGTGAAGTAGATTAGATAGTTCTAAATGGATTTTCCTACAAAGCACTGGAGTCCTAAAAATTAGGTGATGAGTAAATGTTATTCTTGTTAGAGCAATAATTATTTTCAGCATTAACATGATTTATAGAAACTTTTTATTGCTTTTAGTTATCCACAGCAATTTTTATTTTTTACCCTTATGAAGTAACATTTGAATTAGTTGTCTTTAATTAATTCGGATTAAACTTTATTTATGACAGTTTTGGTGAAGGAATACTGTAATAATCTAGAATGGCTTTATATTGGCTTCTTAGACTTTGCCTTTCAGAAGAATTAGAGTGAAATTGATGGAAATTACCATCATATTTCTATTTTAAAATATCATCATCATAAGAACTTACATTTATATTTTTTTTATTTCTGTATATATCTTTCAGCTATACTATTTCTCCATTCATATCTGCTCTAGTTATACGAGCAATTTCTTAGTCATTATCCTACTTTTGCTGCTATTATGTTTAATAGCTTATATTTTAAGACTGTTTTCTCAGCATTTTTATAAATTTTTTATTAGAACTAAACTGAAATTAGCTCGATTTTTAAAAATAGATGGATTTCACTGTGGAGACAGATTTTTCAACTAACCCATTTTGAGTAATATTTTACTATTATTGAAAATCTTTGCATTAGCAAACTTAATCATTTTACATTATTTATTAGTATTGTTTTTAATAAATAGTTCTACATCTGTCTTGTGATGCGATTTCTTGTTTCTTCAGTTAAAAGTAAGGAGAATATCTCATTTTATGCATGCAATTATCACAATTATTTTACTTCCCTGTATCCTTCTAATTTTTATTATCGTTTCCTGATTCTTTTTAGTTTTGATTTTTTTAAGGCATTTTATCTAAATCATCTAAAGACTACATCTAGGAACAAAAGTGCTTTAAATCACAAAAATGATAGTTAATATGAAACCCATCATCCCATCCGCAGCTCGTATTCGAGTCTTTAAGAGATGAATGACTTAAATCTACCTATATAAGTTCATGATTATCCTTATTAATATCTTCTATTATTTATCTAGAAAGAGAATTCTCTTTGCTCGAAGAGACTACCATTAACTTATTCACAGCTTTTTCTTCTTCAGTTAGTATTTAAGCATTATTCTTCATGTTTTTTCTTTAATTTTTGTTCTTATCTTTCTTGACTTTCTTGATTACTTAAGCTTACTGATTCTATTTAGTTTGGCCTCCATTTTAAAAGATTTGTTGTTCTACTACATTCACTTCTTCATTTATTTGTTCATTCATTTTTAAATGTAAATTTTGAAGTGAGATATTAATTTTGGTTAATAAAATCACCAAAATCCTATTGAGTAGAATATTAAATTAATCGTAAGTAAATTCGTATTATTAATTAAGATTAATTTAATAATTTCTGTTAACTAAATATTAATATATCTATCTAATTCATTAATATTAAATGGTATTTCTCATTTTTAAATAATCAATTGCCACAAAGAACATAAACGTAATACTAATTTACACAATATCATATTCCAATTTCAGCATTATTTATTTAATTATTTACAAATATGTTTCATATTATTGTTACTGAATTAAAATTTTTATTATAATTAATTTTTGATTGAATTTTAACATAAAAATAACTAATAAATATTAGTGAAGCCCTATTTCTAAATTTCAAAACAAAAAGAAAACTTAATAAGAATAAAAAATGAGTATTTTGAATAAAAAGAGATATGCAATTAATAATAATTAACAAATAAACAAAAATAAATTAATTGAATACTTTTTAAATTTTACAATAGATCTTTTACAAAATATATTTAAGTAAAATAAAAATACATTCAATTTTAATTCACAATAAATATAATTCAAAAATATGAATTCAAATTTTTAAAATAACTCATAAACTTTTAATTTAATAAATAATTTTATAATGAGAATGTATTGAAAATAAAAACATAAAGATGTAGATGAACTTTTTTTGTGCATTTAATTCAATTTTTAAATCAATTTAAATTACTCATTCTTATAAAAATTAAAAGACAATTTGATGGAATTTTGTACATTTATATAAATTTTTAATTAATTTAATATACTTATTCTTACAAAAATGTAAATAATTTTAACAATAATTTAAAAAATGATTTCAGATAATAAAAATGCCTTCAAAAATTGTGATCTGAATAGTTTATAAATATTATATTGAAAATGTTTTGAATGATTTACTTTTGATATATAAAATCACTAGATTTAATTTGAAATTTTAAAAATCAATTTGATATATTGATTGATTTTATAAAAATATTAAGTAAATAAAGTGAAATCTTTAAAAATATCTAATTCTTAAATAAACAATAATAGTTCAAAACAATAAATTTTAACTAAATTAACGAAATTTATTGAAATATTTTGACAAATTTTAAGATTATCAAAACAATAGATCAAATATATTTTATAAATGAGTTTTGGTTTTATAAATAGTATTTTATGCTCATAATTATAATGAATTTAAATCAATAAAAGATTTTGTAAAAATAAAATATTTAAATTGAGTTGATTTATCTATTTTTTAAAATATGTTGTGATGGTTTTTTTATGATTTAAAAATATGCAAAAATTCATTACAGATTCTATCTAATTTAAAGTTTCCTATATAATTATTTATTAGCCAAAATCTAATAATATTTTGCTTTTATTCAACTAGAAATTAAATAATTTGTAAAAATGCTTTAAAAAATATCAATTACTATACAGTTTTTGATAGCCCTGTTAGGGCTGGTAAAAATTTGTTTAGCTGGGAGTATTTAAAATTATGACATGATGATGGATTACTCAAATATTGGATATACTTCTTAATATACTTTTCAGTTTTAGGTTTCTACTACCACATTAGATCAATAAAAAGATGCTATTAGAATTATATTTCCTAATCCTATACATGATCCTTCATAAAATCTATCAGCTTCTATTTAATCAGTTACCTTAACTTATCAAGATAACACAGTGACACCACCTGTATTATAATTGCTTTATTTGAGCAACAAACAATTTTGCTTCTTAAAAATAAATACATAATTTAAATTTGCAAAAAAAAAATTTTTTGCTCTCTTCTTCATAAAATTTTTAGATATAACAAATAACTAAGACAGATAGATAGATAATAAATAAATAAATATTTAGTTATTTGATTTTAAACGTTTCTTAAATTATAATTAAACAAATAAAATGATTGAGTTATTTTACAATATTAAAAAAAATATGAATTTATTTATTTATTTTTATTATTTTAAAATATCTTAGTAAACTGTTTAATTATATGCCATCAATATGAGAGTAGATACCATAGGAAGGTATTATTTTTAATTTGGCTAAAAGTTTAGCAGTAATTTGATCTACACACTGGTTATTCAAGCAACGGCCTTAGGGGCGAGTCTAAACCAATAACTTTTAACTAGCAACACTATTTTAGAAGTTGAAACTATCATGGACTTTACATCAGACTACTCATTCATATATGATTACAATCCTAATTTTGCAGTTATTAGGTATGAAATAAATAAATATTTTAAGGCTTTTAATAAAATTACTATAAAATATTAGGTACACTGTTGCCCCATAAAGAAATGTGTAATTTTCGGTTGACGCCACAGTTTCTGATCAGGCTTTTAGCCCAGGAGGAGTGTACCCTATATTTTTTACAATAATAACTTCAAAGTCTTATTACGGAAATGTTAAATTTGAAATATCATTCATACCTTAGGGTTTCTAATTCATATAATTTTGTTACTCCGTCTAGGATACTCAAATAACAGCTATAGAACCTTCACTTTATTCTTGTTAATTTTAAAATAATAAACTTGTATTTTATTACAATAACTAAAATATTCCTTCAAGTAATTAATTGCTTTCATTAATAATATATATTGCAACTCATTTATTTGAATTATTAGATTTTGCTCTTAAAATTGCTACTATTGCATAAAACGCTAATAGAATCGAAGCAAATGTTGGATTTAAATTAAGAGTTATTTAGTAGCAAGGGAGTCATATAACAGATGAAGTCTCATAAGAAAATCTTTTTGGACTGTAGCAGCTATTTTTAACTCAAACCTCAGTCAATTTATCTTACGGAATTCCTATTAATACTCAATTAAGTCCAAATTTTTTAATCTGTCTGATAAGAAACACAAACACAGTTTAAGGTTCTTCTATTTTCAATGCCATAAAATTTATTTTCTAAATAAATCAGAGCACACCAATAGGCCAAGAATTAGAGCTTCACTTTTAAGTATATCATATTATCTAATAAAATTACTAAACCCCTTTTTTAAAAATATTAGGTACCATCAGGCACTGTTCCAGACACTGGATCATATGTATTAGTTTAATCCATATCTGAAAACTTACCAAATCTCTCTAAAACATAATCAGTAGCTTGTACTGTTGTCAATAATTTTGTCTAAACACATTTAAGATACATTAAATGTACAAACGTGGGTTAAATAGTGCAAGGAACTAGCTATCACATTGGATTTCGTTTTTATCTTTCATATGACAGTGCACAGTCTAATTTACCAAATAATTTCTCATAACTTGATATATTTACTGTTTAATATCCCAATTAAGTTCGAACTTTAGACTCTACACCTTTAAATGTTAAATAAACAATTACTACAACTTAAGTAAGAACTGTAAATGCTAATGCATGGTCATATAGTTACTATAACCAAACTATAGTTACAACTTAACCTTTTGATACTACTACAAGAGCAGCGTGTAATTTAACAATTTCAAATAAAATATTTAATAAATAAAATATTGTCATAAATTAAAAAATTAATAAAATAAGCTCTTTATTTATGAAAGGTTATTTCATAAATGCTTTCAATCAATTTATTAAAATTTCTTATAAAATGCTATATTTAATATTAATTCTTCATACTTGATTAAAATTTTCTCTCTGCATTTTTTTTTTTGAGATAAAACAAGTCTTTTTACTTGAGAGATAAATAATTTTTATATATTAAGCTTTTAAAAGGCCTTATCTTAGTGGAGGTACTCTGGGTATAGTAGCTTCAAGCTCTCCTTAGAAGCTAATTTTTAGTTTGGATATACCAAATGGAGATTTGACTACAACTAATATGACTCTTTCATAGACAGTTCCATACAGTGCAGGCGTTTAAATAGCAGTAAACCCTCAAATATCTTTTGATGTTAATACATATGTAAACAGTTACTCTCTTTTGAACCAAAATATAAGTCACAGCATAAGCTATTCTTAGAGCTTATTCACAATTATTTAAGTATCTGCTTCAACAACTGATGCTCTTTCTAAACTCTTCACAAGAAATGACTTTTCAATAAGCCCAGCAACAATTAACTTTAAGACTACTCCATATGCAACATAAAATATTTTGGATTTCTACATAATGACTTATGATTAAATTTTAGGTCCAACTCCTGTTCTTGGAGGATATTACCTAGCCAATTCATATACAGTAGATTTTTCAGTCCAAAATTAAAATTACTAATTGTCAATAGTAAATTAGTACAAAGGAACTACATTTGGAAATATTCCTTCTGTTGTACCGACTTTGCTATCTCTTACCATAACTTTTCAAGCAAGTGATATTACTTCAGGAAATTAAGGGTTCATCATTTTTTTTGAGGGAGGTTCATTCATAAGTGATGTTAGCTTTTAAAGTAAATTACATTTAATTAAAAAATATACAATTTATACATTTAAATCAACTTAAAAGATAATGAAACAAAACCTTAAATTGTTCAGTGTGGATCCAGTATTCTAAATAATAATACCTAGTATCTAGGATATGGGACAATATCTACAAACGCAGCAAACTTAATTAGTCATGGATTGATTTATCAAAATATGAACTAGCTAGTCATAACAAATTTAAGTAAACTTAAATTCTTTTATTTGAATATTTATTATTAACCAAATCAACATTTTTCTAAATTTAGTTAAAAAGCTGCTAAATTTATATTATCTTTAAAATTTTTGAAATAAACAAAAAGGATTAAATAAATAAATAAATACATAAATTGTCAGTTAATATAATTCCTAACATCTTAAGACCAAGCTTTGAAAATTAAAAAATAAAAATTTTTGTTATATCTTTAAATCTCTAGAAAATTTTTTTTTCAGAGTTGATTTTAATAAAGAACAAATTACAGATTCAAATAAAAAAATTAATTATTTTTTAATTTAATCTTAGATTTTATTTATCCAATTTAAAAATTACTAATAAAATTTATTATTTCAATAGCTCTTACAGCTGGAACTTCTGTAACAATAATTCTGCCAATTTAGTTAAATCAATACTCTGATTAATTTGAGGTTTATGTTGCTACAATTGAAATTGATCCAAATTACAAACAATTTTAAAAGAGTAACTATTATTAATATGACATGATATACAGGCTGAGTGCTTCTTCTCAGAATTTAGTTGAGGCTAATTCAAACATCCATAGAAGACTTATTTTTGGAAACTAGTTGAGCTCACTGACGAATTTTCCTAATGATAGCTTATTTCCAACAATTTAGAGAAATTCATTCACATTTAAAAATTTAAATAATATAGGAAGTACTGTTTAAATGTCTGTCGATTTAAAGTTTGTAGACTCTGATCCTATTTAAAATAATTATTAAAATGATTAGAAGACAAGTTTTCTTTCTGGATCAGCGTTTACATTAATAGCATCTTGGAGTTTTTTAAACACCCAAAGTAGCTAAGGATGTTTCTACTTTAATTTTAGCTATAATAATACTAGCAATCCTCCTTAAACACTCTAAAGATTTGTGATGTATTGCCCGATTTCTGCTGCAGATACTAGCAGTCTTTAACAATCTATAAGTAACTTTTTGATACCCTAAACATCAACATAAACTCCTTCTGATACTATATTTGCAATAAGTAATGCATAGGGATATTTGAGATATGCTTATCAATTCTCTTAAAACATATAAAATCCAAATAATATTTAAGTTACAGTTCTTTCAGCAAAACTTTTTTGGGGTACATAAGATAATCTGATTTAATATTAAATCTCACAAATCAACACTAACATACCTTTTTAATAAGGTATGATGGTTAGAATACTTTAGAGCTTTACGAGCTAATACATCATTCCAGGTAAGTAATGCTTATTTTACGATCCTCAGTATTAAGTATTTGAATATGCCTGCACAGTGTAAATCAGTTCAAACAACTTACAAATTGATTTCTTGATAGGAAATTCCTGCAAATATTGTACTTTTAAAAGTACATTTGTCATTTATCATTATGCAAACCAAATAATTGCAAGTGGAAATAACAATAAAGATAAAAGTTTCACAGCTAATCTATGTTTAACCTATGTCACAAACTAAAGTGGTACTTACTAATGCTAATTGCTTGCCTAAACAGTAACTAATTTCACTTTTAATTTAAAAATTACTACATTTTATTTTAGAGTTAAGAACCCAAAATTTAAAAATTAATAAAATGAATAGAAATCGAATCTAGATATGAATTGTTTTAGATTTTTCTTAACTTTTTATTTATCAAACTTTGATTCATACATTTATTTAATTTATATTTTTTCTTTATAATTTTATAATAGATGCACTTTTAAAACTCTTTTTTTAATGAAATGAATAAATAAAATATTTGATTAATCAGCAAATATTTTTAATATATTTTTACTAACAATCAATACAATTTATTAAATATTTATTTATTTTATTTAATGCTTTTTTAAAATAAAGGTTTTTTAGAAATAAAACAAACTTTTTCATCATCCATTTTTTTAAATTACTTTCTTAAAAAATAAACTCTCTCTTTGTTTAAATCAATAAAATAAATATCATTACTTTCTCAATTTTAAATCAATCAATCAATTTTATTTTTTTCATTAAAAATTGATAAATAAAAGATATATACATTTTATTTTTGAAAAAAAAGCCAAACCCATCTCCTTATTTGTTTCAGGATGTTTCTTCAAGCCCACCTCCTCAAAAATTGAATATAAATACTTACTAAATATAATTTAAGCCTTAGTCTTATGGATAGGTTGGATAATTTAGTCTTTCTTTTGGGTTTAATTACTAAAGTTTAGCTTAGATACAATTTAATGCAAATATTTTTGATAGAATAGTACTTAATTTAGGTACTTTTGGTGTTTATAATAAGCAGCTTTTTGATTAAACAATTAATTCAAGAATATGCTAGATTTTTTAAGATAATGGAAACGGAAACACATAACTTACAGGCTTATTTAGTTCTCTTACATATATAAACTCAAACTCAGGAGGTAGTCTTCTTTTAACAATAAAATAAGATTTAAAAGACACAAACAATTTTATTTTTACTTGCTCTAATGTTATTTATCCAAGTGCTACTATTGTTTTACCTATCAATATTGTAATTCAAGATTATCTTTATACATCTGTCTTCTAGTAAAGTGATAATTATCAATTCCCTTCTCAATTTAATCCTCCAAATTATTTTTCAATTGGTTATCCCTTTATCTAAAGCATTCTAGGAAATAAATAAGGATCTATAAGCTCTATCACATTTTCCATTAAAACAAAATCAACTTGTAAATAAATTAACTATTTATTTTTTTGACTATTTTTAAAAAAACATAATTAAAATTACCATTAAAACACAAAAAAATGTAAATTTTATTGTTTATTTTTCCCAATATTAAAACATATTTTATTGATAAAATATAAATAATTTAAAAAACTTTGCTGTTTAAACTAAAATTTACAAGCTTATGAATAAATATTTATTGAAATAAATTATTAAACTAATTTTCACAAAATTTAAATAGAATTGTTAAATGGCAAAAGTTCAATTTTCATACAATTTCCATTTAATTATGATATTAATGGTAATCTAAAATACTCTTTTTCTTGCTAAGTAAATTCTATAAGAGTGGATTGCTTTATAGATTCATGGAATACTCTAAGGTTTAGTGGAATTCCGTAACAAAGTTCAAATTTACTTTTAGTGATTGTTTCTGGTGTGAGTCTAGCAAAGTACAACTAATTTGCCAAATTTTCTTTTTTAGTTGTTTTTGATTATACAAATCCATCTATTTTTGAAGAAGGTGTAGCAGATTCGATTATGGAGTCAAATTTTACGACTTAGCCTCTGATTATAAATTCAATGCAGCTTTCAAATACAATTTTAGATCAGTTATCAAGCTATACTTTCTACTTAACATTAAACTCAACTTACATAACATCAACATCTTAATTCTAAGTTAACTTTCCCTCCATTTGGAAAATCACAAATGTATAAATTTTATAACTAAAAAAATATCTTTGGTAAAAATAATTTTGTAATTTTAAATTAAAAATAGGATGAAAATGTTAGCCAATGCCTGATTTAAAATGTAGAATAAAATAATATTTTGGGATAGTTTTGTAGAAGAGAAGGAAGTACAGTAATATTTAAGATATTTTCAGGAAGTTAAGAAATTTCTTAGAACTAGACATCATCTTCAACTCTCAGCACTTTTTTATTATATATAACAAGTAAGTAACTTCACTCATTTTATTTTTTCTTTCTTTCTTTCTTTATTATTTTTAAAACTTATTTATATTTTTAAAAATTTAAAAGTTCAGATAATTTAAATATTTTATTTATTCTTATTCCCATCAAATTAATATTAATATCAAAATTTCTAGTTTTTTTCAAAATAAAATTTTAATTTTAAACATCTTTGTTTAACTAGTTGAACAATTTAAAATTAAATTTCTAAAATCTAAGATACAAAATTATTTTAGTTTAAGACCTCTTCTTAAAAAATAACCTTAATTTTTAAATAAAAATATTAGCATTAAAAATTTGATAAAAATATTCATTCATCCTTATTTTATTTTAAAAGACAAATCTTAACTCTAAATATTTGTTTATGACTTATTAATCTTAAATATTATTTTTAATACTTTTATTCAAAATTTATTAAATTAAATATTTTAAAACTTTACTTTTGTATTTCTAATTTTGATTATTTAAATTAAAAATAAATTTTTTAAAGTTAATACTTTATTATGAATTAATCAAACTTGGAAAAAATACAATTAAATAAATTATTTAAAAAGTAAAATTCTAATTTATAAATAAATAACTCAAATATTTTTTATTTAAGCTTAATATAAATAAATATTGATTTATTTTAATTAATTACTTCTAATTCAGATATAAACAATCCAGAAATTTGGCTCTCTAATATTGTTTTTGTTAAACCATCTGTGAGTTTAGTAGATACTCTAACAGGCTCAACTATTTACTACGGAGACTCTTATTTAATGAATAGTAACGCTATTAATTTTTAGTAAATTAATTAAACTCAATATCTTGGATGGTTTGATAGCAATGGAAATCAAATTTACTAAGTAGATGCTGTTAATGGAGTACTTTAAACATAAATTTTCTTAAGGCCACTAAATACTAGCTTGAGCTTTTAAGGGTAAATCTCAATAAGTTTAAGTGATACTAGCTAATAAAAGTTAACTATTTTTCCAAAGACTCCTATATGTTCTATCGGAGATACTAGTTTAAAGGTGTTCATTGGAGGTAATTCATAAACTAGATAAGGATCATATATTGCTATGTTTTATAAAGTCTCAGACCCATTCAATTTATACTCAAATATCCCATCAATATGTAAATTTCTATTTAATGGGATTCATAAATAAAATTAAAATAAAAAAACATAGAAATAAATGTTAGGAATAATATTGTTTCAGTAAACTACTCTGTAATGAAGCTAAAAGTTCCTAAAAATGGTATATCTCCACCTATTGTTCTAGATCTTTCTAATCAAAGAATAATAGATAGCATCACAGTATAACCTGTTGCTAACGGTGATATTGAAGTTATTTAAGGAGCTTCTATGAAATTTGATCAATTCAATGTTTAATAAATTTTCTAATTCTAAGTTAATAACAATATTGTAGATAGTGTTTTTACTATTTCCTTTAACACATTTGGTAATTATTTTAAATTTTGTTAAGCCTTCAAACAATTAAAAGTTTATTTTTTATAAAAAAGGACCTGGATCATAATTTATTTAAGCAAATAGCAAAATCAATGTGGAGTTAGACTTAAATAACTATTAATTTACTAAGCTATCTATTACAATAGATTCTACTAAAGTAACACCAACAAGCTAACCAGTTGAATTCACATGTAGCAACATAGGAATCATATATTATAGAATATCTTAACTTAGCTAGCCACCTGCAACTGCTGCATTCATAAAGCAATAATCAATTGCATAATTTTAAGTATTTTATTTTTCTTTATTCAGCTATTGCATAATATCAAAATATTTTTTTAATTGCTTTTATAATGTGATTTTTTCTCTATTTAATTGATTAAGAAGGATTAGTTTCTTGTTTATACTGTTTTACAAATAAGAAATGAATTATTTTTTGAATGTTTTAGAATATTTTAGAATATTTAATTTAAAATTAAAACTAAATATTATTTTTACTTTTTAAAATAACTTGAAGAACTTTTAAGATTCTTACAGCCTTATTGAATAATATGGATACATTTTATCAAATGGTGCTGTGCTTACTGTACAAATGACAAACTTATCTTCATTACAATAGTATAAAGTGGAAGCCTTTTGCTAAACGTTTAACGGAGATAGTAGTGATAAAGTGAATGCCTAATTCTAAACAAGCGATAATGGATCTCTTCTCAATTAATTCACAATTTAATTTGTTTCCAACCTTACAGACTCTCAAAAGAGAAAGTTATGTTGTATTATATCTGAATTTTTAACTATCCCTTCAAGTCTTGTTTACTTAAGGGAAGGGAGCAAATGCAAATCCTCATAACTAAGAGTTAGCTTTATTAGTCCACAACCCTTACCTAATGTAGATTTTAATAAAATTTATATTTTATATTTAACTTAAAGACAATCATATCAATATTCTTTCATAAATTTTTATTAAACCCAAAATTAAATTTCTTTCTTTCCTTCATAAAAACTGTTTCCAAATATTTTTAAAGATATTCTTAAAAAAAGAATTTTTAATGATTGATTTGTTAATAAATGTATTTGGTTTAGATCAATAATGGTTATTTTTTATAAATAGAATACTCAATCCACTTCCTAAGCAGTAGTTTATATAGCTCCTTTAAACTATTTACCTAATGTTTAGTATTTTAACTACATGGCTGCAGCTATTTCAGACTAGAAAAACTTTATCAGAATACTTTCAAGCTACATTCCAAGCTTACCAAAGATTTAATCTATTTCAAATCCTGTCTAAATTCAATATTCAACAATATCATTTGATTTAAGTACTCCTGACAAAATAACAATTGGTTAAACTAACGTAACTATTTCTAACCTTAAGCTTACTTCTAATGGGTAATAGTTTATGCTACAAGCAAATTTTATAATGAATGTTTTTATAATAGGTTCATTTATCTAGCTTTAGAAGAATTATCGGCGAATTCAATTAAACCTGATCCTAGTTAACTTTAAAAAGGAGTCAATTACTAAGGTAAAAAATTTTTAAATATTATCATTGTCTTTACTTTTTAACTAAATTTTCTTTACATGTAAAATTAATTTAAGAAGTTTTCCTTAAAAGAATTAATATCTTTAACTTAATATTTTTTAAGAGTTTAATCAATTAACATATTTTTAAATAATAAAGGAACTGTATTTAAAAATGGAATGTAAATAGCCTATTAAAATGTGCAATTATATAAGCAGTCAAGTTTTTATTTCGATTAACTTAAAAATGGAACACAATACATTATTTATTTTATGGGTGGTAGTGAATTTTAAGATGATTTAACGACTTATACAGAAGTATTTACAAGATAATTCTAGACATTATCACTATCTATAGGAGTAACTATAACTTCACTATCATAGATACTCACCTGCCTACATTTTTTTACTTTAATAATTATTTTATAAATAATCTATTGATAAAAATGTATTTTTATTTTTAAAAGTCTTCTTCATACATTTTGTTATATTTTTTAAATTAAATTTCTTAAAATAATTTTTCATTAATTAATCGAATGATTAAAATATTCCAAAAAAAATGCTAATAAAAATTATTATTAATAATAATCTATTAAATTTTTTTATTAATTTGATGAGGATTGACTTTAACTGAGCTAATTTCCATAAGAAATAATTCTGAAATTAAGAATAGATAAACTTTCATAGACAGACATTCTTTTTAGAATCATCTTTTATATAAAATGTATTTTAAGAATTCAAAAAATGTAGAAAATATATTTAAATTGATTTTTTTTATTTTTTAATTATATTAATACAAATTTTCAAATGATAAATAAATTTAATTTATTGAAATAAATCATTCTAAATATTATTGAGAGATTCAATTTATAATTTGAATATGAAATAAGATACATACTAAATTGTTTAAGATAGTAATCTGAAAATAAATAAAAATATTAAATTAGACAAATCTGAATGATAATATATTTTGCAAATTAAAATAATAAGTTATATTTGAATAATTTAAAATTATCTGTTAATAAACTAAGCAGCATTTTCACATTTCTATAGATAAAAAAGAAAGATCTCTGTCTTTAATATTATCATATTCTAAGTCTTCTTAATTATTGCTTATACTAGTGTTTTGGTCTTATTTTTCATTATTAATTGATAATTTCTATTTTTATGGAGAGTTTTGAATTGTTTTAAAAATGGCCTTTTAAGATTTTCTTGAATTTTATTTAATGTCAGGATTACTTTGAGATGATGTATGATAAGAAGCTATTCTACTACTTGTCAGATAATGTTTTATTATTTTTGTTATTTTTTTGCTAAACACATATAATAGAAACCTCATGAATCCCTAAAGCCTTGAAGTAACTATAGCTATACAAGCTAAGGGGAAAACAGATTATGAGGTTACTTCTGACATATTTAAAGTTCTTAAGATAGTAGGAGATATCCAAGTTTCTATAAAAATCAAAGAATAATATATAAACTTTCTATGAGTCTTGTGCTTAAGATTGTTACCCTTGGCTATTTTCTTTTCAAATCTATCAATTTTGTAGTAAAAAAATATTTATATTAAGAAGAGAACCCAGATAGGTAAGTAAAATAGGCTCATTCTTATTTAATTTGTGCCTATTTTATCATGTTGACTTATCTAGATCCAGCAAAAATACTCAACTGGCCCATACGATCCATTAATAAACGGTCTTTATAATTATGTTTTTAAGTCAATTCAAACAAAAAATATGTTAATAATATAATTATATACCAAAAATGAATTGAAAATTAAACTTTTTAAAATTATTTTAAGACTTTTTCGTCAAATTTCATTTAATTTTTAATATAAATTTAATGAATTATATTAAGAAATGGTATAATTTATAAATTGTAATTACACAGATGAAATTAAGCCAGAAAGTCCATAAGTAATTACCATGTATTTTTTTAGTAGAGATGATTCTTCAATATGACCTTTTATAATAGCAGAATAAATAGCATGGCTTATCATGGTGCTCCAAAATACAGAAGATAATTAGCCAAATTAGAGTAAAAATGCACTAGCTTAGCAACTCCAATTGTTTTCTATTTCATCTCCTTTGATAGTCTGTGGAATGAAAAACCATGCAATCGAATACATAGCGTCAGAAATAACCATAAAGCAATAAAGCTTAATCGATAATGTTTTAAATTCTTTTATTTTTAGATATGCAAACAGAACTAAAATAGCGCAAATAATAGAAATAGAAGATGAAGTTAGATTTAAAACGCTAGTTATAAATAGTTACTAGCTGCGACTCCTTTCTTGCATCAAAAAAATTACAATTATGATTAATTTATCAAACAAACAAAATCTATTTTTATCAAAAATCCAAATAACAAAAATGCTACTTTAACAATGTTAATTATTATTTTAATTAGATATTATTTGATTAAAAGAGCAAATATTTATAATTAGATATTTATCATCTTTCTCTCATAGATGTACAAACAAATACCAGATACATTCCTTAATAATATTTACACAGATCACATTATTTTTAAATGATTAAATTGATTTATCAATAATATTTTACAAAAGTTACTTTTATGTTGCAAATTAAACTTATAGAAATTGATTGATATCTTTGTTAGGTATTTTAATTTTATAACAAATAAAGCAATCTTGTAATAGGTTTTATTAAAATTTATTATGATTTATCAATCATATTTTACAAAAGCTACTTTTAGGTTAAAACTTAAAAAAATTGACTGATTTTTTTTTACGCATTTACATTTTAATAAAAAATAAATGCTTGCTATCTTGAGGAAGGCTATATTAAATTTAAAAAGGATTTATCTATCATATTTTATAAAAGATATTTTTAGGTTACAAATTAAATTCATAGATTGATTAATATATTTTTTATGCATTTTCATTTTTTTGACAAATATATGCTTTGTGAGAGGTTTGTTTAAATTTAATTTGAATCATCAATCAAAATTACTATAGATACTTTTAGTTTACAAATTAAACTCATAAATATTTATATTGAGTGATATCTTTTCTATGAATTTTAATAAAATAAATAAATACATACATACATTCTTTATTGTGAGTGGCTTGTAGATTTAATTTGATTAGCTTAAATAAAATTTTATCCTGCTTTCTTATAATTTTTCAATTAAATTTTATAATAAAATGTTATAAAAAAGCATATAAATAACAAAAATTTGATCATTATTTAAAAAGTAATGTTATTTTTTTATTTCTTAATTAAAAGTAAAGAAAAATTTTGAATTTAGGTTAGCTAAATTATAATCTTTCATAAAATTCTTTATTTTAAACTATTTTTCTGCACATTTAAGCAGTATAGTTATTTAAAAGTGTTAGGTTTTAAAAGTTTTTTTTCAAAAAATCTATTTATTCTAAAAAAATATTGACTACATAAGGATGTTAGTATGATATGATTGAGTAAAGCATAAAATATTTCGTCAACATACTTACTTATTTAATTTAAATGATTATATGGTGTCAAACACAATCTATCAAAAAGTTTCAAAGGTGGTGAACTTTTAATCATAATTGATATCAAAAATAGTATTTGAGAATCTGACAGATTTTTATTAATTTTTGAACTTATTTGAGTGATTATTGAATTGTTTTTATTTTTAATTTCATTAGACTTAATTAATATTTTTTATCTCTCTGTCTATTTATCTTTTTATACATTAATAAAAATAATAATTTAAAATATCATTAAAATTTTCTAATTTTTACAATCATATTAATCAAACAATATTTTTCTATTTAATTCATTGAAACAAAGTGTTATTTGAAAACTAATTAGTTAGGTAAGAGGGTATTTGAATGGACAACAACGTTATTATAAATGAATTGAAGTTTCCATTAGAAAATCAAAAAGAATAAAATTTAAACAGGTCAACTAATGTCTCAATCAGCATGCAATAAAACCAATATTCTGTCATATTATATTATTTTGATTTTTAATGTTTACCTTCTACTTATGATGAAAGTGTGTAGTTTAATGCAGAAAACTTAGTTAATCATAAACCTCCATTTATTTTAGAATAAATTAAAGAAGATAATGAGCAGAAATAGCTGATCAACTCATAGGAAATGAAAAGAACTAAAAGAGCATTCAATGTTTATAAAGGTTACTTACAGTCCAATTGCTAATTCATATAAATAAAACATGTAGAAAACAAAAATATAAATTCTACAGACACTCAACTAAGCATTAAAGCAAATTAAGATGATTTACAAGCGAAACAAATTGTTTAAAATAACTAAGAGGTAATTTTAGATGAAATAAACCAATAAAAAGGCAATTTAGTTGTTTTTTCATAGAACTAAGTCTAAAATAATTAATAAGAAAGCTCTACCTAGAAATAGTAAGATAAATATGAAGTAAAACCATGCCAATAAAAAGAATAAGTAATAATTAATCATGTAGATTAATCATCAGAATAATTTAAAGAACTCATATTTAAAAATCCCTATTATAATATAAATAATCAAGTTGATGAGGGATAGAACAACTAAAATAATAATGTAAAGAGGTTAGTAGTCTATAACTAAGAGTTAATAGAAGTAGAATAGAGATCAAATAGAAAGAGCTTAATTATAACAACAGATCTAGGTGGTACTCTTTGTGGTAAACCTGAAGCAACACTTGAATTCATGAAGTACTGGATTAAATACTTTTGGTTTGATAAATCCTGTAAATTGATATATAACTCAGGAAGAGGAATCCACCCTTTTAATCTCTTGATGAAAAGAGAGAGTTTAATTATGCCTGATTACTATATAGGTAGATGTGGTTCATATATTTATTTGAAAGACTATACAAAAGGTATATTGTATCTAGATAAGTAATGGCTAATGGAGCTAGCTAAGATTTGGTAACCATAAATAATATTTGAAAAGATGCAAAAGTTATCAAGTTGGTTGAAATTTAAAGTTAGGAATGATCCTGAAGTATGGTCTCTAAGATACAATAGCGAAATTAGTGTATTTTATGAGAGAGAGAATGAGTTTAAATAAATAGAGTAAGAACTTAATGAAATAGGCATAGGGTTTAATGCAGTAATTAGGGAAAAGTAAAATCTGATGCATGTTGAAATAGTACCTTAAATTACTGATAAAGGGCTGGCTCTTGAGTATCTCCTTCATAAAGTTTATTACCCTTACATATAAATGAGAAATTAGAAAATAATATTTAAGGATGATTTAACAGGTCAGCAAAGACTTCTAGAGGAGTAAAAACGCAATATGAGCGAGTAGCTAGAGTTCATACAAAATAAGGCCTAATAAATAAAAAGCAAATAATTCAAATATGAAGATATACTCATCAATAAGCAAGATAATGATATTGTTATTGCTGCTTTTGGAGACACAATGAATGATGATGGAATGCTAAAGTTAGCAAATTTCTCTATATGTGTCTCGAATAGTGAGCAATAGCTTATATAATGGGCTAATTCACATCAATAATAAACTCACCCACAGCTTTATGTTTCTTAACACTCAAATGGTTATGCCCTTTTGGAATTTGTTAAGCAATATATTAACTGAAACAAAATGAATAAATTACTGAAATTATTCAACCCAATAAGATAATTTTTACAGTAGATAAATCAATCAATATAATCAGTTTTTTTTTCTTTCCAATCAAAAATAAAATAAATAAACAAATAATTAAAATAAATAAATTGATAAATAATTAAATTAAGTTATTCAAATAGTTTCATAACCAATTCTGAGAATATTTTATAAGATATTTTGTGTTTAGTTAAATTTGATGTTATGCATTTATAGTTGTTTAAAAAAATTATTTTTACTAAAGCAATTAATGCAAAAGATACTCAATGATATGTTTTCATTTATGACAAAATTTTAAATGGCTTAATGGATAGTTAAATTTTTGCAAAAAACAAATACAAATATTTTTAATTCACTATCATTATTTTTTTAAGATAATAAATAATTAATACCTAATTAGTGATATTTAATTTAATTAAATGATTGCTAATCTAAAATAAAATATGTATCTTTTGTAGTTGTTTAAAATAAAAAATAAAAAAACGCATTAGTGTCTATGTTAAAATTACGCCTAATTTTAAATATTTTTAGTATAGATTAACTATCTATGGATTAGAAAATTTATTTTTTTAAAAAATATGAGAGAGAGTATGCTCTTGTTTGATTAATTAGGCTGTATGAATTTTGAAAACAATAATAATAAAAATTCCAATATTTATATGTTTTAAATAAATTTTTCTTAATTAAATTTTGATTATTTTTTTTTTTTTTGAATAGTCCTAATGAATATGACGACTGCCTTAATTTAAGTAAAAGATTAATGTTAAATATTCCTAAAAAAATTTTTTACTTATTTTGTTTCATGTTAAAAACTTGACTGTGTACGCTGTCATAAAATAAATTTAAAAGATTTTTTATTGAGCTGTGCGATTCGTTAAAAGAATAATAGATTTAAAAAATCATATTGGTAAAGTAGATTTTACAGAGGATTTTTTTATATTATGAAAAAATGAATATTACTACAATTAAGACATCAATTTAATTTATAAAATCAAAAACAAATAACTTCAAAAGTAAATTGAATTGTAAAACAGCAGAAAAAGCAATCTTGTCTACCTGCCATTTATTTATGAGTAATTTTTAAAAATGAGTTTCTATGGTAAACAGAGAAAGAATTAAATGTAAATTTTCAATCAAATTTCTTTACCACATTCTATATTAAATAGTAAATTAGGGATCGATTATTAATTATAATAAAAAAAGAAGAATAATTAATTATATTTATTTTGTTTTTTTAGATTAAACCAATTTTTAATTTTAAAAGAAAATAATAAGAATAAAACTTTCATCAAAAAGGAGTAATTAATTGACTTGAGATATGGAGTTTGAAGAGTTTTAATTTGAAGAAAATACTTCTGCAACAAAATAAAATACGAAAAACTATTCATTTAATATGAACAGTGATAATATAGATAAATAAAATGCCCTTTATGTAAACTAAATTAGATTAGAAGATTAAAATAACCTTTCGTCATCTATTTCTAATCCTGAAATTACAAATAGTGTATAGTATGGTACTAGTGGTTGTTAGGAAGCTGGTCTCGATTATTTATAATAGGCATGTTTTTACTTAGATCCTAATATGGGTATGGAGTAGGAGGATATAGAGGAATAAGAAAATGAATTGGTTTGTCGAAAATGCTCTAAAAATATTCAGTACTGTTAGCATCAGAATTAGCAGCAGCTATCTTCAACTACGATATAGCTAAACAATAATAGAAATCGTCACTCTTCTTAATGTAAAAAAAGTGAGAATCAGAGCAATTAAAATTCTTCTTTATACTTAATTGATTTAGAAGAACAGGGGTAATTTAGTAACTCTTTACAAATCGCTAATATTAATAAGTAGAGAGAGAGAGATATTTCATATTAATTAATTGATACTTTAAGATTTTAGCAATACAATTTGTTTGAACTTTTTTGTGATGTTCCTTTCAGCTTGGATTACTACATAAAAGAAGTGGAAAGTGGTTAAATAAGATAAAGGAATTGTATATACAACACATTCAAAAAGATTGTTGAGGTTCGAAGTTTTCAAAATGGAATGATGATTGAAGCTACTCTGCAATCAAAGTACACAGCTGCAAACAAATTTAACTTTTTGGTTGATTTTTTAGAGAGTAAAGGTAACAATTAATTACTCGATTTAGCTTTCAAAATTCAGAATTTCTAAGATAGAGTTAACTAGTTAACTCAAGAAGCCAGCCTAATTATAAATTAAATTAATTCATCAGAATCAAAAAAGAGTTCTGCCAGCTAAAGTAAAAAATGTTACTGCTCAATATATGATCAAACTTGCATGTGTTATAGTAATAAGCATAATATGTTCCCAGAAAGCGATGATGAATCCAGCAGCTATACCTCGCTAATTCAAGAGTGCTATAATAATAATAACAACAACATAGATAGTAGAGAAATAGATCTTAATTTTATGAAAGAAAGATTAAAAGCAAGCTACTAAGTAAAAGATAAAATATTGTCTTCATAAAACCCATTAGATTTTATTTATTTTAAAACTTATGTTATTGATTGGCAGAATAATGGTAATCTCAAAATTGATAGCTATGGATTTACCAAAGGATACTGTGAACTTATGGGTTTAACTATAAATGAATATAAATAGCATATCTTGAGAAAAGGATTCATGGAAAACGTTCATTATGACTGCAAAGTAAAGTTTATGTTTCCATACTTTACAAATTACCCTTGGTCAGTAAAGGAGGAAGGGTTGTCAAGATCTGGAGAAATGATTTTTACAACACACGATAACATCGTTTTCACTGGGAATACAACAGTAGAAACTCATAATCTCTCTTATGAATTCGATAAGCAACATAATTTCAACACAAAACTCTGCAACACTTTGCTATTCGTTAGAATAGATGTAGAAGAAGAAGATCTTTTAAAAATATATCAAATAAGGAGATCAAGAGGAACCAGGTCCATTTTCGATGACAAAGATGATGAAGAATGCGACTTCTATTACTCTCAAGAATCTTAATCATTTTTAGAAAGGTATTACAAAGATATTTATGGCCCTCAATATGCTGAAAAAAAGTAGCTTAGAAGGTGTGAATATGTAGAAATACCTTAACATTCTAAGCAATAAAAACTAACTAAATACCCTTTTAAACAGACTTAATTAACAAATTGAAATATAAAATTATTTAATAATAACAAATTTTACCATCTTTAAAATTCTAACGCTACAAAATTTCTTTCTAACTTGCTAATTAATTAACTAAAAATCTATCTATTATTCAAACAAACTAAGCTATAACCAAAATTAATTAATTAATTAATTATTTCCTATCTAATATCTCTTAATGAACTCATTTTATTACAATCTCAAATTTAAAATTTTACGAATATTTTTAATCATTTTAAAACCTTAAAATAAATTATTTTATTAATATATTATATCCAAAAAGTATTTTGTTTGTTTTATCCAAATATGTTTTCGCTTTTTTTCTTTATATTCAAATCAAGACATCTGCTTATTAAATAAATAGATGTTTTTCAGTCAGAAATTTTCCAGAAAATTTGATTAATCTAATAAATTTAAGTATCATTTTAAAATTAGTAACTTGATTCATCAATAAAAATCTAAATAAATGATTAAACTAACAATTTATTTTCTGTTATTTTAATATACTAACTCACTTTTCTTTCAAAAAAAATTGCTCGATATTTTATTTTTAACTTTAATAAAGAAGGAAATTTCACATAAAAACTGAATTCATTTAAGTTAAATCTTTTAATTAATTCAGTTTGTAAAATTTATTCAAAATAAATATTTTTATTAAAAGTAAAATAAATTTTAATAAAAATTAAATCTTAATAGATTCATCAATTAAGAATATTCTAGTTAAATTTGATATAAAAAATATAATTACATATTGATATATTAGCTAAATATGTTTTTTAATTTTTTAATTATATTTAAAAAGCTGTTTATTGTTTTTTTATGGACAATTTAATGACATTACTAATTTCAAAAAATAAATTGGAAAATTTTAAGAAATAAAATTTCCTGAATAATTTTATTATTACTCAATTTATATTTTTTATGAATCAGATAAATTTTATTCTTTTCCACCTTTTGATATTTTTTTAAATTTAAAATATTAAATTGAATGATTAAACCTTTATTATTTTATTATTATACTAATATCTAATGTTTCAGCTTGCTTTAAAAATTATAGTTATACTAAATTCCTTGTAAAATGGTTCCTTATTCTACTTCTTTATTTTGTAAAAGTAGATGAAAAATGCTTTGTTTGTGGATACATAAATGCTATTATTTTTATAAATAAATAAATAAATATTTAATATTCTAAAAATCTTTAGCATTCTGTTTAACTATATTTTTAAATATCATTTTTTAAAAATAAGCAAAAAAAAAAATTAGCTTTTCTCAATTCATTTTTGCTGCTTTTTCTGTTCAAAATATTAGTTAAATTTTCTTATCGGTAAAAAAAATCTAATAAATAAAAATTGGTTGTTTGAAATCTAAAGATTATTAATATTTAAGATTTTTGAAAAGAAAATTTATTAATTTAAAAGATAAAATGATAAAAAGAATAATTTTATTAGTGTTTGTAATAGCTCTAGTTTAAAGCAAATTATCAATCATATCACCTTAAGCACTAGCAGATTAACTAGGTATTATATAAATCATATTTATTGATAAGCTTATATTCAAACTAGCAAAAGCATTTTTTAATTATCTATAAAAAATAAATATACTCAAAAAAATTATATGTTTTATAGGAGATGAAATTGGATATTCCTTAGCAAATTACGGTAATAATCCTTATGGCTCTACTTTTTATGGTGTTATTGCTATTCCTGATCCACTTAATGGTTGCTAAAGCATTTCCTCAAAATATGATGTAAAAAAATGATAAAATTAGTTATATCTATTTAATGGCAGTATCAAAATATATATTAATCAGATATTAGATTCTTACAGGATTGCGCAGTTATAAATCTTAAAATTCATAATTTATTTATATAAAAATAATTTTGTAAAGCTAATCCTATATAATTTTTTCATTGAAATATTATAAGTTGAACTTAGAAAACACAGAAGAATCATAGTTAAATCAAAACTCTGCTATTGCTTATTTAATTGAAAGAGGATAGTGCTCTTTCGTAAGCAAAAGTCGAAATGCCTAAAATTCTAATGGAAAAGTAGCTATAATATTTAATGACAAAAAAAATGAAGGGGTTAATGACATCGTATTAATGGATTAGTCTGATCACAGTGGTAAATGATTAATTTAGATAAATAAACCATATTATACTTGGAAACTTTATTTTACATTTAAATTTTAATTACTGAAGATAAAATACTGTAAAAATGTCTTATTTTATTTACAAAAAAGGAAAGGGATTGATGATATCTACAATCTTTGTTACTAAAAAAACAGGAGACACTATCTTAAACTATGTTAGTAATAATAAAGATGAACCAATAAGAATAAAAATAGAATTCTAAAGAGTAAGTTTTTAAAAATGAAATATTTATAATTAGAAATCATTTTAGTAAAAAATTATTGAATTAATTTAAAGAGATTAATTGAAAAAATAAATAATTTAATCTCATAATAAATTTATAAAGTTTATAATGCTTACAGATAAGTTTATTTAAAAATAGATTTTAAGATTTAAATAATAAGTCTATATCTCCATAGACTTATAAGGCATTTGTAATTAAAAATAAATAAATTCTTTATTGAAGAAAATGATAAATAGATAGATAAGAGCACAATCAACAATATATTAAATTTAATGATTAAGTATTATTTATTTACTTACTTACGTCCTATACTCAATATTAGCTTTTTCAGATTTAAATTAATATCTTCAAATAAAATAAAAAAATTTTATAAGCAGTATTTAAAAAGAAGTAAACAAAAAAACATAATTAAGTCATCATTGAATATTAAATTATAAGATTTAAAAAACACATTTAATCTTTTAAAATCTAAATAAAAAATTTAAATATACAGATGGATGATGGACTTGTGTAAATTTTGTAATTCATACATAACAAACATAATTTCTTTTGAGAGCAAAGTGAAATAAATAAATAGATAGTACGAAAAAAATATTGAAAATTATAATCAAATATAAATTAAATTAAATGATAGGATATAATTATAATTTTTTTAATGTTTTAGGATTTAAAATAAATATCTACAAAATTAGATATTTTTGAAATTTATAATAAAAATAATCTTTTTTAAACAAATATTTCTGTTAAAAAGATTTAAATTTTATAGAGCAAAATTTCTTAATTAATTCAATAGCATATATGAAGATATTTATAATAAATTCGTTTCTCATTTATAAATATTCAATTTAAATAAAATTCACTTACTAAATAGCAATAATTATATTTACTTTTTTAATAGCCATAAGGAAAAGAAAAGAACAAAATTAAATTTTGGATGAGTTCTATGGACTTGTCATCCTATGAGTTTTTGATAAACTTCCATAAGCACTATCTTGACTTAAAGCATGACAATGTTGAAATTGATTTCACTCCTCACTATATAACTTAATCAGATAATGACGAAACTAAGCAAAAAGAACATTGTATTTCTAGAGGCAAATTCTGCAATCCTGAGTTCTGTAAGATTTATTTTTAGTAATTTAAAGAATATATTTGACAATCAATTTTAATTTAATGAAAAGAAATTGGTGGCAACGATTTACACAATAGAGAAGTTGTGCTTGAAGATTTAAGACAAATTTTACTATTTTAACTTGATTAAGAAGCTTGGTGGAAATATATTTTACTTTTTAAAAAGAATTGTGTTGAAAAGTAAGAAGTTAAAATCTCTGAATGTTCAGAAAGAGTTATTGGCTTTTCAGGATTAACTCCTAATTAATTGAGATAATTCAGAACTTCTTTCAGTGAATCATTTGTTCCTAAAAGCACTACTGATGATGAATACGCCATTAATGATAATGAAATCTTTGAAACAGAAAGAAAGAAATAATATTATCAATCTGTAAGCATTCTTCCTACTCTTATTTTAAACGGAGACCATTTCAGAGTAATTTTCTTTTTCTTTTATTTTTGAATTACATTTCACTGTAACATTATTATTTTAACAAAATCATAATTGATTAAAATTATTATACGAATAAATTTTAGTTAAATAATAATTATTTTTTTAAATAAATAAATAAATAAATTATAAAAAACTCTAAATATATTTAATATAAATAAAGGGTGATGTAACTCAAGATTCAGCAATTTATGAATATATTTGTTCTTCTTTAGTACCCAAACCTGAAAGTTGCTTTGATTCCTACAGGGAATGGAAAGAATTCAGGAATAGTAAATATTTTATTTTTTATAAAAATTACTAAAATTTTTTGCATTAATTAAAATAGAGAAAATAAAAGAGAACGCTCCTTCCTAATCAGAGATGCGTGTTGGATTGATAATCTTCATCATAGTTCTCATTTTGGGTATTATGTTGATAATACTTTTCATTTACAAAAGAATGGTTAAAAAGGAAATAAGCGAATCTATGGGACCTCAAGTTAACTTGGCTATTTCTAATTATTTTGCTCTCAACGATACCTAAACTTCTAACAAGAATAAAAAATGAAAGTCTAACTAACCAAAAAATTAATTATTTCATCAATATTATGTTTTCCTCTAATTTTGAGTTACAATTTATTTTATTTTAACTGCTTTTAAAAGTTAGCTAAGTTAAATTAATTTTTAATCAAACAATTTATTTTTTGATAAAAATGGAATGAAAAATATGTTTAAATTTTTTAATGATATTTATTAAGTTTTAATATTTATTTTAAACTTCACCATTGTTTTAAAAATGAAAAAATAAATATATCTTTTCATATTAATTTATGTTATTTAAATTGTAAGATATTTATTAATCAATAAATTGTTGTTGAAAATAATATCAGTATTAAACTCGATATATATTTCACTATTTGCTTAAATAATAATTTATTCATTAATAGCTCAAATATTTTTACTATTGTTTGTTCTTTTGTTTGTCTGCCTCTCTTTTTTTGGTTCTGATTATATATAATTAGGAGTTAATAGTAAAGTAAGAGAATTAATTATTAGATTAAAAATACTTTAAGATTTTCTATCAATTTAAAAGCAAAAAAAGTTTAAAAATGACTGGAGTTCCTTAAATATTTTAAGCCATCACTTTAATTAGTTATCTCTTCTTTCATTGGAAAGGAGCTTTAGACCATGAGTCCATAAAGCTAAAAGTATTTGTTAATAGAAACCATATTATCTATGTATAATAATGGTATCTGATATATTTCGAAGATCAAACTGAAAATTATATTTCTTAGCAACTGCCTTTAGTTTAAACCCTAGATCCTATTCAAATTTCATTGGATGGCCTGAAGCCTTATACAAAATATAATTATCTTTTTCACTTTGATTAGCTTTCAAAGTTTAATTCTTCAAACATCACAAATAATTATGAAATATTCTGGTTTAAAACATTATAGACGCCTTATCTAAAGCAAAACTTAAGTTTTTCGTTCAGTAGCTGCGCAAAAACAGGTTCTGAAGACCACGTCTTCTAAGATATTATTGATCTGTTTCCTGACCACTAATTTTTTATTTAAATGGGAGATATTTATTATGGAGATATAATTTAAAATTAAGAAACACTTTATGACGAATGTAATAATTTATTTCTACTCACTATAATTTTTAGTTCTATTCGCTCATTCATTCATTCATTCATTCACCTAAATAAAAAAAATTATTTAAAATTAATATATTTTAAAATACTTTCTCAGCTTTTTAACAAAATACAAACTCAATTTTAAACAATTTAATATCAGAAATTTAAATTTGAATAATAACTATTTGAGCTTCTGTTGGTTTCTGAGGATATTTAAGAAATGAATTTTAAAATAATGCTTTTTATTAATTTATTTTACTTATTAAATTATAGCTTATTATAGAATGTTTGAAAGCAAGTCATAAAGCAAGTTTTACTAATATTATGGTTTGGTTTACATTTGGGATGATCATGATTTTGGTGATAACAATTCTGGAGAATCATCTCCAGGTAAATAAGCAGCAACTAGTGTTTACTTAAAAAATGTGCCTCACTATCCTTTAAGATATCTTCCATAAGATCTACCTCAAAAGGTATTTTTATTTTAACCACTTATTACTTTAGTTATTTATGCTAAATATTTTGCTATTATTTATTATTTATCTTAATTAAAATAGTATTTAAATTCAGAAGGTATTTACTAGTATTTTATTGCTGGATAAACACTTTTTGTAATAATGGATTTAAGAACTCATTTCAGAGATGGAGTGCGGGCTATGGATTAAAATTAACTAATGTGGGTGATTGAAATACTAGATTGGTGTAAATAAAATTAGAAAATTGATAATTTAGTTGTTGTAAGCTCAATACCGTGGTTAGGAAAAGACTGGGTTACTTTTAAAGAGCAAAGAACTATAATAGGTAATAAAATGGCTGAAGTAATGAAAGCTAAATAAAATGTACTTTTAATCACTGGTGATAGTCATATGGTAGCATTTGACAATGGCTATAATAATGATGCTGGTGGATTCCCTCATTGTATTTCAAGTCCTATGGACAAAACCCCTAGCTGTAAAGGAGGTCAATATACTTTTGGTCCTTTCTCTGGGAATTCTTAATACTCCACATTAGATATAACATATGATCCAGCCACTAACATTAACTGTTTTATTGTCAAAGGGTAGTTAGTTAATTTATATAAAATTTACCTTTTAACTTAAATTATTTGTAATCTATTGTTTAAGCTAATTCAAAATTTTTATCAAAAAAGATGGAGAGGAAAAGATGTTTTGTACAACTACAATTCATGTAATTAGAAAGATAGGGAATTAAAAACTAGCAACTCATGCTTTACATCTGTACTTTAGATATTCATCAACACTTTTGTACCACTACTGCTAATATTAGTAGTTCTAGTCTTAATTTGGAGATACACTCTAAGGTTTTCAAACTAGCTCTCTCACTAACAAGTGGCTTAATAATATATAAATTTGGTAAAAAAAGATGATTAAGAATAAAATTAGAATCTTCATTCTTACACCTTTGATGAAAAATAAAATAAACAACCTGGTACTGCATAGAAAAAAAATTCTGCCTCTAATTTAAATGAAGTAGAAAGAGAGAAGTTTATGAATCAAGAAATACCTCCTAATCAACTTCCAACATTTTTGAATAGCGCATAAAACTAAAAGAGTGTTGAAAATATTTGAAAGAAAATAAAATTTTATAAAATAAACATTTTTCTATTAATTATAAACTTATTCTTTTAAAATTTAATGAATTTAAACAAAAAAAAAAGTTTAAAATTAAATAAATTATTTTTAAAGCTTGCTTTGAGTATGATTTTATGTAGAAAACAAAAAATTATATTTTAATTTTGATAATTAATAAATTGTTGCTATTGTTCATAAACCTCATGGATTAAAAAGTCAGAGTAGCAAGAAAATTGAGAAAACATATCAATAATTCTTAATTCTTAACTGATTTTGGTGCAGAGAAAATATATCTGTCGTTTATATTTGAGAATAGACTGCATTAGATAATTTTAATATGCATGAATTTTATGTTAATTTTAAAAAATTAGTTGATTATGTTATGTTTCATTTGTCTAAATTGTGATTAAAAGATTATTATATATTTATCAACATTTTAAAATATTCAATACATATACAATAATTTTCATTAATAAAGACCTTATATCACCAATTTTTAGCGAAAAATATTTTTTGTCAATTGACCTCAATTGTTTTAGAATGACATCGATATGAATTTTTAAAGAAAGGTAACATAACTTATATAAAAAATTTCTAATTTTGTAAGAAAATTTAACATTATTAAATTATTAATTTAACTTTGGCTATATGTTAAAAGATTCTTGAGGTGATTTAATTTATTTATTATATAAACAATTAATCAATAAATTAATCAATCAAAATTGAAAGGATATTATCAAAAGTATTATAATTAGCATAGGAAACTAAAACTTTATATAATTTAAAAAACTAATAATCATAAATTACCTTATTTGCTAGAATAAGAATAATAGTGTGTTTTTTAAGTTTTTATTTATTCTTAGTATACTAGTTCTATCCTCAATAAATAATTCTGAGAATATAAAAATGAATTCGCCCAATTTTTTAGGTCTTAATGCTGGATCTAATCAGCATCAAACACCTTCTCATTCTGATAATTTAGGATCTAATAATGCATCAAATAGCACTTAAGTTAAAATGAAAAAATTATGGAAAAATTTGATGGGACATAAAAAGGCAGGAAAGCTTTTCAGGCTAGGATTGTAGTAATTAACAGCCAACTAGCCTGAATATTTTTTAGTAGTCAGCAAAAAATTTATCAATCAAGGACAGCATAGTAAGGCTTTTAACTTACTAAAGAAATAAGTTTACAAGGAAGGCATTGATATAGAGTATAAGCCAATTATAATGCATCATTACATGCATACTTGCTATAAATTGATGCTTAAACTGATTAAAAAGAAAGCTAAAGAAATATAAGAAAATCAGGAATAATAAGAAAAAGATCCCTTCTCAATAGGGCCAAGCTAAATTCCTCATAGTCATAAAAAAAAGCCAACTCTTACTCGTTTAGATAAATTAAATACAATCATTGAAATATAGTTAGAGAATTTATAGATTTATGAAAATCTTATCATAGATTTAGTTTACAACTATGAATCTTTCTCCTAATAAAATGATAGAAAGTATTAAAAACTTGACAGTAATTTTAGAAGCACAGTTTATTTAAACAATCCCAGTGCTAATGTTGAACCAATCAGCGAAATGATAATATAAGACTCTAAATAAGGAGCTTATTAAAGTTAATATAATCAAAGCCTTTAAAGCAAGCAAGAACAAGCAGTAGGAGAAGAAGCTATTGACACTAAACAAACAGAAAAGGTTCAAAAAAAGCATTTTGATGTCTATAAAATAGAAGCTTTTAAAGAAAACTATTTATTGTATTTCCTAAAAACAATTCTCCTTCTCTACAGGTAATTTTAAAATGAATAAAAACAAATAGTTGGTTTCATTTATTGATTAATTGGTATGCTTGTTCGTTTGATTAGTTAGCTATAAATTAGAATAGAATGCAAACTATGCTTGAATCAATTTATAAATTTGATTGATTGAAATAAGAAGTTTTAATAAATTGAGCAAAAAATTAATTTTTTAACTTACAAGATAAATTATAATTAAAAAATTCTAATTAATTAAATGAACATGAATTAAGAAATGTTAAATTTAATTCTTAAATTTTAATTAGAATTTTAAAAAAATTATTAACATTTACATTTTTAATTGATATTTTATCTTATTAAATTAAAGTAACTAACTAACTTATGTTAAAAATACTTTTAATAAAGGCATTATAAACAAGAAGGTGACATGTAAATGGCTCTTAAATTTATAGAAAAAGGATATTAATTTGTTATGAGTTTTGTTGATTGCTTATTTGGAGATTTTATCAGTATGGAAATTTATAGATTAAGTGGTGATATTTTATAAGTAAGAGCTAATACTTACTTTGAATCTCAAAATATTCCTGAAGCTTTAAAGTTATACGATAAAGTATTCAACTATTACAGATTCTCAGGTTAAATACTCCTAAAAAAGTTTCATTCAAAACCTCTTGAGGAAGTTGACTCTATCCTTGAACTAAAATGTGAGTTTTTATTTAGCAGTCTTTCTATTAACACAATGATGTAAGCTTTATGCTATGAACATTTATTCAAATTTGAGAAAATGATAGAAGCACTCTAAATTTCCGATTGGATTAATATGAAGTAAAAAAAATTATTAAATAAATTTTATTATTACTTTTTTTAAATTACAAGATATGATTTATTTTTTTCTTTATTATATTAATCCTACTTATATAAATAATAGTTAAGCATTAATTATTTTTTACATAATCAGAATTTATTATTTATTAAATAAAAATTAATTTCATAAAAAGATTTTTAGTTTACGAGTTTTCTGATAAGCTTAGGAGTCATGTTTCAGAGTTGTTATCAGATGCTAAATAAAAATATAGTACGTTTTTAGAAGAAAAAGGTAAAGATAATAAGTATATAAACCAATAACAAATATCTTCACACTAAATATTAACAAAAAATAGGTGAAATAAGGAGAGTACTCTTGTAGGCTTTTCCAGATTTACAGCAACTTGAAAAACAATCTGTTTAAGATAACGAATAAAATTTAATTAATAAAATAAATAACTACTTGTATGAAAAAGGAAATATAAAAAATTTAAACTAAAACATTTTTATCATTCACAAAGTAAATTTTTTATTTAATTAATATTTCATTCATTCAGTTAAATTTTTTTTTTTCTTATTGTAAATTTTAAATAATCAGAAACAAGTGCAGAATCCTATGATAATTGTTTAGTAGTAAGAAGGACAATAATTGAACAGTTAAGAAAACTTTGATTAAATAAACTCTTATATGATTTCAAAAGACTAAACCCTTAGTTATAATAATGTTTCAAATAAAAATCTCAGTCAACTAGGAATTCATAGTCCTGAAAGAGTGAAAGATATTGGTTCTTAAAGCTTCAGTGATGTGTATAATATGAATAGCTTAAATTTATTATCAAATCATAATAATTCTACTACGATCGGAATGGGAAATTCTACTACAAATAATTCCAGTTTGAATAATCATCCATCATAATTCTCTAATCAGACTGGAAACTTTAGAAGAACTCCATCTGCACATCTATAAAGTGGTTATATTCAAAATTACAATTCTCCCAAGCAACTATCTTCTTAATCACTAAATTAGAATATCACAGCCGGTGGGTATTTAAGTTAAAACCCTAAAGTTGGGGTTTCTTTACATCAAATCAACGAAATTGAACCTTTAAATGACTATGGTATCAGTAGCAAGAGACCTTCAGCTCTACAAGTCAGCAATAAAGAGACTCCTCTTAGCAATTATAATAATCGAAATAGTTTTAAAATTTCTCACTCTTAATCTACTAAAAATGTGAACGATAAAGAAAAGGGATTTTTCTAATCCTCTCAATCTTCAGGAATGAGTCTACAAAAAAGGTATAGCACAGGTAATTTGGTGATCAGGAGCAACAGACCTACTCATGAATAACCTGCTCCACTCTATACGAGAGAGCATAGTGAATAATTTAAACCTAAAATGCTTACAACAAATAAATATTTCTAAAAAGAAACCTACATCTCAAAGTCTTCAAAAACACTATCTGATTTCAAAGAAGTTACTCAAAATTGTATTGAATAAGAACAAAAATTCCATTATCTAAACTTGCTCCCAATTAAATCAAAATTAGAGAAAAACTAAGGAGTCTTAAGCCTTGATTATGCTATGGAAAACCTCATCAAAGAAAAAATTATCTAATATGAAATTAAAAATTTATAGCAATCTCTAAAACATCAAACAGCAACTAGTACTGCTTTTTCTTCTAATATGTCTAATTCATTATAAAATCAAATTAATAACCTTCAGCATAGGTACTCACATCATGAAACATAACAACCAAAAAGTCCGATTTATTCTGAAATTTAAATAAATACTCTTTCACCTCAATCAAATTAATTAGTAACTGAAGTTAATAATTAATTTTTAAACAAAGATTCCAGTAAAAAAGATATATTTTGTGACCGTGCTTTAGCTAAGTAAATAAGAAATCTTATGAATAGTTTAAATATAAGCAGCGAAGATCAAGTTTTGATTATAAATGATTTAGAATCTAAATTTGAGGCTGAAAAGCGTTCTCTTTTTTCATCTTCCAAAAATAATTAATCTAAAGTAAGCTAGCAAGGTTGGACTACAGATAAAATTTTAGATGAACTCCTTAAAAGCATCAACATTTGTAATTTAATTATTTTTAAATGACACAAATCACTTCTTTTTTTGAAATTTTAGTTTAACAAGTTAAACTTCTGCTGACTAATTTTTAACAAACGCTTTATTTTAATTTAAAATAAATTTTGTTGAATTTAAAAAAATAAAATTTCAAAAATCCAAATTTAATGAATGAGTTAAATAAACAAACAACAAAACTAGAATTTAAAAATGTTTTTTTTATTTTTTGAGATGATTTTAAATGTTTTAAATGAGCTAATTGAATAAATTTAAAGTTTTTTAATTGCTTATGAAAATTTAAATTTAGTTAAAACTTAACAATCTTTTTTTTAATATAGTGGGTGAAAATGTAAACACTTACAATTAAAGATTTTCTCAGTTCTTGTTGACTATTAAGGATGAAGATTTTGATAAGAGTGAATTCTACACTTGTCTCAAAAAATTACAGTTTAGATAAAGGATGGGTAATGGTATTATTCCTCAGTTTTTTAACGAGAGAGAGCAGCCTCTTGCTCGTATTCAAGAAAGAAGAAAAATAGATGATGAATATGTAGTGGTTTAAGTAAGCATTTTTCTTATAAGTTTGAAGAATTAAATTTTAATTTTATCTTATATAAATAAGAGTGGAGGTGAAAGAATGGTAGAAATTATGTCTGATCATAAAATTATTAAAAATTTATTTTTGGATGAAGGAAATACCAACGAGGGAGCTAATGCAAACTAAAAGCCAACTACGAAAGAAGATAAACATGAAAATAGCTTAAATAATAAAGAGCAAATTGGCACAAATAGACATGTGACTTACAATACAGCAGTTTCAATACTAGGTAATCAAAAAACTTCGAGCAAAGTTTTTGAGCCAAATGATGAGCAGAAAAATGAATCTCCTAGCAAACCAATCTACAAATAAAAAAAGAAGAAAATGTAGCCAACAAAAACTTCGACTCTATCAGATATACCATTATTCGGCTGTAAAACTAAATAATTTTTTATTGTTAATATAATTAATTAATCATAATATTTATTTTTAAAATTATTCAAAATAGCTAGTGATTCTAGTGTTGAAAAAATGATGCAGTTTGGACAAAATAAATAACAAAAAGTCAATTATTTTTAAAAGTCTCAAGAAGCTCTCAGATAGATGGTTTTAAAAAGCGAATAGGATTACGAATAAATGTAAAAGGAGATACTAAATCCCAAAAGAAATAAAATCAACTCTCACAGAAATAAAAGCTTATAATTTGCTAATTTCACTAACAAGTTAGCTTTTTCTACAGGCAAATATAATTAGAAAGAAAAAATTAAAAAAGCTGGTGGTAAACTTGATCTTATAGATTTTATGAGAATTTAGAATAAATGGAGATAAAAGGTCCAAGAAAAGCATGGAACTGTTATATCTAATGGTACATCTGAAGCAGGAAGTGATTCTCCTAGCACAAACTTAGCACACAAACTTTAAAAGGCAAGTAGAAATTTTATACTAGCTCATGCTATGAGTGGTATTCAATCTTCTATATTTGGGAAAGCTAACACAATCGAGCAAAACAGAGAGCTTTGACAATTATAACTTTCTTAAAAAGTATAAAATTGATTTTTATGTACTAGATTGAATATAATTAACTTTATTTCACTAAATAAAAATTAATTTTTTCTCCCAAATCAAAAAAATTTATTTATTAAAATGAACAATTGCTCTTATCCATAAAGTAATGAATAAAAAATATGATTCAGATATTTAGCCTGATTATTAAAACTTATTTATATTAAACTTAAAATACAGTAAAGAAAATTATAGTTCATTTTATAAAAAGATTAAAAATTAATAAATTATTTATCTGTAAACTAGTTTGTTAATTTATTAAAAGCTTTTAGTTGTAAAAATTAATATTTACATAAATTTTTTTCTTCTCATTTTATTTTTTAAAAAAATATTATTGTTCCTTTTTAAACAATCTAGCTTACTTAATACATGTTTTTTAAATCAATTATGTAGATAAATATTTTAATTTATTTAAATTATTTCATTCACTTTTAAACATTTTTAATTAAAAATAAAATCTTTTAGAGTAAAATTATTAAAAAATCAAAAGAATTTATTTATAATTCTAAATTTAAACTTTTTTAATTTTTATCTTTTAATGATCTAAATTTTAACTTATTATAACAAATTTATATAATTTTAAATTAATTTTATATCAATCCAACAAATAAATGTTGATAAATTTATATTATAAATTTAAAATATCAAATTTTTAATAAATATTATTAGTTAATTAATTGAAAGATTAAACACTCAAAATTTATTTAGTTCATCTGCTTTAAAATATTAATTAATTGAGCTTTTCATTTGGCTTTAATAATTCAGCTCATTTATCTTGCATTAATTAATTTTACATTTTAATAAATCCCTTATTAATATCTGTGTGAAATCTTTCTCATTTAAAAGAATGAAAATCATTAATTAATTTTAAATATCAATTTGAATTCATATTTGTACCAAATCAAGAAGATTCAGAATATTGTTTATCACCCCAAGTTTCGTTATCATCTTTGTGCAATAAATTCTGCTCCACTGATTTAAACACTGCATAATTTAGTTATCTTGATAGATTTTCAATTTCCCTTAAATTAATAAAAAATAGAAAGTAAACAAACAAAATTAATAAAAATAAATATATAAGCAATTTAATAGAATATAGTAAATGATTGGTATTACTTTTTTTCACTTAAATTTTTTTTATTGACCTAAAACTCATGGATAGATTCAAATATATTGTTTAATTTATTTGAGAATTAAATTTTATTTTTGTTCGTTTTTATGCCCAAATAGTTGTTGTTGTTGTTGCTGTCTAGGTCTTACTTTTTTTTATTAATTTGACTTAGATCATCTATCCTGTTTGACTCCGTATCAATCTAATTTTTCTTTTTAACAAAACATAAAAATAAATTGAAATAAATAAAGCTAGCTTACTATTTTGTCTATAATCATATTTTTGAGTGCAAGCTTTTCATCGTATTCTTCTTTAGAGAAGAAAAGATATTTTTTGTTTATTTTTTAAAATTTAAACTTATTTGCATAGTTTATCATAGATTATCTTTTGATTTAGGGAGACAATTATCCCTTTTATGATAATTTTCTTTTGGTGTCATTTTAATCTAAGATTTTTTCATCTCCACCAAGAGACTATTAATTTTTTAGGCTTAGACTATATTAATTTCTATTTTTTATAGTTTTTTTAAATGTTCGATCTTTTAAATCAAATAATTTACTCTAACTTTTTATCTTGATAATTTTATTAGTAGATTTGCTCAACTATTTCAGAGCAAGCATTTGGATCATACTTATAAACATTACTATTCAATTAGTATTCTCCCTACTCTTAAGGAACGAACTTCTTAATTAGCTTTTCGTACTTTGAGTCTTTAGATTAAAATACTGTTTGAATTTACTTCTGTTAGCGATTATCATTAGGAGCATTATCTTTGAAAAAATAGTAAACGCCCTCTTCATCTTTCCTTGTTAAAGTCTTGAAAATAATTAAAATATTGTAAATTGCAAATAAAAACTTACCTTTGGTTATGAGTGATAATTGTCTGTGGATTACTTAAACGCCTATTAAGCAATTTTTCTCATAATATATTTTCCCTAGCCCATTTTTTAATAACTAATAAATTATTTTACATTAGATTCTGGCCATAAATCTGTTACAAACCTAATTTATTAATTAATTAATTAATTAAATAAATTAAATACGAAATAATAATAATTAAGTTAAAACATAGTTTTGTGTGAAAAGATTGTTGAATTTTAAATTATAAATGGTCGTTACATAGAACCTTTGGGCCTGTTAGAGTTAAGCATCTTGTTGATAGTGTACTATAGAAGAGGATCTTCCGATTTCTCTTAAGCCTTGAACCCAAATGTCGTAAATGTGTGCTTACGTACTTCGATCTCTTTTAAAACCCGTTCAGTTTGTTTATAAATCTTTTCTTGCTTCTTCTTCCTTTAAGTTTTTTTATTTTATATTTGATCAGAGGCTGTGGGCTGGGGATGTTCTATTTTTTATTGTTAAGAATGCCCAAATGTGCTGTTTCGTGTTGTAAATACTTATACTGATTGTTTTCTTTGAACTTAAGGATCTTAAATCCTATTTAAAAAGCTACTTGTCTAAGAAGTTAAAGAAATTGCTTTAGGTCGAATACAATGAGGAGTAGAATTATTTGATTTATGATCTAAACCTTTCAACTTCAAAGCATTTTCTGCTTTAGGAATTTTCTTAAACCAACCATCATTCGTATTAGTGAATTGATTAGATTGTTCAGTTTTATAAAACGTAGAATAACCGTCTGTTTAGCAACATTCTTCATCAATTAAAGATGAATTTCTGAAATTATTTTTAGCATTTTCAAAATGGAAACTTGGAGAATTTTCTCCTTTATCCTGAATTAGATTATAATACGCCTCAATAGGTTGGTTGTTTTTTTATTAGGGACTGTGCAGTGAAAATTAACTTTACTTTTAAAAGAAATGTTTCATAATAAAAACTTATTTTTTTTTATAATTTGATATTTCTTTATAATGTGAAGATGTTTGTATGTAGAACAATTTGGTAGGAATAATTCTTTATAATAAATTTTATAAATATTAAAAGTTAATTAGAAACCTGAGTAATCTTTAAATCAAACCATTAAAACTGGTTTATTTTACAATTTAGTTTACCTGTAAATATTACTCATTTTCAATAAACTTTCAATAAAAGTGTTTAAAATATTAATAAAATCCAACTAAATCTATTTTATAATTTAAAACTAAAGATGTAAGGTAGATTATCATTAATGCATCTATTAAAGTAACTAAATTTCAAAAAAAATACCTTTTTTAAAAACGATAATCGACCTAAATAACAACTCATAAGAATATTCCATTATAAACATAACTAACGGATTAAAAACAATATGATTTAATTTAGAAAAAAAAAATTTAAATTTTTTATTTGCTAATTTATGAAAAATAGTTTAAAAATTAAAATTTATTAAGTAAAAAGAAAAAAATTTTGTTTTTTTGCTTAATTATAGTTGTAAAATGTAGTTAAAATTTTTATATTATAAAATAATAAATTAGCCACACTTTTGAAAATATAATTCACGAAAAAAAAAAAGTTCAATATGGTTTAAAATAAAATAGAATTTATTTATTCTTTTGTGATGAAAATAATTTAAAAAAAGAATGTTAATTTTAGTGAGAAATTATTTTTAAAAACAAATAATTGTGGATTAATTTATCAATTATAATTAGCAGAAAAGATATTAAAGAGCAAAACAAAACAAAATTTAATTTGTTTTAATTAATAGTTTTTTAATTTTTTAAATAAAAGTATTGAAAAACATAAAATACTCATACATAATTTGATAGTAATTAATAATCAAAATGTTTATTCTTTAATGATAAACAGCAAATTAATAAAAAAAAGTAAGTTAATGTTATTAAGGAATCGTAATTCTAAAAAAAAATAACACAAAAATTATAATAGAATTATCAATTAATTTAATAGAGAAAGCTAAATAAAATATAAATTAAAAATATTTTTTTATTTTTTAAGACCTATTTGTTTATTCACTATTTACTCATAATTTATTCCAAAATTTTATAGATAAATAATTAAAGAAGTGCTAATTTTGCAATAACTAAAATTATAAATCTTTTATGTACTATTTTTAGATTTTAGGTTGCAAAATTAATTTTGAATATTTTGTTTGAAGTATTTGATTTTTTTTAACATTTAAAAAAAGTAAAGTAAATTAATGTAATTTGACCGATTAAAAGGTTTCTGGAGTATTAGTAGAACTACTTAGCTGCATATATAAATTTTGGCTAAAAGTAATAGAACTTTCTAATTTTTAATTATCTGCAATGAATAACTTAAGCTGAAATAATATAATCTTTCAAAATTTAGTTAAGTCAATTTTAAATTTAATGACTGAGATACAAGTTTACTTGCTCTCATACTCAATCAAAAATATCATAATGGAATATTATATTTTTAGATCAAACTGTTTATAACATGTCATATTTATATTATTTATAAGATATTTTAAAAAGATTTTTTAATTACTATTTGAATATTCATTAAATAGGAAATTTACATTTTCAAAAGGATTTTTATGTTAATAAAATTTTTTAAATAAATTATGTATTTATTTTGCATTAAACTTTCTTAGTAATATTTATGATCATAACTTGAGATTTAATAATTTTTCCCTATTTCAATAACTTCTACACTTTTCAAATAGTTAGCTAAGTATCAGCAGGGACTTTACAAATAGAGATAATCAGTGAAGCCTTACAAATGAAATAATATGCTCAATGGCATTTCAAAGCTGAAGATAAATAGATTTTTCCTTTCTGCAAATGGAAAGTTAAGCTTCCTTTTAGAATATTAAAATAGACATTAATTAAATGCCACGTCCAAATTGTGTATGTATATTTAAGGAAAATATTCATAGACCTATAAAAGAAATTCTATTTCTTTAGAAGAGATAAATTTTTAACATAATCAAAATTTAATTTATTTTTTTATTTAAAATTCTTATTTACTATCTTACTTACTTATTAATTTCTTACATTTCTTTTTTACAATACAAAACAAAGTTTAAGAATGCAAGAATATTTATTTATTCATTCACAAATTATCTTATGTTTGTAAAAACAAGTATTTTCCATAAACAAATTTAATCGATTTAGGTAATTTTAATTTATTGGAAATAATTATTTATTAATTTATTTATTTTGGTTGTATTTTAACAAAAATAATCCAAATCAATTCTGATTCTAATGATTGTAAGAAAGTCATCGAAAAGTAAACAAAATATTTAAAGATTTGTTTAAAAACATTTCATTAGTAATTTCCTGCAATAAATTTATATTTAATTAAAATGTTTAGATCAAAGAAATCTTAAATAAATATTTTAAAAAGTTACCCTTGAGGTTTTTTGATTATAGCTTAAGTGGTAAATCTATTGTAAAAAGTAGAACTAATTGGCTTTTTTATAGAAAGTAAAAAAAAAATGAATACCAATAAATAATGTTAATAATTGAAATACAAATTTGCTTGTGTTAAACATGAGTATATGCTAGTGATTTATATATAAGAATTAAAACTTTTACCTCTTACCGAAAGAAGGAAGAGAGTATTTTAAAAATTGGACAAGTTTGAATAGACTTTTATTATTCAAGAGCTTCAATAATTAATTTAAATAATTTACGTGATTTTAATTGGAAATAATAGTTTTTAGATTTTTTTTCTTACACTTAATTTCATCATTATTGACTTACAAAAGTAAGATCTTATCGATTAAAGAAGTAATTAAAGGAGTTTGGAAATATATTTGAAATTGATTATATTTGAGTGTAAATTAAGGCATACAATTAATTAATTAATTTAAAAAGATACTTGAAAACAAATAAGCAAGAATTATCTTTCAAATTTAAAACTAATAAATACTTTCGAATCCATATACTCCACTAATATTTTTCAAAGGGCTTTTTATTGTTGTGCATTTTTTCAAAGATGGCTGTATTTCAAATTTTAAGATTTAATCAATTTATTTTTGATAAAGATAACTAAATTTATTTTATATTTGAAAGTATTTTTGTGATTCAAGTATAATTTTTGCAAAATAGCAAATTTGAAAAAATCTATTTATCTCAATTCATTCATACAACTAAAAATAATTAAAGCATTTATTTGTTCCTATTACATTTTTTACTAAAGTATTATGAAATACTTTAATAGGAAGAAAATGAATCAGATAATTGTTGAATTTCAAAAAGCAAATTAATTTTTTTTCTTTTATATTTTATTCAACAATATCGTTTCAAATTTAAATGGATTTCCTTCAAAAGAGAGCAAATCCAAAACCATCAAATTAGATTTTGCCATTTGAAATTAAAGGAAAAAATGAGTATAAAGATAATAAGAATATGAATGGTTTTTATTGCATAAAATAAATAACCCAACTCCACATAAGATTTTAATATTTATTCAGTAAATACTTTAATCACCATAAATAAATTTCAAAATATAAAGGCAAAATTTTAGCATGCATGCACATTCAAAATGAAAATATAAAAAGGAAGATAGAAGTAGTTTGAATGTTTTTTTCTATTAGACTGACTGACTGACAAAATTAATATTGAATAAGAAAAATCTTTTTAAGAAAAACATAAATAAATAAATATAAAAATTCATATATTCGAATTAATTACTTTCTATTTATAAGTTTATATAAATAGAACTACCTAACAAATGTTTCTTGTAAAATGAAAGATTAAGCTCAGTAATTATTGATAAGATATAATTAAGCTATTTCAGTACACAAATATTTTTAAATAAAAAAACTGAGTCAAATATGTTAATCAAATTTTGGGGGACCCTCTAATGACTTTTATTATTATTTTTTTAAAAGTAAGAAAATCCTGGTCTACATACTTAATTAGACCTTCAGCTAAATTTAACATACGTTTTATAAGCATGCCGTATCACTTCTACCCAACAGTTTAAGGTATTTAATAGCAAAGTTATCATATGACTGAGAGCCAGCGTTCTCCATATTTGATCTTTGGAATTTTTTAATAATATAAAATGTAAAAATTTAATTACCCAGCATGGAGTTTGCAAACAAAAAAATGAAAATATAGAAAATCAGCTTGAAAGATTTTAAGAGATACTTAAATTAGGAGAAAAAGTAGAAAAAAAGGAAAGTTATTTTGATTGATAGATAGATAGATAAATAAATAAATAAAACAGATATATTATTAAGCAATTAGTTATTAAAGCAAACGCTATTTATTTATATTTATAAGAATGTTTGTATTTTTAGGAGTTGCTTGCTATCTATATTTTTGGATGCTTTTGCTTTTTAATTAATGATGCCTTTATTATTTTTTATGAGATTTTTGTCAACTAAAAACCTTTCAAAACTTCTGTAAACACTATATAAAATAAATAAATTAATTAATCAGTCAAGATTTTTTAGCGAGCTAGTTATTTAGTTAGTTAGTTAGTTAGTAAGGGGACTCAATTAGTGTATAAAGGAAAATATAGGAAACTAGTTTGGAATTTAATTGAATTTGGTTAACTTATCATTGATAAATTGAATGAATATGAAGAAGAGCTTGCTAGTTAGTTTTTTTTTGTATGTTAATTATTAATTTAGGGGCTAAGGATATTTATAAAAGGATGAACAGGCTATATCAAACGATTCAAATTAGATTGCACAGAAAATTTTGATAATTAATATATAGTGTAAAAAAGTGGAAACTAAGAAAATAAATTAATAAAAAAAAAGAAACAAAGATTGATTAATAAATTAATTAATTAATTTAATATCAAAAAAGATAAAATCCTCCCTCGCTAGATCTAAATTTTGGAAAAAATCAAAAGAATTATATAAAAACGAAATCAAACAATTCTTATATATTAATTTCATCTGATATACTTATCTGACTGAATTCCATTCAAAATATTTATTGATTTATTGATCAACAGCTCAAATTGAAAATGCGCAAAAGATCATAAGCCTATCACGCTTAAACTCAGGAAGAATACTAATAAGTAAGAATTTTACTTAAAATTTATGTCTATTGACATCATCGTATGGGATTAAGTATGCCAGTTAAATTTGCATTTATTGCATCAGGTTTTTGTATTTCATTGAGTAGCATGCCTACCTATATTATTGATTGATAAGAGTCAAAGTAATAGATAAAAGGGAGGGGATCAAATAAATTGAAAATTAGTATTGCTTTACTATTTTCATCTTATTTAATTTCACAAGACAATCAAAAAAAGCAAAAGTCTGTCTTGATTTTCATGTTAACTAAATGAGAGAGATGTTAATTATTTTAAAAGAAAGAGCCTTAAGCTTCAATAAAGACCCTTTACTTTTTATTTTATGAAAATCTTTATTGAACAGTCATAAATCGTTAATTTAATTCGGTCATTTCTATATTTGCAAAAAGAATCCAATCTCTTTTTTGCTTATTTTAAAATGACCACAAAAGAGCATTTTTAAATTTCGAAATTGCTATAAAAAGAAAGAGTTGAAATCACAAACCTTACTCTATTTTTTTAAAGAGTTTTAGCTGGCATTTAATTTTGTTACTAATTAATTATACTTGCAACAAAAATATTACTCAAAATACTATTTATTTCCTTGATTTGAATACATTTTTATCAATATAAAATGTTAAGTAAACAAATCTAAACTATAAGCTAAATTATTTATTTATTTAATTAATTATCAATTTATATATTTGAATTCGATGATTAACTGTATTATTTTATTCAAAAGTTAATGCAAGAAGATGATATTGCTTAAAAGCGCAACGAATGTATTATCCATTAGGATAAGATGGGAATAGTGGACCAAATAGAATGGTTAGAAACTCCTGATTTCATAGAAAACGACAGCAAATATAAACTCGAATTGAACACTAGCAGTGATTCTGATGAATCTTTCTAAACTCGTAAAAAATTCTTGATAATTATAGAAGACAACCAGTAGTTAAATGAATATTTCTCAAAGGAAAGCTTCCCTCATTTATTTAGTGAGAATACAAATCGCAAATTCCTCGAACTTGTTTATTCCTCTTAAGAAGAAGAGATGTGGATTCATTTCAGACCTCTTCGCAACTCTACTGCTAGTGCTTCTAACAGCTAAGCTGCTGCTTCTGCTGCTGGATCATCTATTTCTTCTTTCAGCAAAAAACGTGAAGAATCCTCATAAGATAACATAAAAAACAGTCTCTATTGCAGCATAATTGAAGGTAAATTTTATTATCATTAATTGCTTAGACATTTAAAAAATTTAAAAGTCATTTTATGTATTGCTCTTGCTAATTTCGCTTAAAAGACAAAATACAATAAAAAAAAGAAATTTAAGAATTTATTACTTTATTTGACTTGAAAATTGGTTGATTGATTAATTGATTGATTGGGTGGTGAAGTTGTTCGAAATTTTCTTTTATTGATTGATTAATAAAATTATTTAGTGAAATCAATGTACAATTTGCAATAAGCAACTTTTATCTCTAAATTTTCAATATTAATACACTTTGCAAATCTTTATGATGCATTACTAAGTCATATTCCAAAACATACAAAAAAAATACAATAAAAAAAAAACAAACAGACAAAATTTAATAAAGAAATAAAGAAATAAATAATTATATTTAGTTTCATTAAAAATATATTTTTTTATTTCTTCACCCTATAAACTTTAACGCTTGTATAATTTTGTTCACTTAATCAAGCAGTTAATTTTGATTCTTGCTCCCATTATTTCTCTCCCACTTTTTTATTTGATTTCAAAAAAATTAACAAGCCCATAAATTTCCCTTTAATTATTTAAATTTCATCATTTTTATCTTCCATTAAACAACCAATTGCCATATTATTTTTGAATAAAGATTTTAAAAAAACTTCATTAATTTATTTTTTTAGGAAAATATTTAATGCAATGATTATAATAATATTTTATTTAATTAATTAAATAGATAGTTTTTATCCTCACGCAGACTATATAATATTATTTTCTAGTGAACAAGCTAAAGAAATTTAAGAGTGGAAATCAAGGTGCAGAAACATAAAATCCTCATAAAAAATTTGTGTTTATAGCAAGTAGAAATAAACTCTTTAGGTAGAGAGTGAATATGACTAAAACGAATGTGACACTTCTATCTCCACATTATCTTCTCCTCCTTCTTCTGCAGAGTTAGGATGGTTCAATAATCTTAAAATTAATAACAATAAAGAAGAATTCATTTTATTGGAACAACCCTCTGAGTCCTATAATTCTTACAATATCATAAAAACTCTGATTAACTAAGCCTGAATAGGATGAAAAAACAGTCTAAAATATTAATTTATAAAAAGTAACTTAAACAAAATCCTTTAAAAATGTTAAATAAGTAACCAATCTCACCTACCTACCTACTTCCTTCTCACTTGCTTCTTTTGATACTCTTAATAAAAAATACAGTTCTTAACTATCTATTCCTTTTTTAATAAATTTTGACCACTTGATGAAAATCACATAAATACATATATACACAATCATACACAGACAGATTAATTAATTAATTAAAAATTTCTCACAAACAACATAATTTACAGCTTCTAATTAAAATAAATCCCATAAATAGAAAACAAGCATTCATTTATTGATTCGAATTAAGACATAACTATAAATGTGCAATCCCAAAATATAATTTTCTGCCTTCTAAAGAATTAATTAAAATAAAAAGGGTAAAATTGATCATAGTTACAATCTTATACACAAAAAAAACATAGGGAACACAAATTAATTATGCTCTCTTAGAAATTAATATTCAAATCAGAACTGTTAATAACAATATTAATTTACGAGAGTAAAATACTAACTAATTATCAAAGTGAAGATAAAAAATGGCTGCAAATTAACTTATTTTCTTACTAAATAAATAAATGAATAATTGCAAAAATAACAAACTATAATAAAACATACATACATACATAAACATAAAAAATATACTAACAAAATAACAATCAAACAACCAAACAAGATATATTAACAAAACAAACAAACAAACAAATAAACTAATAAATGTTCCTATTTAATTTTTTTGCTTTAATCAATTATCTCAATAATCTTTCCCTCATCATACTAATTCTTATTTGTAATTAAATGCATACATATATATGCAAATATAAACTAATTAGTTTTTTAGCTATCTAGAATATTTTTTCTTTCTCAAAGCAAATAGATAGGTAGCTAAATAACGAACAAACAAACATACAAAGAAACCAACTAACTAAATAAGTAAATAAGAATTGCTAACTTCATTCTTTTATTTATTTATCTACTAAATATACAAAAAATTTATTAACTAAAGTAAGATCAGACTTTCACTGTCTATAAAGTTTTGATTGATAATTTTTTACTAAATAATAATGATAAGTATATATACCTTTCATGCTATTTATTTTATATATTAAATCCTCTTAACTATATTTCTTTCTTCAACTTGCTCATTCACCAAATCAAAGATCTAACTAACATTTTTAAACTATTCTTTAAATTAGAATGTATATTAGTTGTTACAAATATTTTAAAGTATTCCTTACATGACTAAGGAATAATTACTATTAATATCTATTTGTCTATCTATTATTAGCAGCAAGAATTATAGTTAGTGTATTAATCATATGAACTAAATTTAGCTTACTTCTAAAATATTAATTTATTCTTTAATTAAAATGTACTAATTTTATAAGAAGTTCACTAGTCAAGTGACATTTAATTAAACTATTGAAAATGAGCTCAACAAATTTCGAAAAATCTATAGATAAGCAAAAATATGATGTAAGATTTAATTTTTTGTTCACCTGAATTTATTAAATCTCCGAATAACTAAGCAATTTCTTTCGCATTTCAAAAAGTTTCTCATTTTAAGTAAAAACTCTAAAAGGAACTCACAAAAACAATTATTAATAAAATTGGAGCTTTAATAGATAATCAAATGTATTTCGTGGGTCAACTAAACTAAATTCCCTAAAATATAGTGATAATGTCTCTAACTAACTAAAAATAAAAAGATTTCTCAAAATAAATATTTTATGAAGTGTAGATGTAACACACTGTTAAAATTAATATTATCATGTATAAACTAAATATATCAGTTTATGAATTGGATTGAAAAACTATGAATGAGAGAGAGGTAAAAAAATAATTGAGCAAATCAGATAATTTTTAAAATAAATTGGATATAGTAAATTATAATTTTAATGATCTGCGCTATAAAGATGAATGGGTATTATTCAATTCAAGTGCATTCATTACCTTTAATCACAAGCAAAGTTACTCTCAAGCGTGAATATAATTAAAGTTAATTACAAACAAGATTAATAAATATTTAAAATCAAAGCAAATTTCTAATTTTTGCAAAAAACTCTTTGGTTAACGAATGACACTTACTAAAATGCTAAATAGAATCAGAAACATACCAAAATAAGAACAAAAAATTCACTTTTTATAATTATCTACTTTTAATAAACATAAAAAAGCATATCATATCATAACATAACAAAAACACTTAAACATTACAAACTAAACACACACTTATAACATCACAACTATTCTGTCTATTAAAATAGTTAATAAGAAATTTTTATAAAAATATTCATTCAATATATACATTACACACAAGTATAGACAATTTTAATAATATTTACAAATTTTTTATAAAAAAAATTAATTGCATTTTTAATACTTAAAAATCTATCTATCTATGTATGTATCTAGTTGGTTTTCATTCATTCATTCACCCACTAAATCAATCAATCAATCTCTCATTCTTACATAAATTAATTGATTTTCTTATTCAATTTCTAATTTGAAACCTAATCTACACAATTTCATTTAATTTTCTAAATCAAGTTTTTTCCCAATTTTAAGTGAGAAAATTCGTGGCTGCAAATAATACCAAAATTTTCCAAATGAAGAAAAAGTCTTTAATTTCTCACAAAAACATTCATTAAAAAAGAAAATTAGAGAGAAAGAACTAAATGCAAAGAAAAAAAGGATTTAATCAGTTCACATTAATATTATATATGCATTTTAAAAATAAATAAATAAATAAATAATTTTGAAAAATCATCAGCACACTTCTAATTAAATTAGTCATATTATCATTTGATAAACAAATTAAGATTTTAAAAAGACTATAGCCTTTAGATTTAGCTAGTCAATTTGATTATTGAAAGTAGAAGAATTTCTGAAAAAAGAATTTTCAATCAAAAATGAGATTTAAAAATAGAAGTGAAAAAATGTGTATTTTTTAGATTGAGCCTTTCATTTAAGCAAGTAATTGCAAATTAAATTTGTATTGTTTTATTAAAAAAATTTTATTAAAATAAATTTCTTCTCCAAATTTCCAAATTTAGGGGTAAAGAAAGATATTATTTTTTTTGCTTTTGTAAATTATTAATCAAAAAGAATTTGCTTAGCATGAAACTTTCTTTAAAAAAAATAGTAGTATATTGTTTACATTTAGTTTTTAGCAAGTAAATTTATATTTCAAAACCTTTTTTGTTTGTTTGTTTGTTTACTGTGTTTCTAAATAGAAATTTTTAATTTATTAGTACAGTACAGTACATACATAAAACTCATATGTGAAAGAATGCATCTAATAATATATTGTAATACCCTAACTTAATTTTTGTACCCGAATCAAATCAATTATTTAATGATAACTAATTTTGTGTGAAAAATATTAATGCGATTTCATTCCTAAAAAGTTCTATTTAGCAAATAAATTTTACAAAAATTCACTAGTACACTTGAATTTTATGTTAATTTTTAAGGAAAAATTAACAAAATAGAAAATAAACTCATTAATAATAATTTATTGGAAGAATTCTTTTAACTTAGTTAGATTTTTGATGAAATAATTTCTTTCTTACTGACTTAAACAGATTACAAAATAATTAAGGCTCAAATTATTATATTTTATTGAGAGGGTAGGATTTCTATTTGACTTTAATAAATTTATTTGAAAAAATAAGATTTAGTCTAAAAAAGAAAAATTTATTTGATGTCTATTACTCTCTCTTTCTTATTTTTTTCTTAACTATATGTCCAGTGATGAGAATAAACATGTAAATTAATTATTAATTAATTAGTTATGTAACGTTTATGTATAATCTTTTAATGAATAGTCATTAGAAATATTTGTAAGTAAGCTGTAAACATTTGAAATCATAATTAAATAATTTTAAAGATTTACTTGACCAATTATTAAAAATTAAATGTGCAATGTTACTTACTGGCTATAAACAAATTTTATGATTATAGACCTATTTTAGATGCCTAAATGTGAATTTAGTTCTAATTTTAGTGTAAATTTAAAGAATCCAGTAAAATATTTATTTATGCTAATTAAATAATTTCTAACTTTATTTATTTTTCTATTCACAAAACTCAGTAATTATTTATTTACAGCCAACCCTTCATGAGTCTAACATTTTATATTATTTTTCTTTTAATTTATTTAACATGCCTTTAAATCTAATTTTAGTTAACATTTAATTTAGCTTTTTACTTGATTCTTTTGCATTATTTAATATAATTACGCCGCTTTTTATTTGTTTTTTTTTTTAACTAAAATATTTAAACTATATAAATTCTTATAATAGATTAGAGATAGATATTTATTTACTAAATTCTATATTTTTGTGATGGAGTATTTTTTTAAAAATTAAATGACTTCCTTTATTCACAAATTTTAAGGATATTTATGATTTAAAATACTGTAAAAAGCTTGAAACAAAAATGGAATATCTTTAAAAGTAATCAAAATGTGCATATTCTTATTTTGAATTTAATTAATAGATAGAAAACATATAGATTTCTGTTAGCATATAAAAATCATAAAGTATTTTATAAATTATAACTAATCTTAGTTGAACTTATTTTTTACTTTTTATATAAATTTTTTGCAAATCTCAAATATGATATATGAATGATTTTTATCCAGTATCAATCAATCAATCATAATCTTATTATTTTAATTTAATATTTTGAAATATTAAAAAATATTATTAAATAGATTTCAAATGTTTTATTCAAAATAATAATTTTTTATTTATATCAATAAAAAAAATAGATTATACATTTCTATTAAAATATATAGAATATCTTGATTATAATCTTAAATTTTATTAATAATTGATAATTTGTTTTTAATTTATTAATTAATTAATTAATTTCACAAGCTTTTAGACACAAAAAGATTATTATATTTTTTAAAAAATTTTTTGATAAATTAATTACAAAGTTATTGCATAAAAAAAAAAATGATAGAATAAAATTAGTATTATAATAACCTAAAAGAAGTAATTGAATATTTTAATTCTTAATGAATAATTATATATTCATTTTATAAAAAAAGTTTGTAAGCTCTGATTTATAGTCTCATACCAATTTGTAAATTGTCCTGCTGTAAAAATATTTATCATAAAATTAAATTAGATTTTATTTTAATTCATATTATAATATTTTATTGCAATTTTTTGATATAATAATTTTATTTTTTTGAATATTTTATGAATGAAATTAAAAAAATTCTATTAGAAAATTTTTTTAAATATCTTTCTTTATTAAACTATTTATTTTCTATAATATTACTATTTTCTAATTATTGAAATAAAATGAATATTTAATTTAATAAAAGGCGAAATTAAATAGGGATATAAGAAGCTTAATAGTTAGGATCTGCTTTTCTAAAATGCTCTAACCTCTAAACTTTGAATCTAAACTTAGAGTAAATTAATTTTAATTTTATGAAAATTAATTTTTATGCTTTTTTATAATTAAATAAAATTCAAAAAAACTCAAAAATAATTTAAAAAAATAAAAATATTAATGAGACAGACAATAATCTTTATTTTATTCTTAAACTATTATATTAAATAAACTTAAATATATAAAAAGATCTAACAGCATTAAATAATAAGGTGTCTTAGCTATAAGTTCTGCATTATCTAAGTGTCCTAAATTATAGAACTTGGAACTTTTGTTGTGGTAAAAATAACTCATTTATGTTAGTTAAGCAGCTATAAAATGGAATAATTTATAATTATTTCTTCGAAATTATTAAATTTAAATTATTTTCTTTAATTAAAAATGAATTAATTAATTCTTTCTTTCTTTAACTATTTTTTGATAATTAAAATGAAATATTTATTTTTTGAAAAATTATCAATTTTTTTATTTAAAAATAAATAAAATAAATATTTGTCTTTTTAACTTATTTTGATTTTAGCTATAATGAAATTGAAGCAAAAGGTGCATCCGACTTAGGCTCTTAGTTAGCAAATTGTATTAATCTCTAAAATTTAAAGCTAGATTTATCGTATATTAAATTATTCTTCGTTCATTAGATTAAAACTTTTATCTTATCTATATTTATTTTACTTAAATTATTTGAATAAAAGAAAGATTAATTTAGTATCCTATTTATATTAGTTTATGAATTTCATTTTTCTATATCTAAGTGCTTTAATTATTTTAAAATTGATTATTTTTAAAGCTGTAACGATATTGGAGAATATGGTGTTTCTGATTTAGTCTCTCCTTTAAAGATGTGTTCAAATCTTTCTGTCTTAACATTAATATTAGAGTAAATATAACTTTCAGTTAAATATTTCATTTTTTTTATTGGTCTTAATCATAAACTTACTCCAAAACATTTCGAAAATTTTAGTTCTAAGAGATTTTTTTTTGCCATAATATTTTTTAATTTTTTCTTCTTTTTATTAATATTTTTAATTTATTATTTAAAAAATATATAATAAAAGATCTAATTGGATAGGCGATGGTGGAGCTTCAGTTTTAGGTTTACAATTATCAAATTGTATCCATCTCTCAATTTTGGAACTAATTTTAAAGTAAATTAGTTTAATAAATTTTTAGGACTATATTTATTTTTCTTAAAATAATTTAATAAATTAAATGTACTATAAATTGACTTTATTAAATTAATTATTCATAAATAAATATTGGTTTTCGATAACTCATATTATTTTTTTAAATTTTAATTAATTCGTTTTTTTGTTCAAATTATCGAGAACTAATGGTAAATATCTATTTTTTAGTTTAAAGATTTATTAATTTATATCTTATAGGAATAATTAAATAGAAGGCGAAGGTGCATTAAATTTGTATACTTCTTTGTCAAGTGTAACTAAGCTTACAACTTTAACTCTCGACTTATCATAATCAAATGTGACTTTGTATACTAAATTTAAATCCTAGATTAATTTTATAAAATATTAATTATAAAAAATTTTAATTAAACTTATACATTAAAAGATTTGATTCAATACAAAATGTGTCTCTTTTAGGATCAATAATATCAAAAGCTTCTAAACTTACTACCTTAACATTCATTCTAGAGTAAAAATATCTTCAAGCTTTTATTAGCTAATATTTGATTTTTTCTACTTAATTTAAAAAAAAATTATTTGTAATAAATCGATTTTAAATTTAAAATATAATTTTATAGTTTTAGTAGAATAAATTATGAAATGAGTTTCTTTTCTGATGAATAAAATTGTTTAAATCTCACTTCTTTGACATTTTTCTTAAAGTAAATAGAAATTACCTTATCCTTGCTTAATGCTGATTTATTCTTAAAATGACAATTTTTTATTCATGAAATTTTGTTAAACTTCTTTTTTCAATCTAAATGCTAATTTAATAATAAATTTATTTGTAGATATAATTAAAATTTTGAAGAACAATTATCATATTTATATTCATTGTTGGCTCGTTGTACTAATCTTTCGTTTTTATCTCTTGATCTTGAGTAAATATTTAAACATTTTTTATGTTAAAGTTTAAGCTTTTTAAGTGAAAAATAATAAAAATTAACCATTCTCCTTAAATAATAAACAGTTAGTTATTTTTTTGTTTTTTTTAAAATTTTAAAATTCAAAAATTCTGATTTAAATCTAATTTTTAATCTTAATTAAACTTAACAACTTGATTCATCAACGATCTAATTTATTTAAAAATAATAAAGATTTAATAATATTGATGATTAAGGGGCATCATCTTTAGGATTTGTTTTAACATAGTTAACTAATATTTATGTTTTGAAAATTAATATAAGGTAAAATATTTTTTATTTTAAATTTTTAATTTTTTTAATTAATTGATAATTTATTTATAATTGAAAGCAAATAGATTTTAATTAAATATCTTTAAAATAAATTTAATAAAAATAAAGTAATAATTACATTAAGAGCAAAGGAGTACAAAATTTATATTTGGGTTTAATTAAGTGCTAAAATCTGAGAAACTTATCACTAGATTTGAGGTAAAAATTATTAATAATTTAATTTATTGTTTGTTAATTGTTATTATTATTTTATTAATGATAACAATTATTTATTAATTTATAAATTCTTTTTCTGGTATATGATTTATAATAATTTATAATTAAATTTAATAGAAATAATGAAATTAATTTATAAGAATCACATTACTTATTTTCTTGTTTGACTCAAATAATTAGCCTTGAATATTTGGAATTAGGAGTAAGGTATAATAGTTATGATTGAAGCATAATTTAAATTATTTTTTAGCAATAACTCAACTAAATTACCTAATTATTTAATCAATAAAATATTTTAATTTTAAAATTACTTAAACTATAATTTGAAGAATTTATTTTTCATAATTTTTAAATAAATCTTAATTTTATTGATAAAGCTCCGATTCCTCCTACGATACTTATTATTGCTATTAATTTATAGAAGATTTAGCGAATTGTATTAATCTTAAGACTTTGACTCTCAATCTTGAGTAAAAATAATTTATTTTTATTACTTTTGTTTTCTTTTTAACTTAAAAATAAAAATAAGTTTTTAATTTAAAAATTAATTGACATTTTTAAACAATTTTCAAAAAAACTGGACTTTTTACAAAACAAACTTTAAATTTGAATAATTTTTTATTAAATATTTTAATATAAACTGAAATACAGTATAGATGGTATGTAAGGATGCAACTATAATAAGTTCTCTAAGAAACTTTAGAAATTAAAAAGATTTGTTTAATTATTCCTCACCTTTTCTAAAAATGATTCTTTCTGAAAATAAATAAATGTTTGCAAATATATTAAATCAATAAGTTTAAATGTTTTAATTTTAGCAATATATGACTTTTAATTTTTATAAGTGGAATAAAATTTGTTTTTTTTTTATATTTGAGTAAATACAATTTTTTGATTCAAACAAGTTAGTAAATTTATTTTTTCAAATTTCCATTTTAAATTTGTAAGTTTTTTTATAATTTCAATTTATTATGATTAATTTTTTATTTACAAAAAAAATGTTAAGGATATTTATAAACAAAGATTTAATATTGTTTCTTATTTTTCTAATTAGCTTATTTTTTAATGTTAGATTTATTTTTTCTGATGATATTTTTTATTTTTACTATTTTTGTGCTAAAATTTTTTGAGTGAAAGTGAGAAATATATTAAATTTTTAATTTTATTATTAAATAAATTCTAACAATCTTGCTATTTTTTTTCTGAAAATAGAAATATTTATTTAAATTTAAAAATATATTTTTTATGATACCAACAAATTTTTTTATTTTTTGCACAACAATTTAGCTTTAAAATTAATTAATTAGTGAGTGAGTGAATAATAATAATCAGATTTTTATTCAAAGTAAAATAAATTAAAGTAGAATAAGAAAATAAATGGAAGAATAAAATCATTTAGGATCTGATGGAAGTATATTTAAAGATGATAATTTAGATAACATTTTTAGTTAAAACAAATAAAGTGTAAATGAAGAAATTATGTGCAAATAGCATAAAAGTAAAGTAGAATTTGTTTGCCTTTCATGTTTTTGTTCTGAGAATAAATATTTATGTCCAAAATGCTATAGATATCATTAGAATCACTCTGAGTATGTTTAATCCCTAGATAGCTATTAGTAGACAATATTAGAAAGAGAATATGAATTATTTAATCAACGCAAATAAACATTCACAGAACGAATTCAGTAGATGAAAAGAGTGATTTATAAAATTCAAAAATCTATTGATAAATATGAAGAAAACGAAATGAAGGATATCTAAGCTCACTTTGAAGAAGTAAATTTAAGATGCAAGGAAGATAAACACAAATTTTTGAAAGATTTTTGTGATCCTCATTATGATACTAATAAATTATTTACAACTCCTCTGTTTAGCAAAGAGATAAATTATTAAAAAATTCAAGATACTGCTTAAAATCTCTTAAATCAGATTGAAAGAAAAGAATACAACATTTAGAATCTTATTGGATATCTTATTAGATAAGATAATTTTTTTGACATAGTTTAAAAGCATGAAAATTAATCTCATTAAAATGCTCATATGGGTGATAACTAATAGCAAGGAGATCAATAAAATTAGAATCAAAGCAATAATGTATTAAGCTAAAATGAATTACCTCAAGTAGATGCTAATATTTTAAATCAATAAAATAATTAAAATTTCAATGGAATTATTCAATAAGCACAAGATGAAGAACCTGAAGGTAACTAAGAGAATAATGAAGAGGATGATGATGATCAATATGAAGACGATGATGAGGATGATGATTATTTAGAATTATGGCTATCTGATTCTGATATTTCTAGTGAAATGCAAAATGAAAGAAAAATTACTTCAATTTCAAAATATAATTCTAACATTTTGGTATTTTGTAATACTAATTCTGTTTACTATTATGACTTCGTAAATAGAAAGATTCTTTACCATACTAAATTTACTGGGAATGTTTAGATTATCAAAATAATAAAGCTCAGCTAAGAAAAGATGGCAATATTAGTGAGCAGAGAATTTCTTGACACTTAGCTCCTTCCTGGTGTGATCACATTTGAAGTTTTTTATGAGGTTTTAACTTTGAAAATTTAGAATAGGAAAATTTAAAAAAGGAGAATATATGCTGAAAAACGCGGTTACGAAATCAGAGACATTTTTGAAGTGAAAAACTCATAGCTAATAGCTATTGTATAAGAGGAATAAGGTATTTTGATATTGAATAGCTTAACTGGAAAGGTAATTTCAAAATACAAAAGCGATATTGAGTTTGATGTACCTTTTGAAGGAATATATAGCTGCACTATGCTGTACAATGTCAAATATGATGGTGTATTTTATAAATATTTGATAGCCCTAAATTTAATAGATGGATCATATGGACTTTGGGATTTCATAGGAAATAAATACATTAAGAGAAAAAATTTTGTTCACAATATTGGATTGAATTATAAATTCAGCACTTCTGTGAGAATAAAAGATGCATTTAATGTGAATAGTAAGAAGCTAAATAATAAGTATTAGATAGATGATTCTGATGAAGAAAATATTATAGATGATTAGTAATTAACGTTAATAGTCATATAAGGTGATAGGAATGAAACATATTTGCAGAGAGATTACGATGGATAACTCGAAGTTAAAATGCATCATAGGCTCATTGATTTTTTTGATTTATTTTACAACTAGTCAGCTATACCTTTTTATCATAACAATTCTATTTTTTTCTATGATTTTATATAAAAGAAGAGGATTAAAACTATATCCTTGCATACTAAATTTAGTATTTCTGCATATCTTTAGCAAAATTAATTAAGCTTATAATAAAACTAGCTTAATCACAGCAATAACTAAACAAATACATCTGGAAGTTATCAAGCCTAGGAGTTGCTTTAAAACTATAACAGAGGTTTAAATATAGAAAACAGTAATTAAAATATGCAAACATCTGCTAATCAAAATAACATAAATAACAACTAAATTTATTCAAATAGTTTGATTGAAAGCCAAATAAATCAGAGTGAAGAAGATAGAAAATGTATGAGATCTCAAAATTTGTCTTTGAACTAAAATAATTAAGACATATAAAATGATGATCTTCTAAGCTAGTCTCAGTTAAGCATAGCTTCAAAGTAAAAAGAAAGGAATTCATAAATTCCATCATAAAGATCTTCAAAACAAAAAAAGGAAATTAAGCAAGTGTATCCATAAAATAATAACCCAAAATAAAATATACCCACATTTTCTCAGATTTGGGAAGAATCTCTTTTGTAATTTCAATAAAACTAAACAAATAACAATTAATCAACTCCTTTTGAGTATTTTCAATAAAATTAATAATAAAGCTCTTTAAATGAAAATTAGTTTAATAATTAGCTTTTCAATTCGATTGGAATTTAACAAAGAAGAGAAGTTGATACACTCAATTATTTAAATTTTGGTAATCAATAAGCTAGAAGAAATTTCCAAAATCAAATTCTTAATCCATAATAATAAAATGATTTACTCTAGCACAATAACTATAAATTATTTGACATATGCCCTATAGCAATTATCAATCACTTTGAATTTATTTTGGTGATTTTTCCAAATGGTGTAATTTAATATATAAAATGATTTTGACATAATTATTTAATTTAAATAAATAAATTATAAATTTTAAAAAAGTAATTAATTAAAAATAAATAAATATAAATATTGTATTTTATTAACATATTTATTAACAATCTAATAATAATTAATAATTTATAAATCCATACAAAATTAGATTCTCATTTCTATATAAAATTATTTATTCAGAAAATTACTTTCAAAAATATTTTAATTTAAAAAAAAATAATTATTAAAATTAAAGACTTTATTTTTCAAATATATAGTTTTAAGTAATGTGTTAAAAATAAATTCAAACAAATATAGATTTAAGATAGTTTTTTAAACAAACAAAAATAATTTATTAAACAAATAAAAATAATTTAAGATAATTTATTTATACAGACAGATAAAAATAATTATTAGTGAAAAGAAAATTTTTTATCATTAAAAATGAATGAATGAATAATGCATTAACTAAACTATTTTAATAATTTAGAAAATTAATAAAATTTAGAATATTTTTAATAAATTTAAAGTAAATTTTCATAAAAACTTTAATACATTCATTCATATTGATGGATGAAGTAGACCTATTTTTAGCTTAAAAAACTAGATTTTGTGTTTTATATTTTTTTTCTAAGATGAATGATTCTGATTAGTTTAGCGCTTAAACAAAAAAAATTTAATTATTTACAAATTTTTAACAACTAAAAATTTTTTAAATTATTTAATAAAATTTTTTAGAAATAAATAAATAATAAAAATGTATCAAACATATCATTACGCTGGTAGAAACTATATGCAATTTTCATAAAACCCTGTTTAGAATAAAAAGCAAGATATTTAAAATGGATATTCTGAATAGTGCTTAAAACAAATTGAGTAATGCTAATGTTGCTCATTCTATATTTTTGATATTGATGAGCCAGGCTCTTTGATAGATCCATAAAATTAGATTTTTTTGATAGGTTAGAATAAGAGTGTTAAATAAACCAATGGCGAATCAAATTTGCTTTATTTAAAGGCACGCTTTATAAGAGTTATAGGAGTAATTGAGAAAGATATTTATCAGATTTTAAACTTATTAGTAATTAATGAGGAAGGAGAATTATAAGTTTTAAATCTAATTCTTTATACATAATAAGTCCCTGATGTAAGTTTTGATTTCATATCATAGAATCTATAGCCTGATTAAGTATATGCTTTTGAAATATAATTGATTGAAATGGCTGACATTTTTGAATTTAAGTAAATTTAATTGACTTTGTTTTTAATTTGTTTTTGAATGATATTTTTATTAGGTAATATTCACAGGCAAAGACTATAAAAGGAGCTCCAAGGCTTATTCATATGCATTAAAATTAAACTTTGAAATCAGACTAGATAAAGTCTTATCCAAACTTGCAGTTATCTAATTTACATGAAATATAATATGATTTAAAAAGACACATTGTACATAAAGTCTATAACATTTTAGGCGTTTTGAAATATTATTCTATTCAAAAGTTGGATAATTTTTAATATCCTGAATAAAACTGTTTTGCATATTTGCATTTAGTTGATAGAAATTCATAGTCTTTCAAAGCTAAAGTATGGGGAAATTCTGATGAATTTAGTTAATTAAAAGCTAAGTAAGTTATACTCCTAATGAATTACAAAATAGATTATCAAAATATTTAGAATTAGCTTTCAACTTAGAGTTAAATTTCTGCCTCTTTTGCTGAATAATAAGCTGAAATTCAATTATAAAGTATAGGTTTTTCTAGATATGAGATAAATCCTGTGTTTATCAGCCCAAGTGATCTAAATCAATTAGAATTTGTAAGAGATCAGATATTCTTTTCTACTATCAACGAACTGAATTACATGAAGGGATTTTTTGACGAGATAGTTCTTACTGAAATGTTAATTGAAGTTGCTTATCTTAATGAATATCCCTTAAGAATTACATTTCAAGATGTAAATTACTAAACTATTTCAACAGTAGTAGAAAACAAAGATCTAGAAGATAGTTTAAGGAAGGAAAACCTTGATGAATATTCAAGCTGCTATTTTAATCTTTACATTCGTCCAAAGTTAAGCTTTGAAGCTAATGGCTAATAAAATGTAGTATTATACCTTAGAGATTTAAATTGAAATATTAGCCCTAAAAACAATAATTTATTATTGCACCATTTAAAATTGTAAGTAAATAAAATATAATATCTATAAATAAATTAATATATTTTGTTTAACATCTTTAAATTTAATTTTAAAGTTATTTTTATATTTAACACGATTTATAGTCATTTATAGTCCATCGCCATAATATCTATCTATCTCTTTTATTAATACTAATTTAAAATAAATGATAAAATAAAAATATCAATAATCAAAGAAATTTTAAACAAATAATTTAAAATAAAATAAATAAATCTTTAAAAAATAAATTTAAAAGAATTAAAATAAATTAAATTTAAGTAAGATTAAACTTAAAAAAATTATTTTTAATTTATCTATTCTGATCTTTTTTGTAATATTTTTTATTATAATTAACATATTAAACATTCAATTTTAATAAGTCCCAAAAATAAAATTAGTGATTTACGAAAGAGTCAATATGAATGCATTGTTATACTCAGAAGTATTTTGCACTTCTAACTTAAACCTATCTGCCTAGATTTAAATTACTCAAAATTAATCATTTCTTTTATCATAATATTAATTAATTATTTTAACAAGTTATATGGTCAAAAAAAACTAAAAAAGTTTAAAGAGTAAAATTCCAAAATAATATAAGGGACTAACAAATAAGTAAACATGTATGCATACACAAATATTTTGCACAGCTATTTTTAAGTTGCCTAAGACTTAAATTACTCTTAGTTGTTCATAATTATAATCACCATGATTATTTATCAAATTAACCAGTTCTTATTAAATAGTAAAATAAAACTAAAAAAGTAAAAAGAGTAGAGAGTAATACGAAATTTATTCCAAATTCACTATTTCCTAAGAGTAGACTTGTGGATGCTGTTAATGCTCCTATTGTGTAAAGATTTAAAAACAAAAATAATTAGTTCTTAAATTTGTAGTAAAGTTGGATAGATAACTCTGCCACAAATAAGCTGGTACATACGCTAAATAAGAACAGGTTATGTAAATTGTATCCGTAATCTAAAATCATTTTTCTCATTATGTATAAAAATGGGTATGGAATAATAAAAATTCCAATTATTATAAAAATAATTATTATTAATTCATCGTTATCTCCAAAATTAAAGCTGCCTGAATTAGATGAATCAGAATAAGATTACTCAGAATTAACAATTGCTTACTAAGAACCAACTTAGTTTATTGCTTCGATTTTAGTAATCTCTACAGTCTACATAAAACTTATAGATGGATTCAGTAATTTTGAATCTTCGAAATTTGGTAAGCTAAACTAGATGTAGAAATCATCAATAGTAACATGAGGCAAATGATAAAAAGGGTTATGGCTCATAATATCAAAAGCTCCATCAAATAATCTATCAATTATTATATTGTTACTATAATCATAAAATTAACCTTATGAATATTTTTTTGCTTATGCATTTTAAAATTATTGCATTTAAATCAATTAATCTTATGATAAGCATTTCTTACAATTATTCTAAGAAAACTCATCAATTTGTCTACATATCTAATCTTCCTCAAAACTTTCACTTTCAATGTTTTAAATATTTTAAAAGCTTATCGATTTAATCATCAGTGCTAAAGCTAGCACAAAAACAAAAGAGACTCTTTTCATTATTATTTTAAAAATATTATTAGCTGACTGTGTATAAAATTATCTATTTATTTACTTATTTATTTTTTTTTTCTTTCTTTTATTTGTTTGTATTTTTGTTCAAATTATTATAATTAAAAGTTTTTCAATGAATTGGATTATTTTTATTATTTTTTATTTAATCTAGAATTTGCTTGATCGATCATAATATTTCTAATAAGATTTAATTATGTAAATAGTGATAGATATTCTAATAAGTTAGTTAATACAATAAAAAATAAATAATAATTTTTGAGAATAGATAATAATCTCATTTTATATTTATGTATTTAAATTTAATTAACACGTGGAATAGAATATTTTAAGCAAATAAATATTTTGTCAATTTTAGTTGATTAAAAAATAAAATAATTATAAATAAAATCATCTTCTCAAAATTTTTGTAAATTTTTACTTGAATTTATTTTTTTAAATTAGATCATTTTAAAAACGTTTGATCATTTTAAAGTAGAATAAGATGTTATTTCTTTATGATTATCAAAATTTTAGTTTTTTGACTAAATTAAAATAATTTACAAGTTTTTTACAGATTATATCATTTTTAATAAATATTTTGAATTTTAGATCAAAATTTGGAAAAAGAAAAACTCATAAATTTGATAAGCAAGCAAAAGGAATAATGAATTTTTTTAAATTAATTTAATAAAATTAAGCTCATAATGAATATTTTAGGTAAGTCAATTAAAAAGAGATAGATTAAACTATAAATAAATAAAGAGAAAAATAATCTAAAGACATATAAATTTGCATTCATTTCTGTTAATTAATTAAATTAGACTTAAAGACATAAATTTCTGAAAATGAATTAAATTGTTTATTTATTCTAAATTAAATTACATGATAATCATTAGAAATATATAATATTAATTTTTGATATTTAACTCATATAATATATTTAATGATTTTTTTTTTAAATTTATCATATTAAAATAAATGTTTAAATTATTATTTGAAATCTTAAATTAAATAAATTAATTTTATAACTTACATTTTTTTTTTGGATTTATTTTTAATACAATTATATAATTTTTACTCTATAAAATAATTAATTTATTTACTAATGATCATTAAGTTAATTTTCTATGAAAAACAAAAATATTCTTCTTTTCATTTACTTAAAAGATATTTTTAATAAAAATTACTTTTTTACTAATTGTTTATTATTATCTAATTTTGTTTATTTATTTATTAAAAAAAGATTTTGAGATAGTGACAAAAGTAAATCCAACAATATAATTTTAATTAAATATTTTAACTTTAAGCTTTAATTTCAGTTTTTATTTAGAAGTTATTATTATAAATTACTAATTGTAAATATTTAGTTTTTTTATGTATAAGTAAGTATTTATTTATTTATGATTGAGAAGATATTTTTTTTATTTTTAGTCTCTGTTTTTTAAATTTTACCATTAATTAATTAAAATTTCATTATATATAAAAGAATTGATATTTTTGCAACAAAAATATTTAGTCTATGATGAAAGTAAGTATGCATATATCATTGAGAAGATATTTGTTAATTTTTTATTAATCTCTGCCTTTTAAATTTATTTTGGATTATTAGACTAAAATTTTGTTTATTATAAAATATTTGATATTTTTACAACATACAAATATTTTTAATAGTAACAATCAAATTTATTGTTTCATGAAAATAAATATGATTTATATTAATTCCAGTATTATTGTATTAATATGAGAGTAAATATAAATTTTTAATTTTATTAATAATATTTAGTTTGTTGTAATAGCAGTAAAATGTGTGGCTAATGTAAGATTATGAATCATATGTTTACGGATACTTAAGCAATATTTATTGTTTCATGAGTAATAGAAGAGAACTTAAGTAATCAATAAATTTATAAAAATTTACTTGCTATTATATTAGTTAAGAAATAGTATTGGATTGAAATCTTATTACTTTGCAAGATATAAGAAGGATACATTTTTAATTTTAATTGCATTTCCTTCAGATAAAGTTCTATTCAAAGTTATTGATTTATTGATTGAATGATTGATAAATTATTATCAAAATATAAATTTTGAAGTAAATAGGTGTTTATTAGTTGAGTAAAGGAGAGAAGAAAATAAAAAGAAATTTTTTCACCAAAATTATAGATTAACTTTTTAAACTTAGATTAGGATGATAGGAAAAGATGATAGCTTAGACTCAGTAAAAAACAAATAGTTTTATTGATTTGCTTTTTCTTTTTTAATCAACCAATCCATTTATTATAGATTTGTTTATGATGATATATTGATGTGATTTCAAAAAAATTATTAAAATAATTATAGCTGAAGAAGTAGGTGAAAACACTAGAAAAATAGTTAGCAGACCAAGAAAGGAAGGCAGCTATGAATGATAAAAAGGCATAGAAGGAGGTATCAAAATATAAATTAGATGCTGAGAAAGAGAAAATTGAAAAAGAGTCTTTAATCAAAGAAAGGTCTGAATTAGAAGATAAGGTGAGAAAGCTCAATATAGAACTAAACAAAAGCAGCAAAGATAAGAAATCTGATGAGAATCAAACTATAATCAATAATTTAAAGAAAGAAATTGAAAAGCTTAATTTGATGAAACCTTCTCCTGAAATGCTTGCCATGTTAGAAATGTCTGAGGCACCTACTTACCAAGTACAAAAAATTATAATTTAATCTAAGCAATTAATGTATTAATTACTTACTTACTTATTTTTATGCGTTAAAAATATAGGAATTATTTAGAAATTTTTAGAATCTCTAAAATGATAATAAAAAATAAGAAGAGGAAATTGAGAAGTTAAAGAAAGGAGCAATAGACTCTATAGTAGAAAAAACAAATGAACTTTAGCAGAAAGTTAAACAAATTGAAGAATTATAGGAATTAAATCAAAGCCTTGAAAGGAGTTTAAAAGATAATGATTATGAAAATTAGCAAATGAGAGATCAATTAAGATCTGTTTAATCAGAAAATAATGTATTTGCATTTATTTTGTTTTTATTAATTTATTGAATTAGATGTTTTTTAAAGAAAGCTGAATTGCTAGAAGAAGAACTTAAATAGATCAAGGTTACTCTTTAATAGAAGGATGAATAGCTTGAGAATTTAAGATAGGAAGTTGAGAAGTAGTAGTAAAAATTCTAAGACTAGTTAACCTAGGAGTAAAGCTTAAAAGAAGAAGCAATCATAGAAAAAGAAAGAGAAGTTATTAAAAGTTATGAAGAAAAGATGCACGAAATCGATAGCTAATTTAGAAACAATGAAAAGGAGTTGCTTTAAGAGCTCCGCCAATGTGAGGAAAAGCTAAAAAACGCTGAGCTTCAAGCCTAATCTCTTGAGGAAGAGAAGCAATCTATTTCAAAAGGATAGAAAACATAATCTGATAAAATTGAATTGAAATATCAATAGAAAATTAAAGAGTTGGAAGCTTAAATGGATGAAACTTAGTCATATCACGAAAAAATTCTATCTACAACAAAACAACAATATGAAAATATGATTTTACAATAGGAGCAATCAATGTAAAAGCAGATTGATGAATTAAACGAGCAAATTGAATAGCTACAAAAACACAACAACAGTCAGGAAGGTAAATCCTAAGAGGCAAATGAAGCTATCAAAGCTAAAGAAGAACAAATAAAGAAACTAGAAGATTAAATTATAGAAAAGCAGGAATAATTAGAAACAAAAATTCAAGAATATGAAGCTTAAATATTCGAATTTAACAAAAAGCATAAAGAAGAAAACAGCTAACTGCTAGCAGAAATAGATCGTCTTAAAATTTATGAAGAAAAATTCGTAATTAATTTTCAATTAAGAAAAACATTTTATTTATTAAATGATAATTTTTAATTAATTTCAAAAGCATCAAAAGAAGTAAGCTGCTGATAGCTTCAATCAAGAATTGAAAAAGATGATAAGAGATAGAAGAAGCAGTTCATCATTTTCTATGAATTCAGACTCAGATGAGACTATGGATGTAAAGGCTGAGTTTGAGAAAATAAGAAGTGAATTTGAAAAAGTAGAGCAACTAAATGAAAAATATGAATAAGAAATAGCAGAAAAGAATGCAGAAATCAGTGCTTTTAGTGAAATTATTACTGAATAGGAAAAAAAAATTTAGGAGAAGACCAATTTGATTATTTAAAATGAAAAAGAAATTGATTAGTTTAAGGCAGAGATAGAATCCTCAGCAATTAAATTAAAAGAAAAAGAAGCTAACATAGAGAATTTGAAAAGCCAAATTAAAAATGCTACTTCATCCCTTACAGAGTAAAGTGACAAGCAGATTCTTGAATTAACAGAGAAGAGCAAGGCAGAAATATCTCATCTTTAAGATACTCTGACAGCTAAACTACAAGAAATAAAATAATTGAATGCAAAAAATACAGAATTATAATAATAAAATTAAAACCTTTAAAGTGCTGTTGATTAAAATAAGCATGAAACTGAGTCATAATTAAAGAAGGAATAAAATTTATAGTAATAAATTAGTCACTTAAAGCAATTAATTGAGTAATCAGAGGCACAACTTAATGAAAAAAATGAATAACTTACTTCAGAAAAAAATTAAAATAAAAGCCTTAAAGAACAAGTCATCAATGAAAAATCTTCACAAAACTAATTATCAGATGAAATAGCTTCTCTAACAGGTAAAAAATTAATTATTTTAAGTTATCAAAAAATTAATCACTTTAAGTTTTGAATATGCTTTTAAATATTTATTTTTTTTAAATAAAATTTACTTAAAATAAACTATTTTATTATCTTGTTTACAATTACTTCCATAAAATTAAAACTAAAATTGAGTTTTAATTAAATTTTTTATTTATTATTCAGCTTAAAACTGTGACATGGAATAAAAGATTAAGGAAATGACTGTCAAGGAATAACAATTATTTGAAGAAAGCAAAGAGTTAAGAACCAAGCTCTCTAATTTAGAAACTAAGATTTAACAATCTGAAGAGACTTTGACCAAAAAAAATGAAGCTTTAGAAAAAATAAAGCAAGAAAAAAAATAAATTTTAAGCGAGACTGAAGGTTTGAAGAGTGAAATCAGCTAACTTAAGCAAAATCTTGAAAAATAAAAGAATGAGATTTAAGAAAAATAAGAACAAGTTAACCGCTTAACATAATAAATTGAGTCTTAAAAGAGTTAAGAAAACGAAATGAAATAGAATCTGAATAAGTAAATCTAGGCTCTATAGTTGAGTTTATCTAAAGAAGAGGCTATAATTAAACAAAATGATAGTGATATAGCCAATTTAAAAGAAAAGATAGCTTAAAAGGAAGAAGAAAAAAAATAAATTCAAAAGAAATTAGCCCAAAATGAAGGAGTAGATGTGAAATAAATAGAATTATTCTAATCTCAATTAGAAGAAAAAGAAAACCAAATTAATCAACTTAAAGATCAAATATAAGACATGAATTTAGAACAAGAGTAAGTAGTTTATGAGCTAAACAAACAAATAAATGCCTTAAATGTTGAAATTAAATAACTAAATCTAAAGATTAATTCAAGCGAAGAGTTGTTCTAACAAGAAAAGAACTAACTTCAATCTGAATTAGAATATGCAGAAAGTGCTGCAATTGAAGCTAAAATGAATTATGCAGAAGTTGCTTGTGAAAGAGACTACTATGAGTGTTGCTACAAAAATCTATGCAAAGAGTATGGAATCAGTATTTGAAAATAAAAAAATGAATAAACTATTTTGAAATGGATTAATATTTATTTAAATAATTGTACAAAACAAACAAATATGTCTAATTTATATTTCAAATTTAATTATTTTAGTACTGCTATTTATTTTCATTAAGCGTCTATTGCCATCTTAAAAATAAAAATATTAATTGATAAAAGTTTTTCAACTTGTTTAATTTTATTTATTTTTATAATAAACTTTTAACTTAAACAAAGTATTTGTTTTTTAGTTTTGAAACAAGAAAAATATTTTAATAAATCATAAAATCAGCTCACTTTCTTTAATAAACATTTTTTTTGAATTTGAACATGACTTTTATTGATGATCTATAAAAATATATTTTTCTAAATGATTTCAAACAAAAAAGAAAACTGAATTCACTTTAAATAAATTTTTTAATAATATTGATTTGGATTTTAAATTTTAAGCCTGAAATTGTTTAATTGTAAAAATTAAATTTTGAGAAAAATAAAAATTAAATAGAAATTTAATTCACTAACTTACATTAATTAAAATAAAGAGAATCATATTTATTTTGTTGTTTTGCTTCAGTTCATTTTTTAAATAAAATTTAAAACTTAAAAAATGCAAATAAATATTTTTGTCGATTCGAACATTAAATTTTATTTTATTTTCAATTCGTTTTTATGATAAAAATATTTCAAAAGTTTGAAATCGAGAAAATGATTGCAACAAAATTATGAACTTTTTGAATTTTAAATTTGAAATTATCAAAATTAATAGGAGAGCTATTTTGTCAATAAGCTAATAAATTCTATGATATTTTATATTTTTTATATCTTTCTTTCTTTTTTTCTAAAAATACAAAAAAAAACTAAACATAAAACTTACTTAAAATAATTTAAAAAATTACATTTAGATATAAACTAAATTTGCTTTATTATATTGTGTAACACATTTGCTTTATTTTATAGTGTAATTAATTTATTAATTTAAAAGAGTAAAAAAAATCAAAAGCTAGTTGCTAATCGAAAATAGTATTTTTCTGATTTGTTCATAATTCTTTCTGAATAGTATTTTCTATTGTATTTTTTTGAAATATTTATTACAAAGTTTGAAAAGAAAAATGTATTGACTTTTATTTATTTGCTTTAGACAGACATTATAATATCTTATTTAAGTATATATTAAATATGAATTTTTACTCTTAAGAGTCCATAGTAATTACAGTATATGTAAGTATATGAATGATAGTTGGATTTTCAAAATAATTAAAATACTTCTTAAAAAATACTGATTGATTAGTTCTTCTACCCGTATTTTTGATATATTATATTTATATTTAGTATCATGACTTCAGAAAAATAATAAACAACATTTTGAAGAAAAAAAAAGAATTAGATGAATTTGGAGGTTACTGAATTTGATAAAAATACTGTATTTTTAAGTAAGAGTTGTAAGTATTAAAATAGTGTAACTTAATAAATATGTGAAAATAATAAATTGTAAATAGCATCATCATTTGAGCAACTTTAGATGATAACATAGTTTTAAATAATTGATTAATTTTTGGGGAATTCAAATATTAATATTTTCAATATTAGGCAAGCCTATATCTTTTTTCTAATGAAATTCTTAAATAAATTTAATAATTGATTAAAATATCATTATTTTATCAAATCTAACAATGAAAGTCATAAACAAAAACGTAGACTTTTTGGCAAAAAACAAGAAATTTAGTTAATTTTTATTTTTTTCCATTTAGCAACAGCATGAACGAACAACATTTAATTTAATATAATTAACTTGTTTCTATATAATTATTAAAGATTCAAAATTTTTTTACTTGAACTAGACCTTTTATTAGATTTACATTATTATTTGTATCAGAAATTATATGAAAAAAATCATAAGTATTTTTATTTACAAAATATAAAATTAATTGCTAACTCGTTTGTTATCAACATAATTTCTTTTAATATTTTAATTTAGCAAAAAAGTGCTTGTCCTTATTTAAAATTGTATAATAACGAATAAATAAATTATATAAAATTATTAAAGCTTGTTTAATATTCATGTAATATAGAATAAATGTCATATATTTTAAAAAATTTTATTGATTGATTAATTGATTACCTATTTTATTTATCAATTTTAGGATATTTTTTTTGAAAAATGAGCCTTTTTTCTAAAATTGATCAATAAAAGAAAAATTTGTAGACTATTTAATATTTTGAAGAAATTTGTTATAATTAATTAAAATCTACATCCATTTAATTCAATATATAATAAAATAATGAAGTAAATTTAAGTAAGCATCTGATGAAATAGATAAATAGATAGATAGATAAATTTATTATATCAATCCCTATTTTTATATGCTAGAACAGCTTAAATTTCATTTTTTTATTTTAAAAATTAATTTGCTTAATCATTCATTTCCAGCTTATATTTGTAAATTAATTAATTAATTTCTAACTAATATAGATAAATATTTTTGATTTTTCGAAAATATTCAAGTGATTTGAGGAATTAATTATCCTTTAAATAAAAAATTTTGGAGACTTAAGTTCTTTAATTTTAATAAGCATGAGCAAGTACATTATAAAGGTTTTTAATTAAAAACGCTATAATCTTAAATAATAGACAAGAGATAATGATTGACTTAAAAAATGTAATTCAAAAATATTATATTAGTTGTAAATTAGAGTATTTTTAGTTATGATCTTAGCTATTTGCTATATATAAATAGATATATATTTCTTTATATTTTTTTGTAAATGATTTAGTATTAAACTATATACAAATAAGTAGAATGAGTGAGTTATACAAGAAATAATACATTAAAACGATTAGATAATAATTATTTATATTATATTAAATTAATATGTATTTTAAATAAATTTATTTTTTAATAATTAACACCCATTTGTTGTTTTTTGGTTGATTGATTGATTGATAGATTGATGCATTTGTTATTTATTAATTTATATATGTAATTTCAATTTTTAGTAATAGTCTATTTTTTATAAGAGTAATTCACTGATTAGTTGTTTTGTTGGTTGGTATCTTTAATTTGTATTTTGTAATTGATAATAATTATAAGAGAGGGAAATTTTCTTTATTAAAATAGTAACAATAAGAGAAGAATATTTTCATTGTTTTTTTCAATGACTGCATTTATAGACTTAATTATTTATTTCAAAAAGAAATTAATCTTTGCTAGCAGATGCTATTGATGGAATTGATATTAAATTCTTGTCATGAAAACGGAAGTATTTTAGCTAGTTGTTCAATGAAATAACCAAGCCATTTAAGCTCGATCCTGAAAAGAAATTTGCATTTTTGACTGATAGATTTAAGGTAAGCAACTAAATTTTTTATTAAGGATTAGTAAGAGATTTTTATTTGAGTATCTCATATATATTTTTAGAATCACAGCAGAATCTTTTATCTTCGTAGTACCAAAAGTCTACAATTTGATCTTAGTTGATTAAATTATCTTCTTTTCCGATTCTCTGGCTAATATATTTGATAAAAAAATATCTTGTTACACTGAAATAAAATAATCATCAATTTGTTGTATTTTTTGATTTGACATAATAAGAAAATTATTTATTTATTTGTTTTCATACTTAATTTGTTTCAAGAATGGGAATATCAAAGATTAGGAAAAAAATTGAGTTGCAATAAAAATTTGAAAGAGTTTTATTGATTTTTTTTTTTTGCTTGATTGGCAGATTGGGTTTGAAGTTTTTTTTAAGAATAGAAAAAAATTTTTAAATAATTAAATAAAATTTTACATGGTTAATTTGTAGTTTTTACTAATGTCAAAGATGAAAAAGTATTTCTACTTTGTCATAACAACGACGGAGTGTCTTGGATATTATAGGACATATTTTATCTTTACAATATCTTGTTATTCTCCGTTGCCAGCATCGATGCTTTTGTATTCATATTTTTCAGTAAATAAATCGTAAAAAATTATAGAGTCTTTTGCATATAATATCAATTTCCCAGCTGTTGGTATGCTTTCAACGCCAAGCAATTTAAAGCTCTGAGAGGAAAATTGTGTCTTTATGGTTTGTGTTTTAAATGGTCTTTCAGGCTGAGATAGCTCAAAAGAGTCAATTTAGAATGCAAATAAATTATTTAAATTTGTTTCCTATACCATGGCAAAAATTAGCTCATTTACTGGTACGATATGTACACCTCTTGGTATATCTTTTTTTATAGATTTTAATTTGTTGCTTTCATTTTTCCTGACTGATAATTCAACTTGGTAAAGTTGGTTTGAACTGAAATTCTAGTATAAAACCTGATTTTGCTGGATGAAATAAAATTTTTCATCAAACTATTACTCAGTTTGCTTTTATTTTTGGCTGAGTTATGCTTACTAAATAATATTTTAGTTAGTCAATTTCAAGGGTGAGTTATGGCTAAGTTGCTTTAAAAGAGTTTCTGAGGGATTTATCTAAGTAGTCTCAGCTTAGTCATGCGAAGCTTCTGTGTTACAAACAAGTCTTTAAATTTAAAAAAAAACAATTAAATTTAATCGTGATAGCACAAAAAAATTATAAAACTGTAAAAAAATTTTATTACCTAGTCGTACTTTTAACGTTTAACATATTGTTCCCATACTAGAAAAAATTAGAGCTGACAGATTTTCCGCACGAAAATGGATTTTCTTCAGCGTTAACTTCGATGTTATTCAAGCTGCTTAGTTAACTTAGAACAGCTATTGAAGAGGGTGTCTATTTGGAATCGTGATTTTTAAGAAAAACTTCTTTTTGAACATCTCTCTCAGATTTTTGCTTTCTAATTTTTTTCTGAATAGGGAAAGGAGATGAAGAGATAGACTTTTCACTTTTGCCATTCGAAAGAACTGAAAAGGAGTGAGTGACTGAAAAGGAATTCTCTTCTTCCATGCTGCTGCCTTTTAAAGCCCCATTTTAATTAATTTTTTGAATGTCCAAGGTAATGTCTTGAGCAAACTCATTGCATCTGATTTTTAAGGTTTTTGGTGGCTATATTTTTTCTGATAGCATTTGACTAGATCTAATATTTTAAATTTTGCTTTCTTCTTCAAGCTTAATTCTTATATCTTTATCTTACTCAACTATAGGTTCTATAGGAAATAATGCACGGTACAAATTATTTTCTTCAATGTTTTTTGTGCTTTAGGAGTTCTACAACGATATTTGTGGATTTTAATTAATTTAATTAATTAATAAAATATTTGATCTTTGAATAATCTGATCTGTTTTCTAATCATCTTATTAAATCGTAGACTTTAAATTCAAGTTTTTCTGCTATTATCCACAGTTTGAAGAGCTTTGACTAAAAGTTAGATATTTCACATCTAATTAATTCAATAGGCTTGTGCTTTGGATTTTTTAAATATTCTCACATAAATTGTGGTTTTGATTTTATATTACGTCATTAAGATTTTAAAATTAATTTTCTTAAACTAGTAAAGTTTATTTTCCCAATATTTAATTTTAAAGTGAATTTTTTTCTTTTGTGCCTTATTGGGTGAGAAGAGATTATTATGTGTTTGCAAAAATCTTAATTTAGTTTTACTAGGCAAGAAAGCTTTAGTCTTTAATATCTTTAATTTGAGCATATAGAACTTATTACTAGTTTTTAGTATCATTCTTAATGGAGTTAATAGTGAGATCGTTTAAAGCAGTGTTTGCCTGTGCAATTTAATTAATTTCCTAAGGATGAGGCGATTTAAGTAAAGGTTATTTTTAATTAAATTATTTTTTCGTAATTTATGCTTGTGAATTTAATTGTTATTAATTTTATTAAAGTTGATCGATCAAAAATTAGTTTCTCAATTAATTTAGATCATAATTTTATAATTCAGTAATATCTATTCCCTTCAAATTCTAAGTTTATAACAACCCAGCCCTTTCTTTTACTACTTCAATAATATCTTCATTTCTTTCCTTGGGAGAAAGAAGCTCCATTTGTATTTATTTTCTAAATTAATCTATGATGTCTTGATCTTGAGATTGGTACTAGCATGAGATATTCATGACCTTATTTTGGCTTAATTTGGGTTGTACTTATTATAGCTCTTACTAATGCAACATCAAACAAACATCGCAAAGATAAAAGCTTTTTGAGTTAGCACTCTAAATAAATTTAGCAGGTTGATGATGAATCGAGCACATTCCCAAATGAATGCCCTGATTCTAAAACTGAAAAGAGTTATGTTGCATGAATAGCATTATCTTTCCTCCAAATGAGTTATAACTCTTATTGTTTTTAGTGTAATATTAAAGATCCTCTCTAAAATTATTTAGAGTTTAAACTTCCTTCTAAATTAAAAAAATATGACTTGAATTGTAAATAAATTTTTTTAATTCAATATTCTGTTTAATGAATTCGAAAAATGAATGTTTTTATTTATTATGTTATTTAATTTCTCAGCTTGTTTTTCAAAAATAATATTTTTTTACTAATTTAATTTATTATAAAATGAGATTGATTGTAACATGATTGAATATTCATTCATAAATCATTTGTTCCCCAATAAGAAAGAAAATATTAGAAATACAAGTGTTATAAACAAAAAGAATTTACCAAAACTAATAAATTAATTAATTAATTAATTTATTTATTCATTTGTTTCTTTGTTTGTTTGCGCAATTAGTAGCAAACAGACTAGCTTTCTATTTACATGCGCTTTAACAAATTGTAATACCAAAGTTTTAAAAATAGCAGTAAAACAAACAATAAATTTCTTTTGATTAAAAATCATAGGATTTAATTATCCTAAGATATTAATTAAATTTTGTCTTCAATAATAATAAATTTCAATATTTTTTTTTTCTTTTTTCTTTCCCCATTCTTTCTTTGTAACGCATTCTTTACTACAATATAGACTTTGCATTACTTTTTGTAAATTATTTATTTTTCATTTAATCCCATGTATTTAATTTATTTTTAAGCACACATTCAAATAAGTGATATTTTTGTAGACTCTTTGAAAAGAGAATTGTTAAGATATTTAGTCTCCAGTTTGAATCTTAGACTTATTTATTGTTAAAATATAATTTATTTGATTAATATAGTTTTTAAATACAATAATGTACTTTTTAATAGCTTTTTGAACCATTTAATTATTTCTACTCAATTATCTCCTTGTTAAATGTGAACAAATTTGCTGATTTTTTCAATAAAAAATAGAATTTATTATTATTTTTTAGTCATGAATCTATAAATTTTCATCTATTTTCTATTTTGCGAGCTGATCACCAACATTTTACTAAAAAATTAAAGCAACTTAGCTTTAAAATTTATAAAATCCAAAAAAATTAAAAATAAAAATTAAGAAAATGGGATTTTCCAGTTATAAAAAATCTTTGTAAGTTATATAAATTTTATCAAATTTAGATTATAAATATTAAAAAGTATAACTTTTTTAAAGATTTATAAAATTAATTGAAACTACAAGCAAATATTAGTTTAATATATATGGAATGGACTATTGTAGATGTATCCAAATTATAAATCAATAAGACGATTCTTTAGAGATATTCTTTAGAAAAAAAAATTAAAGTCAATTAACTAAAAATCTAAAATTATGCTAAATTTATTATTATTTCTTTAAGATAAAATGTTACTTACTTTCAAAAAAATCAATAAAAAGAATTTTTTAAAGAATTGTATCATCTTCTTTGAAATTAAATTTGTTACTTTCAATAATTTGTAAATTAGATTTAGTTGTTTCTTCCCTTATTTATTTAACTTGTTAGTTAGTTAGTTAATATACAAAGAGTTATTAAATAATTTTTATATAAATAATGTAGAAATTGTAATTTGGAGGAGACAACTTTTTTAAAATACAAATTAATTAATTAGTTGTAATTAAAATTACTTTGGATTTGCAATATCTTTTATAAAAATAAAGAACCTTCAAAAAGAATAAATACATACTCTCTGTCTGTCTGCCATTATTAAAATTGAAAACAAAATCTCATTTTTTTAAAAAATAATTTTTGAATTGAAAAAACTTCAATTAATTTCTAAAATTTTTTTAATATTTCAATAAAAAATACTCTTTCTAGAATAAAATCTAGTTTTATTCAAACAAAAAAAATTTTATTTGAATTGATTAAATGTAAGCTTTTTTTTTCTCAGTAATTCATGTATTTTATCTTAATTCTAGAATAAACTATTTTTAGATTCAAAAACATTTTTATTTAGTTCCAACTCTTTTATTCAAAAAGAAGTTACTAAAATAAATCAAATTAATTTATTTTAAAAATATTTTAAACTTTTGACGAAAGATTTTGAAATGTTTTGTTTGTTTGTTTGTTTGTTTGTTTGTTTGTTTTTATTTGACATATTTTTCTTGATTTATTTATCAGGGTATAAAAATTCGATTAAAATAAAAAGGAAATCGATGATGTTTTTAATAAACTATATTATTATATGAATATTTGGCAAAAAAATACTGCTCTCAAAGTGATTATCATATTAATAAACCTATCTATTCCTTTATATATTTATCAAAAATTTTAATTTTATTTTGATAATTTTTTATCGTGAATTAAAAAAATTCAGGCAATATACAACCAAAGTCTGTAAGTTAAAAATGTAATAAAATTAAATAGAAAATGCTTAAAATAATTAAAGAATTTTAAATACTAGAATGATGTAAAACATCTTTTCTTACTTGCTTTTGAATGTAATTAATTAGATATTTAATATATTTACAAGTAACATTATTTAAGATAGAAAAAAATTTTTTTTGTTCTAACCCAAAATAAACTGACAAATTGGATATCCCAAATCAAATAAACTATAACATAATTTTACGGTTTTTTATAAAAAAGTATGTTTATTTTACATACAAATAATTTAACGAATGCTATAATATTATTTTAATCTAGTAATTATTCACATAAAATAATTAATTTCATAGAGTTAATATACTGTAACATTATTTGAGGTCAAATATTATTTATTGAATTTTGTATTTTTACTTATGCTTTTCTTTAATAATTCGACGATTAAAACAAAACTAAAATAAAATTGATTGATGATATATTTAAAACCTAGCCAATTTTACACTGCGTCTCTTCTGAATTTAAGAAATATGCTACTATAACAACAAAAACGTTATAAATATCTATAAAAAATTAAAAATGTTTATTTTCTAATAGATATAGAGATTAACTAATATCATAATATCATATTAAATATGCAAATAGATTAATATTGTCTTTATAAAATTAAAAAACATGCATTTAAAGAAATAAATTTCTAATGTTTGTTATTAAGTATTAATATATTAAATTTTTTACAAACGGACCTAAGTAAATTTCAGGTTTTGAGTGATAGTATTATACTTGTTTGTGAAATAAGTCATCATCTATACTTTGTTGCTAAGTAGTAATTAGACAGCTTATATAATTCATTTTTTGTAAATAATTCAAAGTACATTACTGGTTTGGTTTTGAGTGTTTATAAATACTTTTATAAAATAATTAGTAAAAAGTATATAAAGGCTTTTATAAATTTCCATTTAATGTTTTGGAAGGAATTTATTTAACAAGAGATTTATTATTTTTATTAAGATCAAATAAGAATTAAATATTCATAGATTTTATAAATTTTAAATAATACCTTAAATACTCTTGTATCTTGAATAAAGGAGGGAGAAAGAAGTAAATTTTATTTTTAATTTTTTCCCTCCTCCTTATTTTACTATCCCAATAAAGAATTGCTTGTTTATTTGTTTTTCCCAACACTAGTATTGTATCTATTGTACATAAATAAATTTTTTTAATTTTAACATAAAATAAAGCTAATAAATATTCATTTGAAGAAAAGAAGTTAGTTTATGGCTTCATAAATGTTGTTAAATATTTTAAATGATTATTTTCTATAATAAAAAAACTAAAATAATCTTACTAATTTTTAGTAGTAACTCTAAATTAATTAATTAAATTTATAAAAAGTAAGAATTATTTTCCCCTAGTAAAATCGATATAAATAGCTATTTTATTTATTAAATGATAATACTTTAGTTCAAAAAATCTAAATAATTTAAAAATAAAAATATTATCAATTAAAATTGCTTCATAAAATAAAAGTGTGTTCAAGTGTGTATCATATGATACAATTTAGAATAAATTAATTCATAGTAAATAAAAATAATTCTTTCAAACCAAAGATTAAAATTTTCAGATATTTCTTTCGTTAAATTTTCTAACACACACATGCACGATAAATATTTCAAACCAAATTCGAGCTAAATTAAAATTTATTTTTATGATAAAAATATAGTAATTAATTAAATAAATAAATAAAAATTAAATATTGTAAGTTAAATTCTTAAGTAAGTAACATCATTCTATAGATTTTAAAATTTATATTTTGATTAATCTATAAAATTAACAAAGTCCAACGCTTTTTTTAAGAAATTTATTTATGGATAGAAATATATTTCATATTATTTGAGAGCAGGTTTATAATAATAAAGTGTCATTATTGTAAAAGAAAATGTTTGTTAATAGAAAGATAGATAGATATATATAATACATAATAATAAAAGAGGACATAATAAAATATATTTTGATTAAATTAAATGAAGCATATGTGAAATAAATTTATATTATTTGTTTAATTGCTAATAAAAAGAATAAAGAAATTGAGTAATTACTTTTCTTTCTAAATATATTTCGTATTAAAATTAAATAAAGTTTAAAGTGTTTTGTTTCAGAATAGATTTTTATTTTAAATTTTTATATTTAAAAATAAGAATTCTAAACTATTAATTTCACAGTTTAAGATGTTGTTATATAAAGTTAGGTAATTGTTTATTTTAAATTTGTTATTATTATTATTAATATTATATCTTTATTATTCATTGTTTGTTTAATTAGTTTTTTATCTTCACTTTTTTTATTTTGTATTTTTTTAACTATTTGTAAATATTTTTTGTAAGCAAGCATTCTATTCATTTTAGTGCAGAAATTTAGAAAGTAGTTTATGGATTTATTGATTGATTGATTGATTGATACAATGAGTATGAGAGATAGTCGTCCTGTTTTTTTAAATAGGCAAATTATTTTAAAATAGCTAATTTGTAAAATTTAGTTAAAATTAATATTTTTAGTCAAAAGAACTTTAAATATTTTGATATATTTTGGAAGATAAATTATCTCAAATTTGATTAAGATATTATTTTTCAAATTAGAATATTTTGGATTGTTTGTTTGTTTGTTTGTTTAACTTATAAGAGAAAGTAAGTTTACTTTATGGACAAATATTTAAATTGGTTTTATTAAAATTATGTTTAAATTTATTGGTGGTGGTTAATAATTAATTTTTGCAATATAAAAATTTTGGTTTTTTCAATTAAAATAATATCTCAATTTTTCTTTAAGAATGCTCTTTTTATTGGCATGATATTAATCATTATAGGATAATCATATAACGATTCTGTAATGTTTTCTCCTATGAAGGATGCCTTAGAAGTTTTGGTTTTGAAAGATTTGTAAGTTGATTCTTTGACTTCTGTAATTGGTGTAAATTGAGTTTTGTAGTTTTTTATATTTCTTGTGTTGCTATTGTTTTCCTCATCTTAATGTTCTTTTATTTCTTCTGCAGAGGCATATTGCTTATATGAGTTTCCACTGTTAAACATACCTTAGTTTTGCATCTTTTGGCTTGAAGTTGTTTAGCTTTACTTTGAATTATTTTCATTATGTTGTTGTGAAGATTTTTTGCCATTCGTTTGCCTTCTTGGGGAAATTTACTCACTATGCTGATGAAAATTACCTCTATCATCATAATTTTCTTCATGCTTTACATAGTTATCTAAGGCTGAGTGTGAATAGCCATTTTACTGATGATTCATAGAGTTACCCACTTGATGCACTTTCTTGCTTTAGCTTGAGCTATGGTCATGAAATCTATTCAAATCTAGCTCACCAATGTCCAGTTGACTTTATCTAATAACAAGACTTCTTGTTCTAATGTCTTTTCTAATATCTGAAGTCGTCAAAGGGCTTGCATTCTTATTAATCATGTCTCCTGAGAATTGAATACCCCCTTCATCTACTATATCATCGCTATCAGATCCTGAGTAATTATTCAATTTACTAGTTCCGGTTATCGATGTGACAGATAATGAAGCTACATCTTTTGTTGGTACAGTTAATAGATTATTACTGTTTCCATGCATTTAATTAATTGCATGTAAAAAGCTGTTACGTTTTTCATGCAAACCGTTTCCGATAAGAGTACTGCTATTAGGATTGTTTACAGGACTATTGTTAGAATGTTGTAATCCATTAATAGAATTATTTTGTGAAGAATTAAGCTAGAAATTAGGATGATTATTTAAGATACTAACACTGACTTCTCTATTATTAATTTAATTATTCGAACCTTGTTGATGATTTCCATTTTAGTTTATAATATTAACCAAAGTGCTTCCAGCATTTTTGCTATTTTTTTCATTATTTATATTTTTTTCCAAAGCACTGTCATTAATTGCATTAGTTTTTGATTCTCCTCCAAATTTTCCTGTTTCAGGTGAGTGCAAAGCATTAACTAAGCTTGTATTCTTTTATGGCCCACCAGGAGGTGATATATTATTAATGTTACCAATTTGATTTTGGCTTTAAAGTTATTTAGAAAATTCTTATGAAGCCGAGGCTTGATAATTGTTACTTTATTATGTTTATTATTGTTATTATTATTGTTATTATAGTTGTTATTGTTATTATTATTGTTATTATTATTATTATTATAAAATTGATTATTTTTTATGGTCTATATTTTATTTGCTATGAGAATTATGGATATTTTCTGTTTGAATGGTAGCTTTTTGATTGTTTTAGTTTTGTTTTTCATTATTTTACAAAGCGCTTGGAATATTATTTTACGAAGTAATTTTCTATACCTTTTTGTTTTCTGTTATTTCTCCCCCTCCAGCAGGACCTCCTGCTCCACCAGCGTTATTTTAATTCAATAATTCTTTAGATTGGAGCTTTTATAAAGATTATTGCTATTAAAATAACTGCTACTATTGCCGTAGCTATTACTGTCGCGATGCTATTTCCTTCTGGCTTGTCTGTTAAGGGAGATCTTGGGGTGTTTGAAATTTTTTGCGATGGCGATAGTCTGGCAAGTTTTCCCAGTCAACATTTTAAGACTGGATTTCTAGTTTTTTATCAGTAATAACCTTTTTGAATAGGGCTTTTAGTGCTGCATAATTTGGCTGCTCAGTGAATTCAAGCTTTTTGACCATTCTTAGATACTACACTAGTTCGTTTGGGCATCCTTCACATAATTGCTCGAGAGGATAATTCATTTTCATGTTTTTTATTTTCTCATATTTTTCATCTTTTGTCTCTGCGTATATTTGCTACCATGGAAGTTTTCCTCTAATGAAATAAAGTAAAACATATCCAAGAGCTTCTAAATCATCTCTTCTCGATTGTTCAAGTCCTTAGTGAGCATTGATACTTGCATATCTAGCAGTACCTATCATTCCTTTCTTTTCAACCACAGGAATATGATTTCCTTCGCTATCCCTATATAATAGATTTGAATTTTATTAAAATAAAGATTAAAAATATTCTTTTAAAATTAGCTTGAAATATCCAAATTTATTTAACTTAAAATATAATAAAATAATTTATGCTATTAGATTTTGGAGGATATAAAAAAGTTAGCTATCTTTTGTAAATATTTATATAAACTCTTAAATAAATCTATCAAATAAACAATCAATTAATAAAATTTTGGATGCTTATTTTAAAAAAATTGTCTATTTCTTTGAATTTATTTTTATTATGTAAAAATCATCTTAATTTAGCACATTAATTAATTAAACAAATAATCAATTGATTAAATACAATCAAAAGCCAATCACTCTTTTTGTTTTTTTGCTTGCTTATCCATTTAATGTATATAACTTTTGTTGCTTTTTTTATCGATATTACAAAAACTCGCTGTTTATGGCTAAAAATAGACTGATTTAAAATAATACCAACATAAAGTCGGTTTTTTTACAATCTTAACACAATCTTCACTTATTTTTAATATTATTCTTGCAGTGAAAGTATAATTTTGCTAATATTTATCGATCTTATTCAACTTATTTTTTTGGTTCTATTAGGAAGGTATTTTAGCACAAACAAAACTAAATATTATTTCTAAGTTTTTCGCCTATGTAAATTAACATGCATTTTCAGTTGAATCAAATATAAAATGAAAAGGGGTGATTTAAAAGATAATATTAATTGTTAAATAAATAAATCTCACTTGTAATATTTAGCCAAGCCGAAATCTATCAAATAAACCTGATTAAAACTGCGATCTGGTCCGATTACAAAATTTTCTGGCTTTATATCTCTGTGTATTAGATTGTGATTATGCAGGACTTCTAATCTAGTAATCATTTGTTCTGCAATATTCATACAGGTTGCTAAAGAAAAGCGTTATCCACATTTCTTTAAGATGCTATCCAAATTTTTACCTAAATTAGTCATAACTACATAATTATAATCTTCATCTTTGCCATATGTTATCATTCTCGCATACCCAAATTCATTTTTTAATTCCATCATTACTTTAATTTCTCTCACAAGCATGCTTGAATGACGTTAATTTCTTTTTTCCATTTTCATCGCATAAACTTCTTAATTCTCTAAATTAATGCATTTAAATATCATGCCGAACGAGCCCTATCCTAACTTTTCTTCTAATCTAAATTTATTCCCCACGATTGATCCTACGCCAATCCCACTTGAAGAGTCTTCAAAATTATTCATTTTAATTTCTTCTAAACCTTTATATCAACTAATCTGAAGATTACTTTTCTTCTAAAAGTATAAACTATCTGCTAAAAAACAAAAATGTTCAAGGAAGGAAGCAAGTAATTAGAGTTATCCTTCAGTCAATAATTTAGATATTTTCTTTAATTTTAGAATTTCTATTATAATTTTTGGTACTATTTAATTATACAGCTATATATAATGTTGTTAACTAAACACTTAAAAGCCTATGGCTTAACCCTTAAAGATTATTTGTTTGTCAATCAATCAATAAATTAACTATCTTTTTTTTATTTAATTTTATAGTTTTTGATAGCAAATCAAGTACTTTCTCCAAAAGAGAATATAAAAATATCTGCTTAAAGGCTACCTTATTCTTTTTCTTTATGCTGCTTTAAAGAACTTCCTTATTAATGAATGACTTGTTTGCTTACTTACTTAATTAATTAATAAATAATATTAATTTGCTTTTTGCTAATCTCCACTTTTCTTCAAATTAATTATGCGTAATTCTAATGAATTTAATTAAATTATGATTTACCAGTATTAACATATTATCAGACCCCTTATTGAAATTTCTATTAAGCAACAATAATTAATTGTCTAAATGCAATCAATAATAATTATTAATTAATTAAAAGTTTATTTAACCCTTAGAAAGGAATGATTTAAATTTTAAGATAGATTTTCATATGCGGAATCTGCTTTCAAGATTTTGATGAGTGGTTAAATTACTGTCCATTTATTTATTGGCTAGCTTTTGTGGTTAATTAAATAAAGGCTATGCCAAAAAAGGTAACACCAAATTAAGTTATAGTAGATTGATTCTACTTTTTTAGAAGATTAGAATAAAAATATTTAATTGTTAAAACGCACTCATTCATTATAGCAATTATCATTTAAGATTTTTAATATTAAATTTGACTATTACAATTTGAGCTTTTAAATTTTTTCATCAATATTATTTTTATCTCAATCAGACAAATTTTTTATTAGTCATTATTCTATTTATTTTAGAAAAAACATAAATAAATAGCATCTAAAAATTATATTTTAACATATTATTTATTTATTTCCAAAAAGTTTATTGAAATTTAGTTAAAATATAATTTAATATTAAATTTTGTAATTCAAATCAGATGAAAATTTAAAAAGCATTTAATTAATTTATCAAAAACTAAAAAATTTCAAACAAAAGATAGCTAATAAATATGGTTTATATACCTATCTAAATACTTCTCTTGCAAATAATATGCCATATTTTAAATAAATTTTTAGATTTAGATAGTTCAGATATTAAAAAAAAGAATTTTTTATCATGCTTAAAAAAATATTAATTACTTTTTTTAACAACTTAATTTACAATCAATCAATCATAACATTTTTATAATTTTTTTTGGAAATAATTTATGATTAAATTTAATTACAAACTTAAAAAAATTTACTTCTATAATTAAAAATTAAGTCTATAAAAAAACCAAAATTATTTATTTATTCATCTAAAAATTCTTACAAGAATAAATTAACTGAAATAAAATATCATCAAAAATATATTTTTTTAAGTATTATTGTTATTAATTAAATTTTTGTTAATATCTTCAAAAAATCTTTGAGATTGCTGACATAAAAATTAAATATTTTTTAGCCTAACATAAATAATATGATAGATAATTAATCCAATTCAAATCCTGTAAAATAAAAATTAAAATATTTTTAAGTTTAATATTTTGTAAGAATAGTTGGTTTGCAAAGATAAAATGTAAATTTGATAAAATGATAATAAATATTTAATATAAATTTCCTAACTATTTTAAGTAAATTTGTTGTAAAAGCGAAAACGAAGACTGGCAATCATTTAATGTTTTGAGAAATATATTACATAATATAAAATAAAAAGGTAAGTTTGTTTGTTTGTTTTTTTGCTTATTTATTTATTTAAAGTTAAATAATTTATAATATTTTATAATTTATATTATTCATTATTTTTAGAGAATTTATATTTATTTATTTATTAATATATTCAAAAGTATAAAGAATAAAAGAATGAGACTATCTACTTTATTATAATCTATAGGTACATCAAAACTCCATGTTCATAATTAAAATAAATCAGTACTGTATTTATTTATTTATCTATCTATTTATCCAGCTATTTTTCTATTTATCTATTTACGTATTTATAAACTAATTTATATTGAATTGTTAGTTTTTTTGCCATTTCACTTCATTTCTATTTATTTAAAAAAATCATTTTAATTTTGCATTTTTTATAATAAAAAAAAACTTACACATAATGGACAGCGGATTGATGAAAATATTTGAGGAAGAAGATTCAAACATAACTTATGGTAAGAGTGACCACAGTCTAATGTATGCTGCATCTAGTCTTAAACATTTTGTTTGCAGACTCCACACATTTTATGGGAAGAAACATCTTCAAGTTAGAGAGAATGGAGAAACTCTTCGTTTTCATTTAATTTATGATAATTAGATATTCTTTTTGCATATAATTTAAATCGGGTCCATTGCTAAGTATCAAGGAAGTAACTCCAATTTTAATGGTTGTGAGTAGGTTTTCTAAGAACTTCTTTTTAGTCTAGTTTCTTCAATGTTTAAGAAGAAAAAGATATTTACCATTTTGGTGAAGATTTTTTTTTTAAGTCTTATATTCCTGTGTATGCGAATCTACATTAGTAGAATCCGATTTAATGGATTTAAGTATTTTGATTAGATTTACATTGAAGACATGATAATTTTGAGTTTTCTGTTAGATCGTAAATTCCAATACCTACATTTTTTACTGCTCTTTTGCCATTTAACTTGCATTGTGAATTTTTACACTCATATTCTATATTGATACCAATTAATACCTTTCTGTAAGGCTATTCATCTTTCTTTTTTAACTAAACTTCTTAGGTGGAAGATCCTTATTAACTGTTATCTGATGGCCAATACATTTCATTTCCACTAGCAACACCGTTTACTTATGATCCATTCATTATTGGGGTCTTTTCATCATCCATATTTCTGATCGCAAAGAGTTAGTCATGGCCGTTTAAACCTAATTTTTCTTCATCTAATAGTGGTACCCAGCTTTATGGACTTGCATTAAATTCTTAAGTGTTTATTCTGCCTTTAGATTGTAGAGGAGAAGCATTGCTTTAATCTTCGATTATTTTATACATAGAGCAAGCATTTATATTTAAATTAGGATCTATCTTGCACAGCTCTTTTTTTACATCATCTATGGTCATAGATGCAAAAACTAACTATTAAATCCATGTAGGATTTCCTTGATTTTTAGCAGAAGGTGGAAGCTAAACTTGTATGTAGTAGGGTTCCTCAAATATTTCCTTAGTTTTGAAGTAAGCAGGAAAACAATCCTAATGATATTACAGAGACTTCTGCATATTTTACATTCCAAATAATAACTCTAGGCTAATTGCATCAGTAGAGTATTGCTATTTTATATATTTCTAAGCTACATCAAACAAAGTTTGGGTTGATCCTTATTGCTGAGCTTAAGAATGCGATATCTAAAGAATGAATGATTTTGAAGTGTCGCTTCTGCATAAGAATAAAAATTTTTGCATATCTGAATTCTACATTTAGTCTTTTGTTCTCACAACATACTACTAAATAGATGCATCTACAATTCCTTCTTTGAATTCCCTTTCTTATGTATCAAGTCTAGCAGCCTTTTATGAACCTAAATCATCTAGAATTAAAAAAATAATATTTAAATCCATTTTAAATTTAACTATGGTTAGAACTAAAAAATTACAAAGATTAAATAAAATTTTAAAAATAAATTCAATCATTTATTAATTATAATTCAAAAAAATCTAAAAAATTAAAGTAATTTTCTTAAAAATTTCAATTAATTTTAAGAAAGTTAGTTGGATAAGATATTAAAAATCTTGTTAACATTTGATAATAAATTTCAAAGTGTTTGCTTTGAATGTTAAAATTTATTATTATAAATTAAATCACTTAAATTAAATTTTAAAATTCTTCTTATTTAATATATATGCTTTGCTTATTTATGGTTAATGCAACAAACTAAACACTTGCTTTCTTTCTTTCTTACTTAGTTATTTACTTATTTACTTACAGCTCAAATTAATTAAAAATAAAATGACTATTTATGCATTTCCAAAATATAGAAATAAGTTTGTAAATTATTATTTATTTATTTAGGAAATTAAAATGATTAATTTTACCTTTATTTCCCTATATTATTGTCCCAGGTCTTTAATGCCCATTTAATGAGCTGCTCTCCATCATTGAGGGATTGATAGCTTGGTTAAATCCACCACTATTTCTGTGCTAAACTGCATAGCTTGAAGGCTATATATTCGTTCCACTTTAAACTACACTGGGTTGTATATTTGTGTTACTAGGGATATTGCCCACACTATTTGGAGTATTTTATTTATGCATGGACTGCATCAAAGGCTAATTGTTTTCTTGTGAATCAAATTAATTAGTATCCTCTCTTTTTGTTTCTCCATGAATCTAAGATTGATGATTAACGATATCTCCTTTACTATTAGCTTTTGAATTTGTATTCCCATGGTAAGAACTATTTTCGTTTTATGACTACTACTAATAATTTTTATTTAATTTTATAAATTATAAATTTTCACAGATAAACTATATTTAGGCATTCAAAATTAATATTTTAAAATAATTATTGCAAATTTTCACTTTGAGTATTATATGAATTAAAAAAGTAATAGCCGTTTAATATTACAGTTGCTACTATTTCCATTCTATTTATTGGATGGATTGCTGATTGATTGATTCATTGGCAAATAAAAATTATTCCCTTTTTTGTTATTCGAAAAACGTTAAATTGTAAACAAGCTAAATAATAGCCATTCAAAATACAATGCTAAATATATTTATGAAAATAAATATATTTTTTGCTCATGAATAACCTGCAAGAGTGAATATATTTATTATGATTAATTTTGGCTACTTTATTTTGCATATTGTATTACTAAAACACTAATAAATAATTAATAAAGAATTCGATCGAAGAGACTCTGTTGGCTTATATGAATATTAAAAATACAAGGGTTCAGCTAGCTGGTTATGATTCATAATTATTCAAAGCTATGATTGCAATAATACTAGTTATTTAAAGAAAAAAATGAATTGTACAGTAATTACTTCATGTTCTTTTTCTTGTATTTTATCAGGATATGAGCAACAATTTCCCATTGTTCACTTTATTATATTTCTTTTAGAATTTTGAATTTAAAGAGTGTGCGATTTTCTTTCAGCTATTCCTTAAAAAATTGGTTGTATTTAGTTGAGTCCTATACTTATTAAAACAATTTTAGCTGCTGCTGGATAATTTTTAATGTTTTTATACCAAAGTTAGCTAATTAATGGATTTTTTGCTTTACTTTCACAAATGTGAATATCTATCTAGTAATCAAGCTTTTCTCGAGTAAATAATTAGATTTTTTATTGTAAAATGGTTAGAGCTTTGCTTATTGATATTAATGGATGAAAACTAGGTATCTATGCCTTAGTTAATTACTTCTATGTTGACTTTGCTTGATCTAAAAATGTAATTCTCTAGTTGCAAAATCTATTTAAAATATGAGAGATCTTTACTTTTTATTACTATATTAATTGCTTTTGCTATTTATTTTCGAATATTATTGCTTAAAATCTTCAAAAGCTTTCTTAATTTTTTTGATAATAAATTATATCAATTAAATCATTCAAAAGAGTCAAAAATTTTTACATTCAATAACAAAATAAACAAATAGATTAATTAATTAATTATTTAGATAAATATAGAGAGAGATAGATAAATAAATAGATAGATAAAAAAACAAAGAAAGAAACCTTATCTTTAAAAAGCATACTTTTTTATTTCCATTTTTATTTTTATTTTTGATTGTAATACCAAAGAAACAAATATTAATTTATTGCAGAGCTACTGATTATTTTTTATTTTGCTAATTGGTAAAAGAATAACTTCAAAATTTACAGCCAACCACTTTTATGTAATAAAATTGTATGACTGTTTTTTTTATTATTGTTAAATTTAGTTACACTATTTTTTTTGTATTTTCATTATGATAAAATAGTTTAAAATATCTATTTTCTTTTTCAAGTTACTTTTTACTAATATTAACTTTCTTTTTATTATAAATTCTATCAAATTACTCTTTAATTCACAAATAATTTGCATTGCAAGATAAATTTAGAACTAATTTTTTACCTTAAAATAAACTAGATAAACATAGCATTTATTGAAGGAACTAAAATTCTAAAGTAATAATGGATGGACTCTTGTTGTGATTTCATTGTAATTTGTTACTCTAAAAATTCTATTATTTCAAACAAATGATTTATATATTTATTTTTTGTGTTATCCTCACTCAATCAAAATATAATAATATATTGTATTTAATAATATTTTTTATTTAATAACATTTTTAAAGTAATTAATTCTAAGAATTCTTACTTAAATCATATGAAAAATTTATGTTTTATTATTTTATAAAACCAAAAAAATAATATGGCCTATCAACTAGTTTTTTATTTTATTATTAATCAGTAAGCATATAATCTAAAAATACTTTTAACGAAATAAGAAGATAGGTTTACTCTTTATTTTAAATATTATATTTAATTGTTTCTTTTTATCAAATCTACTTACAAAATTTTTTAATAATTATTTATTTTATGTATTATTTAATCTTATAGTATTTTCTTTTTTAAAATGATACTTATGAGTAAAAAAAAAATGTTCTGTTGATACAAAAACTGTAAATTATATTTCTATAAATTTTAATACTTATTAATTAACTCACTACAATACTATTAATTTTTAATGTTCTATTAAAAGTTAATTAAATTAATAAAAACTCAATATCAATATAATATTTTCAAAAGTATTTGATCGATAGATTCTTAAAATAATTTTAAAAGCATTAATTAGTTGCTTAAAATATTTTCAATAAGTTTAAAATCAAATATTTGCTGTTTTTAATAAAAATTTTTTTCATTAAAAAATTATATCTCAATTTATAATAAAAATAAATTCCTTTGTAATTTATAAATAGATTGATTTTATTGTACTAATCAATCATTTAATTATAAAAAATTTTAAAATATAAATTATTGTATATTCTCCTTAATTAAGACCCAGTGCTTGTAAAACTTTTCCAATAAATTTAGGTACTAATTTTTTTTATAATTTTGGGTATTAATATAAATCACCATTAATTAAGGCGAAAGTGCAGTATATTTTATTTTTTAAATGAGTTTAAAAATTAAAAAATAATTCTAATAATTTCAAACAATTTCAATTTATATTTAAATTTTTTACAAGTAAAAGTTCGTTTAATAAAAAATTTATGTAATTTATTAAATGATAAAATCGTCGACGAAATTAATTTTTTTAATTTAAAAAATAATTTCTTAAAAGTTCATTAATTCAATAATTTCAGATGGATTATTGAGGGAGTGAGCAAATATAGATTTTGACTTTATTCTTATGATAAAGCAGACAGATTATGATATTGTAATTTCTGTAAAATTATGTGAAAAAAATTTGATCTAATCAACAATGATAGGATGATTAAATTGGTTTTATTATTTTATTTAACTAACTAATTAACAAAAAGTTTAAATATTTAAAATAAACACTTTTAGAATGGATAAAAAGAAAATAGTTGACATAATATTTTAGTTTAAATTAAACTAAGAATTAAAAATTTAGGTTTGACACTCTAAATTAATTTTTGTTGAGAATTTAAGTTTTAAATCATACATACATACACACCTGAGTTAAAATTTAATTTAAATTTAGTAAATTATTTAACCCTAATTAATTTTAAATTCATTTAACAATTTAACTTAGAAACACAAATAAATAATAACAAATAAAATTTTGTGTCATTTTTTAAATATTTAATACTACCTAGAAATTAGGAAGACTTTGTTTTTTTAAAATTTGTTTGATTATTTTTATTTCTTTGCATAAATTAATTTTATAAAAAGACACAAAATATATATTTAGCAAAATATTGACTCCAATGTTATAATTTTAAATAATAATTAAAAAGAGGAAAATAATATTTTTTTACCATAGTTTCTCCTTATTATTCCCTATTGAATAAATTTTGTATTTGGATAATATAAAACAACAAAATTAATATGATTATGCAAAATTATAAATAAATAGTTTTAAAAGATTTGTGATATTTGTAGAATCAGTATGTCTTTTTCTGTAGTTCTTCAGTTCTAATATTATTGTATATATTGCTCATAAGAATCTTTTAAAAAAATAATTATCAATATAAGTAAGTTTTTTTAGATGGGTGGAATGAATACTATTCTGCTTTATAATAGGTACTATTCTATGGTAATAATTCATAAGCCGAATTTATATAACAATTAATAATAACAGCAGATAAGTATTCTTAAATTATTATATTCATAAGTGAATGAATTACTGATCCTAAAAATTGTTGCTCTTAATAATTAAAAATATTATGAATAAAATTGATTTTTTGATTAAATTAGTTGATAATAAAAAACTTGTTTTGAATAAATTTAATATATTTTTTAGTTAAAACAAAGATTGGCTTTGACATTTTTTCTCTCTGCAAAAAAACTTTTATTATTTTGAGTACCTTATTCATTTTAAATAATTTTATCCTACATTATTAAGTTTTAAATAAAAATCTATTGAAAACTTTAAGAACTAAAAGTACTTTCTATTTGTTAATTAAATTGAAAATAGTTATTGCCTTTTATAAATAACAAGAGATTTAAACATTTTTAGTTTCTTTACGAATGCTAAAGAGTTACATCCCTTAGAAGCACAATAGATGTATTATTTAATTTTAATTAAGATTTTACACTTTCGAATTCTTATCCTGATAATAATTATTTGAATTATTATTTTGAAATATTCTTAAATAGTAATTAGAATTTTTAATTTTTGAAAAAACTTTAAAGCATTTTTCTGTTTTAAAAAATAAACTAATTCAATAAAATTAAATTTTAGATTATGATTTTAATTATTGACAAGTTAACTAAAAATGACTTAAAATTTGTAAAAATAATTAAATCTAATTTCTTAAACTAAGATTAAATATTTATATCAATACACTAGTTTAAAAGATACTTCATAATTTTAGATAGTTTAGATATGCATGCTTAACATTGGAATAAAATAAAATATTTTTTTATTATTCTTAATTGTTGATATTTATTAACCCTTTTGAAATTAAATATTTTTTTGAACTGAATTTTGAACTAATTAGAATATTAATTTTTAAGTTTTTAGCTTTTATTAGAATATTGATTTCTAAAAAAATAATTTATATAATTTTTGATAAATAATATACATTAATATATTAATAAAATTTTATAATAATTTAATATAAATAATAACTACAAATTTGGAAGGTTGGTTTATCCAAATAATTTATTTAATTTATTGAATAAATTAGTACTAAGAATTTTTGTTATGAGAGTATAAGAATAAAATAAAAATTAATATACTCAGCAATATTATAAAAAAATTTAACGAATATATATTTTAATTGATAAAATCTATGTATGTATGCTGGGATAGTTTGTTTTTTAAAAATCACATTAAAAATTTCAAAATGATTAATTAATTTTTTAAATTTAAATTTTATTAAAGAGTAAATAATTACTGAATTAATATTTTACTTACTTCTATTAACTAATTTTTTCTATTAAGGGTAGATGACTCAAACATATTATGTAAATTCATTAATTGAAATTATTTTTTAAAAACTACAGTTTATATCAACATCAATAATAATTTTGTTTAGCCATCTTAAAAATATATAATTTATTACACCTTATAATATCATATCTATGAAATTATTCTCAAAGCTAAAACAAACTTTCACACAAATAAACAAACATCAAAAGGTTTGGTTAGAATGCAATAAATATCTCTTTATTTATTAATCAATGTTACTTTTATTAGATCCTATTAAAGTATTTAAAAATAATTATGGAAGTAGGAATCTAATTACTATAAAAAAATTAGTAAGATTTAGTTAATTTTAAATATATCATTCATTTATAAATTGATAAAAAAGTTATGGGAGATAATGTAACTATGAATTAATTTAAAAATACCAATTAAGAATTCGAACATAATTTAGTTAATTCAATATTTTTTCAAAATTATTTAGTAGAAATTATATATTTTGGTTGATTGGCTAGGAGTTTATTTAAATTTTGATTAGGCCTTTCAAGATTTAAACAAATTTAAATTTTTAAATAATTTAATGGAGAAGAGAAGCAAATATAGCTAATAAGAATTTAACAAGGAAAGAATTATCATTATTAACCAAAACAGAGATAGATAGATAGATAGATAGACAGACAGACAGACAGACAGACCTATGATAATTTAATTTATAGAAAATTTAAATTTTGAATTGAATTTAATTACAAATATTTCGTTGGTTTGATTGCATTAGAATACTCATTCAAATTTAAATATATTAATTCATTCATGCATCATAATTATGGTCTATATACTAATAAATGAGTGCTTTTTTTCTTAATTATGATTTGATTACCAAGAAAGAAAGAATAATGAATCAATTTTTTGTACTTTAAAGTTTTATTTAATTGTAAGATATTTTAAGTAAATGAAAGAAAAAAAATATAAATATGGCTTATTTTAGTGAAAAGGTAGGATATAAATATACATTATTTTTTCCATAGTTTAAAAAATTCACTGAACAGAAATATATCAGAATAGTAAGATATAAGAATCGATTGTAGAAAGAAATAGAAAAACCTATATTCTAATTATTAATTTTAAAAATATATGAAAATTAATGACGACCATTGTCGTAGAAAAGATTGGCTATAATTTTTTATACAAGCGCGTGTAGAAGTCTTTTTTTATCAAAATAATACGCTAATAATTAAGCTAAAATTTTTGATAGGGAGACGAATAAAGACAATCAAATACAAAGAAAAAAAAGAATCAGTAAAATAGAAAAAAATTTCATATTTGTTTTTGATTTTTTTTATTTTTATCGAGGTTGATAAGCAAGCTAATTGTAAAACTATTTGTTGTTTTCAATCACAGAGATTTGGCGGGTATAATGGAAACAATATGAACTTTAAAAGGAAAGGATTAAGTGATGGCAGAACTTGTTCTCCCATCCGTTTTTTATAGTATGGTAGATGAAAATGAAAGTGAGAGAAAGAGAGAAAGAAATAAAGAAAGATACAATTTATTTTATAATATTTGAATTTTTTTTCCAAAAGAATAAAAAAGTATATGTAGGTAGGTATTTACTAGGGCAATTAATTGAAAGGAGAAATGAATGAATGAATATTAATAAATAATATTAGAATTCTAACTAATATTTTGAATTTTAGAAAGGAAAAAAAAAATAATATAAAAAGTAAAGAGGAGAGAAAGGAGGGGGATGGATAAAGATAAATTATATCAATGCGAAATAAAAAAGGGAAAGCAAAAAAGAAAAATATTGGTTAAAAGAAAAAGTTGATGAAAATAGATGTACAAATATTTAGAAAAAAGAATAAAAGAAAGAAAAAACCAAGAAAATAATTAATTAATATTGAAGAACGAATATAAGACTTAATTACTATATTTCTACATATTTATACATAAATTTTATAATAATTAATACCTATTAAATTAACAACATTAATACCATCTTTCTCAATCTTTTTCTGTTCATACTAAGGCCGCACTTTCCTAAAACTATCAAAAATACACCTTTGTGTATGAAAAAAAGCGGTATTCAAAGTATCCACAAAAAAAGGAGGGAAGGGGAAGAGCAGGAATAGAAATAAATTGCCATAAAATATATTAGTTTAGTTACCTATTAATGTTATTATTATTATTATATTATTATTATTTAGATCATTAGAATTGAAAAATAATAATTAATTAATTTATTAATAATTGTCAATAGGTTAAATTTCTATGTGTGAAATTATTAGTCTTTTAAAAAATTTTTTTTTGAGGTTTTTCCTCCAAGCAAACAAAAAATAAATAAATAATATCCAATTAGATAGAAAAGTAGGAGGCCTACCTATAATAAATATATCTTTTAAATGTATGCATACATATAAGCAAGCAAGCAAGCAAATATGCAAACAATCTATTATTCAATCAATAAAATAAACAAGCAAAATGAATGAAGCTTAAAAACAAACAATTTAATAAACAAGCAAAAAAAAAGATAATAATGATCATTGAATCAGCTACAAGCATTTGCATGCATAATTGTTTGTATGCATAAATGATGAGAAACAAAAACAAATAATAATTAAGCAGTCATAATAATATTCAATTATATTTTTGCAATAAAAAAAAGAAAAAAAGTAAAAAAGTGAAAACTTAAAAAACACACTATATTTATTTTTTTAAAAGATATACAAAGTGAAGATACTTTAAAAGCAAACAAAATCAAAGGAAAGGTACTAACTAATTATTCCCTAAACCATTTATTAATTATAAATAAACAAACAACTCTTCAAGATATGGACACAGAATAAACTGCCTCTTCGATATTTAATGATCCTCACCTGCTTATGTTTATGCAAGCATTAGAATAAGTTAACCAATAGCAATAATAGAACTCTTTGTCCAGTGCAGGTTAGGCTAATCAACAAGGATAATAATAGTAGTAGCTACAATCTTAGCAAACAAATGCATCATCTGCAGCAACTTTAGAATAGATCTTACATCAGGTAAGCATCCTGCAAGCATTTTAGGAGCTCGCAAACCAATAAAATGCAGGTAACGTCCTTGATTCCATGATGATTCAAGAGGATGATTAAGAAGAAGAGGCTGTATCTGATTAGAATACAGTTCAGTAGCATTTATAGCATCAAGCTAATAATTAATTTACCTCTTCAAAGAGAACTCATTCTCCTGCCATTAATTCCTTATAAACCTTCAATTCATAGTAAAATTACAGCAATAATAGCAGTAAAGAGGAATAAAAGTTCATGCAAAATTCCCATCTCCTTCAAGTCGCTGATTCTAAATTTGAAAAATAAAATAATGTGTAAAATAACGGGATAAAGAATACTATTTTATCTTCACCTTCACTCACTTCAGTGAATCTTTCTCTTAACCAAGAAAACAACCAATAGAACTTATTATAATTATAATAATAAACTTCCCAAAAAGGAAGAGCTAAAAAAGACACTTCATGTTCTACTATTCGTATTAAGTAAGCATCAGCTTCATCTCAGATTGTCGATGCTCCTCCTACTCCTTCATAGCTTCCCATTATCCCTGAGATTATTGTTCCATCTGCATCTTCTAATATTAATTCAAAGAATGCCATTAATAATTCTAATTTTAATTAATCTAATAACAATTAATCAAATAATCTTAATTTAGACCTCGAATCTTTCAATTTAGGAAATAACATGGACAATAACAATGGTGGTGTGTCTGATGAAATGCAATTACTTAGTCTCCTCTCATCCTGCTTACCTTTAGAATAAATTGTTCAGTTAGCATTGACCAGCACAGCTGGCAACACAAACTAAGACAGTAACCAAACAGCAGCAGCTGCAGCTGCCGCCCTTGCTTTACTTCTTAGCAATAATAATTCTAATAGCAACAACAATAGCAATTAAGGATTTGCAGATTCTCTCCATAATAACAACGACAGTGGAGACGAAAATAACTAAAATTAAGCCTATTCTAAGTACTCACATTTGATGAATACCCCCACTTCTTCTAATATGTATAATAGCAACAACAAAACAGCTCTCAACACATCTAATGGTACTTAAAAGACTTAGTAATCAAAGATCCTCAGTGGAGCTAGCTCAGCAAATCACTAAAATTCCAACACAAACTTATTCTAAAATATCACTACCAATTTGAGTAGCTTCTTTGAAATGAATGGATTTAATTCTGGTGAAAAGAAAGCTTAGTCTCCATCTTATTCTCGTTAGACTTCCACATTCATTCCTCACATTATCTCCCATAACAACCAAGGCAATAACAGTTCCTAATAGTAGTAGCTCCCCGCCTAACAGCTCAATTTCTCTCAAATTGGAAGTATGTTCAATTAAATTGATCCCACAACTCTCAGCTTTTAAGCCTTAATGGCTCAACATAATGGAATTGACACACCTGAAGCTCTTCGTCTCCGTGAGTAAAAGCGTCTCGAAAGATAGCTTAAAATAGAAAGATATAAAAACAAAAGAAGAAATTGGATTCGTAAAATTTCATATGACTGTCGCAAGCGTGTTGCTGATTCTCGTCTGAGAATTAAGGGCCGTTTTATTTCAAAGAAAGACAGTGAAAAACTCAAAGAAAAGGGTGATGACTCTTGTTAACAAAATGAAAACACCATGGCCTTAGAATAGCCTTCTCAAAACGAATCTAATAAACAAGACTATGCTGCTGATAATAACGAATAAAAGCAATACTTTGATGAAAACATAAACCTATACCACCAATAGGAAATGATTCAACAGTAATAGAATGCTCACCAGAATCCAGAAATTATTGAATACGAAGAAGCAAATCTCACTGCTTAAAAAGGCTTTGATGTTTTAAATGCAGCTTCATAATCGAGCATAGAAAACAATTAGAATCCTACTGAAGAGATTAATAACACAAACATTTGTGAATTAACTTGTGCAGCTGCTATGAATCCCAGCAGTATCTAAAATTTAATGAAACCAGATGTTATGGATAAAGTAAAACAAAGAATCTTAGATAAGAAACCTCTCTTTTCACTGATTAGCTCTGAATCCAATCGTTTCATTTAAGAAATCTAAAACCAATCTTCATCTTCTACCTCCTCTTCATCTACTAACACTTCTACCTCCTCAACAAAAAACGCTCCTATTAATGCCGAGAATATCAAAAATAGCTCATCTAAAATGAATCTAGACTAGCACAAATCATTGAAAACAGAACAAAAAATGATTGAGGCTTGAAATGATTTGTGATTACCTACTTCTATAACAAATCATCTCACTATTTTAAAGAAAAAACATTATTTTTTATATCTGCCATTCATTCATACATAAATACTTCTATTATGCTAAATTATTAGATGAGCTTATATTTATATTCAAAATACACAATTAGATAGATACAAAGAGCAAATAGCTTTAAACTAACTAACTAACATACGCTAATAAATTATCATCAAGAAATGCAATTAATTCAAAAAGCCATGTCATCCCATGTAATCCAATGCCACTAGCACCATTAGCTAGCTATTCACTTAAAATATTATAGTTTTTAGTTTAGTTTATTGCAAACTAAATGATTAAGATTGAATCATATAGATATATTTTGAAAATGATTAAATAAAGGAAAAGTTAAAAAAAGGAATTTAAAGTGCAAAGTAAGCAGCATTAGTAAACTAACAAGATAAAAAGAAGATTGATTTTAGCACTGCAAGGAGAGAATTCAATCAAACAAACACAAACATAAATTATATGACTTGAAAAGGAAATTCATCCAGAGAGCAAGCAACAAGCATACATGGCTAGAGAATTTTAGTAGTTTATCTTTCTATAAAGGATATTTGTTCAACCTAGGTTTAAATTACTTAATATTGTTCTAACTAAATTGCTACAAGATGCATTAACTAACATTTCAAATAAATAGTATTTCTAAGCATTATTCCATATCTTATAACATTAATCTTCGAATGTTTTCATTCAAATATAAAAGAAAATCTCTAAATCAAAATCAAATCATCTTCAAAGCTTTTTTGGCTTTCTCTTTCTAAAACAGTATTTCTTTTTTAATACAGCACTTTGCTAAAAACCACTAAAAGTGCCAATAACACACACAATAAATAAACAAACAACTAAATAAATAAATACTTATCTGTTCATTCAATACAGGCAAACAGACAGACAAACAGAGAGACACATCCACCTAGATTCATTGATATTTAGATTGAGATAAACTCTTCCTCATTTAGCTCTTAAAATTCTTTTTAATGGATATAGTATATAGCTAGCTCATCTACCTTTGTAGCTAACACCATATCAAACTAAATTACCTCACTTATAAAACACTTAAAAAATAAAAAAAACAAATAAAAATCATAAAATTTACATAAAACTAAATAAAATAAACCTATTTCAATTCGCTAAAACAAACAATATAAAAAATAAAGAATATAATTTATATTTATATCTTCTTGTATGCCTCACTTATATACATATTTGGTAAGAGTAAATTAATCAATTTGAGGTTATCAGATTATTTTATCATTTCTTTTACCCTAATTTTTATAAATTTACCCATTATTTCGCTGCAGCGCTATGCTTGCAATAAAAAATTTAAGACATACTAACTAAAAAAATAATTAGTACACTCTACAATCTTTAAAATATTTATTATACTCTTTATTATTTTCAGTCTACAAAAGATAAAATTAATTAAGCGACATAGACAAGTACAAGATATTCAAAATCAAATATGTCTATTCTAATGCGGAAAAATACCAAAGTATACTCTTTTTACATAAAACAATGTTTAACTAATGATAAATGAATTACTTATTTTATTATTTTAAAATTAATCTTAAATAATTAGCTAGTATCAATCAATCAATTGATTTTACTTGCTGAGAAGTAAAAAAATAAAAAAAGAAATAAAAATTGGACACAATTTGAAAATTTTACTTGCCTTTCAAATACTTTGAATTTTTATTAAACATTCAATGTATTTTTTTTAAATGTCTTAAATAAAACAATTTTTAAGATAGATAGATAGATACTTTGAGAATTTATATGATAAATAAATATTTAGATTTCTAATAAATAATAAGAAAACACTGCCTTTAAGAGTTTTGCTAAAAAAATTTTTATTTGAATATATTTGACAAGCAAAGATGAATGACATACTTTATTTCATTCTAAATTTAATATTTTATTTTGGTAGAAATATTATTAATTAATTCTTATTTTATTCTATTTAACAATATTATTGATATCAATTAAAAAGATATTTCAATTAAAATTACAATTCTAAAATTCAATTCAATTTATTTTACAGTAAAATTTAGTTTATTAAGATTTTCATCTATCTTTCATTTAATCTTTTACACATTCATTCTTCCTTTCTCTCTTTCTTTTTGTTAGTAATTCCTTCATTAACATATTTACCATCTTTTACTATTTTATCAAAGATCCTCAACTCCTAACTTAAATTTTGCTTGTAAATACTATGTTGTAACCACATACTCTTTCAAATAAAATATATAGAAAGTTTGGTTTATAATAAATATGGAAAAATACAAAGATATTTAAGCATAAATAATGAAAAATTTGAAGAAATTAAATTGAAATTGAAGTATTTTAAAAATGATTTTTCAAATAAATACACAATTTAAATGGATTTTTATAGATAATTTGAAAAAGTGTACTTTTGATCCATCTTATTTGACTCACATTATATTTAATTTAATTTGTTTTTAATTCGTAATTAATATGAGTAAAGTGGCTAAAGATGTGAATGAATATGAGACTAAAAAAAATTTAAACAATTCATATGTTCTTTTTTTTATAAATTCCACTTATTTGACCTCCTAATAGAGTAGAAATTTATAAGATCGAACTAGGAATTATTAACTTATTATAAGATAAGAATGAGGATTTATTGGCTCTGTTTTTATTTTCCTCTTTCTTATTTTGCTATTTAGGCAGTGCTGCTTTATAGATAGATAAATAGCTAGCTAGGTCTATTTTTATTAGAAAAGAAAAAGAATAGTAGATCCTTTTTTTTTTGTTAAATAATCAGGAAAGGGGAAAAAAGAATGGATAATGTGAAAAATAAATATTTCCCTTCTTTATTTCCTTTTTAATTTTACCCATTCTTTTCAAAAGGATTGGTTAATTTAGCGCTTTGAATTTTCAAGTAGATCCACATCTAAATTCCTTTGTAAATAAAAAATATCTTAGCTAAAAATAATTAAATTTGAAAAAGCCTTTATTAAAATTTATAATAACTGAGTCTATATGTATACTGTCTTTCTTCTATGTAATTTTAAGCAATAAAGGGATTTTTCTTAATATCTTTTATTGCTTATTTTATTACTGATAACTATATTTAAATTAAACACGGTCAAATAAAATATATCTTTCTTATTAGATAAATTTATTTATTTATATATTAGTCTGTTAGTTCATATAGAATAAAGCAAAAATCGTCATAATTAGATTATAGAAGTGAATAGTTGAATAAATAAATAAATAAAAAATAAATATTTATTGTTATTGCAAATTCAAATAATATATAGAGTTAGTTTTAAAAATCTAAGTGCTTGATGCCTTTTTAATTTCAAAATAAAATTATTAACAGGTTCTAATCTCAAAATATTAAGCAATTTAAATTAATTATTCCATTCAATTAAATAATTTTTTATTTCTTTTATTACAACTTTTAACAAAATCATTCGATTTAACCAATCTTTGGTATATTGTGATTTACCCGAACTTTCAATATATAAAAAACCTACTTTCTGTAAGATAACTGAGCCATATTTTGACAATTTAAAAACAGAAAACTTTATATTTTTGATAGGACTTATTTCTGAATAATTCTATTTATTTAAGTATATTTCATTTGAATTCAAGCAAATCATAAATTTAAAAAATGCATGAACTTTTAATATATTTTTTTTCTAAAAAATGGCATGCATTTATCTATATATTTATAATTCATGCTATACCTCCAATAATATTGCAAGGCAATAAAGAAATTACTCTTTTAATATTTCAATTCAAAATCCTCCAAAAAACATTTCTTAGAAATAGCTTGTAAAATTTAAATAAAATTAATTGGATATTTATTTTATTGATTGCACTGTAAACGAATAATTTGATTATTGATAAAAAGTTAAAATAAAAGATTTCTCTTCTTACAATATTCATTAAATTATTCAACATTAAACTAATAAGACCTATTAATGCTTACAAATATTAGCACTGCAATAAGAGAAAGAAAAAATTATTTAAAATTAGCTTTTAATGATTAATAAAACTACAAAAATTTATTTGTTAATAATTGAGTAAAAATGATCTAATAAATATTGATGAAGAGACTTTTTTTATATTATTTTTATTGGCCTTAAATGAATGGTTGATTTTTGTTTACTCTATCATCCTTATTTTTATATTTATTTTTGATGAACCACAATAATAATTATAAAATTTAGCTTTCATTTATTTTCAAAAATTAAAGATATTCTTACACTTTTTTAAATTAATCTACTCCATTCAAAAATATTACTTAAAGACTATTGAATTTAAAATAATCTGTAAAGATAAACTTTGAACATAATAGACCAATATAAATTTGTTAAATTTGTATATTAGGGAAGGAAAATATTTTATTGACAAATAAATAAGATGATTTCAACAATTGTATTTTTATTTTAATACGAAATGATCAAACATTTAAAGATAGTTCATTAAATTTTTTATCAATAAAAATGTTTGGTGGTTATAATTTTCTTTATCAAATATTTGATTATATTTTGAGTAAATCACTTAGTATTATTCTGTGTTCATAATACGGAGTGTTAAATTTTTGAAAAGCAAACAAAATCAATCTAATATAATTTATTTTCTTTTGAAATTAAACTAGTGGATATAAATCAATTAGTTTTAATAAAAATAAGAGTGTTATTTGCAATTTTTTGTGGTGTAATTTTGAAAAATATATTGATATAATGTTTATAGTTCTATAAATGATAGAAAATATCTGAATAATTATATTTCAAAATTACTTAAATATTTAATTTATCAATTCAATTAACAATAGATTATTGGGTGATATAAATATTTAAATACTAAATCGATAAAATAAAATTAAAAAAAATTTTTCAAATATTATAAAAATGTATTTAAATTAGAAATTATCCTTTTATTTTTAAAAACTGTTTTTAATTTATTATTTGAATTAAAGAAAAAATTTATTAATAATTTTAAAAAAATTACTCATAAATTACTTTTTCTTTCATTATTTCATTTATTATTGGGACTTTAATTTTTATATTTGATGAAAAGATTCAGTCAGTCATAGTCTTGCACTATATCAAAATTCTTTTTTTTAAATGACTATTGCTATTAAATTCTTTATTGTAGATTATTTATCATATTATAAATTATTAGCAATAGAAAAAATTAATTTTAAATTTTTTGGTAACTGATAAACAATTAATTTAAATAAAAATAAATTTATTAGTGAAAAAAGAGTGAATAAATAAAAGAAACCTTTAATATTTTAATAGTTTAGATAAAATAAAATAATATAATAAACAATTTCACAAATCATACAAAGCATAATCGATATACAAATATAAATCTCTCAAATATAAAATAAATAAAACTATTTAATTAAATGACTTGTTGTCTTGTGAATGTTTAGTCATCCTAGCAGTAGATAAATTGATTACAATTTGATTTGTGATTTATCTGAATCATTGATTTGTAAAAAAAAATAAATTTAAAAAATAAAAAAAGAACTAATTATTAATTACTAAATTAATAAAAGAAACCTTGAATAGTTTAATAGTATAGATACAATAATATAATATACAAGTAGACGAATCGAACAAAAAAGCATGATCAATAGGGTGAATGAATTATAGATTTATATGGGTTTTAATGATATATACAATTAGTTAGATTTATATGATGAAATTGATAGTTATTATTTAGTTTTTTCCAGAATTAAGTAATTACTAGCTATCTTAAATTCTGAATAACTAATTCATTTATTTTTAATTTATTTACTTCATTCATTATTGTTAGAAAGCGATTTATTGAGGTTACTATTATAATCCAAAACCTTAATAAAATCCTCCATTGATAGGCTATTAAATAAATCCTTTTATTAAAAATATAAATTACTTTTTAAATCTGCTTCTAATAATTTATTTACCTTATGGAGAAGCACCACCAAATTATTATTGGGCTTGTACGTACTATTAAGGAATATACTATTGTTAAATAGGTAATTGGCTATTCATATTAAATCCCTAATTGTTTCCATTTGTTATTACTTAAGAGGGACTTTATCCACCTACATTTTAATTTTAAAATGCTTCTTAGTGTCTTTTGTAAGTTTATTAGGATTTTGCTATAGCTTCATTTACTTTTTTCGTTATATCAGACTCATTATCAGCAGCTAGTTATCTATTTACATTTTTTTAAATTTAATTAAAATTTATTTAGAAAAATTTACGGTTAAGCTTATTATTATTGCTAATATAAAGTTGGAGACTGTGATTATAATTGAGGTGTATTTGCAGATGCCCCTAATTAAGGTGATAATTATGTCTATTGCTGTAATTAAACTTGCTATTGTTAAATTTGCATGGGTTGCTAAGAAACTAATCTTTAAACTGGATATTAAATTATTGATTGCTAAGGTGAGCCAAATGAAGCTGCTCCTCCATTTTAGTATTATAATGTCATAACTTATGGTTAGAAAGGTGAGTTCGACATTTGTAATGGCATTTGCTATTGAGAGACAGAACCATCTTATGCCTAGAAAGCAGTTACAGAACTAGTACCTGTCTACGAAAGTGGCTATTGGACAAAAGTTACTACCTAATTTTTATTTTATTAGAAAAAATTATTTTCTTTAATAAATAATATTGATTGAATTTACAGAGTTCTAAGCCTAGAATTATTAGTTGGACTGTTATTGTTATACCTATTGAGGTAGCTATATAATTTGTTGTTGAGGTTGCATATAAGCTTGACTCTGCTAAAGTTAGACAGGAACTAAAATCTAATTAATTTTTTTATTATAAAACTATAAAATATGATTAGTAGGTAACAATAGTAATTACAGGATTTTAATACACAACTGAGTTTCTCTAGAGTTGTTAGTTGCTTTAGATGCTATTTTAAAAGGGCAGAAGTAGTGCTCTTAAATTTTCAAAAGAAGGACGAGTATTTTCATCATCCAAAAGCATGTCACGAATTACATTGACAAAGAAATCGCTATATTTAGCTCTGCACTAGTTCAACAGCTCTTCTAAAATAGGATGAGAAATTTAATAATTCTCGAAATCGTAAGCACACAAAGGAGGGCAAAGAGAAGCAGCTTCTAATAAAGTCATACCTAGAGAATACCTAATAGATTTAAAAAAAGTAAATTATTACAAATTTATTAAAATAATTTAGATTAGTAGAAAGATCAATTAATCAAGTAAGCAAGCAAGTAGAAGTTTTTTAAAGCTTTTTAACTGATAAATAAATTGTTTTTCTTCTCTCAAAAGTTTATTAATTTATAAAAGTTTAGTTTGCTTACACATCACTTTTCCAGTGATCATGGAATGGTTTGAACTCACCGACTCCCAACGAGCGCACTAAAATTGGAGATAGATAACATTTTTCACGACGCGATAACATTTTATAGTAGTTAGAATGGTCTGCGTGCAAGATGCCATGATCAGCAATTTTAACCTATCCTTCAGGAGTAAGAAGAATATTGGTAGGACGGATATCGCCGTGATAGATTTTATTTTTTTCAAAGTAGCAACAAGCTTGAATTAAAGAATCTAATAAATACCACAATTCGGACTCGCTAAAGAATTCCTTTTTAATCATAAAATTTATTCGTTAAAAAATAAAATTTATTGCAAGAATTAAATTTTATAATCAATTAAATTTGATTAAAATTTTCAATAATCGAGTGTTAGCAAACATAAGTAAAATCTTTATTTGATTAATCTATCATTTAAAAATGTTTGTTTAAATAAATCTTTTTGCCTCCTTATTTATTTTAAAGTATTTGATATTCTTATATCTATCTATTTATTTTTGTTAAACTATGCTGAAAAATAAATTGATAAATAATTTCTATAATTAGTCAAAATATTGTTAAAATCTTATGATTAATTTTATTTGTATTTTCAATTTTCAAAAATTATTTCTTCTATAACTACATTTTATTTATTTATTAAGCCTATTTCTTTTAATGCTTTATACTTTGAAGGCTTCATTTAATATTTAGTTTGGGGGGGGGGTCACAGCTGGGTGTCGAACTTTTCGGTACGGCAGTCATAGCTGGATTTTTATTAGGGAAAAAAAAAATGAAGACCGCACCCGGCTGTGACCCCCCCCCCCTTTAGTTTTAATGATACTTAAACAAAATATATGCTGAAAAATTATTTACTAAGCCATTTTCTCTTCTTCTGTTTAATTCTTTCTCTAAATCATGGAAATAGTATTCAAAATATATTGTAATTTTGTTAAAATCGCCACAAATGTTATCTTCATTAGCTTCGTGAGCATAGTACAACATTAAAATGTTACGATGCTTTAGGTTCATGCGCTATTTGCAAGATCTCAAATAGGTTTAGTATTCAGGAGCTGAATTGCACATGTGTCCTAATAATAGTAAAAAGCATTAGTTTAATAGCTATTAAAATATTTTGAACTTTTAAATAAAATGAACATTCTTTATCTAATTAAGATATCTATATAAATAATCTTTAATTGTTTATTATAAGAAGATAAGAAAGAAAGACATCCAGCAACCACATTTTAGTTATATGTGATAATTTTACAATTATTAATTGATTGATAAATTAATTAATTACCCCTCTTGCCGATATATCTTTTTTCCATTTTGTGCTTGTAGACATAAACGTCTCCAAATCTCTTATCGCTGATTTCTGTTTGGAAATCATACTTGACTTTAAACTCACGAATGAATTCGTTTGTATCTGATGAGGACGATGTTTCGTTTCCCATTTTCTTTTTTTATTTACCTTTTTTTGATGTGTTTATTTGCTATTCCTTAACTTTAAAGAGATAATTTTTTTTTTTTGCTTTTAGAAGATTAATTTAATAGTTTATAGTTAATAACCTGATTTGATTGTTAGCAAACATTTAAAGTTTTGTGAACAAATTTAATCATAAAATAAACAAATAAGGAAAAGAAACAGCTAATTAATTTTCTTATATTTTTTATAAATAAAATTTGTTTTTATTTAAAAGTTAATTAATCGCCAATCTCTATTTTTCATATGAAAATAAAGATTTTGCAAATTCAATTTTATTATTATTGTTCTCAAATAATTATTATCGTATTGACAAAATCTCCTTATTTGACTTTTTAACGATAATATTTATTTATTTATATTCAAATGAAATCAAGCAAATTTTCAATCATAATTTGAAAATCTTCACTCTCATTTAAAAAAACTAGTGTTAAAATTTTTAAAAGCAAATTTATTTATAGTCCTTCATTCATTATTTTTGCATCATGCATTTTAAGAATAATTTATCATATTTTTACTTAAATTTTTTTTCAAAATGACATCAAGATAATTTAAAATCAATAAAAATATTATTTTTTTAGTAAATGACAAATATCAATTTTCATTTGCTTTAAATTATTCTAGGTATTAAATAGTTTGTTCAAAATTCTTAACAGGGAACTATCTAGCTAGTTACTGATATAAAAAAATATCAGAAACCTCAAAAAAACAATTAATTTATTTATAATTTTTTAAACTTTATAAAATAAATTAAATAAAAGTAAATGTAATATTTTAATTTATCTAAGAAAATGTTGAAAATTATTGGCATTTTATTTTATTTCTTCTTTTTAATTTTTTTTTGATATTATGTAAAAATGTAATCAATTATTTTACATAGATGAACAAATTTTTAAATTAACAATTAAGCTAAGATCTAATTGCCTTATTATGATGAAAATAAAAGAGTAGATCTAATATTGTAAACAAACAACAACTTTTGCATGAATTTAAATTTATAAAATATTATTCAAATATAAATAAATATTAAAATGGAAATTGATTTGATATGGTTGATATAAATAAAGTCAATTAATTACAAAGTGCAAACAAAAAATACTAATTAAATAATTTGTTAATTAATTAATTAATTAATTATTTGTATTCATTTAGCATATAAGATAGTTTTTATATTTAATAATAAGTAATAATTAAGCTTGTGATTTATCAATTGAAATTTTGTAAAAGTTAAAAATACTTATTTAAATAAAATGGATTATAAATCCAGTAGCTCAGGTAATAAGAATTCTTTAGACTCAGAAAAATCTTTGTTTGAAAGAATCGAATAGGAATTAAAAAATGTTTTGTTTGGTGTTCTATTTTAGCTTCTTAAGGATGTCGAACCTTCTATTTGGATTGCTCGTTTGCTAAGCTTTATTTAATTATTGCAAGTTTTATACTTTCCTTTCCATAGAGAACTGAAGCATGCATGGTATTATGATTCAATTGCTAATGGAATAGAGTAATTTTTAAGTTACTTTTAATTAATCACTTACTTGAAGAATTCGTCATGGACTGCTTATATTACAGTCTTCTATACTTGCGTTGCTTTAGTTATATTAATCATAATAGATATCTTCTACATTTCATATTCCTTCACCAAAAAGAATCAAGCTTTTTCATGGCCAATTTACTCACTCAGAACTCTTCTTTCGCTAATTGTTACTGTTCTATTTATGCCTTTGTTAGATTTTTTTTTGTCAATTATCTCTTGCTAATCTACTACTCTTTCATAGGGCTCAGGTATAACTTCTTCAGTTTATGTCCATGAGTTTTTCTCTTCAGTTGTCTGCTGGTAAGATGTCCACATTTTACATGCTGTAGTCTCTATTTTTATTAGTATTGCTTTCATTATAGTTACCTTTTTAGTGGTTTTAATTTATTTCGAATGCTTACACAACTCTAATGACCCTACAGCCAGAGTCACATCACGTCCGAATTTCGTGTTTCTTTTATATTAAGTTGTATTGATTATTGCTTTTACCTTTATGAATAACTAGCAAAATGATTATGTCTTAATAGGACTGCTAATTGCAGGATCTCTTGTTACCTTTACCAAATTTCATTATGAAAGTCCTTTTTATAATGAAGAATTTTAAAAGATTTGGAGTTTTATTACTGCTTTGCAGGTATGGAGTGCTATATTGCTATGCTTTGCAAAATTTCTTGAGAACAATCTTTTTGAAGGAACGATTATTGCTTGGATTATAGGTATTCCTATTTTAGGTTTAATAGTTATCAATTAGAGGAAGTAAAGAATAGATTTACTTCTTATTAATGTAAATAAATTTGAAACAGGTGAGTAGCTTATAAGGTAAAAATTAATTTTTTTTAAAAATTTAAAATTAACAATTAAAAAAATGTAAATTTTAATTAAAAATAAGCTAAGCAAGATATTTACTTTAGTTGATAAGATGGTCAAAAACATCTAAGACGGCATCCATATTGTTAGATGGTTACTTAGAAGTACACAAGCAAACTTGCTAGAGAGAAGATTGTGCAGCAAAGTAAAAAAAGAATGTAAATTCAAGAGTTGCAAAGAATCTTATTAATGTGAGTTAATCGATTGAAAATCAAGCAGATAGAGATAAAATAAACATACTTTATCAAGTTATTTACCACATGTTTTTTTATGGTGTAAAGAAATTTCCAAACAATACTAATCTTCGTTTGGCATATGCATTCTTTTTGATGGAGAACTCTAAGTACAAGCAGTAAGCATTATAGGAGTTAAGTTAAGCAGAAACAAATCATCCTTCTTTTGACATTGATTTTATAATCTTTAGGTAAGATAATATTTAGTCTTTTATTTTTATTTTGAAATATTTTATCAATAAAAAGATACAAGAAACTGATTGAAGATGAAATTGCAGAATCTCAGCAAGATGGCAACATGGATATAGTTTCTGAGATGGCCTTCTAAAATAATTTGAGATCAATGCAAAATAATATAGAGAGATGTGCTCTTTAACATATGGATTTCTGGTCTCAGCTTGGAGAAGACAGTCCTGATTTAGGTAAGCTGAATGAAATTGGAGTTAGGATAAGCTTGGCAATTTAGCAAGTAATGATTTATAAAATAATTAAAAATTAAGATAAATATCATTCATTAATTAATTAAGGTTGAAGAGTAATGGAATAGGCTGAAAAAGATGTCAAATAATATACCTAAAGCTATGAGACTTTTTGGAAAATACAATTTGGAGGTGCTCAATGACAAAGAGAATGGTGAAGCACTCCTTGAGAGAGCAAGAGCGATACACAACTCAAATGCTAATAACAGAAAAGTTTAAGTTTTTACCTCTAACGATGAAATTTAAAATGAATCCTATCCAACAATAATCATAACAACAGAGCAAGATAAGTTTGGCTAAGTAGTAAATATGAATCAAGCTGCTTCTAACCTCTTCAGTTACCAAAAAAGCGAAGTTATTAATAGGAAAATTAATCTATTAATGCCAAATATTCATTCTAAATATCACGATCAATTCTTAGAGAATTACTTAAATTCAACAGAAGTAAAAATAAATTTATTTTTGTTTAATAAATTAATTACCATAAATATTTACTTAAAAAGGTAAAGTTTATGAATAGAGAAAGATATGTAATTGGCAAAAGTAAGTCTAATTATGTGTTCCCATGCTTTCTTTCTCTTAGAACTCTCTCCTCTTTAGCTTAAGGATTTTAATTTTTAGGTTCTTTTAGAATCGAAAAGGTGCATCGTAAGATATGCTATATTTATACAGACATAGATGGAAATATTGAGCATATTTCAAGCTAGTGTATAAGCTTTTTGAAGATTGACAATAAATTTATCACCTCTAAAAAAACAAATATAGACGAGATAGCTCCAAAGTTATTTGGTAAATTTTTAAAATTTAATGAATTTGATATTTCAATTTCAAGGAGTTTAATTTATTTTTTGTTAATTTTTTTGTATGGCTGTTATTAAATAAGATGATAAGGAAACTTATATGTAGAAATCTGGTGCTTCATACATATTTAAGCCCCTTAAGAAAGAAGATGATCCAACTGGAAATGGTATTGAAATGAATGTTTTAGTTTAAGAAATTTAATTTTTCTGCTAGCCTCATGCAGGCTATTTCATTAAATTTGAAGTAATGACCTAACAATAACAACAATAATTACCTCAAACTTCTAATTTAGCTGTATAGTCTAAGTTAAAAAATAGGATAGGTTTATCTTGCTTCTAATTTACCTTTGTCCCATCAAAAGTAAAATTTTTCAATCAAAAATATTCTATTCTAAAATTATTGTTATTATAGTCTACGGTTGTTGGCTAGTATGTTGATCAAATGAACAGTGAAATTCATTCCTAAAGAGTAGATGATAGCTTACTAAATGGCCAAGATGCAAATTAAACAGTAGAAAAAATTAATTTAACCACTTAAAACGCTTAGTAAGATCTACCATAAGATAGCAAAGGTAATATATAAATAAACAAATAAACAAGCAAATAAATAAAATTTTGTAGAGTTATTTTAGATAAATAAAAAAAAATAGAATATATAGAATGATAAATATATAAATGCTATTAGTTGAATGAAAATAGCTTTTATTAGATTTAATTTTATTTTTAAAAAAGTAGTTTAACCTGAGCAACAAAATTCATCTTTGAAGAATTATGGACTTGGTATTAAAAGAATGAGGCTCTACTATGACCATATAGCAGAAGTAGAAGATGATAAATCTGATAGTGAAGAAGAAGAAGAAAATGAAATGAATAAAAGCATATTTTAGAATAAAAATGATGAAGATGAAGGAGATGTATTATAATTTATTTAATAAATTAAATATTATATTTTTTCTTACTATTAAATAAATTAATTTTTAGGATGCTAATATTAATGAGTTCAATTCAAATTTTAAGAGCAGAAAGGCTGTAAAAGCTGTTGTAAACGATGAAAGTGAACCATCTTGCATAAGTAACTTAAAAAGAGTTACAAATGTTCTTGTTTTGATATTAATTTTGATTGCTTTCTTGGATTATTTCCTATCAAATAGCTAATTTGATGATATCAAAAAAAATGTTAATTTAATAATTTACTCTAACAGAATGTTAGCTGAAATGTAGGGTCTTCTTAGTTACGTTAGAGATCTTAAATTTATGGAAATGGGTTTATATGATGACCTTCCATCAAAAGTATTAATTACATTATTCTTTTATTAAAATATTTATAATAACAATTTAAATAAGGCTACAACTCGCCAATAGTGGATAGCTGGTATCAATTAAGAAATTGTAAATATCCAATATTATAGGCAAAATATTACATTTAGTGATCTCAGTATTACCTCTGATCATTCTTACTTACTGTAATTTTTTCTTTAAATGAACATAAAATCTATTGAATATTTTTATTAATAATTTTATAATTGTTAAGTCTTTAGTGTATTTAATTCTAATTTTTTGTAAATAAATTTATTAGATATAATCAAGAAGTTAATTTGATATCATCAGCTGGATAAAATATTTAGAAGCCATTTTTAACTTCAATCGAAATTATGTACACTTATGCTTAGAATATTGCTCAAGCAACAGGACCTATTAAATAGCAATGTGTTTACTTTGAAACTAATATGTTTTCCCAATTTTATTTGTACATGATAGATAATGCAAACATGTATGTCAACGAACTCTTCAACAGAACTTCGGCAACCTCAGCTATTTTTATCATCTGGATGATCATTGCTGGCATAAGTCTATTTGTATCATTTGTGATCTTTATTCCATTAAGTATCATTGTAAACAGAAGCAGAGAGGAGGTTTTAGGACTCTTCCTTGATATAAAAGAAAAAAGAATCAAAAATTTGTATTCGAAGTGTGAAAATTTTATAAATAATCTTTAAATTGGTGAGGAGGAAGATATTGGTTCATTAGATGATATTGATAAGTTAAATGAAGAGGATCCTTTTGAAAATAAATTGAAAAAAAGAAAGAGAAAATTCAAGAATTCTTCTATGAATTTCAAACAGATATGTCTCGGCCTTCTTTCAGGTAAGCTCAATTCAAATATTAAAAAAGGTTTTAAATTAATTTTTTATAAAATAAGGGGCAATTATCATTGAAGCGTATTTCTTCTTTAATTATTTCATTACTTATTAGTTGATGAATTCCAATAATTAACTTGTCTAAGAACTTAATGCAACTTCATACTCTGAAGCCTTCTTTCTTTTTGCTGATAATAGCTAAAGATAGCTTTTTTATGACTAAAAAACAAAGATATTCGGAACAGATCCTAGTGCATATACAACCTAAACACTCAACTAATTGTACTAACTTGATAGTTCAGTTCATTAAGAACATGCCTTAAATATTAATGTCCATAACAGTGCATACAATAATGCATTTGATAATGTAATGATGCTTGATCCATGCTCTATTGTGTTTAGTTTACAAGGATAAAATTAAGATGTTTGTGAATAATTTGCAGAGAAAGCTGTATTTATTTATTTAACTTAAAAATCAAAAAATATTTTTAAAAACCTTTTAAAAATTAGGTTTCTCAAGGTATGGCTGTTGCAGTAACTCGCTACTTCGAAAATCTAAGATATTTTAACAGCATTTATCAAATTCTATATAAATCTGCAAATGGAGGACCAACTGTGAAATTTTCTGATGTTGCTCCAAGTGATGCCACTCTGAGAAAAGTAACAGGAGACCCTTTAACTGATTAGGTAATTTATCTAACTTCAATTAAAAATATAAATTTTTATCAAATTAAAATAAATATTTTAACAACCATTAAGATAAGTCTTGTTTAAATTTTATCAATACTAATTAAATCAATAATTTAAAGCAAATCCAGTATAACTTTTCATACTAACTAACTCCCTTCCATATAAACTAAGCAATTGTTAAAATTGGGCAAAAATGTTTATCCTAAATTTAATTATTTCACTATCAATTTCATCAAAAAACTAGGCGCATCTATATATTAGGCCAATCTTTGGTCCCATAGGTTCACAATTTAAACAATCTATTTAGTTAAATGATATTAAGACAAGAATAAAAAAAAATATTTAAAATGGATAAACACTGAAATTGATTAAAATTTTAATTTTTCAATTTAATTAATTAATTTAGTTTTCTTAATTTTTTATAATTAAGTAATTTAACTAATTAAAAATTTTCAAACTTAAATTTTAAAAAGCTTCTATCACTTTTAAGGACCTCAGTAGCTGATGAGCTTAGACAGATGCAGATAATATATAACTATTTATTATATAGATATCTGGAAGATTATGTAAGAAATAGATTAATTAAATGGAAATATTGAACTTAAAATTAATTATTTTTTTTAATAGTTCTAAAATGACTTCAATTAGCACATTACTGATGCTAACACAAGTAGGATTGCCTTATTTATAGTATTCAATGTACTAATGTTTGTAATTTATTTCTTATTTTGGTTACCACTTGTGTCAAAGCTTTCTAGAAGCATATGGAGAACTAGAGGAATGTTAACAATGATACCTTTAGAAGTAATTAAAGAGACAAAATCAATACAAAAATTCATTAGAAGATACTTAAACGAGCACTCAGTCTCAAATTATTGAAAAATTTACTCAAAAATTAATAAATTATTTTATTATTTTAATTAATAAAAATTTTCCATATAATAGTTAATTAAAATACTTTGTTACTTAATTTATATATTTTTATTCTTTAAGTAATTTATTCATACTTGTATGAAGTTTAATTAGAAAAGATATTGATTTATTTCAGCTTTTAGCAAATCAGGTTGTCTTGTTTTATATAATTAAATAGTATATTTTAACAGTTAGATTATTAAAGTATTTTCATTTTAATTTTTTTTAATAATTTCAACATAAAATTCTTCTACTTCTACTTAGATTTGATTGAGTTTTTTTGGGAAATACCAAGCTCTTTGCTCAAAGATATTTTTGATTCAAGACAAAAATTAATAAATTCTAGAAATAATTTGATTATATAAGCATTTCTTTAAATTTAAAAATAAATAAAATATTTATTAAAAACAAATAATTATAAGATAAAATAATTTTAAGGATAATCGCAGATAAATGAATAAAAGAATATTATATGCCTTTTGTAGCTACATAAATAATTAGGCTTATTCTTTGTAGAAGTTGAGCTTAAAGTAAAGATTGCAATTATTTCACAAAAATGCAAAATAATTTACTGATAAAGATAAAGCTGCTTTAATAATGACTTTAAAATCTCAAGAAATAATTTAACAGGAACTGGCTTAAGCTTTTGCAGGAAATCTCAATGTCAAAACTATCTAGCATAAAGAGCTTTCAGTGATATCGCATTTTCTTTCTGTAAATCAAGTTCAAAACCAAGATCTTTGGAAGAATTTAGCTCTAAGAGGCTTTAAAATAATTGAAGATTTTGACAGAGATTCATTACCAAAGTTTTTAGATGCTATTGATAGAAGTGAATAAGTGGAGATTAAATAATTTTGGGATTCAATTCTATAGTATGCATTAAGAAATTTTGAACATTTAAATGGAGAATGTGCTTTGATTTTATTTTGCAATTTAGCTAGAAGATATCCGTCGACTTAAATTAATTTCAAATCAGAAGCACAAAACTCCTAACAAGTTTCAAACAACTAATAGAATACGATCTTAGACTTAGATCATAATTAAGAAAAAAAATTATAAGAAGAAAATGGATAATATTAAAATAACGAAGTTGAAGAATATGATGAATAAGAATAAGTGATTGCTAATCCTTAATTTGATAGTATAACTGAAAAGTTAAAAAAATCATCTTAAATATTCAAAGAAATTGAGTCTCAGAAGTAGATATTAATTAAAGAGGATTGGGAATAATAAACGAGTGATATTATTTTTGATATTTTCAATTAAATTGTTAAAAAACACATTAAAAATTATAATGGAAACTAAATTTTAAGACTAATGAGCTACTTAATTTCTTACAGAGAGGAGTGGATTTAAATTTAGAACAAAAATAACCTGAAGATTGCCTTCGTCTATCTAGAAGAACAAATTGATACTGTTGATAATTTAACTTTCTTTATGTTAACAATATTGTAAAGCTTAGATAAAGTTATAGCCTCATCTTAGTTTTTTATAAAAGCAATAGATTTTATAATGAAGAATTAATCATAAATAAATCATTAAAATATTCACTTTATTTGTGCTTTCTTTGAAGCAATTGAACTCAGAGATAAGACAAAAGTTTGGAAAATTATTTTAGATGTGTTAATTAAAGATTATCATAAAATAAAATCCTAATAAAATCAATAAATTATTGTTTCTAGCTTGTTAAGCTGTAATATAGTTCCAACTTCTTTAGCAAAATAAAACCTGACATTTGATTAACTAATCTAAGAAATTACAAAAAACAATAAATGATTAATTTATTTATTTATTTATTGATTGATGCTTTAACGTTTTAAGATTTTCCTAGTATTTTAATTCATAAAATTTACAAATATTTTAATATGTAATATGTTCTAATTAAGTAGTAACATTTTTTATACTGTTCATGGAATATAATTTATAGATTTTAAATCTGAGTGAATCCAAAAACTCCAAAGTATTAATTAAATGTAAGGTAAATCTTTGATAATAGATTCAGTATTTGAAAACTTAAATATTAAAGGTTTATATATATTTATTAATTTACAATCAATTTCTGTATATAATATCATTTGCTTCTTTTTTTATTCTTTTGTATGATCCGCTCTCATTAATTTAGAGTTTACAATAAATTTGAAAGTCTGTTAAAAGATAGAGATAAATACTTGCAAAAAAAAGAATGTATGTCTAGAAATTATCCTTGATTATGATTAAAAATGTAAATAAAAAATTAAGTTTTTAAATTTCATCAATATTTAAAAATTTTCAATGAAAATTGCGTAATTTGGTATATCAAATAAATAAATTTTTATTTATCCCTTTAAATAAAAATCATCATTTCGACAATCAAATTTTTTTGTATTTTTTTATGAGTAAGAACATGTTTTGTTCGTGTTGCAAAACATAATTAACTATTTAAAAATGTTTTTTGACCACAATTTACTTGATTTTTGACAAAGATTTTCTTAATTTTTGCTTTTTGATTTAAGAAATAATAAATGGTTATGGAGGGTTTTTTTCTTGTCAAAAATGAAGTATTTTGTTACAATATGAGTATAAAAATATAAAATAGATTGAATTACATTGTGTTTGATTATCTTTTAAAACCTAAAGTTTTTATTGATAAACAAATTGACTATTGCGTCATAGTATATATTAGTTATAATAAATTTGACTTAGATACAAACCACACAATTAACATTTTTATTTATTTCTTAAAATACTTAATAAAAATTACATTAATACTATTAACACCTAAATTATTTGATAATGATTAACCATAGAATTTAGTTGATTTCAGACTTATATCATTACTTAGAGCTGTGTTTATTTTGTGCTTCAAAATAAATAGAAGAAATATATTTTTAATTTTTAGGTGTAAAAAATTGTGTTTTTTTCGATCAATTTTTATCCTGAATTAGATATTTATTTCTAATTTAGATTTACCGATAAAAATATAAGAGGTGGTTATACTTTACAAAAAGATTGCGTGCTCAATAAACGATTTAGAATAAAATCTTTCTAATTTATTCTTAAAGTCTCCAGCCGAAATAAAATTAAAGAAAAATAAATCAAATTCTTTTAATTCCACTATTGAATACTCTTTTGGAATAAATCACTAAGCGAAAGGTATGTGCTTGAATTTTAAGGTCAATTAGTATTTTTTACACCATAAAAATTCAATAAATCAGCTAATTTACTGTAAATAACTATGAAAAGAGAAAATTTAATATGAATTTTTTTGGGAAATAAAAAATTAACATCAAATTTACAACATTAATTTTAGTCAATATTAATTAAAATAAAATAAAGATAGGAAACTAACAACATTAAAACTAACAATTCAATCACTAATTTTTTCCATATGAATTGGTAAAGCGTTAAAGCACTTAACAAAATTCAGTTAATTTATAATATTTAGATAAGAATTTCATTATCAAAGAAAGGGAAATTATTAAATCTAGAATAAGTCTTTAACACTTTCTTTTAATTAATGTAATCATACTGAAAAAAATTGTAATTTTTAATTAATTCAAATTGAGTTAAATATTAATTTTATTACAAAAGAAAGCAAATCAATCAATCAAGTACCACTAGTTTTATAATTATTAGGAATTAATAAAAAAATGAATAAGTTTTCATTTGTATTTTTTATCACAAAAGTATGGTTTATTTCAATTATAATTTATATTTATAATCCTTTTATATGCATTTTGATTCTAATTTAAAATGATCAAATAAATAGATAATTATTTTCTACATATAAATACATGCTATTTTGAAAATTTACCACTTTTATCTTTAGAAACATATAATCTTTACAGCTAAATGAGTATTAAACATTTCTGTTTGTCTTTCTATTTAAATGATTTGACTGAATTTTGAAAAAACAATGAAAATTAACTAACTATTATTATTAAAATTGGTAGATTTTAATAAAGTGGTTCTAATAGCTATAAAATTTATTTTAAAACTATTACTAAACATATAAAAAAATTAAAATAAGAATTTTAGCTATTCAATTCAAAATGATAAAGCTTAACTAAAAAGATAACACATAAAATTATAAATACTGGAGTTATTTAAATTCGGAGACAAATGACTCAAAAAATGTTTGAATGATGGATTGATTGAATTGGGGAGTATTTATTAAAAGTAATTTATTTAGCAAATAGGCATAAGAAGTAAAGCAAATTTTTGTTGGAAGTGAAGCCTTATTTATTATAATAAATAGCAATAAATAATTAAAAATATGAACAAATTATTAAATTTATTCTAATTATGAATGTAAGTATTAAGTAGGAAGGTAATTTGAAAGAATTGTTAGTTACAGTCAAGAAACCTATAAAATTTTGATAAACTAATAAATAGTAGATAGTAAAATTTTTTACATTTTATATATTAAATTTTTTTAATTTTATTAAGATTTATTACATTTTATTTATAGTTTTTAATAATATTTTTTGTTATAATCTGTTTACATTTCTTTGTTAATTGTAAGAGGAGGAATTTAGTTATATTTATTTATTTAATAAATTTAGTTATTTTCATTTATTAACAAATTTAGCAAATCTTTGTTTTTTCTTTTTATTTAATTTTAATTCATTGATTTTTAGTTTGTTTAATTTATTTCAATTTCTTGTATTTCTAAGGGCTTGTGTAGTAATAATTGTTCTATTTTATTATTGTATTAATGTTTCATTCATTTAGATGTTAATTGGAACTAGTCTGCTCATTTACTATCTTTAAGCCTAGCTTTGAGTAAGAATACGAGCAGTATTCGATCTCACTTAGGTTTATTAATTGGTTCTTGGTACCACTCTTTAAGTTTAAGGAGGATTTTAAGCAATTATTTAAGTAGGTAAAACTGTGTTATGCTTGATTTCGATTTCTTATTAAGCTTTTTCTCCAAAGCCCAAAATTTTCCATGACACAACCTTTTTTAACCAGAGCCCTTTTTTGCAGCACTTTACTGTTATGAGAATAAAAGCTAATAATATTATGAAACTGACGCTGACGAATATAATTTGATATAGAGAGCTGTTGTCACTTGAACTATTTTCATTTTTTTCATTTTGAGTACTTTATTATTAGCTTTAATCACTTTAAGTAGAGTTATTTTAACTAGAACTGCTTTAAAAGGGACTATTTGTAAACATTATGACTATCAAAAAAATCATAAAGCAAGAAAGGAGACTGCCTATAAAGCCAGTAGTAAAACTTTAAGTGGTTTGATCACATTTTTTAAGGCAGTCGAAACTAAGCTTGTTGCTAAAAATAGTTTAATATTAATATTTGTGTTAGCATATTTCACATTTAGCTTCAGGAAGCTAATTTTAAAACAAAATGAGCTCTTTTGTTCCATTACTTTCAATATTTTAAATCTTTTTTTTGTTTTTCATTTATTATAAAATCCAATCTTTTAAACATTTTTCATGCACATATGAACAACTTCCTGAACACTTGCAAGGTGTAATGAATGGACCTTGCTCTTCCAAACAAATTTTGCAAGACAATTTTTATTCTGATATTTTACGGACAGGTTTTTCTTCATCAGCTGCATAAGCCTAAACCATTCTGGGTGCTTCCATTTTTGATACAGGTATTTTAGAAAGGTGTATTGATTCAATTAAATTGTCAGGTTTTTTCTAGATTTAAGGATTTTACTATTATTATTCACAGACAAAAACTTTATTTTTATATTGAAGACCTTTATTTTCTTTTTGTCTTAAAACTGGAGATATCTATGGGGCACTTTGATTGTTTTTATCTTCTTCAGACACTTAGCGAGCGCTTAAAGATTAGTGAACATTTTCCCCGTGATCATTTGCTTGCTGTTATTCTTCTTCGATAATTTAACAAAGATCCTTAGAGTTCTATTTAAGGTTATCCAAACCGTCAATCTTGTTCTAGTTATTCAAAGTAGCAAATGTATTATCGTTATAGTTGATAGAAGTATTATTCTAATCAAAATTATTTTCACTTATTTTTTCCATGCACATTGAACTGTTAGCAGTGGACTTTTAAGATTACTAAGGTATAGGCATATTTATTTGTAAAATCAACTTCCTTTTTTAGACTAGCAGTGAATTTTTCTAAAGCAAATTAGACTGTATATAGTTTAGAAATACAACTATTGATTGAATAATAATCCAGGAGTATTGTGATTAAATTTGAATGATGGTAATTCAAATATAGTAGAAAAGAATTTTTTATGTTTTATCTTTTCTGCGATTAAAATTTATTAAGTATTAGTTAAATTTTGGCTTTTTAATTATTATAGATTGTAGTCAGCTCACATTCAAGATATTTAATGATCAAAAAGGTATTTATATATTTAGTAATTATTTTTTGATTAAAAACAAATTTTAATGTAGTAGTATCACCTTCTCTCGTCTCAGATCTCAGGCTTATCTTTTTAATTATTGATTGATTGAGTGCGAAATAAATTTGTTAGATTACATACAATCACAGAATACTCAGATTATTTTAATGGGTAGGGGAAGCATAACCAGTTAATCAATAATTAATTTCGTTGACTGGTGGGGAGAGATAATTCTTTACAATACGAATAAAGTTAGAAAAAAATTTGCTTCTAGATAAATAAAGGCAAAGTCTATCTATACAAGCCTAGATTAATTAACAAATGAATAAATTTATTGATAAAGTAAATGAAAGCAAAAAGTGGTCGATAAAAAAAGAATTGATAAAACATATTTGTCTTCATTTAAAATTTACAATCGATAAATCGAAATAATTAATACTTTTTTCAGGTAAACAGATATTGTAATCTAAATTTATTTGCAATTTACTTCAAATTTTCTTACACTTTTAATCACCTTCGTTTACCCACAATCTTTTGTGATAACTTTATGAGGCATTGCATAAAAATTGTAACACATAGTTAAAAAATCTATCATCAGAGAGCGCAAGTGACTAGAAATCCTTCTGCTAAAAAAGAATAAATTTACATATTTAAAAAATAAATGAAATTTGAATATTAGATATTTCAATTAGATAATTTTAGGAAGGGAGGATAGAAATATTTGTTTATTTATTTACCCTTTAGGTTTATTCTATTTTAGCAATATAGATTCTATTAGAATTTTTTCTTAATTTTTGATTAAAAAAGATTCATTGATTGAATTTTTTTTAGTTTACTCTTTTTTTTATGAGATTTATGATATTCAAAGTTATTAAAACCTTTGGCGAACTCAATTGAAATTACTATTATTTAATTTTATCTATCTTAGATTTCTAAAATATCAGGTCAACTAAAAACAAATTTATTAAAATTTTGGAAAACACAAATTAATAAATAAATAATATAGTAATTCAAATATATTAAAATCTAAGCCTTAACTGCTGAAGTTAAGCATGGCTCAAAAACCTAGGTTAAGCTTCACATTCAACCTTTACTTTGCAGATAAATTTATATGAAATCGAAAATTGAAAAACCTTTACAAGATAAAAATTTTAAAATATATAATTGTTTACATACTCACTTTTAATCATTACTAATTATATAATAAGAGTAATAATAAAGAGATAGAGTTCTATTTAATTTTTCTATTATTGATCAGGAGATATTATCGATTTTTAGTTGATAAGCTATATTATTCATATTTAAATTTTCATGCATTTACTTGTGAAATGTTTAAAATTATCTTATTACCTGAGCTTGTCTTGAAATTTAATTTTTAAAGAAGTATGATTTGAATTTAAATTTGTTTAAAATTCGTTCTTTATTCAGTTTTGTTGATTCACTTCTTTGAATATTATGGAAAAACATTATTATTATTTTTTTAGAAATAAAAACTTTGTAATCGCTATTTGGAATGTAGATAAAATTTTATTTTAATAAAAGTTTGAGTAGAATTAAAAAATAAATGATTTAGTATTTTCAAGTGTAAATTAAAAATATTCTTATATTAAGGACCATTTTGCTAATTAATTGAAAATATAATTTAACAGGATAAAAGAATTATATAAATTTTGATAAAATGAGTATTTAAATTACAATTATCTTTAGGCTCTGAATTAATTTTATTTGCTATAAATATTTTTTAAAATATAACCCAAATACTAAAACTAATAAATTACGATTTTTTACATAATTTATTCTTTGAATAATAATAAAATAAAATAAATTGCTTTTAAGAATTATAAATATTTATTATAACTATATTAGTTTTTCAAATATTATTGTCATTCATTCTTTGATTATTTCATCAGAATTCAATTATAATTTTATATTCTTTCAAAATTTTATTTAAAATATTTAATAAATGAAAGAGTTTTTATTTAAACTTTTTAAATCACAAAAAAAAGAATAGAAAGAATGCTGTTTTACTTTTTTTTTATATATAGATTACAATTTTTTTGAGCTGTATAAAAGAAATTTATTCAGTCATTAGCGAAATTACAAATTAATTATATTTTTAGGGATTTTATTATTAATATGACAGTGATTTTAAATCTAATTAAAATTTATTTGCCTAAATGTTTGTCTAATGCTCTATTCTATTTAAAGATATTCTTTCACTAAATTAATATCTCTTAAAAAATTTAAATACAATAATTGCAAGTGACACTCTGCAGTTAAAAATCTATAATTCTTGAAAGAGTCAAGTGAATAAATCAATTAAGAAATGGAATTAATTGGTAATTAATAATACTTTATTATTATATTTAAGATATTATTGATTTGCTTTTATCTTTTTACTTTTATAATTTAATTGAATGAATTGATGGAAATAAATATACATAGATAAATTGATACTTTTAGTTTTATTTTAAATTTAAAAATAAATAATAACATATAATTTTCCATTTTAAATAACCGATTTTGGTTAAATTTGTGATCTTAATCAAATAAAAATGGGAGATGAGTTTGATCATATTTAAATGTTATAAATTATTATTATTAGAGCACTTATTGGATTATATTATTATAATCTTACTTGCTTATAGACCTACCCATCAAATAAATAGACTCGAAAGTAAATAATCATGGTTTAAGAATATTATGGTAAAGTTCTTCAAAGTGAACGCTAGAACTGTAAAGATAATACCAATATGAATAATATACCTATAATGTAATTTTAATTAATCAAATAATATGCGCTTACAAGATATATCACCATTATTAATAAGAAGATTTTATTTCATAGCGTAATTTGAAAAATCAAATCAAATCAAATTAAGTTATAATTTGAATAGAATACATTTTTAGTATACGTACTCTAATTAATACAATCTATCAAATTAAATTGTACTGAATTATTACAAAATATTATTAATATCTCTTACTTACGCACAATTGTATACAACAATGCGACATCTTGAAATTAAAACCTAAGCTAATGCAAATAAGTATATTATTAAATATTATTATATTGTGAAAATACTTCCAATTTATAATATGATACATTCCATATGTTCATTGAAATATATATTATTCCATAAACTATAATAATTCATACATTTTCACATTCAAGAAAAAAGAACGAAACAAATATTTAATGAATACAAAAAATAATACAAAAATATTATCAAACCAATCCCATTTTAATTTTGAAAGCTTTCTAAACAAATATTTTACTTTTATTTAAAAAGATTTTCTCTAATAATTAATATTTTCATTTCTCATTTTACAAAAGCTCCTGAAAATACCAAACAAGCAATTTTAATATTTGAAGTAGTAAGATTGAGTGACTCATTTAATTGTCAAAAACATTTTGATTAAATGAATATCAGTATTATTTATATAAATCTAAGCTTAATTATTAAAAATAAATAATAGATAAATAATCATAATACATAAACATAGTCAATTTTAGCTTCACTTAAAATTAATTAAATGCTAGGTTTATGATACAGTTTGGTAAATAATCACAGAATAGACTTAACTAAGCCAGACTTAATGATGCATTTGTTAAAGATTCTTCACAAAATACAAAATACTGTTTTAGTTCATTTCATATAAAAGATTTATTAAGATGATGAAACCTCATCTTTCAAAATTTAAATTATTTGCAATTAATAAACATTTATTTATGAACGGATTGATGGTCTGTCCCATCCATTACTTTTAGTTTCTAAAAATATTTTTTGAATAAATAAGATAAATTAATCATTTTTTAGTTTAAATCTAAAAATAGCTTAAACATTTTTTACTTAAAATACATAACTAACTAACTATCTTCTTAATAGTAAATTCCATATTAAAATTATTAAACATTTGAATATAAGATTATTTTTATAATAATATTTTCTATTGATTTTCTAAATTTTCTTGATAAGTAAAAAGATTTAAAATTAATTATGGATTTATACAATAAATAATTCAAGAATGATAGAAAGGTGATAGAATTACAAATAAATAAAAAAAATTTTATTTAAATATATAATTTAGTAAAAAGAGCTAAACAATCAAAATACTTTAAATCTATATTCAATCATTTCATTAAAATTATATATAAAATTCATTTTACTTAAATAAAGAATTTATATATATGTATGTATAAGAGGTAAAAAAATCTAGAAAAATTTGTAATGAGATCGAGCAGTTTTTACTTTTTGCTATTAAGATATGATTTATATAGACATTTGCTTAAAAAATTCCTGATTTAAACAATATAAATAAATATTCATTGTGAGTAAATTATTAAGAGATTTAATTAAATATTTCTATTAAAGAAGAAATGCCATTCAAATAAAGATATATATTCTTCTGTGTTCAAACATATTAAACATATTGAAAGGATTGTTTTTATTAATTATTATTTGAAGAAATAATTAGTTTAAATTAGTGAAAGAGTGATCTTACTCATTTCGTTTTTGGAAAATTAATGTATTCTGAGTTGGTAATATTTAAATTAAATACATGAATGTGTCTTTATTTATATTCTTAATGAGTGCTTGAAAAATAATTGGTTATATAAATTAAAATATCTTTTATTAAATAATTTCAAATGCAAGTAAATTTATAATTTTATTTGTTATTATTAATAATAAATCCTTATCAAAAGAGCAATTTAATTTATTTCTAAATTGAGCATATTTCAAATTATTAATTAAACATGAATTTTCTTATTTTCTATCTTTCTTTAAAGTAATAAGTTGTTCTAAATATTAATAAAAAATAAATATAATACAATAATTTCTTGATTAAATAAATAAATAATTGATTTAAAATAAAATTATTTTTTTTTTAATATTTATTATTGTAAAATTATTTAAAATCCCACTGATAATTAAAAATTTTTTTGTTAAAAAATAAATTTTAGGAGTTCTATTTTTAATTTCTAATTTTAAATTAAATAAATTAATATTTATTATCAAAATAGATTTATTTCAATGTAAAAATAAATATTCAAATCATAATTTCATTTTCTTTCACAGAAAAAATAATATAAAATACTATTCAAGCAAAATAGATAGAAAATCTTTAGTCTTTTTATATAAGCATTTTGCATAGGGTAGATAAATATATATATGCTGTATTTAATAAACTTTTGGAAGGAATTTATAATTAAAAACAATAAAAAAATATTACAATTAACATCATAAAAAGGAATATTTAAAAAGTTTCAAAATTTTAAATAGTACAAGATGAAAACTTTGTTGATTGAATGAAGGTTTCTTTTGAGTAGTAATGTTTAAAATATTCGAAAAGCTAAAAAATGTAATAAATAATACCAAAAGTAAATAGAAAAGATTACTTTTTTCTTATATAAAAATAATTAGGAAAAGTAAATGCATGGTTTTTAATATATGTGAAAAGTTTTTCATTCACTATTTAGTTAATAATTGCATTCAATTTATTAGTTAACTAGCTAGATAATAATCATTAATTTTATTTCCTAATTAAACTCATTCTAAATTTAAGAATTTTATACACTAAATATCAATATTTTATTGAAATTAAGATTATGAATATAAATTACTTTTGTTAATTTATTGTATTTTTTATAACAGGGTTTGCAGCCTTTTCTAAAGCATAGCTATAGTAAGGTACCATTTATGTCGCTTTGATGCATTTATTTTATCGGAATATCTTTATTTAAAATAGAATTCACAGAAACAATCAATAAATAATCATCCAATCCATATTGCGAGTAATGGAATTCGAGCTAGGAGTGTATAAAGTGTATAAAAAATTTTGAATTTTCAGTAAATAATACATGCACTTCAACATGTATTTAGGGGACTTACTTCTAAAAGAGCTCTTAATCCTGTGTAGCAGTATGTGATCCAAATTATGACAGCTAGTTGCTGTATGGAACTTGCGAGAGGATATTAGACTGTCAAATAATGTAGTCTTTTGGGAATAATTATCATAGTGATACAATTACAGGAGTGAAAGATATCAGTGATAAATACTTTATAAGCTTTGATAAGCTAAATTTCATATTTATTTGGGATAAAAATACTCTGGAGTTAGTTAGCAAGCTGAGAAGACTCCATTAATATCCAATTGACGATGTTCTTTTCATTTAATCTAAATACTTACTTTCCTGGTCTTACTGCGAGATAATTCTATGGGACATATAAGAAGGAGATGTAATTTGATCATTCATTTTGAAGTTTAAAGAACTGATAGCAATAAATATCAGATTAAATCTATTAAATTTAATAAAAAAAAAGTTTGATTTATTTACAATTAACATGTAAAAAGTAGTTTTTTGGTATAGCAATTCACCTTACAAAAGACTTAAAGAATTGCTAGATTAATTTAAAATACTAATTTTTTAGTTAAAATTATTTGAGTTAAAAAATTAAAATTTGAAAATAATTAATCAGTATTTATTTATTTTAATGTATGATTGATTATTAATGCATCATACCAAAGTTAATTATATATATATTTGCTAACTCTTTTTAATTTAATAATAGTTTGTTTTTTAGTAGTCACTCTTAGAAGTTGGTATCTATCAGCAGTCTTCTCTTTAAGTTATTAAAGCTGATATTGTAAATTAAATATTAAATTTGAAGTTTATTTCCTTGAACAATACTTCTCTGTGCTAGTTGAATGTCTTTGTCACTCAGTCACTTATTTGTTTGGCTAAAGTGGCTACTAAGATAGAACAAATACAAAAAGTTAGTTTTTACTGGTAAATAATAGGAAATTATCAAAGCATTATTATTGTAAATTCCAGAGACGATACTGTAAAAAGTGTATTCCCTGTCAGTTCGTAATTTCACTTTATAGATAATTAGATAGAGAATTTGATTGGCTTTTATAATACAACTTATTTAATCTTTTACAATATTAGCAGTTAAACGTATTAGCAATATTTCTTAGATTAATAGTACAACTCAATAATTTTTTTACAGTAGTACAATCAGATTATTTTCAGGAATAAATATGTAACAAAAGTAGCTCAACTTAATACTGATCAATAAGATATTGTTTTTAACTAAGATTCTACATTAAGTTGTGATAGCTAGATGCAAAATTAAATATGTTCTGATTACAATTTTCTTTAATTAATATAACTCAATTAAAATTCGCAATAAATTATAATACTTGACACACCTAGGTCTCCTATAACCAACCTTTATTAACTTTATATTGGAAATTTATTTACTTACAATCCAAAGAATATGCAATTAACAAGGTATAGAGTTGCTTAAAGCTTGATCTAGACTTAATACTTATTAATTGGTAACCTTTTCGTTTAATATGCAAATACATAACTAACTGTAATGAAATATGCTGGATATAATGTTGATGATAAATATTTCCTCCAAAATATCTAAAATAGTGGTAAATCTTATCTTTAGGAGTTAAATATTGATTATATTAAGTATATTGATTCTCTTAAATAAGTTTTGGTTATATATTTTTAAAATCTCTATGTCTTTAACAGCGAGACCTTGGAACTAATATTCTCGTATCAACTTCTTAATAGTTTTTAGAACATATTCATTGACCCTAACATATTTGTTACTATTTCAAATGGATCTGGTAATTTAGTAAACATATATTAAATTCAACATTAAAATATGCTTTTGATAAAATCAATCAACTTTCCTCAATATTTTGTTCTCTAGTATGTGGATATCTCAAATAATTTATTTATTATTATAGATCAAAGTATTTGGAAAATAAATCTTTAAGATTTTACATATTCATAAACATAAATACAATTTAGTTTCAAAAAATTGTTAAAACTAAATGAAACATAAATCATCGCTTGGAATATGCAATCTGTCTATGTCATAGACAATAATTTTAATGTAGCTAAAACTTTAAATGTTACTTTAAAACCTTTGGAATCTGTTTAAAGTGTTAAGATCGATTTCCTGGCTAATAAAATAATTGTAGATTGTGGGCCAGGAACTATGAATGTATCACTCTAAGTATTTAACAGCTTATATGAACTAGAGTCTGTTCAAAGTGGTCAGCCATACTTTTCAATTTACTATATTCCTATTATTTCTTGTAATACTATATTTTTCTTTTAGTCAGGTAGAATTTTAGTATATGACTATATCACCAAATAAAATTTTAACTCATTTAGAGATAAATGCTTTTAGTAGACTTCAAATATATAAATATTTTATGATTTTCAGAAGAGATTTATAATCCTACCTTGCTTCGATTATGATCCGTCAATCATTACATTTAATGCTAATAACTAGGATTCTTTAGTTTCTAATCAGTACAGAAAAGTCTTTGATCAGGTAAGTTTAATTTAACTCTTAATTAATGATCATTTTTTTAAATTAAAATTTTTCTTACAATTACAATTTAATTTTTTCAATAAATTAATTTTATTTTGAATTAATAAATATCACTTTCTCAATAAAAATTCCTTTATATATATTTATATATATGTGGTACTCTAGAATACTACCTTTTTCTAGGCTATACACTGAAATTTAGGATATTAAGTTAAAAAGAATATTGAATCCAAAAAATTTTTGAAATTTGCATTTGCAATATTAAATATAATACCGTAATTATTTGAATATAATGAATGCTTTAATAGTTTCAATATTTATTCTAGCCTTTTAAATTATTTATTGAGAATAAAATCTTTTATAAAATAACTCAAAATTTACAGCTTAAATTCAACAGTAAAAAATGAAAATACTATTTAATAGCAATCAAAAAGTAAATCCTCATAACATTTGTTTAACCTTTACTAAAAATATATTTTCAAAAATAAATTTGAAATGTTTAAAATTCTCTGCAAAATTATATATATAAAATAAATTAAAATTGATAGAATTAATTTATTATTTTAAAAAATAATTGAATTGACTTAAAATATTTTATTTAAAAAGTAAAATTATATGAGGTTTGATATTGATATGTAAAGAAAAAAGATATTTTTATACAGTTAAAATATGCTATAGTTTGATTATAATGATCCAAACTCCATTTCATTAAACAGCCAGTCTCAGGAGAATTTGCAAAGCTATTCTTAATAATAAATTTTAATTCATTCAAGTTTTAATTTATTGTTAGTAAATCATTTATCTGTTGACAATTAAATAATACTTAGGTATTTTTGTATAAGTACGAAAGCTTTGTTATACTCTTTTTCTATTAATCAAGAAGATAGTGTGTTCAATCCTGCATGGTGGATGAATGATTAACCTGTGTCTTTTATTGTTTAGAAAAGTCAAGTTAATTTAATTAAATTTTAAAATTAAACTGTTCAAATATAAACTTTTTTCAAACCATAAAATCTTTAAACATTTTAACTTGCATAGCCTTTACAAAATAATTTAGCAGCTTTTGTAACCGAATCCAGCAGTAATAATTAATTTAATTTAATTTAATTTAATTTATTTTAATAAAAATTTTAAATATAAACAGTTATGATAATTGATATGTATTTAAATTACACATAAAAGACTTGTGAAATAATAGATTTAAAATAGTATTAAAAGAACGATATTGCATTTAATTCTAATAACCAATAAATATAGCTGTTGCTATCACATAAAAATCCATATACAGGTAAACAGCTTAATACTCTTGCTGTAGTAGATATAGGTTCTTGCACTATCAAATATTATGAAATAAGTTTAGATGATGATATCCTTTTATCAAAAAAATTATTTTCTTAAAGTATTGTCTACTTAAATTATGGAATCTATTTGTATGTTTATGATCTAGAGAGTTAACTGGGCAAATTTTTAAATGAAGGGATATTTTTTGAAGCACCGATACGTTTATATGAAAATTATTTATTTCTAATCAACCAAGGAATCTTATATATCTATTAAACAGAGCAGATTTCTATCTATAGAAATATAGATTTAAATCCTTAATCTATTTTAGATTTTTCATTTTGCTCTGAACTAAACTATCTCATAGTGCTAATACAAAACGAATTAACAATTTATGATTTTTTGTCAATGAAAAAAATAAAAGCTATTGCAGCTTATCAAAAAATAATTATGTTTACAAATAAAAACTCAAGCCAAATCTATATCATTGAAACCAATTAGTTAAATAGCAATTAAATAAGAATAATTGATTTATAGAGTCTTTAAATCACCAATCAAGTTGATCTTCCATAGAATGAGTATTATTTAAATTATTAATATGAATTAGACGAAATTTCTAATTAAGTATTTACAATCAATTACGATTTTACTTTTATGGCTATCGATTTAAGGTTAGTTTAGAATCAACTTTAACCAATTTCCCATTTATACTAATCTTTATATATTACTGGATAAGATGAATCTTAATTAAAATATATTTATTCTAAAAATGCAAACTACTTTGCTATCACTGAAGACTTAAAAACTACTGATAAGAATGATAGTATTGATGAGTACTATAATTTAGATTAACAAGGAATTCTAGCTTATATCGATTCTCTAAACAATAAATATAAATAGATTATGTATTTAAACTACACCAAATTTCATATGGTTGTAAAGAAGGTATACAATAATCACTATACACTTGTAGCTAATGATTTTTAGATTTTTTGTTTTTAAAAAGATTTAATCCTTGATACTTATACTATTTAAAGTAATTTCGGTTTATCAAACCAGCCTTATTTGCTATCGAATTAAGAAAATATTTTCATGGTAGCAAATAATACAATATTTGACATTTAATACTCTTTTGATTCGAAATAAATAATATTATATACTTTTGCTACCTTAAGCCGTAACGTCTTTCCCATCGATATAATTTCAAAAGCAAATAATACTGCAGCAATATATGCATATGAAAAAATCTTATATCTAAGTTACAGCACTAAAACCATTACCTATTAAATTGAAGGGAATGTATTTTATTATTTTCAAAAGCTTAAGCATGATATGTTTGCTGCTGTTACAGATATTAAATTATTAATTTATAGCTTGGATATCAGCGCTAGTGGAGTATATTCTTTAGTGATGAAATGTAAGATTATTAATAATGATACTTTATAGTTCTATCTGATGGGAACGAATGATCTAATTGTCTCAGAAGACTCACTGAAAAGGATAGCTCTATATTAATTTGATCAAGTCTCTTAAACTTACTTTGAATATTAATCGATTCCTTACCCCTGTTATTCTGGTAATAAATTTCTTTTATCCTCTTAGAACACAAACTACTTTGCTTTGTCTTGCAGTTTACAGACAAACATTTACAAAAATAATTAAAAGCCTCTACTGTCTTCATTGCCAACCATATTGAAAGAAACATCAAGCAATTACTATACAGTTGTAAAAACCTTCAAGGGTATCAAAATGAATTAGTTTTTGATCTTGTAATAATATATTTTTTGTACCTTACAATAAAAAATTATAATTTTAGATTTGGTTTCTTTATCAAAGATTTACGAGATTAACTTAACAAATTTTATCTTTCTGAAATTGATGTACTTAGGAGTTGATTAAACATATGATAAATTTTCAATTAAGGGAGTGCAAGATTATTAAAGGATAAACTTTAAATTTTTAATAAATAACTCTACATAGATAAATGACATTGATTAAATTTAGTTACCTCTTTGCTATATAAATATTAAATCTAACTTGACAAGAAAAGACTAAATATCACTCCTTGAAAATCTTTAAATGTATAAAAATACTCTGAATTAGTAAGTCTAAAAAATAATACTTTAAATTACTCTGATTGATAAGGTCCAACTTATTGAAGAGTTACAATCAGATGCTTACGAACTTAAAGTGTTTTAAGATGAGTCTTCTCAAAATAAAATCTAATTAACATCACTTTTTAGCATTAAAAAATAGAACATCTAATACTCTGGAGTTTCATTTTAATTTCCTGATAACTTAAATCTAACGATACAAAATAAAAAAAAGGTAGCTATTTAAAACTCCTAATTCTCAAGCAATACTTTTAATTCAGGTGTTTTTTTTTAAAACATTGATTAACTCGTAATTTCAAATATTACTATTAATGTAGAAAATATTTTAAATAAGAATATAAGCAATCAAGCCTTTATCATATTATCTAACATATCTGATGTAGTCTTTTAAAAATTTTCAGTTACTTAATTAAAAAAATTCTAGTTTCGCTATTTCTTAGTTTTTAACTAAATCATTAGTAATTTTTTCTTGAATATTTTATTTTTAAATTGATATTTTTTTTTATTATTATTTGAATTAGATTCTTTATTTATTAGTGACACAATAATAAGCAATATCTTGTGTGGGAATGAGCTATACAATTTTATATCAATAAGAGATACTAATTATCTGCAAATAGAAAAATTCAAGGCTTTTGATATTATTTCATCTTAGGGATAATATTAAAAGGCTATCTTTGATATTGAAGGAGTGCAAAATTCAATTTTAAATACTGTTTATGGAAACAACCTTTAGAATATATCTTTCTTTTTTTATACTAATAGCTACTTTTAAAAAGGTTAAAAGGTTTACCTAACTAATGATAATCTCACTTTTAAAAATATGAATATTTCTAATGCTAAATATAGAAATAGCTTATTTTGGATTTATTCTAACAATTTTTCGTTAATAGGCGAGAATAACATTTTTAGTAACATAATAAATTTAAATGCCGAAGGTGGAGTTTTTAAAATATAGGGTTCCAATGTTAATATAACAAACAGTTATTTCGCAAATAATCAAGCAGCAAAAGGCGGAGCTATTAATTTGATTAGTATTGATTATTAAGCTAGCTTTTAAAACTGTACATTTGAGAAAAATAAAGCTATGGAATTTGGAGGTGCTATCCATTTAGTAGATACTTTTTTATTCACAGAAAATACCACAATAAGGTACAACGAAGCATTAATAGGTGGAGGTATATATTATAATGGTTTTAAACCAATTAATACAGACATTTCATTTTCAAATAACGCAGAAATCTATGGTAAAAATATAGCTAGTAATCTATTATATTGCAAAACAAATATTATTTGTGACGAAAAATGTAATATAGACATTGATTCAAGTAGTACCACTATATCTAATTTTAGGAGTGGCAGTACTTTGAATTTCTTTTTTGAAATTATAGATGAGGAAAATAACTAGATAATTATTAACAAACAAAAATTGAACAATTACCCTGATGAAATTCAAAAGGAAATAGCAAAAATTAAGATTTCAGCCATAGCTGATTATTAGGATCTTATTAAACTATCTAATTAGCAAAGTATATCTTATGTAGATTATAACGAAGACACTAAATTATTTAGATTACCTAACCTTTAAGTTGTAGGAAATCCAATTAAAAATCAAAAGATAGAACTAATAAGTAGTTTTACTTAAATATAATATGGACAAAATTAAACATCAAACAACTATACTATTTATTTCAATTTTAGAAAATGTTAAACAGGAGAAAGGTAGGTCTCTATTGATAATATTATATAATGTATACCTTGTCCTAACGGATTTTATTCTTTAGTCACTACATAAAATCAATCCTCAGTGGAGTGTACAATATGCCCACCTTCGGCTTATCACTGTGAAAAAGATATAATCCTCTTAAAAGAGGGTTACTGGAGAAGCAACGAAAATACTGATAATATTTATTATTGTGTAAATAAACCATCTAACTGCAAAGGTAATTTAAAATAAGAGAAATCACTATCTTTTTTTATTTTTAGGCTAACTCAGTCTAAAAAAAAAATATAAATTAATATTTGAAATTTTAAAATTTTTTTTTTCCTAAAGAAATATAATAATTAATTATATTTTCCTTTATTAGGGGAATTTTAAATTAATTAATATTTCAATTTATATTTATCGAAATTGAATGCAAAAAATAATATTAAACATATTTAATTTAAAAAGGATCTCTAGAAGGTAATAGACTCTATTGCGATGAAGGAAAAGTTGGTCCTCTGTGTGAAAGTTGTGATATTTATGAAAAAGTATGGGATACAAAATATATGAAGTCAGGCAAATATGACTGTATCAAGTGCAATGATGTGCAAAATAAGACTTTCGTTCTTCCTATAATAGGAATATTTATTTTCATATTAGCTTATGTTGTGTTTTCAATTAACATGTCTATTAAAATGAGTAAGCAGTACTCTTATTCTTACTATTTTAGGATGAGTAGAATCCTAGTATCTAATAGGAGCTCAATGCAAGATATTTCTTCATTTTATTTTAAAATAATTCTTAATTACATTTAAATATCATTGATTACAAATAGTTACTACTTAACTTTACCTCCTATTTTATCATACTTTCCTGATATACTCTCGCTTCCTCTTTAGCACTTTTTGAATATTTTCGATTGTTAATTTAGTAAAATTGATGAGGATACTGTGTCTGTAGTTTTCTTAAGAGTTTTATGGAGCTATATCCTTCCATTCATTTTTATGCTTATAATAGTTATTGTCTATAGCATTTTATTTTGCATATAAAAATGCTTGATTAAGTACAAAGATAATAAAACTTTACAGCATTTTGCCTGCATAAATGTTACTATGAATAGCAGTAAAAAGATGATGGTCTATCATCTTTATAATGGACTATTCTTTTTACTAATTTTCATGTAGCCTAGTTAAGTTTAAATACTTCTTTCGACAATCTCATGTAAGGAAATAGATAATAAAATGTATATTGCTACAGACCTAACATTTTAATGCTATACAAACAAGCATGTCTTATATGTAGGCACAATGGTTATCCCTGGTTTACTTTTATGGATATTTGTTATTCCTTTAGTTATACTTTATTTACTTAAAAAGTAAAGCAATAGACTAGATTCTCTTTAAGTTAGATTCAGCTTCGGATTTCTTTATTAGGAATATAAATAAAAATATTACTTTTGGGAATTTGTGAAATCATATTTTAAAATAGGCATAGTGTTAATTGGTACTTTTTTAGCAGAGGCTAAGGTTGCTAAACTGATCATAATTTGCTTAGTCTTATTTGTTTATTAGTACATTACTAGCAGGGTAAAGCCATACATACTAATAAAATTAAATAAACTAGATTTTCTTTAAATCAATGTCTTAGTAGTTATTGCTCTATTTAACGCTTTCATTGAACACCCTCCCTCAGAAATATCAAAAAATTTAGTCATAGTGTTAACAATAATTATTCACAACTCTTTCCTTTTAATAAATATATTCATTGCTTTATTTTTGAAGATAGAAGCTAAGTTTAGCATGTAAGTTTTGAAGCTTAAACTTTTCCTTAAGGCAAGAATTCCTTTTTTATTCAAGTACATGGTCATCAAAAAACCTATAAACTTGTTAAGAGTAAATAAAAATTGGAAAAAAGTCATAGAATTTGTTGAGAAAATAAGTTTTAGGAATAATCTTTAAAATATTCTGGAAAAAGGACAAAAATAAATTAAAAAATCAACCTTACAAAATAATTTATAATTCAATTTTTAAGATTAAACTTTAGACTTTAGCAAATAAAACCATTCATCAAAATCAATTTCTAGTCCTTATAAAAAATCTAGTAGTATTTCTGAATTATTCTAATTTAACGGTGCAGCAAAATTTATGAAGAAGAATTCTCTAACTTCCCGTAAAAGCATTAGAAATGTTAATTCTTTAAGTGACATTAAAGAAGAAGATAGTTAATTTGATGCCTTTAAAATAGCAAGAAGCTAAAGCATCGTTTAAAGCGACTGTTTAATCAACCAACCAGATTAAATTGATTTTAAACAACCCGATTATAAAAAATAAGATCAAGTAGAATAAAATTAATATAATCAAGCAAAAAATTTTAAGAAATCAAGCATAGATAACACATCTTATATAGGCGATGAAAACCAAAAAGTCAAACATTCTTCAAAAAATCTTCTCTAGTCATAATAAGACAATAATCCATCATTTAATTCTATATAGAATTCTTAAAGTGCGACTAAAAAGAATAAAACATTGACATAAAGAGGGTTTTTGAGTAGATTTATGAATTCTCAGTCTAGACAAACTACTTAACCAGGAACACCTTCAGAATTATTGATTTCTCACCATACAAAAAAGCAAGCAGAAACACAGAATGTATAAAATAATAAAAGTATTAAATCTACTGATGATTTTATGATCTAACTATAAAGAATTGATTAAACAGTTGATAAAGAGAGAGCAAATTAATTTAGTAATATTGATTTAATAAATTCTAGAATAGCATTTTCGAATAGCAATTTTAAAAATATTTAATCTCTTGAAAATTCCCTCAATTTTAACCAAGCTGTAGGAAGCCAATCTAATTTTTGTAGCTAATAAGAAAAAATAAAAACCAAAAAAGTAAAAAATTAAATAAAATATACTTCTTCTTCATCAGAAGAATCGTTTGAAGAACAGCCAGAATAAATTAAAAATGTCAATTAATTTTAGCAAATAAATCAATTTGATTTACAAATTTCTCATTATTAAAATAAATTCAATGACTTAATTTCACCTAGCGAGTTAGTAGATAACACTATTCCATCCAAATTTTAATATTAAAATATGACATTAGATTTGTAAAAAGAATCATAAGTAAATTAACCAGAGCTTAACCCCAAAAATATTTTTATTCCAATACCAAATGTTCTATCTAAGCTCTCAATTGGAGAGAGCATTCAGCTTAATTCTAAAAGATCACTAAATAATATGTCTCCTGATATTTAGTAAATTGAGTTAATTAATTTTGAGTAAACACCAAAAAAAAAAAGTGAATAAAATAATAATGAATTAGTTAATTTTGAAGACTCTTAGTCTAGTAACAATGATTGAAAGCAAAGATCAAGCCCAATAAATAATAAATACTATGGATTTATTAAATATTCATTTTTATTTACTTTATAATTAATTAGTTTTATGTTAATTATTAAAATATATGTATGAAGTTTTAAATATTTTAGTTAATTCTTTAAAAAAAATGTTTTAGAAAATAATTTTTTAATTTTTAAGGCAATGACCAAATATTTGATTTACAAAACTGTTTTTACATTCAGAATTCAGTAATTTTTTTATTGTTTTATTTCGTAATCTATCTAACTCAAAAAAAATAAGATGAATTTATTTTTTTATTTATTTATTTAATAAATAATAGCTTATTGCTATTTGAGGCGGCATATTTTTTCTATAGCTAAGAAGCTTCTTGTAAAAAATAAATTAATTAATAATTTAATATTATTTTAATTGTTTATTTTTTTACTTTTTAATTTTAATTTTATTAAAAAGAAATTAAAAAATAAAAAAAATAATAAATCTATTTATATTTTAGGTTAAATTTTTTAATTCAAAATTTTATATATTAAGACACATTATTTTCTTTATTCAGATATTTCATATTTATTCTTCATTTTTCAAAAAATTTATTTAAAAGACAACCAATCTTTTTTATTTAAGGCACTTGCTTTTTATTTACAATTATTGTGATTTATTGATTTATTATTGGCTTTTATATTATATTAAATTAAAATAAAATACTAAAAAAATAAAATAGAATAAAATTTTTTATTAAAAACAATATTTAAAATTAATAAATAAAAAAAAATAAGCAAAATAATAAAGTAAAAGAAAATTTAATTAATAAAAAGCTAATAAGCAAATTAAAAGTGTGTTATATAATTTTATAAATAAAAATATTATAATTCAAAACAAATAAACTGTTTTTACTCAAGACTAAGTGTCAAATTTGATAGATTAGCGCAATTTGCTAAACCAGAACATAAGCTTGATGCACCTATCGAACCAATTTTATTGAAACTTTTTAAATTTAAAAAAAAATATATATTATTAATTTGTTATTTAGAAGGAAAAATATGAATTAATAATTATTAAAAGCAAATATTCAAGATAAAAACCTAAGTAAAATTAAAAAATTTAAAAGAAAAAAAAAGTAAAACAAAAAAGAAAATTAAATCAAATAAAAAGATTTATTTTAAATTATTTTTTTTAGTAAAAATAAATATCGCGATCCAAAACAAATAAACTGCTTTTACAATAGATTAAGTGTCACGTTTGAGAGATTAATGCAATTTGTTAAAGCAGAACCTAATCCTGATGCACCAATTGAACCAATTTCATTGAAACTATTTAAACATTCAAGAAAAAATATTAAATAATAAGAAATGGATTAATAAATAATAATAGAAAATGTTTAAAATAAAAAAAAAACACACATTAATAAAAAAGAAAAACAAAAGTAAATCAAATAAAAAACTAATAGACAAATTAAAAGAGTTGCATCGTTTTAAATTCATTTCTATATTTAAAATCACAATCCAAAACAAATAAATTGCTTTTACCGAAGATCAAGTGTCAAATATTAGAGATTAGTGCAATTTGCTAAATCAGAACCAAAGCATGATAAACCTTAATCATCAATTTAATTTTCACTTTTTAAATATTGAAGAAAAAATAAATAATTAATTTGTTATTTAGAAGAAAAAACGAATAAAAAATATGAAATAATAAGAAATTAATAATAAAAGAAAATATTGAAAATAAACAAATGAGTTAAATTAAGAAATATAAAAAAAAAGCACAAGTACAAAAGAAAAAAAAAAGTAAATCAAATAAAAATCTAATTAACAAATTAAAGAGTTTTATTGTTTTAAATTCATTTTTATAAATAAAAATATCACAATCCAAGACAAATAAGCTAGTTTTACCTAAAATCAAGTTTCAAGTTTTAGAGATTAGTGCAATTTACTAAAGCAGAAACTAAGCCTGATTCACCTATTGCACCTATTTAATTTTCGCTTTTTAAATATTGAAGAAAAAATATATAATTAATTTGTTATTTAGAAGGAAAAAATAAATATGAAATAATTAAAAATTAATTAATAAATAAATAAGTAAGTAATAAAAGTAAATATTGAAAATAATAAATTTGTTAAATTAAGAATGTTAGAAGGAAAAAAAAAACATAAGCACAATAAAAAAGAAAAAGAAAAGTAAATCAAATAAAAAGCTAATAAATAAATTAAAAAAGCTATATTGTTTTAAATTAAATTTTAAATAAAAATATCAAAACCAAAAACAAATAAACTATTTCTACCGTAGACCAAGTGCCAAATTTGAGAGTTTAATGCAATTTGCTAAAGAAGAACCTAAATCTGTTGCGCCCATTGCACCAATTTTATTACAACTTTTTAAATATTAAAGAAATATTAATTAATGTTTATTAGAAAAAAAAAAATAAAGAAATAATATGGAATGAATTAATAAATAATAAAAGAAAATGTTGAAAGTAAAAAAAATTAGTTAAATATAGAAGACAACAAGATAAAAAAAAAGGCAGCTATCATAAAAAAGAAAAAGATACTAAATGAATAAAAATATCACAATCCAAAAGAAATAAACTGTTTTTACTAAAGATTAAGTGTCAAATTTGAGAGATAAGTGCAATTTGCTAAAGCAGAGCCTAAGAATGATGCGCCAATTGCACCAATTTCATTGGATCTTTTTAAATATTTAATAAAAAATATATAATTAATTACCGTAGGTACTCATTTATAAGGAGGATCCAAAAATAACTTATTTGTAAATTTTACTCTTTGAAAATTATTATTTTAAAAATTTTCCCTCCTTATTCAAAACCATCTTTAAACACAATTACCTACAGTAGTTAAGTAAAAGGAAAAAAAAAGTAGCAAATGTTGAAAATAAAAAGTGGGTTAAATAAAGAAAAATAAAACAAAAAAATGCAAGAGCAATAAAAAAGAAAAAGAAAAGTAAATCAAATAAAAAGCTAATAAACAAATTAAAGAGTTTTAATGTTTTAAATTCAATTTTATAAATAAAAATATCACAACCCAAAAAAATAAACTTTATTTACTCGAGATTAAGTGTTAAATTTGAAAGATTAATGTAATTTGCTAAAGCAGAACCTAAGCCTGATAGAGCTTAATCACCAATTTAATTTTTACTTTTTAAATATTAAAGAAAAAATTAAGAAAAGATATGAAATAATAAGAATTAAATAATAAAAGCAAATGTTAAAAATAAATCAATAGTTAAATTAAGAAAGATTAAAAAAAATACACAAATACAATAAAAAAGAAAAAGAAAAGTAAATCAAATAAAAAACTAATAGAAAATTAAAAGATTTATATTCTTTTAAATTCATTTTTATAAGTAAAAATATCATAGCCCAAAAAAAATAAACTGTTTTTACTAAAGATCAAGTTTTAAATTTGAGAGATTAGTGCAATTAGCTAAAGCAGAAAATAAGGCTGATGCACCGAGTGTACCTATTTTATTGCAACTTTTTATATATTAAAGAAAAATATATAATTAGTTTATTATTAAAATAAAGAAATGATATGAAAAAAATATGAAATGAGTTAATATATAAATAATAAAAGCAAATGTTGAAAATAAAAAAATTATTTAAATTAAGAAAAATAGAAGATAAAAAAATACAAGCACAATAAAAAAAAAAAAGTAAATCAAATAAAAATTTAATCAATAAATTAAAAAAGCAAGCTAATTTGTTTTAAATTCAACTTTATAAACAGAAATATCACAACCCGAAACAAATAAACTGCATTACCAAAGATCAAGTGTCAAATTTGAGAGATTAGTGCAATTTGCTAAAGCAGAACCTAAGCATTATGCACCTATTGCACCAATTTAATTTTTACTTTTTAAATATTGAAGAAAAAATATGTAATTAATCTGTTATTTAGAAGGAAAAAACATGAAATAATAAGAAATGTATAATAAAAGCAAATTTTGGTTGAAAATAAAAAAATTAGTTAAATTAAAAAATATAGAAGAAAAAAAAAATTTTAATAAAAAAGAAAGACTAAAACAAATAAAAAAAAAGCTTTTAATAAATTAAAAAAGCTATAATGATTTAAAATTCAACTTTATAAACAAATAAACTGTTTATACAAAAGATTAAGAGTCAAATTTGAGAGAATAGTGCATTTTGCTAAAGCAGAACCTAATGCTGATGCACCCGTTGCACCAATTTCATTGGATCTTTTTAAATATTTAAGAAAAATATATAATTAGTTATTTAAAAATGAAGAAAAAATATTAAAAAATAAGAAATGAATAATAAAAGTAAATGGTAAAAATGAAAAAATGGGCTTTTTGAAGAGTAGAAGAAGAAAAAAAGTAAAATTAAAAAGAAAAAAATCAATCAATCAAAAAAAAAGCTAATAAATAAATTAAAAGAGTTTATAGTTTTAAATTCATTTTTATAAGTAAACATATCATAATCCAAAACAAATAAACTATTTTTACGAAAGATCAAGTGTCAAATTTGAGAGATTATTGCAATTTGCTAAAGCAGCACCTAAGGCTTATGCACCGATTGAACCAATTAAATTTTCACTTTTTAAATATTGAAGGAAAAAATTTTTTATTTAGAAGGAAAATCTGAAGAAAAATTATGAAATAATAAGATATGAATTAATAAATAATAAAAATGAGTTAAATTAAGAAAGATTGAATAGAAAAAAAAGAAAAAGTACAATAAAAAAGAAATAGAAAAATAAATCAAATAAAAAGCTAATAAAAGAGTTTTATTATTTTAAATTCAATTTTAAAAATAAAAATATCATAATTCAAAACAAATAAACTGTTTTATTATCAATAAAAATTTTTAGAAAGAAAAAAGGAATAAAAATATCAAATAATAAAAAATGGGTAATTAAATTAAAAAATAAAAAATTTAAAATAACTAAAAAACATTTGTAAAATAAAGTGATTGAATATTGGTGATAATTTAATAATATTTTAAATAAAATGATAGTTAAATACATAAAAATCAAAAAAAAATAATAATATTTATATATTAAATATACTTCAGATTAATATGGAGGACCTAATGAGATTAAAGTGAAGAGTTTAAAAACTTTTTATAATAGTAAAAATAAACTTAAAGTAAGCTCATAAAAAAATAAATAATTACTATTTCTAATTCGTCGTAATGTGTAATTTATTATATCATTTATTTATTTTTTTTAAATATTATTTAGAAATTTAATTAATTATAGTAGATGAAAAGAACAAATAAATTATATGAATTTATATTTTATATTTTAGTAAGAAAAATAACAAAAAAGTTATTGTAGCATCTATCATCAATTAATAAATTAAGAAAATTTAAAAAATAAAATTTAATTTAATAAATATCAAAAAAAATAATAAAATAAAAAATTAATTTCATTAATAGAGGTTCCAAACTTTGTAAAATCAAGAAATAAGTTTATTTAAACCATTACAAGAATGCTTAAAAGGACTATTAATAGATGCAAAAATGAATTTAAAATATCTAAGAATGTAAAATTGAAAAAATTCTTGGAACCTTTAATAGCAGAATTCCCAGATTTATAGAGTTGTATTAAATAATAAAGTATATTTAACCAAAATATGAAATACTATGATAATTTTAAAGTAGAAAAGTTTAATAAAACTTAATATCTAATAAATAGTTTAGATTTAATTTTTTTATGATATTATTGAACTAATTATTTATTTAGTTATAAAAAAACCCTTAATTAATTAGCTTTTATATTTTTTTTTATCACAACACATAACTACTGTCATAATCCAAGAAAAAAATATCTTTTTGATTATTTAACAGAATAAAATTATAAATTGGGGTTGGGGTTGGGGTTGGGGTTGGGGTTGGGGTTGGGGTTGGGGTTGGGGTTGGGGTTGGGGTTGGGGTTGGGGTTGGGGTTGGGGTTGGGGTTGGGGTTGGGGTTGGGGTTGGGGTTGGGGTTGGGGTTGGGGTTGGGGTTGGGGTTGGGGTTGGGGTTGGGGTTGGGGTTGGGGTTGGGGTTGGGGTTGGGGTTGGGGTTGGGGTTGGGGTTGGGGTTGGGGTTGGGGTTGGGGTTGGGGTTGGGGTTGGGGTTGGGGTTGGGGTTGGGGTTGGGGTTGGGGTTGGGGTTGGGGTTGGGGTTGGGGTTGGGGTTGGGGTTGGGGTTGGGGTTGGGGTTGGGGTTGGGGTTGGGGTTGGGGTTGGGGTTGGGGTTGGGGT